CTTTTGAGAGAAACTGAAAAGATTTTAAAAGTTCATGCAAGGCGTCAGCGATAGTGAAATCGGTCTAAGATATATCCGGTATAGTCGCATATCGGCAAGACCAAGTTGCGCGTCGGTGGGACGAATTATAACGAAGCTCAATGGTCAAGAGACGCAGAGACCTGGTAAGCTTCGCCGGCGGGTCGTATAGAACGCCGCTACGGAGTACCGGGGGCTGTATTGCTGTGTCGGGCGTGCCCCTCTATCTCCCTATTCCACGGACATGAGGCACAGGAACAAGGGCAAGTGGATTCTAGTGGATCACCATGACATCCCGTCCGCGTTTCCTGGCTGTTTCGCGGGACAGCTTTCCTACACCCAGTTTAGCGGGTGCACCGGACCTCCATTCCACGGCCTCCCCAATGGCCAGCCCGCCCCCGCCGGCGTTCATTTCCCAGAGGCTCTCCTCGTCTATCGCTGCCCCTGATTGGTGTTGGCCGTTAGCCACGACGCCACGTGGGACCCCCGATACCGCTGATGTCATTGCACGGGCCCGGGGTCCTCTGGTAACTCGGCTAACATGCCTAGTGTGGTGATAATAGAAACTATTGGAAAGGCAGAGTAAATTGCATGTGAGAGGTGAATGAGTCGTATGAATCCTGGTTGTGATTTTACGTGATTCTCTCAGGTAAACCTCGCTGAGAATAGGGGAGAGACAGAGGCAGTCTTAGCGCAGCGAACTAATTAATCGGACCGAATGTCTTGGTGGGACAACTGCTGGCTTACCTAACTGGCTTATCTTGTAGCTGGGAAATGCCATTGGCGGATTGTCCGATAGGAGTGCGTCTTGGCTGCAGTGACGGAAAGGCTTGTCTTACTGGCCAGATAAGGTGTCGGGGCCGTATCTTTCCGATGCTGACAATGACCGACACAGTAAGGATGAGCATCTTCGGAGCAACTCGCCCCTTGTCACGTGCAGACGTACCGGAACAGGCAAGGTTTTCCAGGATGGCTGACCAGCCGGCCGTGTGTATATAGTCCTGCCATGTTATACCCTTACACTATCCCAACAATAGAATGGTCGATATTGTCTAAGGTTTCATCGACATAGTAGATATGTGGAAACTCTCACTATATCGGGAAGCATTAGCCATGATCCATGATAGAACAGCAGTGCTTATCTGTAGTGGCGCGGTCCGCGACCGTGTCTCCGACCTTCAATTGATTAAACCCGAACGCTAGTCTGCAGACCCATTGGTTGATACCAGCAATGTGCAGGTCCTCGTATGATCAGCGACCCGGCTAGGTCGGTTTGTCTGCCCGTGTTCCGTCTGAAGCGCCTCAACATATTGCGATATACTCCACATGGGACGGTCCGTAGTCCCTGGCCAGGAGCGGGGACGGGAAAGCTTGCGGTACGGGACTTTGGTCGGAGATCTCGCAGATAGTACGAAAATCGATTGAGAGATATGGCTATCAGATGGAGATAGCGTGAGACGTGATAAAACGATGACAAACGTCTTGACAGTTGATGACTTGGTAATGGTGAGTTGATGGCAAGATTAAGAGCGGAATGAGATGAGGTGAAACTAGCAGGAACTCGGTCACCTGAGACGGCGTGACTGCTAACTGCTACAAACCGTTCAAACTCTCCGCGGTATTCGGACTCATAACTACTAGTATACGTTGAAAGATCTTGTCCAGCAGGATTATTCCGGGAGATCAGCGCTTTATTGATGCTATTATCAATGATTCCCGATCATATGAAAATAACCATAGAACCCCGAATCGTGTCTAGAGCAACCGCAGCCTCTTCGCAAGCAAGCAACAAACCATAACAAACGCGCACATACACCCTACGATACCAAAAAACCATCCCAGATTATCCACATTCTGTCCAGGCACCTCGACGTTCATACCAAACAACCCAGTAACCATGTGCAAGGGTACGAAGATTGTCGCCAGGATAGTCACCTTACTCAAGACTGCATTCACGTCATAACTCAACCGGATATTGTTGACGCTCAACTGGGCCAGGAAGTTCGACTGTGACCGGCCCACAATTTCATCGAAATGGGACAAACTGGTCAATGTGGTCACGAGATGATCTTGTACGTCGCCCAGATACACCAAGAGATCGCCGTCCGGGAACATTGGGTTTCTGTCTTTTGCCTGACAACGCTTGACGAAGCCACTTAAGACGTCGTACTTGCCGGTCAGGCAGCGGATGAGCTGAGTGATACTCTTGCGGAGGCTATCAAGTTGAGGAATGAGCGCTTTGACGTCGTCGACGCGGGCGATGAACACTTGATCTTCGATCGCATCGGCTTCACGTTCTGCTGCGCGCATGTACGGTTCGAAATCATCGATAATTTCGTCACTGGATTTTGGTTTTAGTTGGAGTCTGGGAGGATCAGGACAAGGAATAGCGGGCGTACATAAGAGCGTAGCAGATCCAATCACTCGACACCAAATGTGTGTCCTGAGTCCGACGGATCCGGTCCCGGACTCGGGCGATGTGGTGACATCCACTGGGAGAAAAGGTCACCGTGGCGTTCTTGAACACCAGTATATAGAAACCCGCGGAGCCGGGGATGGACGATGATGGCTTGAGGCTTCGAGAACTCTTAAAGTCGTCTGTTGGAAGCAGGGTTTGAAAAGATATTAGGTAGTAGTTGCGAAACGCCTCAATCTTCTCGCGAGGTTCCCGGGTCGCGATGTCCTCTGCCGTCAGGGGATGGATCGATAATGCCTGGCAGACAGTGCTGACCTCCTCCTCAGTGGCGTCGCAGATGTCAACCCACCACGTATCCCGCTCTGACCCTTTCGTATCAGCAGACAGGGTGGACTGCTCGATGAGCAAACCCTCCCAGGTGGACGAGGTGACGACCTGCTGGGTCCGACAGGAAAAGTGGGAAAACCGGTGGAGTCCCTTGGCGTCCATCTTGTGAATCCAGACTGAGCAGCCACCTCAGGGAGCGAAAGAGCGACAGTAAAAATTATTCACACACAAGCGTATCTAACCACAGTGAAAACGCACAAAGCCAGAGAAGGGCAGGAAAGGCGTACACTCAGCCCATTCTATGATATAAACGCTTGTTGACTGATCGAACAAGCAAAACGTCATAGATCGTCGACACGGTTTTCATCCGTAAACGGCTGGGCCAAGGTAGACAGAGAGCGAGTGACTTTGGATTTAAAGAGAAAGCAGTAAGAAAAAGGACATCCACGTTGCGCAAGGCCAGGGGTCAACTGATATTTCACAAAAGTGCAGCGGCAGCCTTGTAGGGCTGAGGGAGCGGGCCCCTTTCCCCTCCCGAGGAGCCAATAGTGGAGACCCCCAGCAAAGTCTTCCGGCTGCCCTGCCCAGTCACTCTTCGCATCTGGCGCGAATTGACCCAGCCAGCTCTTCTGGTTGGCCAGCTCCCGAGGACCCCGTGGACAACTTTCGGAAAGTCGGAAGGCAGGATTTGGTAGGATTATCGGGTTCAGGCAGCATTTTTACCACAGGCTTTCCTGAATGGGATTAGAGGATTCTATCTAAAGATCCAATGTCTTTGGCGCGGTGCAACGTTTACCCCCGCTGCTGTGGCTCGGACGAGACCCGTTGGGAATGACGATAGCAGGCTGCCACCTTGGCAATGGCGCAAGCAAATGGGATATAACCTTGACATAAGAGCCTTGGCTTGTTTCCCACTTTCAAGGATCATGTCTGAATCGATTTGCTCATCCTTGAAGTTTCAAAACCTTTCCTCAATAGTACCACAAGGACTCTTTGTTCGTTGAGAGAAAAAAACGCCCATCACTAAACGAGATGTCTTCCACCTCCACTCTCATGTAAGCTGCAGCACAATGGTCAACTAAATTCAACTAGCGTGCTGACCAGTTTTAAACAGATCCGCCATAGGGGTCGTGTGGAGATATGCCTGGTTTCTGGCGTTTCGTCCATTGGCCATCCTCGTGCTGACGGGTGCAACCATATCCCTTATTCGATCTGGTGTCTCACTTTGCAAAGATATTCCCTCCATGGCCTATGAGATGTAGGTATCTGCTTGACTTGAGCTTTACGATTTCCGCTAATTCTGCTTATCCCAGATTCATGTGGTTCACCTCCTAAGGGTTTGGGGAGAAGGATGTGTTAATACCTGCATTACGTACTGGAGCGAGGGTATCTTGGCGTTGATTTGTCATAAATGCATTGTTCATTGGTTAAAGCGATTCAATCCTGCATTGCATATGTACATTGTATAATTTTTCTGCCAGCATCTGCTGTTCAGACTATGTGTCACATTTATTGGAGTTCAGTGTCAATTCAAGCTGTGATTGTTTATCAGTACATAAAACCTGTCAAATTGGGCCTTGAAATCTTCCATAATAAATAATTTGAAAATCTCACATGTTCTGCTTTAGCAAGGATTTAAACATATTTGTCAGGTAGATTGAAAGACACCAATGATTCGGATAGTGACTGCCGGGTATGGAGAGGAGGGAATGGAGAGAGCGACCGGATTTGACCAAATCTTGAGAAGGTCACATGACGCAAGTCTATCTCCAAAGATGGATATTCCGAACTCACAGAAAATACTAGACTGTTCCCTGTAGTAGAAAATATGGAAGATTAAGAGACCCGCATGACCACGTCTTTATGGCACATTGCACTATTTACCAGGAATGTATATGACGATTCGTCTATAGACAGAATCTCAGTCTAGGATAGACTTTCGATACATCAAGCCTCATCACATTAGCATTGTACACAATGATTACTTACTGCCATGCAAACCGGTCGCTGGCAGCGAAAACTGGAATTGGGAGAAGCACCCAAATCCATCCAATCAGATGCGATGACTTTCGAATCAAAAGCACGCACAATTCCGACCAATCAGTAATCCCCGGAATTGAATCCGCTTCGCATCTTATAGCCTGAGGCATCAACACAACCTTTCACAGCCCCCCACCACCGTCCAATCCGAGCTGATATCACCAATACCACTGACCACCATCAATTCAACAACAACACAATGGATAGCCTCAACTTCCCCACCCAAGACCGCGCCTTCTTGGAACCCCATCTCCCACCCAAATATGGCAACCCATCATCATCATCATCTCTCCCCTTCACCACCCTCACCTTCGCCACATCCCTCGACTCACAATTAGCTCTTTCCCCGGGCACCCGGACCGTGCTGTCCGGCCCGCAATCCAAAGCCATGACGCACTATCTACGCTCACGCCATGACGCCATTCTCATCGGCGTAGGCACTGCCGTGGCTGACAACCCGGGCCTGAACTGTCGATTGGCAGGGGTAGGCGGATACGGCTCCGAAGGTTTAGCGGGCCAGCCCCGACCAATTATCATCGACCCCTCAGCCAGATGGGAGTTTACGGCGCACTCGAAAATCTTCGAGCTGGCGAGGAATGGGCGGGGCAGGGCTCCGTTCATCATTACGGCTGCGGAGACGGTGCCTTCTGCACCTCAGAGGGAGGTTTTGGAGAGTCATGGGGGGAAGTTTATTGCGTTGCCGGTGGGGGTCGGTTCGGATGGTGCGCATCGGATCGATTGGACTGCGTTGTTGGAGTGTCTTGTGCGTGAGGGGTTACGGAGCGTGATGATTGAGGGGGGCGGGTCTATTATTAACTCGTTGCTTGAGCCGGGGTGTCAGACGCTGGTGGATTCAGTGATTGTTACGATTGCTCCAACTTGGCTGGGGCAGGGAGGTGTGGTGGTTTCGCCAAGGAGGAGGGTTGAAGGGGGTATGGTTGTTCCAGCTTCGAGATTGACCGGGGTCAAATGGTATCCGTTTGGGGAGGATGTGGTGCTTTGTGGGAGGATCAAGGGGTCTGATTAGGGGGGTCTCCGTTCGCCAAAACGCATATTCATTCATGCAGTATAGAAAAGATGGTTCCTGAGTCATGATGCTTCCCTATGAATCAGATTTCCCTGTTGCAGCATATTCACGGTATCCAGTATGTTGTCCATGCAGTTGAAGAGATACCGCCGAATACGCAGTGCTTCATTTCCGTAGATCTGTTCCTCTAGCTTGAGACATAGCCTCTTGTAAGCATCCTTATTCACTGGGAGGCCTCGTACCTCGAAAAAGTTGTTGACAATCCTAAAGTACCAAAAGGTGGTGCTCACGCGAACACCTAATGCTCGCTCAGCTCTGGCCACGGTGCGAGAAGGGCGATAATCAAGAATTATGTAGAGGACCTCCATGGGCAACTTGCACACTATGAGAGGTATCTGCTCTTCCTTTTTCCGGCGAGATAGGTAGAGTCTCTTTAACCAATTGCGTCTTTTACCCTGCATTGCGCCGTAAACTGCACTCGAAACACGCTTTGTGCGGACAAGGATCTAGTGCATTCAGTCTGTTATCAAGGTGTACAAGAGCACACATACTGCCTTTACACAAGCTGAGTCTTACCTTCCGCAAACATCTTATGTTCCCAACGTTTGCATGGACTACCAACCACACGGCGTCTATATCGAAGGGCAGCGATGACAGCAGGCAGATCAGTCTCCGCGACGCGACCCAGCGCATGGTGCGACAGCAGTTCCCAGCAGCGGGCATGAACGGTACAACCTACCCAATCCGCTGGAGACGTTGCCTTCATACCCATACAATACACTTTGGGATCAACGTAGACTCTTTTCCCCTTGACCATGATAGGAACACACAACCTCCAAGTCTCTTGTTCTAATAAGTATGTACCAGAAACTCTATATGTGGACTTCGCTTCCCTATGGATAACTGACATTTATTATCAGCTTCAAACTTCGAAACCACCTTGAGTCATGTAACACTCACTCATCCGTTGCCACATCCACCATCGGTTCGGCACATATTCAATATGCCGTAGCCGTTCTTCTTCTATGCCTTCGGCCTGAGCAACGGCTTTGTAATTTGGATGACGAGGGTAACTTTTGTCCCCCCGTACCCTATACGAGACAGGGCGCATGCCCCAGGAGTCATTGTACTGGAAGCCACATATGTAGCAGCAGCAATAGTTATATCCGCAGAACGGATTCCTGGCTCGAGCATAGTGCTCTTCCCAGTCATCCGCTAGGAACTCCTCCGGAATAGAGCTTATATTGCTCACCTTGTTCCCCATGGTAATTCTTCGTGGTTGAGGAAAGAAGAGATGGAATCAACCAGCGTTTATATATGTACGGTATGCTGCCCCTGACGGCAATGATGACAAAAAGGCGGGAATTTATTTCCGGGCAAACTAAATGAGTAGGCCTCCATCTTTCCCTTACACTGTGACTTGTTGGATTTGGGAGCATTTCGCTGGCTACACTGGGGAGAGAGCGGCTCCATGAACCTAGTTCGTCGGCTTCAGGGCGAACCAGTCGTTAGTCAGATTGTAGTTGAGTAATGTGACCGCCATCGTGACTCCATTTCATTACTAAACCCCGCTTATTAGGTACTTCTTCCACGGATATCTGACCGGGACTATGGTTCGTCATGTCTTTAGCTGGATGCCCAGTTCTATCGTCTGCGCAATCCATACCACTGGCCCCTCCCTTGCAACACAAAAAGAGTTGCAAGGGACAAGATGTATCTTCTACCATCAGTCATGATCTTTTGCTTCGTTTTCAGTAATTAATAAAATAACATTATGCGGCACATGTTCTTACAAGAAAGTATATTTGCCGGCCAATCCTAAAAAAAAGTTGTATATAACCACGAAAAACAGCTTGTATGTGCTCTTCGTTCTTGCTGGATGACAATCCATTCCCGCTTCTAGGCCTGGTGTAGCTTACCTATGTGGATTCTTCCTCTCAAAATCTTGCTTCTTTCGAAGCCTTCCGAACTGCGCTTTTCAGTGAAGCTATTCTTTCCGGGGAGTCTGGCGAAAGCAAGCACAGATTCTCACTATGCCAGCATGTGATGTTTAAGTGACTTCACAGAACAGTGAGTTATTTCTAGGCCCTCGGGATATGCCAGCAAATGCCGAAATAGCACAGGTTTGCCAAACATTTTATCATTGTGCTGGCTTGTACTAGTTCAACTATTGGATCTCATAAACATAAACATAATATTCCCAAAGACATTCATCACACAAAATAGTATTATAGATCGGCATATCCCAAGTCCTCAGTAATATTACGACAAAGATTTGATCGTGGAGCCTTTATAAGGTGCTCTGATTCTATGGATAATTATAAGCCCCTTTATATATCGTCACAGACCCATATACACAACGACATCCAATAGGCCCGCATTCAATTGACTACCGCGATGCCTGATTTTCAGGATGTCGAAGATGTCTGGCATGAGATATGCGAGTATCTCGAGACCAGAGACCTCTTCAATATTTGCTTGACATCCCGCACTATCAATCATGTTGGCACTCGCTATCTCTATCGAAAGATCAAGTGGGATTGGAAGGGAAAGAAGTCTCGATACCGAATTATGTCGCTGTGGACAGCCCTTGTCCAAGATAAGGACAAACGCAGCCGCCTGTGTGGCTCTGTCCGGGAGGTGCATTTACTGGGGAGCACTCCTCCCAAGGATACTCGGATCGTTGAATGCCCCGAGATCCAAGAGGGTAACCCTAGCTCACTCTCTATCATCAGAAGTGATAAGGTGCCCTTTTACCAGGAGATCGACTATCTCAGAGATGTTGTGAGTAGCGTCGTTGAAAGCCCGAAGGGCCGTTTAGCATGGCTCGAGTCCATTGCAGCGCGAAACGTCTATGCTTTGGTGGCCCTCCTCCTACCTTTACTCCATAACCTGAGGTCTCTCAAGCTCGATTACACCTTCGCTGTCAATGGCGGATATCCTGGACAAATGATTGAATCTCTTACCTCTGGTAAAGAGATACATTCCGCAGAGTTGCAGAATAACTTTGAGCACCTCGAAGTCTTCGATTATGGAACAAATGCACTGCACAACAATCTGCCGCATTCGTGCGATAATACACATATTCGGATGCGTTATTCATCACAATTGATCCCGATATTCCAGTTACAGCAGGTCAAGCACCTTAAGGTCTGGCTACGTAGCCGGCACGGCCTTCTTCTCGCGCGGATTCCAGATGTTCAGATGAACCACTGGGCACTCGAAACCCTTGTTTTAGACCATATTTCAGTAATGGACTGCGCGCTATTCAAGGTCTTCAAAAGAACGAACAAGCTTCGCAGCCTTCACCTTGGTATGAACGCCGAAGAGAAAGATTTCTGGTATGTTGGTATACCCTCTGCAGATGATAGCAAATACATCTGGAACGGACTGAGAGCATTGTGTGGTTGTCTGGAGCACCTGTCGATCAGTTTCTCTATCACACCAAGAAGTCGGGAGTATCGCATTGACACCATAATGTGGGGCCCTCTTTTCAGACATATGACGGCTGGATTCTTTCAGGATTTTACTCGGCTCAAGACACTTGAATTGCCGATCCAGATGCTTAATGGATTCAGGGATATAATGGAGGTTGGTATACAGCAAGATTTGCCAGTAACACTGGAAAAGCTTGGCCTGCGGTGGGACTTCCGTGACGTAGAAAGCTACGATGTGCCGACAGCTACAGTGCGCATTCTCTGGGTATTGACGGAATTCCTTCGGTTGCCGGACCGTCATCAACGGGTGCCTCTATTGCAGGAGGTGATTATCCGTCTATTTATCGGCGAGGATGGGCTTAGTAGGACAGTGGTAGATTGTGACGACCTGATTGAGCAATTCAACATGTATGTGAGAGTTCGCGCTGACCATATGCGACTAGGACTGTGGACGAACGGACCTTGATGCTCAACGACGTATCACTGGACATACGCGGGATTATGCCAAACCATCGACGACAATCCTACCCAAGCTCAACTCATTATTCTCTCTTGTTACCAGACCGCCAGACATAAGGAGGAAAAGTATGCTTCATTTATATACTTGAATTGCTACACGAAAGTAACATGCAAAATGACATAGCCTCAGCCCTACGTAAGATATACCTATCATGCTGTGATACAGATGCAGCATTATCATGATCTAAAAAACATGAACTGTCAATCAAACTACTGCTTTATCAATTCAGAATGAAGCTTTGGCACGACAGCACTATTAAGTAAATCTTTGTGTCGCATTACAAAGTCCCCAGTAAACGCCGTCTCAGTAGTGGTTCTATCAGTTAGAATCATCGCATCATCTGCCGTCCGATCATCAGCTTATTGCCGCAGACCCAATATATATTTTCAAAATCTTTTTCCTAACACCTCGGCTATTTACTACTACTAACCAAACCCCCATCAAACAATGGAATAAACTCAGAGACCCTCCAAATACCGATATTGCACGTGCCTTCACCCGCAGCCTCGTATCTCACTCAGCCAGTCAGCATAGCCACATCATGCATTCCAAACCATGCAAGCACGAGATGAGGCGGAGTAATCCGTATGACTTTGCCCATCACGCCCATCAGCAGCCTTGTGTAACTTGAAAAAGGCTGAGGCTCAACCTGGTATATATAATATGATGAACCCCCTCTCTGCTCCATCTCCCATGCTACAATACAATCTTTATCCTTTTATACACTAAGAATCTGAAAACCATATATAAAATTCAAGATAGACAAGGCATTTTCCGACCCAACAAACTCCACATTCCACATCACCCCACATTGATATACCGAACCCATAACATAAATACCACCAACTATCTCACCCAAAATCCCTGCAAAATCCAAGACAATGTGCTTCACCTCATATTCTGACGAACCCGTTTCCCCGGCCCGTCCTCGACCCACATCCACCAACGGTACTACTTCTCGACCTGGTCAGGGAACAGCCTGGCCCAACCCTTCAAGAACAAGAAGGAGACGAGGCCGACGATACTATGGAGGAGGCTATGTTCCTGGCGCAGCTTGTGGCGGAGGGGGAGGTGGGGCAGGCTGTGGTGGTGGTGGAGGAGGAGGAGGAGGAGGAGGAGGCTGCTGAGGAGGAAGAGATGATGGTGGAGGGGGAAGCTGAAGATGAGTTTTGATGATGTTGTTCATTTTGGTTGGGTTGTTGTTCTTCTGGTCCGGTGGGTTTGGGGGAGGTTTTAAGGATGGGGGTGGGAAGGATAGATGTTTGACTAGATTGTTTACAGACGCATAGGGCTTAATTGATTTGCTGATTTGCTGATTTGCCTCTGGTATCCGGATAAGATACAATATACGAAGTGTGAAATTTGGTCTATATTGCCCTGATCGGACTTTGAATGAACTATCGCAAAAGGAATAGATGGATTAGTGATGAGTTTTCCATCGAGTAGGCGTCGACAGACCTAAATCCGCAGAGACGATGGATCTCTGTGTATCACATATTCTGATCAGATGTAGCCTGGCATGATTGGAGCGTAAATATTCGATGTCATTGAGACAGATGAGCAAAAAGCCGTCTCGGAATTCGGAAGGAGAACACTCTGAGCCCCATCAGCAGCCATAACACACAGACAAAACCCCACTCGCTAGCAAAATCTCTTCTCGAATACTTCGATCATTAAACATACAATAAATATAATAACTTATTCCTTACCGAAAGCCATCAATAATATTACCCAGCGGCATGCTCGGAATAGGTGCAAAATCCGACAAACACCGCCGCCATACTCGGAACATCCGTCAACACCGAATTCAACCAGTGTCACGCTTATCCAGCACACCATTACGCACGAGGAGCAATCTACAAGGACCCTGAAAATATTAAGTGATCCCTGCCGTGTTTAGAGGATCAAGTTGATAGCTTGCAATTGGACTAAACATGCAGATCAGACGCCCTTCCTCTGACATACCGGAACAGCCTCGGAATCTATTCCGGCGCCAACCCCACCGGCCTCGGCTTATCGATAAAAGAAATCCAGATCCTCATTCCTGCCTCCTCCGAACTCTCCGCTGAATTTCACTTTATTTTTCCTCATCCACCTCCCCAATCCCCCTCTAAAATCACCTCAGGGACATTAATTTCTTTCCAATGGACCGCGAACAGTTCCGGGAGGCCGCCCACTCGGCCATTGACGACAGTTAGTCCCTGTTCCAATTCCTGCACCCCGCACTTCTCCAAACCCCGCCCGCATTGCCACACAAACACACTCACACAGACACACAACTAACCAACCCCCCAAAAAACAGTAATTAACTACTTCGATGACCTCCCAAACCAGCGCGTTGTCCCCACCATCGAACCAGGCTACCTTCGTCCCCTAATCCCGACCTCACCCCCCGAGAATCCCGAACCATGGAGCGCCATTCAATCCGACATCGAAACCAAGATCAAGCCGGGCATCACCCACTGGCAATCCCCCAACTTCATGGCCTTCTTCCCCGCAGGTGTCACCTACCCCAGTATTCTGGGCGAAATGTACAGCGCAGCATTCACAGCGCCTGCGTTCAACTGGCTCTGCTCCCCGGCGTGCACGGAACTCGAGACCATCGTGATGGATTGGCTCGCTCAGGCCCTTGCATTGCCGGAATGTTTCCTCAGCACGTCGGAGAACCGCGGAGGGGGCGTAATTCAGGTTACGGCAAGTGATACGGTCGCGACGATGATGATTGCTGCAAGGGAGAGACGGGTGACTGAGATGGTGGTGAGTGAGGGGTTCAAGCCTGATACAGTGGAGTATGAGGATCGGATGATGGAGTTGAGGAGTCGGTTGGTGGCTTTGGCGAGTAACCAGGCGCATAGCAGTACGGCGAAGGGGGCGTTGTTGGCGGGAACGAGGTTCAGGAGTGTTGAGGCGAGGTTGGAAGATAACTTGGAGATGACCGGGGAGAGGTTGAGAACTGTTTTGGAGGGGTTGGATCGTGATAAGCTGACGCCTTATTTTATTACCTTGGGATTGGGGACGACGAATTCGTGTGCCGTTGATCGGTTCAGGGAGATCAAGGCTGTGTTGGCCGAGAAGGAACATTGGAAGAGGATTTGGGTCCATATTGATGCTGCTTATGCGGGTGCGGCGCTGGTCGCGGATGAGTGGCAGTATATTTCGAAGGAGTTTGCCGAGGGCGTCGACAGCTTTAACATGAATATGCATAAGTGGCTGTTGGTTAACTTTGATGCTAGGTTAGTCCCGGGCGTCCAACACACATTTCGTTTCTGGATACTGACAACTGATATAGCTGCCTCTTCATCCGCAACCGCGAAGACCTCACCAACGCCCTCGACATTACCCCCGCCTACTTGCGTAACCACTACTCCGATTCCGGCAAAGTGACCGACTACCGCAACTGGAGCATGTCCCTGGGCCGCCGATTCCGCGCCCTAAAAATCTGGTTCGTCATGCGCAGCTACGGTCTCACCGGTATGAAGGACTACATCCGCAAATCTATCGGATTGGGCGAGACCTTTGCAGGTCTGGTGCGCGGGCGCGCCGACCTGTTTGATATTATCACCACGCCTGCATTCGGGTTGACTGTGTTCCGCATCAAGAGTCCCAAGTCAGGGACGACGATGGTGGAAGCTGACAATGGGGTCCTTGTTGCGCAGCCGGATGAGGCGGCGAATGAGCTCACGAAGGAGGTGTATGAGCTGGTGAACTCACGGGGAGAGATCTTTATTACATCGACGGTTGTTTGTGGGGTTTATGCCATTCGGGTTGTGAGTACGAATCCGGCGGCCGAGGAGAAGTATGTGAAGCGGGCATTTGAGATTTTGGTGGAGACGGCGGAGGAGATCATTAAGCGGGGGTAGATGTTAGATACCATGTGTGAGATACTGTAGATATTTGGCATCTAGCTTATAGATATGTTATACGATATTGCATTCGTGTCGTCCTTTGCTAGTTGTGTGTGAGATAGCTTTCCCGAATAGTGACCGTTCAGCTTACTGGCAGCATCCGAGGTATTGCGGAGCAAAAGAACAACAGCATAGTTCAGATAACAGCATTCATGTATAACAATGTTAATCAACTCATATCAAGCGGATATTTCCATCCTATCCCGTACAACAAAGAGCGATATCTATTATATCAAAGTTATTGTAAGCCTCCAAGAAGCCACAAAGCAAACAAACTGGTCTCCTAACCTTCTTCCGAACACAGTAGAGAAACAATGATCCTTTGTTCCCCTTCCAGTAACGCTTTACCTCCTACGATGCGCAGTAACGCAAACGGTACATCCCAGGTGATGTATTCAAGTAAAGTTCAAATACGAATGGCAACAAAGACAAGGAGGCGTGCTCTGAAGTAACCAACAATACCCTCGAAGGAGATATATTGCTCATGCTTGACCCTCTCAAGTACCCTTCTAGAGGCTACCTCGCTATCACTGCCATTTGAATCCAATAAACGACAGAACAGGCTTCTGCCACGTGCCCTGCCTCGCATGGATAAACCTACGGGAGTGGCATCTTCTCAAATGGACAAACCCCGCTTGGGGGGCAAGATGAACCTACCTGCAGGCGGTGCTACTACTGCGCCTGTCAGAGATGTCTCCAACAAGAAAAAGCGTGCTCTAGAAGAGGACAGCGACAGCGAAAACATTGATGATGGTAAGCGAACTTGCATCCATCTAATCGATGAAGCGATGAAGGACTTGGAGTTAGGTTTCGAGAAGGATTCAGAAGACGACTACGAATCTGATAGCAAGACAGAATCAGACAGTGACGGGGGCAGCTCTAATGACGAAGATAGAGGTAACTCCAGCACTGAAGAGACAACTGTCATTGATGAAGACAGCTCTAATGACGAAGATGGAGGTGACTCCAGCACTGAAGAGACAACTGTCAGTGATGAAGACAGCTCTAATGACGAAGGGTCAGATCTCGGTGGTCGAGATGTTACAATGGACGAAATCATGGATTTCAATAGTGAGGAGAGCACAAGCGACGAGACAATGGATACCAGTGATGAGGACAGCTCACGCGACGAAGCATCGGATTGGAGTGTTGGAAGTGGCTCAAGCGATGAGGAGGAATATATGGATGTCAGTGATGCAGAGAGTTGGAGTTCCGAACATTGGAATGATAGTGATCAAAGCGATGATGAGGACTATACATTTGAACGACCGGAAGCTTGGAAATGGAGCAAAGACAACAACATCAACAACAATAAGGATGGTGACGAGGAGGACGGTGATAGGCTAATGATTCAGCTTACATATCCCAATCATACCCACAAGATCTGCGATGACACATCTTCAGAGGATGAGGACGGAGATGCACTTATCCAAGAAGAGGTAGATGACGCATCTTCAGAGGATGAGGTCGAGACTGAAGACGAGAACAAGTCGGGCTGCGCTGATGGTGACTCCTCTACCGCATTCCCCGCATGTGAGTTTCTCGACAAACACGCCGACAAACCAGGCTACATCTATGATATGACATCACATGGGAAGAACATCCTCATCCTAATCACGACATCTAGTCCCCCAACTCTCATCCGTGCCTCCACAAGGGATCTGATCATGGGATCCAGTGTCTTTGCTAAAGTATTTGGCTACAATGAAGAGATTCGAGTGTCTGGGAAGATATTCTCAAGCTGGCGGAAGATCCAAAAAGTCACAGGGTGTCACCGAGCCGAATTCATTTGAAGATATGCGAGTTGGTGGAAAGCTTCGAGAAGCTTGTTAAGGAAACGGCACCTGGGTGCCCTGTTCGACCACGTGAGACTTTACTTGCCTGCGAGAAAGAGATGCGGAGATGCCAGGGCATTAACTGTGATGGGCAGAACACCCGGAAGACTGATATATGCCGGGCTGTGACTCGTTATAGACGGGGGTTTAACTTCAAGGAGCTGTCCTGGCCTTGTCCGGATTGGGTGGGTTTAATGGCGGACAGAGAGCCGCTCAAGGGGTGGATGCATTGGGATTAGAGGTAGAATATTACGTTACCCATCGGCCACAGAATATCAAGAATGGAAAGAAGGGTTCGGGCTCTGTTTAGGTTCAGGTTCGTCTAGAGTGAATCCACTCGGGGAATTTCCCCGCACTTACGCCATAAATGCATTATTAATGCAACAGTCACACACCAGAAATCAGTCGTAGCAGCAACAACTAGTACCTCTTATCTTCATCTTCATCTTCCAACATACCAGCACTAGTGTAACTAACTCATCTGCACCTCCTCCGTAGCCATGCCCCTCGCCAGGGCAACCTTCGAAGACATCATCCTCGCTGAATCCCCAACCTGGGAGACCGTCGAAGGAAACATCTACGTAAGCCCCATCATATGTCAAAACAACCCTATCACTGACCACAACCTCCCAGTTTCCTCCCACAGCAATCAAAGACAAATCGCTCTTCGTTCCCATTGACAAGGTAACATTTTGTCCTTGGAAGGGAGACGCGTCATATTACTCTATTGTGGTTGGACGTGAGTATCTCCCTCGACCTCCTGTTTCGTTCAGACTGCTCCCTACGGGAGACAAAATCATCGTAATCATTGCTAACAATATGATATCTAGCAACAACAATCCCCGGTGGAGCGTGGTATTATCCCAACCCATATGATGCTGCCAGCAATATCAAGGATCACGTGGCATTTTGTATGTGTTTCCTTTTGTTTGCTTCTAAGCTGGGTGAGCTAACGGTGCATGGATTCAGACACAACAGGCAGCATCAAAGTGAGCGTGGAATGAATGGATAGTCGAGATTGGTGTTCTGAGTGGCATGTCTGTAATGAAGGTTGATGATTGATCCAGAAGTACTAATTTGAATAACTCTACCTCTTGACATTCCAATACACTGCAGGCGCGGGTTATGCTGGTTTCCTTAGCTACATTAGTGCCGTATTGTTATATATACTAGCACTGTGCAATCTGATTCTCTCTGCAACTAGTGATTGAAAAATATATCGAGCCCGAATAGTGAGTCGTCTAATCCAAGTGGCAACAGCTGGCCACTAGCATGCTAGTATTAAAGAGCAAGCACTTCCCACTCACTGCTCACTCTCCTTCACAAGCCCATACTTCTTCTTCAAATGCTGAATCGCCGCCTCCGCCAACCGCCCTATCTTCCCGATCTTCGTAACCTCTACCATACTAATATCCCAACTGAGATCCCCTCGCAACCCGCGCCGAATCTCCACCGCCATGAGGGAGTCAATTGGCATCTCTGCAGCCTCCTCCGCCGACATCTCAGCTGCCCCCGGCATATGCCGCGCCAGGTGCTTGCTCAACTCGTGGGATAAATTATTCGCTGCGTCGGAATTATTCAGCATGGCCGGGTCCTGTTCGACCCTGCGTAAAATTTCCTTAAGTGCCGTCCCGCCAACCGTTGTGCTCTGTTCTTTTGTCTCGATATTGGTGTAGAGGGAGAACCGCGGGTCAGAAGGCGTCCATACTGCCCGAACGGAGGGGTCGTTGGTTGAGCGGGTGTTTCCGAGTCCAATAATACAGGCATCTGAAGTACTACTCTGACTGATAGACTTTATGTGAGAGGTGGTGAGCGCCGAAGGGGACGGGGAATGGGATTGGTGGATTGCCAGCTCCAACCCTTCCAGGAGCTCGTCCTCCCCGACGAGCCGCACAGAAGTCGCTTGCATTGCCTGCAGCAGCTTGGTATTACGACTAACCAGACCACAGTCCTCGACTGGGCCCAGGGCAAGGGTGGCCGAAGGAAGCCCCAGGTGACGGCGATAGCGCGTAAAGCTGTCGAGGAACGTGTTGGCGGCGGCGTAGCTCGCCTGCCCATGGTTGCCGCAGATGCCGGCAATTGAACTAAAGACAATGAAGAAGTCAAGCGGCTGATCCGAGGCTGCGTGATGGAGATTCCAGGTGCCCTGGACCTTCGTGGCAAGGCAGGTGGTCCAGTCATCATAAGTTGTATTGGCAAATCTCTGGTCTCTTGAGATTGCAGACATTTGGAGGATTCCAGCCAGTGGTTGAGGACATTTGGAAATCGCCGACTGAACATCGGCAGCGGCGGCGACAATCCCTGCCACGCAGATGACCTGGCAGCCCTGCTCCTCCAAGTCGAGGATGAAGTCCCGATCGGCATTGGACTTACCAGCAGAACGAGACAAAATCACTAGATGTCGTGCACCACGCTGCATCATCCACAAGCACACAGAGCGTCCCACCCCGCCCAGGCCACCAACAAGAAGATATGACTTGTTGGGCGAAAAGCTGACGGGAGGCACAGAGGTTGGGGCCAACTCCATCGGATCTGAAGGCATTCGGATTAAGATCTTACCCATGTGGCTTCCCTGCTACATATATCGAAAGGCATCGGTGACCTTTGCGGCCTCAAAGATTTTAACGGGGCGGAGAGGCTTGATGTGGCCACCCTCGTACCACTCCCGAAATAGCTGCAACAGCCTGCAGAGATCCAGTTAGACAAACACCCTCCAAGCTCTCTCTGTCGGGCCGTGCATGCATGCATACATCTACGCATACTGCACAGACCGGGGGGAGAAGGCGACTTACAAGTCATAGTCCCGAGGTTTTTCCTTGCCCATTTGAAAGAGATCGAAGCCGATATAAGACCGATTCTGGATAAACGGGGCCATGGCTAACTGACCGTTAGCCAGATAGTCCCGCTTCCCGACCTCGATGAACCGCCCGTACGGTGCCACACATTCCCACGAGGTATGCAGCAGCTTCCCGGACAGCGAGTTGAGCACTATATCTGCCCCGCGGGCTTGGGTCTCCGCCATCAGACCGGGGAGGAAGTCGGTGTTCCGAGAGCTAAAGATGTGACTGCGTGGAATGCCAAATGTCTTAACCAGATATTCCACCTTTTCGTCGCTTCCCACCGTCGCGAATATCTGCCGGCCACGGCGGCACATGGTCAGCCAAGCCATTTAAACATATTATGGCATGGTAAACAGTGTCCAAAGCCTTACCTTTGCACCCATCACTTTGCAAACCTGGATGGCCGCCAGACTCAGTCCACCACAGGCCGAATGAATCAGTACCGACTGCCGTGTAGAGCACACATGTCAGTTGATGCTCACAAAACGATTGAAAATATCCCCCGGCGCACTTACATTGCCATTCTGGAGCCGCGCGAGGTGACAGAGGCAGAAGATGGCGGTCATGTAAACGGACCCCACGGTTGCCGCATCATCCATTGGTGTATTTGCGGGGAGCTTGCGGCAAGCTGTGGCCGAAAGGACTACGCGTGTCCGAAATAGTCTCCAAGCTAGCATCACGACATGGTCACCGGCCTGCAGATCCTTGACGTCGGACGCCACACGCCGGACGACTCCAGTTCCTTCGAGACCGAGCTCGTCTGCACTTCCAAAGACACCCATTCCCACTAACACGTCCTGTGTACATCGGCGTCAGTGGTTACTCATTCACTTCAGCAGGTAGGAAAATTTATATAGCCGAAGCGATGGGGTGAGAAAAGGGGCGGAATACCCTGAAGTTCAAGCCCACGTAATGCACATCAACTTCAACTTGGCCTGTCTCCAATTCTCCTTGATGACCATCCACTGGTACCCAATGAGCTGTGTCGATCAGGCCAACTGGGCTGACATCCAGCTTGCGTGGGCATGGTGTCTCTGGTCGCGGGGTAATTTGCTTCGGATGTATCCAATGGCATCGACCGACGTGTATGACCCCCTCGAAGGAGAATTCCGAGTCAGCCGGCCTTGCATCGGGACACTGTCGTGTACGCTGTAGCTTGTTAAACACTTGGAACAGAGCTCCAGCAGCCGGCTGTGTATAACTGTCCGTCTCGAAGAGAGAGATTCCGGTGGCCGTTTCATGTCGAAGCGTACGTGTCAGGCCGAAGATCAGCCCGTATCTGGGGTCGGCACAGGCCATCTGCGAAGTATTAGTCACCCAGATTAGGTGGGAGTTGTCAGCTGTCATCAAGGAGGATTGAAGGGCGAGATAGCGTTCTTCCGAGAGATTATTCAGATAAGGACCATCCAGGTCCAGAAGAGAGATAATCCACTGATCTTTTGGGGGAGTGTCGTGCAGGGTTGTCCAATTTACGACGTGACCCCCTTGGCGGAAGCGGGATGCCACCTCGCTTGCCCATGATCCGGGAGAGTCCGTAGTCAGGATAGTCACCGTGTCATAGGTTTCGGCCTCAGGCGGTGGGTGAGGCACGCGAGAGAGCATGGTAAAGTAGGTCTGATGAGGGTGTGGCACATCGTAAGCCATCACTTCGCTGCCGATGAAACCGGCATTGCGGAGTTCGATATCCCATCTATCTGGCGAAAGATAAGGTATACTGTATGCCCTGAAGTCTTCCACTGATGACCAATTGCTGAGAGCTCCCTGTTTCAACGTGAGTAGAAAGATAAACAAAAATGCAACGGACCTGAAGGGCTCGGTTCAACTTACCGTTAAATACTCGGTGATCAAAGTTGTCTCTGTTGCATACTTTGTGTCTTAGAAAACAATACCAGTTAGAAGGTGCTGCAAGGCATACCAGGGTAAATCTCATGCAGTAACAGTCGACCATTCGGGGCTAGAAGTTGCCTTATATGCTCGACAGCAGTCGCAATCCGCGCGGTTCCATGTGCAACTGCTTGCCACTCAGTTAACTGGGCTTGACTATCCCAGACAAAGGAAACCGACATTAGAAGCGATAATCAGGTCATAACTCTGCAGATTGCATCCTTGTGCCTCGAGATCACCGGAAATATCGAGCAAGGCATATTGTAAGCCTTCCTGATTCTGAAACTTCTGCTGGAGGGCTGTGAGGGTCGCTTCACATTCCTCTGTGACAGTGTACTGGGAACACTGTGGTACGCCCTCAGGGGACCGAAGGTAACGCAGCACCGCTTCTGTAGCACTCCCGGTGCAAGATCCAATCTTCAGTACTCTAGTAGTTGGGTTTGAATGATCCAAAAGTGACAGAAATCGACTCCAATTACATTGTGATTGTATCCATTTATTGTATCTGTCGAGCCGACCCTCCACCTCGAGAACATCGAGTGACGAAACCTCCCCCAAGACAATACGCTCGCAATTCGCCTTTATCTTACCGACGCATTCAAACAAGATCGATCGGTCATCATTTTTGTCATTTTCCACATATGCGGATATTATTTTGCAGATCGACTCCTGCCGCGACGGGCCGCTATCCTCCACCATTGAGTCGGGTTGAACAGGCCCATCTCGTTGATGCAGTCTACTGGCCTCAGTGGTAACCCATTGTTTCCACTTGCTCAGATGATCGTCCACAGCGGTGACTTCACCCAAACGGTCAGATATCCGCAATATACCGGAATTGACGACCCGAAGAGACGGCTGCCTTCGAAAACTACCTGAATGACGTCTTCCAGAATGTCAACAAGAATTGCGGGGATCGCCTGGGCGATGATCACCTTTGCAACAATTCTCCACAAACGGCGGCACTGAAGCAATGCGTTGACGATAACGCCAAATGGGCTGCGACGACAGCGGTCCTGCCGCTGGTGGGTTATTTATCGGAAGACCGGTGCGAGCAGGTATCGGATTACTTCAAAAGTGAGCAGCTGTGGAACGAGGATTTGCCGAATAGGGCTCAGGTTTATGTCCAGAGTTGTTAGTAGCCGTAGGCTTTGGAAGAGAAGAGGAGGAGGAGGAGGAGGAGGAGGAGGAGGAGGAGGAGGAGCAATAAGGGCTTTTAGGGTTAAAGGACGAAGATGTCACCTAGATAATATTAGGCGAGAGACAAACCCATGCACCGGATAACAGAGAGAAACAGAGTTTAGATAGCCAAATACCATCGGCATAAATTCAGTGTTGGCCGATCAGCCCCCGCTTGCCGCAGCCCATTACTGAAAGGGAAATCTAGAGTCAGTCTCCCGCCTAGAATTCCGGGTAGGGATGGAAGGTATTCATACCGCCTGAGGGCCAAAGCAAAGAATTTGGCCCCCTCGTCTAGAGATGTATCGATGTCCCACATCGGCATCATGGCAAAGCCAACCAGCGACATAGAGCTGTCCCCGGCAGACCTGGGACTGCCTCGCTTTGTAGAAGCGCATCTAGCAATTGTGGTACGCGCGAAGCCCGAGCCACATGATTGCCAGAGAGCTGCGCAAGAGCTATTGGCCACGTATCCTATGCTGGCGATGCGAATGGACTTTTGGGTATGTCATTGCTTCCCTGACTCTATTATATTCAGCCTTGCTAATGGTCCGGATCTGATGGACCTTGGACTCCAACAGCGCACCAAGCTCCTCCATAGCGATTATCCCGCAGAGATCTATCACAGCCGAACCCTGAAGAAGGACCTCGATGAGGTGCTACCCTGTCAAACAGCGAAGGTGGGACCTCCCGCGGTACAACTCCTCGACACGTGCAGCCTACTCGATTGCCTGAATTTCAACCGAGACATTTGGGACGAGATCTGCGGTGAACAAGTGCTTAGGATTCGTGTGGTATTCCTTAATGATGCGTGGGCTGTCCGCTTCATAATGTCGCATACGCTGGGGGATATACGAGGTCGGACCCTCTTTCTGCTCCTCGTTTTCGATTTACCACGCTGTGGCAGTGCCCGTGGGTCTAAACTCCTTATTGTCTAATTCGATGTGCCATACAGCTATGCATTGGATTGCCGATTCTTTCTTCGCCTTCCTGTCCGGACGTGAAGTCCAGACTGTCTCGCCGATTCGCTCCATCTTGACCTTCAAATCCGATATTATCGATAGCTGGAATGCCCTGACCGCGTCAGGCACGACGCACTCAGTAGCCGAAGACCATCAACATGAGATAGTGGCTGGCTGGCTGCCGACAATCTTGTCCGGGGCGCGACAGATCCTCTGGTACGCCTACGAAGCCAGCTCGCCTCGACGTCAGGTGAACAAAAGCCTATTCATCCCGCAATGCATCATCGACCATTGGGTGCAGGGGGCGCGTCGAGAAGGTATACAAGTGACTGAGCATGATCTGCTTATGGGATTTATCTACGAGGTATGTATATGCTATAGGCAAACGCCATCTTCCATTTATGCTGACGAGCGAAGGCCACATATCGAGCCCTCTCCGCACCACCTCACTTCACTTTCCTTATGAATTTCCACCAGCAGCTCCATTCACCCGGTCCCCTGGGGAACACCTGGTTTCAAATTCCTATTCCTGCTCTGCACAAATCCAAATCTTCTCCTTCCACCCCTTTTCCGAAGGACCACTCATCCACTCTCCTCCCCATGCTCCTCCACCACGCCCAACTCATCCGTGATATCATCGTTAAATGCCGCCATCCGGCCTGTTTCCCTGAAATCTACGAGCAACACCGCCGGCTTGGAACTACCCCCTGGCGGCCCCGCTCTTTTGGCACGCGCAGCCCCCACGTGATGGTATCTTGCTGGACGAAACAGCAGTGGTATGAGCTCGACTGCACAGGAGGGACCCCCCTATTCGTAGACCTTGGAGCGTGTTTCTACCGACTGTTTCAGCTCCTGGGAGTGCAGGGCCCAGATGACTTTGTCGGCACTATCAAATGCCCCGGTGGCAGGAATAGCACCCTGATGGGGGAGCACAAAGGTTATTGGGTTCAGGGAAGGCTGCCGGAGGTTACCTGGGCGACTATGGTTGACATGCTGACGGCGGTTTCTTTCGGGGATGGTGGTGGGCAAAAACAAGGTCTGGGCCAAACATTCGCGAATATTTAGCCAGATGTCTAGCTGTCTCTGAGGTCTACGTTTAGCGGTGAGGATCATTCACCGAATCTCCCTAAAGTATGTACATTTATTTTATTGTATCATGGTACCTCTGCAGAGTAGATTTGTAGTTACCCGAATAGCATGTAACGGAGACAACGGAGAGAAGGTCATACAGAAACATAAAGTACTTACAGCAGTTATATATTTTTATTGCTTAGAGAATATCTTGTGTTTACAGACCTCTGAAGTAATAACTTTTTTTATCCAGACCCGTCGCTAAAATGATACAAGAGCTTCTATTAATTTCCCGTAATTGTACTTCTCTTCATAACGGCGTGAAGTTGCGCGACGTAGACCTTACTTAGAAAGTAAAGGCCAGGACGGCACTCTAAAGTCCGGCTGAGACTGGTAGTTTTTGTACATAAATCATCCTCGAGATAGCTCCGGGTCTGTCAGCTCATTCAACAGTTCCGTCCAGTCTGCAGAATCCAGAGCCAGGTCGTTACCCGTCTCAAGCATCTCGGTCCAGATATCTTCCAGCTGCCTCTCATGAGGTGCATTGTCATTGGTGGCAGCTGGGAGGTGTGGCGGCATGACGTTTGATTCAGCATTGAGAGCTGGGACATGAGCCGGTGCAGAGCCAGGATGAGATCGCGCTCCATCCGCCCCTTGTGAAGTAATAGTGTGATTTTCAGCCTGCTTTCCGGTTCTCCAATGCTTTTGCAACACACCCATCATTGCGTTGATTCCTTCCCTGACCAGGGCAGACGACTCTTGTGCCTTGCTCAGCATGCGGCAGGCATCCAGCACTTCTTCTTTTCGCTTCTCGGCTAGAATATCATCCCAATTGAAGCACACGTCCAGTAATAATATCACAGCAGCAGCGAATACATGATGCATTACGGACCAGACGACAGAGTTCGGTGGGGTGTAGTTCGGTTCGTTTCCATCCATGATTCTTTTAATCTCGAGCACTTTCCGGGCAGACTGCAGGCAGATCACGTGGGAATAGGAATATGCTGGTTCACGAGCTCCTCTGATGAAGAAATCTCGATGCAGACGGCATAAGCGGGAGAAGAAGCCTTGTTGTAGGAGACAGCCTTGCCAGGCAATGGTCGGACGCTCTTCGTAGAGCGAAGCAAACCGTCGTCTGGATGATGGATCCAGGCGGAAGAAGTCAGGAATCTCCGCCACGGCTCGATGGAACTTTTTGTCTAGCTCGAGTATTTTTTCGTAAATTGGCTCTAAGCCATGGAGATGCTCGTAGGATGTTGCATCAACTACCTCCCGGCTCACAGCAGCTAGGGTCAGGCGTTGAAGGAAAAAGGACATGTCTGTTGGTGTGGAGTTTGGCATTGAAACCATGTTGTGGCACATTGCATTATCATCGATATTCAATGGCTGGTTCACGTTCATGTGGTGCGGCTGGATGAGGTACGTCCACTCTTGAGGGCCAGTAAGAAAGCCCAGTAGCCTGCAATTGTTAATCAGCCATGACCATCCATCACTCGAATACCTCTTACCAGTCGAAAGACGTCAGATCCCACCATAGTCGTCTCTTGACTTCAAGATCTATTGCATCGTAATNCTTCCCTCTCTCTCATTCCGAAAGCGCGGGGAGTCGATGCAGTGCAGCATGAGACTCTTCGCTTGGCTGACTATCGCACCATGTACGAAGAGACCGCTCACGGATGGTGGAATGTTCCAGTTAGAGACATTATGCATGACCACCATGGTTGCCTGCAAGCCCACAAGAGTTGGAGACAGAGAGTAGTGGCTTTGAATTAATGCAGCGCCAGTGAGAAAGGCAAACTCTTGGCTGCGCGCTTCTGCATCAGTAGATGCCACCACTGATCGTTGTAGACATAGAGAGCTGGCTAGAATGCCGAAAAGCAGCGCCAAGTGGTTGAGATCCACGGGCGCATTGCTTTCAATACAACGATAAATCCCATTTATCTGGCCCTCGACACGCTTTGGGACGATGATATGGTAGAGATAGTCGACGTAACGATGATAGTATCGAAAGAGATCCAGAGCCTCCGATTTCGCGGGTACAAAGGTGATCAAATTGATCGACGCCGGATTCTCATCGATAGCGGATCGATTCATGTATGGCATTGACAGTAGGGGTCTTGCAGAACCCGTCTCATCGTTTAGGCTTAAGTTTAAGTTGCGCCCTCTTACTGGATCATCCAATCCATCTCGCAGCCATTTTGGGGTTGCTGTTGGTACCCGGTCAGCCATGTGAATGTTCTCCAGCCAGTCCGCTGTGAGCAGCGACTCCCGATTGCACGCCCGCAATGGAGCTGCAGTGGGCTCAATAGGCACGTTATCGGCTCTTGGAGGCACAGTTGGGTTACTGGGAGGGGATGTCCGCTCCACACCAGCTGCTAATAGTGGTTTTTGAACCCTTGCGGTACCTGCAGCTTCTGGCTTTCCATAACGGCATGTCAACCGGCGCGCAGAGCAACTGCTGCATGGCTGCTGGCGATCGCATTTAATCTTCTTGAGCCGACAAGAGTCGCAAGACACGGGGTCCTGCCGCGGAGCGCGTCGGGGGGTATGAGGCAGCTGGAATGCAGCTTTGCGCTTCATGATGAGATGTCTGTCGTCTTGGTAGTAGGTTAACACCGCAGATGATTGTTTGTACGGGTCACGTGAGTATCGGCCTCTATTTCAGCATGCAGTCACTTCACTTCTGTGTTACCAAGATGTAGAGAGCAAATTTCTCCGTTGCTGGATAGCAATGTCGACAGTTCTTCCTTACGGAGGTGTGGGATTGTTGTTCTTGATGGCTAACCGTCTCCGCCCGGAAGCTCCGCGGACAGTCCGAGCCAATGCCATCAAGCATTAAGCTTCATACTATCTACAACACCATGAAACCTTGTCCTCGGAGGGTCCGGGGGGTTATACTGTCAATACATAGCCCTCAAATACATTATATATATGCGCTCAGGGTTCTGTTTTCGATAAACATGTTTCCATCAACCCATAGATCACATCGAGCTGCACTGTACGCTCACTATCTAAGTTCAGCTTCACCTTGTCAAATCTGACTAGCAACCATGGCTCACGCTGAAGATGCTCCTACTGACTCGCCTCCCTCCGAATACACGTAAGTCACCCATCCCAAACCATACACATATCATCAACAACTTCCAGGCCGCGAGCAGTGCAGACCCTCCTGGGCTCATTTTGCGGCATGTTCTGCACTGTTGGCTTCGTGAACTCCTTCGGCCTATTCCTAGAGTACTACAAAAAGGACCAACTATCAGACCAACCCGAATCGACCATCGCATGGATAGCAGCCATCGACATCTTCTTCATTTTTGGTGTATCTGTCGTATCCGGGCCTCTCCTGGACACGATCGGCCCACGAGTCAGTACCCTATACTATCAACATAACACTATACAAACCCCCAGCTAACTGAAAGGTCTAGCTCCTCCTCTGCATCGGCTCCCTCGGCTCCGTCTTCTCAATCATGATGACCTCCCTCTGCAAAGAACTCTACCAATTCATCCTCGCGCAAGGCATCCTCCTCGGCATCTCCCTATCCCTTCTCACCTGTCCCATGATCGCCCTCGTCGGCCAACACATCAAGATCAAGCGCGGCGCAGCAGTCGGCATCGTCATCGGAGGATCCTCTCTCGGTGGCGTCCTCTGGCCGATCATCGTCAACGAACTGCTACAGAAACCTAACATCGGGTTCGGATGGACCATGCGCATCGTCGGGTTTATTATGTTGCCGCTGCTTACAGTGACTTGTTTTTGTTGTCAGCCTGCTGCACCACCGCCATCACCATCACCATCCCAATATCAGCCAGAACCACAATCAGAGAAATCCTCACCCGAACCCCAATCCCCGGATCCCACTAAAGATACAGAAACCCCCCTCCTCCAAAACCGCACCCTCCACCTAACCTGCCTCTCTTTCTTCATCATCTACTTCGGCATGTTCTCGCCCTTTTTCTACGTCTCTAGCTACGGGGTAGCGCGGGGCTTTTCCTCCTCCTTGTCGTTCTACACCATATCCATGCTGAACGGCGCATCCCTCTTCGGGAGGGTCATTCCCGGTATACTAGCGGATAAATACGGACGGTTTAACGTCTGTATCGTCTTTACGATTCTCGCGGGGATAGTTGCCCTCTGTTGGACGAAGGCGACGAGTGTGGCGGGGCTGGTGGTGTTTTCGATAGCGTATGGGTTTTCTTCTGGTGTGAGTATAATTTTCCCTTCCTTGTTTTATGCTCTTGGGGAAAGTGGGAAGAAGATGGCTAATAGTGTGGGTCTGGGATAGGCTATTCTCTCTCTCCAGCAAGCGTGCGCGTTGCAGTTGGCGACGCCGAAGACGGTGGGGTTGGCGGTGGGGGTTGTTATGGGGGCTACGGCTTTGAGGTATGCACATTAGATTTATTTTGAATTGATCTTCTTGGGGAGTAAGGGTGGATTTTGCTAATCATATCTTATCTGGGAGTGTAGTGCTATGGCTGGGATACCTATTTCCGGGGCGCTGGTGCAGAAGTATGGGTTTCTGGCGCTGTCGATATACGCGGGGGTGAGTCTGCTCGTGGGTGGGTTGTTGTTGTGTGTGGCGAGGGGGGCGCAGAGTATGGAGTTGAGGGCTGTTGTTTAGGTTCTTATGCGGGGGAGGGGTGTTTGGTGAGGATGAGGATGTTGGTGGTGTGGTGTTTGTTTCGAAGTAGACTAGGGGGTGATGGGGTTTATGCGTGTGATAACTTATAGATTTATACTTACTGTTTAGATCTGTCGATATTGTATTAGTGCTAGATAATTAGTCCTATTCTAATAAACCAGGCATCTCCACTCATCTCTCACCAAGAACGACCTGTGCAAGACTAACATCCCGTAGGAAGAAGTGTACTCCCCCTCCGCATCCAATTTAAACTACTATGAGCCGCTCCTTGCCCCAATCCTCTCTTCGCAAACCCCCTCCAGATCTCACAGCGATTCTTCCCGCCAGTCAACACAATGTCTGCGTCAAGGATCGCGTCCCTGGCTTGCACGAAGTTCGGATTACATGGTTGCCTTCAGTCCATTAGTCAGGATACCACGGACATTACAAAGGTGAAAGAAGCTATTCTGTGCATCACTTACAGTGCCATCCCATCCACCACCAACTTCATCATCAAGTACTTTCCATCTGTAGGCACCCCGTTTCTAAACACCGGCCTCGACCCATCATTCTTCCCGTACTTGTCGATGAGGTTCCACAAGACCTCGTATAGCATGGTTGCCCAGACAGTTCCGATGGCGTGCACGCCGTTCATGGTATTCACGCTCGTATAGTTCAAAGGGTTCTCAGTAAAGGAGGTAGAATAAGGATAGTCCCGGACACCACATTTATCATTATCTGCCCATGCACCCATAGTGTAAGACGTTGTGCGTGTATCGTTGGGCTTGATTCGGATGGCCGTCGCCATAAAGTCGCCCCAGCCTTCGCCCATGCCACCCGATTCGAGGGCGCTGAGGCATCCGGCGTTGTGGGAGCCGCCGGTGAGACGATTGGATACTGGTTTGTTAGATTAGGACTTCCATCTTCTGGGGAGATGCTTACCACCGTGAGTGTATTCGTGAATTACAATGCCCGCGTCAAAACTTCCATCACGCGACGGAGTAGACTCGATCCAGATGTACATGCGCATACGGCCGGGGATACCATCGGGTGGGGTTGCAAAGTTTGCGTTGCTGAACCCGGAGCCGTCTTGTGCGTTGAGGATCACGTAGTCTTTGTCTCGGCCGCCGTGGGCGCTGTTATTCCATTGGAAGTTGCCAGCGGATTCGGTGAAGCCGAGTGTATAGAGGAGGTCGTGGTAGGCGTTTGCTGTGTAGAAGAGTTGGACGATGGAGGCGTTGATGTATGATCGGGGTGGGGACATGTTTGGGGAGTATGGCCATTGGAAATTCAAGTTGGGGTCGGATGGACGTAGGTTGTAGAGATAGGAGCCACCGCCGGTCGGATTCCAGTGTGCGATGGCATTGTTGCCTCTGGTTGTGGTGTAGTTGTCCCGTCCATCGCTTATCCAGGTGTATGCGGATGCGGATAGGTCCCAGGGGTCGGTGACAATGGTGCGATGTCCTTCTGCTGGATCGTTTGTGCCCCAGGGACTGTTGTCTTAGCTTCGTTATTCGATGGGGAGAGCCACTCACTAAACTTGATATGTCGCGTCTGCGACATAGTCAACCACGCCGTGGACAGTGGTAGTCTCTGCATCAATGTATGTCAGTAGCCAGTGCTCATACATGTCTGTTTCTATCCTCCAGGTGAGCGCCAGAGTCCCTTCTGGCTTGACAAGGTAGACTAGCTTAGCTTTGGGGTCAGATACCGCTCCCACTGCCTCTCTGAATATGTACTCGTTCCGCCCCTCTGCAGCTTCAGTAGAAACATTGTCAATAGTCAGTGGAAGCTGTATAGCGTCCCTTGCTCCTCTAAGTGCAGCCTCCGGACTCAAAACGTTGGTATTGTCCAGATGGCTGCTCGGCAACGCGCCTGTGAAGAACGAATGTCCGAAAGACAAGACCAGTCCATCTTTTCCAATCTGTAACAGTAAGCTTCCTTCCGAACAGAGTAATTGGGGAGCAGACATTAACATTGAAATCCGCATTGTCAATGTCAATACCATGGAGCGTTTGGCGGAAGTATACATGTGCAACTCCATTGTCGCCGACAAAGTGGTCATCGATGAGACGAAAGCTCGCTCCAGGAACAATGTTCTGAACCAGTCGAGCTGCTGTATCGGTATAATGTTCTTCAGCGGACACTGCGACTGATCGATTCGTGTCTACATGGACAGAATTGACGTATTCGGAGTTAGAGGTCAGACGAAGGGAGTCCAAGTCCACGGCTGCTGAAGTTGTATGCAATGAAGCCGCCGGATATGCCAGGATAACCAAAGGCAATGTCCCTATGCTGCATACTAGGCGCAGACCATGCATGTTTGCTCATGCGTGGATGGGATGAAAGATGATTTGGGGTCATTGGCCATCCGCGGAACATTTACTACTATATATACTAGAGTTTGTTCTGGGTGAAAGAGGGACTACTAATCGATACAGCCATACCTACCCCTATCCCTCCTGGTTCGCCCTTAGGATATTCCCTATCAAAGCTATTGTCCGACGTTGCATGGCTGTCCAACATTGTCGAAGTACAACCTCTCCAACCTGCCAGCTCTCATTGGCCTAATAATGGCTGACCTCCCGGGTTGTCTCACAAGCTGGCCTGCCGAGTGCTAGGGGACCCCATAGAGGAGGCGTTTTACCATCGATAGTAAATCAAATACGGACCCGTCATACTATGAAAATGCTGGTAGCACGCGTTCGACGGAAGATCGTCCCGTCGTAAGACAAGGCAGGCTTCCCATAATTCGCCGGCACTAGTTGGTCACTTTATACTAACGGAATCACCAAGTTCCATGCAGATTACCAGCCATTGTTTCCGGACAGAGGCAGAGTGCTCCATAGATGAATCGCATGGACCGAAATATGGCTTGTAAAGCAGCGATTCAGCAAGGAGATGTCGCAGCGCCTGCTGAAATCGAAGGGTATTCATTGTTTAAATATATGCTTGCAGTATGTGAACTATATCTTAGCGGACTGCTCCAGTTTCCGCGCCCGATCCTTTGCAATATCGCACATTGCCTTTAAAGGAGCGAACTGTCAGCACTGCTCCGTGTTTGGGTAGACAGCCATCTCACCTGTATAATCTCCTCCACCTCACGATCGGCATTGCCCCGGTCAATCCTCTCACGCATCTCCTCCATGATGACATCCCGGTTGCGACCGTTTACAAAAGTACTATGCCAGGGAGATATGTCAGACCAACACAAGTCGTTGGGTATACTGAGAGAACATACACAAACCGCAAGCCAGGGAACTTTTGCTCGTACTCAGCATTCATACGTTTCAGCTTCTCCGCTTGTTCCTCTGCTCCGGTATTCAGATTCGCTTGTTCCTTCTTGCTCAGTTCGCTCAAGTGCTCTGTCGGAGCTCCCTTGGGCTGTCCCAGGCGGGGATGCGATCCCAGAATCCCCACTAGAATATCGCGGTCCTTGGACGAGTTGGCAGCAGACAGAGCAGACATGCGACCGCCAACAGCATCAATCAGGGTGGCGTAGGAGGAGAATGTCTGGTTTGCGAGAACGGGGGCCATGAGAGTATGCAGCTCAGGCGACGACTCGAACAGGGTATCCAGGACGCGGAATTGCTGCTCCTGCGGGAGTGATGTAATTGACGATGGTGAGGGGAGATCGGAGGACATGATGAGCGGGGAGTCGTGGAAGGAGGATAATTGACAAAAAATTACGAGCTGAAGGTAATATTTCGAGCAGAAGTATCTTGGTCGATTTTCGTTGGAAAAAACCACACGGTGATAGTTACACTGGGAGGTTGATGGATATATGCTGCTTCAATGAGTCCCCGCATCGGCAGCCTCCGAGTGATGGAGAGCCAGCGGGACGGAGACCTCCAGATGCGGACAGTTCATTCACCCCCATCATATTATGGGTGAGATCTATCTCAATGGCAACGAGGGGCCGGCTTTATTCACAACCATTTGAACTGAGACTAAAGGTGCACGGACAAGAGCTTCAATGAGCTTGAGCTTCTCATCAGCATCCGTTAACTAGAATTGCATTGCAGGCTGACGACACGGTCGGACATCCTTAGAATCTCCGCGGTGTTCTAGACCCCGACCTTCCGAACTCCCTAGCGAGGGATGGAGAATCTGGGGGGGAGGAAGAGGGGAGGAAACGATGACAAGAATCGGATTGACCATCGATAGTCGCAATGTAAGGTAGGATAAAGTTTGGGTGGGCAACCAGATAAGACTCCATCAGGGAGAATTTCTCAGCGATAGATATTGGGGCCTGGATAATTAGCAGTTGACGATCGCATGCAATCCTGACCGATTTTGAGCCTAGCGGGTGTAACGTGTAATCATCACCATACCGGCGTGTACGACCGCTGTATTTAGAATGGCAATATTACACCACGAGTAAGTAAGTAGTACTCCGTAGTTATAGCAAGGATCAGTCGCACGGCCCTGGCAGCGACCAAAAAAAAAAAAAAAATAAAATAAAGCACCTGCAGACGAAGGCAGCCCGCATCCCTGCTCCTCCTCCTCCCGTTCACGCCGGCTGTCTGGTGCCGAGGTGAATGGAACCAGTCTACAATGAGTCTTACAATGTAATGTATACGTGACCGTGGGGGGGAAGAAGAGAACTAAGTCGGTACCTGAGAGTCAGTCCTGAGAGTCAGTCAATGGAAATTGGTTCATCCAATAGTCCCACGGTCGGACTTCCCTCTGCGGCGTCATTATTGGATCCTCACCTGGTGCCTTCAGGGACAACTGCTCCAAGTAGTAGTAGCCGGTAGTCCACTTGTCAATGGCCTGATTTATGAGAGGGAGACCAGAGACACACATTAATATCGAGAATAATCTACTTGACTTTTCCTGAGTATTCAGTTCAAGATTTCTTTTTTTTCTTTTGCCTTCTTTTCCATTCGCTTGGGTGAATGGAATTGTCAACTGAATTTCTTCGACTGTAACTGAAAGTGGAGGCAGCCGGGCATCCACTTTCCCACCCACTTCCCTCCCTCTATTAACCAACCATCACTCACCATCTCCAAAGCAGCCCCTGAACGGTCAGGCCCAGTTGAACTCCTGAGAGGTTCGTGGGCAAGTCAGTCACCACTCGGTCCCTCGGCCGTCTCTGCGGATGGATCAGCATTCTTGTTCACCAGAAAGAATTAGTTATACATTGTATCTGATTCTCAATCCATCCCGCTTAGTGTGTCCCGCCCGTCTTTGATCTCGGTCCACCGCTGGTGTGTGAGAGAGTGTCTTGCTCTCGCTCTCGCTCTCTGCCATCATACTCACACATCGAGGCGGCGCGCTGCTTTGCTTCCTTACATCCTGACTTTCCGCTAGACCCTCCCTTTCCCCTCTTTTTCTCCTCTCGCCCCTCCTCTTCTTCTCTTCCCCCTCCCCCCCATCGTTCATCATCATCACTTTAATCGTGATCTGTCGCGCGGTCCTGGGCATCTGCCTCCAATGCAGTTCCCGTCATGTCGCTCAATGGGCTAGATAATCCCACCGTCATCGATGCCTACCAGACCGCGCTCACCGAGGCCGGTGGATGGTAAGTACTAGTCCGTGTGTCTCGGCTATACCCTGCACCTTCGGGTCCTCCGTTGCAAGGGTGGCCATTGCAACCCAATCGCATCGGCAATTCACTAATGCGCATGGCTTGGTGTCTTCTAGGTTTCTCCTGCGGTATGTATCAAGGGATGAGGTGGCTCTCCTTGATCGCGGCACCGGCGGGGTGCCCGACGTGCGCAACGCGATCGACGGCTACGAGGAGAAGTCTCCGCTCTATGGCTTCCTACAATATCGGCGACGGAAAGTCGTCCTCAGCTATCTGCCAGAGGGCATGTCCCGCCTCGTGCAAGGTTGGTGGAACCCTCCTCTCTCTCCATCATTGTTACGACAAGCTAGAGATCCCACTGACCTCGTCATCCTCCTGCAGCCCGAACGACGGTCCAATTCCAATCGGTCCTAGACAAATTCTCCCCGCATGATACGGTATTCTCGGTGACGCAGCCATCGGAACTTACAGAAAGCGCATTGTCCTCCGCATGCTTACTGCATACTGCTTCCGGTTCGATCACTTCCTCTTCCAGCTCCCTCCGCCGTCGCCGATTGAAAGAGATCGCGGAAGATGCCGAAGAGACTACCGTAGGCAAGGACGAGAACCAGGCGCAGTCCGCGGCCGATGGAATGCCGCGCCAGAGATCGTTCAGTCAGCTGTCTGAAGCCACCGTGGTTCCCCCATCAGTGGTGTCGAGTGTCCAGCAATCACCAGTCGGCAACGAACCAACCCCGAAAACTTCCGAAAACGCCTCCATTCGAGAGCGGTCTTCATCGGTGGCCACATCGGAGCGGGCTCCTTCCTATAAGAACTTTCGAGAAGACTCATCTTATGCTCCGTCGGAGCCCCGCCAATCTTCGCAGTCCGCCCGACCTTCCGTCCGTGACCTGGAGCGTGCCGGATACAAAGCCAAGGTAAAGCTGGGTCCTCGGCCTTCCGTAGATGGCAGCGGACGCCCTCGGACTGCGGGCAACCTCTCTCGAAGCGCTGAACGGCGGCCAGTGGCATCTTTGCCTGCGGGTGTCCGGTCATCATCCTTGCGCAAGTCCAATCCCAGTCCTTCGCGACCTCGATCTTCCGGAGGCCACGGGACCCCCGTCGCCAGTAGAGTGCCGGCCGTGCCTCCGTTACTGGTGCCTCCCTTTTCCATGCCCATCTCGCGGCCCAAGATATCGCCCGGTGCCAAGTCACTGAGCGCGCTGTCTTCGTCCACCACGTCCAATGAAAAGGAGCGGCTGATGAAAGCGCTCCAGATGCGAAAGACGCAGATGGAGAAAAAAGCAAAGGAGGGGAAGAACAGTTCCACGACGGAGAAGGGTGAGGTGTCCGGGCTTGATATGACCGAAAATAAGGAGAACATCGGTCATATACCAAGTAAAATGAAGCACGATGGGGGCGATGACCGAATGGCCCACTTGGCAGGGCCGAACAAGGAGCCCCTTTCCGAAACTCAGCCAACCCTGCAGCCCATGCTCCGTCATCAGGGGGCTGAAGAAGAGGACGGCCGTACTACTCCTAATTCCCCTGAACCCTCGGGCAGCCACCACTCCCTTAGCCAACCGGCACGCCTGAGCAACAGCAGTAATGAGTTTCAGGCGACGACACCCACTCGTTCGGGATCTGAAACGCAGGCGGGCGACAGGGACTTGGGCGCATCCAATTCCGGCGGCGTCTCGGGTGGCCCCAGCTCCCCGACTAGGCTGCCTAGCGCCATCGCCGCTCCACTCGAGAACAATTCTGGAAAGGCTCCGGACGAAGAGATTGTTGGCCCCTCGCCACCAAAACCAGTCCCCCATCCTGTTGTTCCTGGCGAACAAGAGGCCCTCCTCCATCATCATCACCACCACCACCCCAGCACGCCAGACGTGACTGAGTCCGATCTGTTCGAGTCGCCTGCTCGGCCCGATTCCTCCCACCATCCTTCAGCAGCCACCTTCACCCCCAATTCCTTGTCGATCGCCGCTCCCCCTCCGACGGAGCCGCAGCATGACTTGACCCCTGAATCCTCGAATGTGGAGCGACAGCGCAGCACGTCTCGAAAGGAGAAACGCAAACCATACCTCGAACCTATTCAAGTCCCAACTCCCGACTACTCGGATGACGAGAACCTTCTCTCAGACGACTCCTTCATGGAAGAATTGACCAGTGCCACGGTTGAGGAGGCTAAGCCCATCTCTGTGGGCGTCTCTCCCCTCTCCCCGGGCTACTCAAACAGCAGCAACGGCAACGTCTCACCTGATGCGTGGAGGAATTCTCGTGCCGTTTCAAACCCCAGCGCCATTGGACACCAGTCCCCCAACATGTCGACCATAGCCGTGGGCCGTTCCGTCTCGACGACGGGTGCGGATTCTGGTTCCCAGAACGGGCCGGTCCTGGTGGCGAGGAAGATCAACGTCTCGTCGGGCATCTCCAGCCGCATCAAGGCATTGGAGAAGTTCTCCAACAGTCGCGACGCCCCATCAATGAACGGCCAAACCCTCGCCGCTCCGTCGGCGGCCTCCTTCGAGACCCTCCGCAAAGGCTACTCGGGACCTTCCATGCCCCGACCTCTCTCATACGCCCCTGAATCCTTCTCGCGGTCATCGAGCGTGAGACGACCTAGCTCACAGGCGGGCCCTGGCCTCGCTGGTCCTGGCCTTTCGCGCTCCCCAAGCTCGGTCTCTGTGACTGCTCGCATTGTCCGCGATCCCACCGCTGCTGAAACCAACCCGAATGCCGACCCGTCCGAGCCGGCCGTCCTCAACCTACAACCCAGCCAAATTACCGTCGAACAGGAAACTACAGAGCTCCCTGTTCTGACTTTGCAAACAGAACCTACAATCACTCAGTCGGAAGATGATACCTTGCCCCCGTCCTCTGCTGGATCCGACCAGCAATCCTCCGTGTCCGTACAACGTCCGGAGAGCCGAATCTCCACCCCCACCTCTATCAAAGAAGAAGAAGAGGTGGCATCACCCGCCAAGTCATCTGGCGATGCGCCCTCCTCCCCTGATGAGAAGAAAGAATCCCGTGCGACGCGACTTCTGCGCCGCATGTCCTCTATCACTTCCCGTAAGAGCGTTGTTGGTGTGTTAAACCCTATCAAGGGAGATGACCATGTGGTCCCCATTAAGCTTGAGGAACCCGAGAGGCCCGTCTCGAGGGCAACGGAGGTGGCTCCGGCGATCGATATTGGCGAGGTCAATGTACAGTTTCCCGACACTCTCCTGTGGAAGCGTCGGTTTGTCCGAATCGATGACCAGGGTTATCTGATTCTGACACCTGGCAATCTGGACTCCACTAACCGCAACTTGGTCAAGCGGTATCATCTGTCCGAGTTCCGTACTCCGTGCCTGCCGGACGAAGACCGCCAGGAGCTGCCCAACAGCATTCTGCTGGATTTCCTGGACGGCAACACTCTTCAGTGCGCCTGCGAGTCGAGACAGGGGCAGACCTTTGTGCTTCAGAGTAAGTCGCTTGCACCGATATGTTCAGTGGATGGTAACTAACTGGGTACAGCGCTTCGCGACGCTCACAGCACCTACCAGACCGTCTCTCACTAGCCTTGATCTACTGCATAGAGCTTGTGCCTTTCCTTCTCCTTGACCATGCATATATTGCGCATTCCTTCCTCCATTTCCTTCCTCATCCGGTGTTTTCAGCGGTATACCCCTCAAAACGGTTTCCTTCTACCCACTGTTTTGTATCCATCACATTCTACTCTTCTATCCCCTTTTTGTTGGACTTGTTAGTGAGAGGCATGATGTTCTGTCGGCTTGCTCTGTGTAAAATGTTGGATCTTGGCTTGTTCGTGTCGACATTAGCAGCATTTGGCGGTTGGTTCTTTAATAGCGTGGCGTGGATTGTCCAGACAACGAGGTTATTCTACTGTCAGCAGTGCAGTCCCGTTAATGTCTGGGAGTGTAGCCTTAAGACATGCTCGCTGACCGAGCAAGTTGGAACACTGGTTCCGATCAGGACTTGACAAGCATCTACTCATCCTTCATCCAAGAATAACATGCGAACGTTTTATTACATCTCCCAACGCCGGCCCAGTAGCTATTACTGACTAATTTTGTTTCGGGGAACGCGGAGACGACGGCCGAGCCAGTCGCTTTTCCTCCCAGTCCTCGAGGAATCGCTGGACCTTGGGGCCCCAGACCTCCTCGCCGGCCTCGAGGTCCTTATACTCGAGCACCTTGTCCGGGTGAAGCTCGAATTGAGCCTGACGAGACCGGATCAGCGAGGACATCAGCCCGCAGCTTCCGACCGCCTTGCCCAGGTCGTGCGCCAAGGAGCGCACATAGAAGCCAGAAGACACCGTCATGGTGATCTTCACTGCAGCCGGCTGAGGCTGGGACTGGGGCTTGGATTCCGAGGATTCCTCGGCTTCAGCCTTGGGAGCATCCGACGCTTCCTGCTCGGCCGGCGCAACAGGCGCAGCCTCGCCATCAGCAACCTTCTGCTTCTTAGCCGAGGGAGCAGACTCAGCATCACCACCCTCTACCTTCTCCTCCTTAGCATCCTCCGCAGGCGGGGACTTTCTCTTCGCAGAGGCCTCTCCTTCACCATCTGCCTCCCTCTCCACAATCGGCAACTCATCCTCCTTCGCCAACAACTTCTCCGCAACAGCCTTCTCCTCCCCCTCTGCCTCAACCTCAGGCCATTTAAACTCATGCGTTCCAGGCTCGTACCACTCGACAATCCTCAAATCCGTCACCTCGACCGGCCTCTTCTGGATCTCAATCGGCGGCTCCTTGCCCTCGCGGGCATACTCATAAAGCTTCTTGCCATTCACCTTCAGCGCCGAGAAAATTGGCGGCCTCTGCATAATCTTCCCGCGGAACTGCTCCAGTGCCTTCTCCACCATCTCCCTTGTCACATGCTCGTAGGGCGCCTTGCGCACCACCTTCCCCAGCCGATCATAGGTATCCGTCTCGGCGCCGAACAGCACAACGGTCTCATATTGCTTCGTGCATCCTAGGAACTCGTTCAGGTGTTTCGTGCCCTTGCCGACTCCCGCGACGAGAATGCCGGTCGCGAGGGGGTCGAGGGTGCCTCCGTGGCCGATCTTCACGTCGAGACGTTGCGTGCGGCGGCGCTTGCGCTGGTAGGTGCTTTCGCGGGCGCGACGGGCGCGCTCGTCGGCGAGCCAGGGGGCGAAGAGCGTGGAGGGGTTGAAGTGCGTTTGGAGGGTGCGGACGACGTCGGCGGAGGAGACGCCTTGGGGTTTGTGGACGGCTGTTTATCATTCCGTTATATTAGCTTGGAGGTACATTAAAGCAATAATGCTAGGAGTGAGGTATACCGAATACGCCTTCGTAGATCTTTTCACCGGACATGGTGCGACGGAAGGGTCTGAGGGCTTGACGGAAGCTCATCGGCGAGCGATGAGTGTGAGTGGCGGGGGATTTGATTGAGTGAGAGCGGCAATTGATCGACTAGCACAGCTCAGTGATGCGATCGTAAAGAGACAACTGTAGATATAGTTGAACACAACCGAAAGAATAGAAGTGCAATGAATAACCGAAAGTAGTAGTGAAGTCGTCCAAAATATATTTTCAGCTCCGCAAAATTACCCGCATGCAAGTTTCCCATTACGGAGTGAGTCTAGTCCAGTCTAGGCATGAAAGATTCCCGTCTGTATTTTACACCCCCCCAAAGCAGTAATTACCCGGTATCCTTGTCCACATCCGCACCTAATCTCGACATAGTCAGCTGTGTATTGTCTGGTAATTGCCGGACTGCCCTCCGGCTGGCAAGCAGCGCAGCAGCAGCAGTAGCAGCAAGCATCATCGCCGTGACTGCAGTCAGCTTCACCCCTCCCCTCTATCTATCCCTCACTTACTTACTCCTCTCTCACTCACTCGTTCACTCATTTCCTTCCTCTATTACCCACTACTTTATCCATTGCCTTTCTTATCCTATTTTAACCCCCCTCTCCTAAACCGAGAGAGAATACACAGTCCCCCGAACAAAGCAACATGCAGTCCCCACCATGACCTCCCGCGAAGACAGTGTCCTGGCCGCCAGAGACCCCTCCCTCACCGACGAAAACGACTGGGAAGAGTTCAGCCTGTCGGAAGTTCGAGTCCTGGTTCCGGGCAAATCCCGCTATGCGAATTTATTGACTGCCTCGCCGGAGAATCCGGTCCAGGTGACGGGGTGTTTGGATGAGGTGGAGGAGGAGCAGGAGAAGTTGGGTAATTTCCCTCACTTTTGTCTTCTTATTTCTGCTTCTGGAGTTTTGGCAGGGGGGGTAGTGTGGTGCTAACTGATTACTGGTTAGTGCTCGACCCAGAATACTTGACTAAACGCATCGTCCTCGAAAACGTCACCCACTTCGCCTACGGACAACATAATGATGGGGAGGTCGGGTTCTGGGTGGCTGGGAAGGCGGGCTGGTTCTCGATATCTCCGGCGAAGGGGTACAAGGCCATATTTAATGATGTGGTGGAGGCGATAGATTTGTTGTATTTTCTGGCGGATCGGCATCAGTCGAAGAGGAGGAGGAAGAGAAGGAATTGGAATCCGAGTGTCGAGTATTTGTGCGAGGAGGTATGCCCCCATATTTTCTTCTGTCTGTTGTGTGAGGATTTGGTGGATGGTTGTTTGCTAATGGTTTGGGTTTAGTATGTGAGCCATACGCATGGGATTTGCGAGGATGCGGACGACTCTGCAGAGGTGTTTTACAAACATCATCATTTTCTGCTGTCGAGGATGTTGAAGGGCGAGGAGGATGTGCAGTGGACCAATACGTGCATCTTCGAGCATCTGTGTGAAAAGTTTCCGGTATGTTGTTTTTTCCCTGTTCCTTGGGGTGGTTTGAAGGGTGCTAATGGTGTAGGATGACTTTAAGCAGATTAAAGCGCAGTACGAAGGGGCGAAGGAGGTAGAGTCGGAGGAAGAAGAGGAAGACGAACAAGAGGAAGATAAAGAAATGGACGAGAAGGAGGGCCAGGATGAGGCGGAAGCACGACCAGATACATCTGGGCTATCGAAAGACCAGGCAGATGCTATCTACAAGGTCATTCTCGATCTCAAAGAAGCGGGATACTTGGCCAAGCGCCAATTGACCTTCGAACTCCTAATCAACACCCTTGTCGAACGCTTCGCCATCGACAGTACTGACTATGCACACGACCTCGTCGCCGCACGGGCCGACGCTATCATAGAGATGATGGACGAGGTGAAAACATACAACTTTGACTGGTCTCGCAAGGTCATTTATCGGGAGCTCAAAGCCGCAGCCAAGAAAAACAGAGTTCAGCAGATTACCCTAACCCCGCTGCGGCCTCGCCCCTCCGATGACGATGAATCGTCCGGAGAAGAGAGTGAACATGAAGACCATCCCCGACTGCGCAGACGCAGGGTCCACAAGTCGGTTTTGCGACCTAAGAGCTCTGTTGCCACGAAGCAGACCGGCAAACGAACACGGAGTGCCGTTGATGACCAAGATGATGACTCGGATAACAACGAAGATGCAATGGACGAGTTCGAGACTCCAAGCAAAGTCCGCGGCCATGATCTCGTTCGTGACCCGTTGTCGACCCGTGCCAAGCGCAGGACTCGGTCCCTCCTGTACGATTCAACCCCAATTCAAAAGACGCCATTGCAAGAGACGCTTCAAAGCCGGAACACATCCGTTTCGGGGGCGGACCGTGAGACGAACGCAGATGCATCAGAATTGGAAGCCACATTTGAAGACGATGTAACATCTGATACCTGGACGTGTCACGTTCGCGGCTGCGAAAAGGTTATCCACAAGAGCAATTCTAAACGTGGCAAGGAGCTAATCCAAGATCATGCTCTGGCTCATGCAGATGATACTAAAGCAAAGATCGATCTTGTCTTTGCCGAGCAGAGACTCAACATTGGACTTCCTGTTGACAATCTCCTTAGTCGCATCAGAGAGATGGGCGCATTCGATACCGATCATCCGGTGGATAGCGCTTTCACTAATGGAGTGAAGACATAATCAGGACATACAATGAGATCCTACAAACTAGATACAATTTCTGTGCAGACAGATGATGTGCGTGTGCAGTCTGCCACGGTATGTTGCTTATTGCTTCTGTATTTAATGTCATACTCACATTTCTCTAGGTGCGCAGCTCACAGCACATCACGGAGTCAGGTTAGCGGCGTTGAGATGGCATGATACATGGCGGGTGGGATTCTGCTTCTTGAGATATGATGATGTGATACCAGAGATACCAGCGTAATGAAGTACCCTACTCAGGTTCAGCTAGATAGACAGTCACCATTCCATGATTATCAATATACAAATCAAACTGTCTATGGAAACACTGCTTTTATAACCCTGACCGGTATCGAGCAAAAAATAAACCATCAAAAGAAATTTACAGCGAATGGAATCAAGAACGACCCTTAGCAGCAGCCCTCCTGCTCTTGCCCGGCCGCTTGGCACCACCGCCCTTAGGACCACCCTTCATCTTCTTGACCGAGAAGTCGCGCATATCACCACTCGAGACAGCATCACCGCTCTTAGCAAAGCGCTTCTTACCACCGAACCCGAACTTCTCATTCTTCTTCTGGCGCTTCATCGACGGACCACCCTCGGCATCACGACCGCGCTTGCGACCACCCGCCTGAGCAGCATCATCAATAGCGACATCGAACATGTTGGACGAATCATCAGTAGGGCCGCCAGTTTCAGCCTTGCGCTCTGCACACACCAAAACAGTTAGCAACCACTCTCAAACCCACAAAGGCCAACTCCCCCAAAGAAACCAAGGGATAAACATACTCTTCTTCAACGCATTAATCTTCTCCAACGTCTCCCTCTTCTCCTTCGCCCTCTGCTGCAACTTCGCAACCTGCACCTGCTTTCCAAACTTCTTCAAATCACGCTGCTTCCTGGCCTCCGCCGCGGCCTTCTTCGCCGCGGCCTCATCATACAACTTCTTCTTGATCTTGCCCATGTGCTCATCCGTCTTCACCATCTCGGCGAAGTAATCGCCGGGTCGCGTAAACGGCACACCTTCTTTCTTCAGGGTACTCCGCGCCGTCATCGCCGCCGCCTGGCAGACCTTGTAGAAGGCCAGTTCGCGGTTCAGGTCATCGTTGGCGTCGGGCACTTCAATCGGTTCCTGCGATACGAGACTGTTGTGCTCGGAGAAGGGAGTCGCGGGGGTGAGGAACGAGATGCGCTTTAGACTGCTGGTGATGGCAGCGCTGTTGTTGATTGTGAGGCGTTGGTGGGTGACGACGTCTTCGCGTTCGTCGTCGCTGAGGTCGCTGAGGGGGATGTCGGATTCTTCGGCTTCTTCTTCGTCGTCTTCTTCTTCCTCTTCTTCGGCGTCGGAGGGGGTTTCTTCGGGGGTTTCTTCGTCTTCGGATTCCTCCTCAACTTCCTCCTCCTTCTTCTTCTCCTCCTTCTTATCTTCAACAACAGCCTCCTTCACATCTTCACCCTTGGTAGCGGTAGTCTTCTTCTTCGCCGCCTTGACGAGCTTCTTCTGCTTCTCGGCCTCGTAGTCGCGGCCGCGGTGCTCGTCCAGAGCTTGAAGGAGCTTGCTGCGCTTAGGCATGATGGGTTATGAGATGTGATTGTGGTGGAACTGGAGTGAGTTGGTCTGGTGCAAAGCTGCGGGCTGGAACTTTGCTGCAAATCAATGGGAATATTTTTTTGGGGAGATTTGGTGACGCTAGGCATGCTTTGGGTTTAGTGTTGTGGGGATGGGGGAGGAAGGTTGTTCCGTTATCGGGTTATCGATAAGGAATTTATAGCAGTAGATATGTATGTAGACGAGATGTTTACGAGAATAATAGGAGTGTTGATTGCTATCTTTTTCTTTTCTTTCTTGTTTATCTGGAAGTCAATATTGTAATGGGATTAATTATGCGGAATTACCTCATCCATCTAGTTGTGAAACTAATCGGTTTATCAAAGTCAGCTGTTGCTGGGGTGTGTAGGAGAGTGCAGAACTACGTGTCTTGGTACATGTGAAGAGGTCTGTTGGCGGATTAGAATTTTACTCTAGTCTGTTTATTCAATGAAAAGATTTAGACATATGGTATATTAGGGGCACTTTATCTTCATCACTGGTAGTAATGATACTAGTACAAGAAACTGATCACTCCCATCTGAAATACGATATATATATATCTGGGGTAACTATCTTTTCTGACAGCTCACAAACTCGAGAACGGTCATCCATATAGTACCCAAGGAATCATATCCTGACCCTCCTTAATTTTCCCACTCTAGTACTTAAGTTCTTCAGTTCATCCACATCCCAATTTCGCCACGCTTGTTTCCAATTGAAGAACGCGGCTTCCGGACTCGCCAACCACACCATAAAGTCGGCGTGTAGACTTACTGAACAATCAGTCTCTATCCATACATGATAGAATAGGTAAAGGTACCCCTATTCCTAGGCAATTTCGCCGGATCCGTTTCAGTCTTCCTAACTATATCTGTTATGACCATCCCGGATGCAATGACACCGTAAACACATTCGGATCCTGATATTTGTAAGGATCATTAGCGTCATCTACGATACATCCCTCCGTCCTCGGTGTTGGGGTTGCAGTCCAGTTAATAGAATCCGCAGACATTCGAAAAGCTCAAGCAATTCAACGAAGGCAATGCATCAAGAAGAGGGGGACAGCTACTTCTCCTCGAGAAAATGTTCTCTAGTAGATGGTTAGTGTGTCAGCCTTGCAGCATTAGCGCCGCGCCATCATGTTTGGTGACTCCGGATTTATTGACCCGAATGCAGCTCGTAGGGATACCCGATCACTACCCAAGCTACAACGAGTACTTGAGAATCTTATACACCAGTACAAGCATCATCTCTTTTTGAGCCTGTTGCTTCCACCAAAGATTGAGTTAGCTTCATGATGCCGTTGTCATACGACAAGTTGGATCCCAGTGCCAGTCAGATCCGTCTTTTAACTATCATTCCCGACGAGAATGACGAGAACCCTGTTTGTGGATCGCTCCATACCGTGTCTCTCAACGACACCTGCGACTTTGACGCCCTGTCCTACGTATGGGGCGACACTTCTGTGACTGTTGACATCTCGGTTGATAATTGTATAGTCGGTGTAACACCAAATCTGCATGCTTTCCTGCGGAAAATTCGCCAGCCGAATACAGAACGTACGGTATGGGTTGATTATGTCTGCATCAACCAGAACAATATCTCGGAGCGAAACTCGCAGGTTGCTTTGATGTGTCAAATCTATTCGAATGCTAGGTCGGTGGTTGCTTGGTTGGGGGATCTGGCGCCGGAAGCTCTGGAGCTCATTGAGTGGTATCATGCCAATCGAAATGGGTTTTACTTCGAAAGCACAGGTCTTCATATTGATAAAGCTATAGAAAAGCTGTTGACTCCTGCAAAAGCACTGTGTTCCTCGCCGTATTGGCATCGGGTATGGACATTTCAAGAGTGGCATCTCTCAAAAATTGCCCCTGTCTGTATGCATGAAAAGACGACTTTCACCATGGGAAACATATTTAATCGACTGCACGATGAAGTAGCGGTCGCCAGGAGTAGGCTTACTTCTGATACTATCTCTTTGGACATGCCATACAGAGCATATCCAAAGCCGGTAGTAGCTAACTCAAGATGTGCGCTTTTTTTTGGGTTGCAACGAAGACTCGACACACTTGTGAATTATATCCCGCGGGATATTCTGCACCTCAATCCGTATACCCCGCGTCCATCGGGGCTTGGTGACTTGCTATCGCTTACGAGGGACCGGCAATGCAGCAATGAACTCGATAAAGTATATGCGTTATATGGGCTTTCTCCTGTGGCTAGGGTGACATACCCTCCCGACTATCGAAAGACCATCGGCCAGGTCAACCATGAAACAACGTCATTTATATTGGGACACGAAGCCAATATGAATATATTCAATGACTTCGATTTCTGCTTCAATTCTGCTAACAAAGACGAGTCACTCCCTTCATGGGTTGTTGACTTCACCACGACGGATCCGAAACATCGCGAAAAGATGCAGCAAAGCTTCTCCAAGACGATGAATCTGGACAAGGCTCTCTGGGAGCAAAGTAGAGACCATGCTCCCATAGTAGCAGATGATATGTAGACTCTCAAACTCTGGTGTCGTAAAGTAGGCGTTAGCCTTGGTCTTCCATACGTGTTGGACTCAGAAGTCCCCCGCTGTATGACGCAGACACAGCTGGCTGCCAGAATCATCATGAACCAAAGCAAAGACCGTGATCATTGCTCGAACATACACGATATGGTGATAAAAGCTGCTTACTACTACACTGATAGCTCCAATCTCATTCCCCTTAGTCCCTTATTCGAGATCATGAAAACTCATCATCTCCCTGGCGAGTTTGGACAGTGGGAAGAGACGTTTAAAACGTATCTTTTCGCCACCTACCTCATTTTTGAGAAACTTGCGCGAAAGCGATTGTTTTCCGTGGCCATCTAGACTGGGAGTAGTATTGGTTTCACTGATTGTGAGATTGAAAAGGATGATCGTCTTGTCATCCCCTGTGGAATCGCCCAAGTGTTTGTTCTCCGTCCCATTCCTGAGAAGCTGCTTGTGGATGGTGAAGAAGTTCAGTGCTTCAAGGTGATTGGACGGGCGTATGTTGAGGGAATTTCGGATCGAGAGGAAGTCATGCCGCATCCTCTTCGTTCCGAGATGGAAAGGACATCTCCTACACTGTTCTGTCTCCGATGAAATTCCATTCCTGCTCTAATTCTCCGCACTGTTGATTGATCAGTAGGCATATACACTATTTTCCAATGAAACCAGCTGCATTTGCTATAGGATGGACATGAACGTTTCAAATGATTTCAAGGAAGAGACTAATCCAAAAGACCACTGCGAGATTGTCATAATAAGAACCTTTTGCTAGCCTGTAATGAATATAAGCTACACTTACATTGCTTCAATAGGACTACACGTGTATTAACCACTAAGGCTATATAAACGAACCTTCACATGACAAAGTTCATTAACTATGGTAATAGCCTCTAAGTTTCTCTTGGAACTTGTTGAGGGAGATACTCACCCATTGCATCGAGCACAAAGTAGAAGAGCAGAGCGATTACCTTGATTCAAGGACATGACCGACAAAATGTATTTACACTAAACGAAACCTCTGCACTTCCTTACAGACGACGATCAATGAAGGTGGATCTGAAGTTCAATAGATATCGTTCCTCTTGATACGTCTAATATCCTTCCGCTCATTCAATAGATAGATAAATGTAGGTGTCCAGATAGAGGACGGGAATGTCATTTAGGCCATGGGCCATGACTGCAAGGGATACTACATGCACACTCCTATCCTCACGGACTCTCGGGATCTTTCTGCAGGACACAAACGGGAAGAAAGTGTTGTTCAAACTCTATTACTGCCTACACATGCCATAGCCGTTTGTGACACGAGGCCGGAAGGACCGAGAAATTAATGCAAGGGGGACAATGTTTGACGGGTTGTGACACTGACATATCAGTAAGAGGGTAGAGTATCATATACAATAATGTAGGTGCAGAATGGTGATGAAAGTTTCCATCTACAGAACGCTGCGTAGGGCTGCATCATGCAGATTTGTCACACCATGGCAAGATGGTATGTATATCTCGGTCATTCCGAGCTCTGCCAGCTAACCATGTAGTAACCTTCTAGCTGGTGTCTTGTTAGATGTCTTGTAGAGATTTCAGTAAACCCAACCAGTCTCAACGCGTTCAGCTTCTTCTAGGAATGTGTTATATGGTACACGTCAATCTACCACCGTACCAGACATATATAGCTCTCCCAAGTCATCACACTTCTGGTATGAACATTGTTGACGGGGTGGTTATGGTATGTGGTAGTTGGAGGTGTGGTGAAGGTGAAGGTGCTACTGGGGAGGACGGTGGAGGGGAATGCTTTGGCGTGGAGGTTGTGGTCTATGTGGTTGATGGCGTTGTATGCTTTGCCTTGTGTGTGTGTTGGGGGGGAGGGGGGTGGGGGGATGAAGTTGGAGTTTGATATAGAGGAGTGTGATAGGGGGAGTAGGAGTTGGGAGAAAGTGACTCCAAAGATGTAGAATGGAAGGTGATGTTAGAGTTAGGAGTTTGATTTTTTGTGACCTATCTCCAAAGAGAGTGAGAGGGATATGTAGAAATTAATTACAGTAGTAAAATCGAAATGGTCTGGGCCGGAGGAGACCAAAGGAGGGGTAATGAGTGAACAGGATGAAAGTGTGGTACAGACAGGGGCCAGCCAGTGAATTGCTGTTGTCATCTCAGGTTATACTTGACGGTCAACTTTATTCCTTGTAAGCACTATAATATTATAATGCTAGGCAAGAAAGTATATCTGGCGAGTCTATCATCAATAAGATGGGTGAACGGACCAATGACATTTGATTTCGGAACAGGGATGTAGAACTGATGTATTAGCAGCTTCTTTGTTCACTAACTATAGCCATAAGATGATATAATAGATGAACGTCATATATAGCCTTCTACAGCTGACCTAAAGCAACAGCATCCATGCAGTAGTCTCTTCCTATCTTCCATGTCCAATAACTCCATCTAGTATGTATACTTAAACCCAGCCAACCCCTCGATCGGTTTTCCCCCACGATCAACCCGCCGATTCGCCCGCCAGAACTTGAAGCTGAGTCCTGCCACAACCACGATAACCAGCGCGTTAGCGATCATAGTGGTCAATAACCCGGGTCGGTAGTTCGGGGCATCTTGGGCCCTGAAGACCGTTGTCCCGATGATTCCTCCGATACTGCCCCCGCCGATGAGGGTGGCGGATGTGAAGGCGCGCTTCCATTGGCCGCGGACGTTGTTACTATTAATCATGTTAGTAACTAATATTATATATAACAAGAGTGGGATAATTAGGGAAAGGATCATACCTCTGCCATGAGACTAAGGCTGGGCAGTTCGCATTGGCTATCCTTCCATCAGTACAGCGGTTATACCAACAGGGAGAGGATACTCACCAGCAATAGTCGCCAGAAAGACACCAAAATACCGTGGCCCCGACTCACTAAGATACCCCAATAAAGCAAGCCCAACCAGGCCCATAGCAGCATTTGCAGCAATGATCGGCCCTCTCAGGTGCCATTTGTCGGCATACACCGCCTGCGTATACATCACTATCGCCGCCGCAACATACGGCGGAGCCACCAGACACTGAGCCTTTGCAACCGAGAACCCCATACTATCCTCCAGAATGATGGGAAGAAAGTAGGCGATCGAGTAGCTGTTCGCTGTGGTGAGCATATACATGGCAGCGTATGCCCAGACCTTACTATCTGCGCCGCTGCGGAGATAGCCTTTCAATGTGAATGGCTCCGTGTAGACGTCTGATCGGTCGTTCTCGATCGTAGCTACCACGTAGGCGGCCTCTGATTCGTTGAGAAAGTGCCATGACTTGGGGGATTGTTCGGGGAAGTCGACTAGGATGGCGTAGGAGCCGATGCCCATTACGCAGGTTAGGATGCCTTCGATCTGTGGGGTCTGCATTAGTGTAGGTTTTCAGAAGGTCTGTGGGGTATGGGGCAGTACAATGAAGATCCATCTCCACCCGGACTTTCCGCCAATTCCATGCATTTGCATCAGTCCGTAGGCGAGGATACCGCCGAATCCGGATGCCGTACTGCCAATCAGGTAGAAGAGGGCATTTCGCTTCTGTAGTTCGAAGCGAGGGTACCAGGTGCTTAGTAGGTAAACGCATCCTGGGTAGAATCCTGCTTCCAGAGCACCAAGGATGACCCGCAGTCCAGCTAGCACTGGCCATGTTGGCGACATGCCAAAGCCCTAGTTGGAACATTAGCAACGCCACCACTACTACCCCTAAAACAGTATGCTATTCACTGATCATAAAAACTTACAATCATTACCACTCCCCATAGCAGAACAATAGCAGAAAGAAACAGCCGAGGCCCGAGTTTCCGAATAATCACCGTCATGGGGGGCTGAAACACGGTATAGGTAATGAAGAAGACCAACGAGCTAATACTGTATCCATTATTCTTGGCATTCATCTTCAACTCTTCCTGCATCCTATCAGTACGAAAAATTGAGTTAGCTTAATCTCTTGGCCGAGCCGTGGCCATGAAGCGGGGTTGGAAGAAGACTGGAATGCCATACCCGGCAACCGAGGCAGCTCCCAAGTTAGTCCTATCCAGCAAACTGATACAATATAGACAACCCAGTGGGATAACGAGACGAATGTCAATTCTCCGCATGAGTCTTTTCTTTTCCTTCGGAGTAAAGTAGTCGAGGGATTCCCCGGGGTGGATGCTGTTCTTCTCGGCATCCTCGACGTGGGATGCCGCTCCGGAGGACTTTTCTGCTTCCATTGCTGCGGGGACGGGGGATTCTTCTTTCATGTTGAGAGGCTTAGAGATGGATGATTGTGAGGCATTTTGACTGCTGTAATGGGATGGCATTATATAGCTGTGTGAGGGATGGGGATATACGAAAGTTTCCCCGCAGGATGACCCCGCAGATCTGTTACCCCGGATTTCGCCATCTCAGGCCAGGAGTAAACATCACTCGCGGATGGAGAATTTAGTTATGGGTCGTAGCGATAGGACACGTCACGAGTCCCGCAGCTGGACGGTAGATGGAAAGCCCACGGCAGGTCACTTTGTACTTGGCACCGAGGGACAAGACAATCAGTGGAAGGGATCAATTGGGTCCTGTTCCGTGTGGCGAGGGACTCGTATAATACGATAGACAAGATCTTGGTTCTCCCCGAGCCAGGAGCCTGGATCATCTCTGAATATATTAAGGTTATCAATTTCGCAATCTGGAGTCTTTCGGTTCTCCCGAGGCAGGCCGGGGGGGAGTTCTGATCTGGGGATTTAGAGTTCGTTATCTCTATTCCAAGTCATGACATCAACATGTCCATGTGAATTCTGATTGAAATGAACCACCTGGTTTGACAGGCTGGTGGCCCAAAGTACCTAAACGGAACTGTTTCCGCGATTCATCAGCATGCCATCAGCACTGCTGGGCTGGAAGTCCCGTCTGCGGGGCACCTTTTAAGCTGTTGATTGATGCAAACTGCATCTTGTATCAACTCGGTCGTACAACAAGAGGCTGTTGGCAGATAACCCTCATCTATCCACAGGAAAGGTGATCATTCTGATGATAGTAGTACAGTAGTATCGAACACCAGGAACTTGGTGGGAGATCGCTAAGGATATAAATGACATGTTCCCGGCCATTGCTAGATGAGTCGCCGAGGATATCCGTATCTAAGCATACACGAGATGATAGTACCGAAAACAGAAACTCACAACTCTAGTGGTATCTAAACAATTCCCTTCAATAAATCAAACCAGTCAACCATCAACGCCAACCGAAATAGAGACAGCCACACCAGTTTAAAAGCCCCCGAACGGATAATGGCTAAGGGACCGATGTGGTGCAACATAATAGTCCTGGTATGGATGATTCTCCATCGAAAAGTCCGCAGTTGCCATGAGCGGATTGATCACTCCAGCTGGCACCTTGGGCCGGGCAGGAGCGTGATCTGCGGCCAAAGGATGGTCACTGTTGAATAACGCCAGGATATCTTCCGACATATGCATTGGAGGACCGTGAGAGTCACTCCAGCCCCAGGCTTCCTGAAGCTCCTGCTTCACGTGCTCGGCTTTCCAGCCTGTCTGCTTTATGATGTCCTCGAGAATACCTAAGGCTTCTTGTTGAGCTTCCCTGGTCGCCAGACACTCTGCGGCAATGGCGAGGAAACGTATTGATAGACTTGCGACTCCACTGCTTCATATTAGTTGTTGATCCTGTTACACGTATATACTGGCGACGTACCGATCCCTGGAGTGTGCCACGATGCCGCAGATATCCCTTGCATGGCTTTGCTGTACAGTCTGCATCTCGGCACTGTACTCCGACTCAACGGGGTTTGTCTTCGTAAGCAAGATTCGTGCAGTGTGGTATAGTAGTCGAGCGATGATTGTGGAACGCTTGATGAGCCTATAAATATTAGTAAGTCATGTGCGAATAGATCAGACCGATGCTCACCATATCTGCGGAAAGACGGATTTAGAGTTTGTCTGCCACGAATGAATATATCCCAGGGGCATCATGGACCGCGGCACAGCTCTAGCCCACTGATCGCACCACTCGTTATAAGTACACCACTCCTGATAACGCTGGCTGATTCGCATGTCACTGGCAGCCTCCAGTGCTGGCGGCTGGGCTAACGATCGAAAGTTCGCAATCTTGGCGCAAATGAATACCATCTGGTGCGTCCACGCTTCTTCATTGCCTGCAACACTTGGCTGTGCATGATTCAGATCCAGTTCAACACCCCACGTGTCCGGGTCCCAGGAAAGCGTCCAATTGAAATGCAAACAGCTGAGTAGTTCCATGCTTACATTCAACCAGAAACAAGCACCTCCCAGTCCCGGCGTTTTGGCATTCCAGTGACACTCTTTGATCAAAGCTCGCGCACCAGCAATGTGGCTCATGCCTTGAATCGGTCGGCCAGACATTAACTCGTAGATGTTCAGCAGAATCGCTGTAGTTGCGCAGAGGGCCGAGTCACGATCAGGGTCTTGTAATGAGCGAAGAAGATATTGCGAGGCGACATTGTGAAGTTCTGCGGCCTTCTCCTCTCCGTACGAGGCGTCCACGTGGAATAAGTGCCTTGCACCGCATGCCAACAGAGCTTTAAGAAGCATAGGTTCCTCAAGTGCATGAAATGGAAGAATATGCGTGAACTATGGAAATAAGCGACTGATGACCACGTCGCAAGGATCGACAACTTACATGTTTCACCGCATCCATCGAATCCATCCATAGCCCAACCTCTTCAACAAATACCTGTAGCAGGTAAACTTCTTCTGGGTTATTGAGACAAGTGTGGTTTGTAGCATTGATATGACCTTCCTTCGTGGACCTGAAAGGGGCGAATGATGCATTCTGGTCGTAAAAGGCAGGGGCATTTGTTGGGCCGTTAAACGGTCCTCCCAGACTCCCAGACTGGGGGGTCCCGAAGCCATGTACGAACGAGGCACTCAGACTAGGAGTCAGACAAGGCCCTGTCGCATTCCCCTTCTCCAACGAAGGTTCCGCCACTTCGGGGGGATATCTCTCAAACCCACCCACGTATTCAGACGCTATAAGCCGCGACTCATCTCGAAAGGTCACGCCAGTCGCTGGTATACGGACTACGCAGTGCGGGGGCGTCGATTTCTGGATATCTATGAAGTTTAAGCGGATTCCACGCCTGCATACTCTGCCCGACTTCCGGCAATTCTGGCATCGGTGCAAAGCCTCATCGCACTTCAGGTGACGTTCCCGACATGTCAAGCATCCTGTCCGCACTCGCCTCGGCTTTGCGAGGACAATCTTGCTTTTTCGCTTGGCGGCTGACGGGCGCGGTGCGTCCAGCGATGTGCTGTTTGGAGTTGACACTCCGCCCTCATCGGAGGGACTCGTGTCTTGTGTGATGGCTTCGGTCGTGACAGCCAAATTATTTTCATCAAGATCAAACTCAAGTATATCGGTGATTTGCCCTGAAGCTGTCAGATCCAGTGAGAGATCCAGGTCCGACGGGACAGAGACATGGTCGCCGAGAGCTGAAGCCATCTCAGGCTGCTTCGATCAAGGATGACCCGTCAAGCCTGAACCACAATGTATCCTCCCAGTCTTGGGTTATGATCATCAGCAAACCCCAAATTCAGCCCCCGAAACTGTCACTCCCGAGCATTCTGCCAACCACAAGATCTATAGCGCCGTCCGGCTTCCTAACGCAGCACCACTTCACATAGATATTCGGGGCCGATAAGATGAATGACGTAGCTGACAGGGATGGCAGATAATAATCGAAGATTTGCGCACGATGCTAAGGTTATTAAGGTGACACCGAAAATTAAATGCATAGGCACCGGTATCTGGAAGCGATCTAACAGTTGTTGATCTGTGCAAGAACGATGTTAGCTTATGTTTGATAGTATGCAATATCTCGCAGGCACAGTCATACCTTAGGGATTAACAGAAGAAGAGACAATAAAATGTCAGCAATCAACTCACACAAACATGCGGCAATAGAGAGAAACCGGGGAGTCTCAAAAGATCCGCGGGGAATCGTGACTCCGGGTCGGAGACACTAGTCCCAGAATGGTCTAGGGCGACAGATCAATACCGCGGCAGAACAAAGAAGCGATACGGTTAATCGGTCCCGCTCAATTATTTTATTTCAGTCTCTACGTGATGTGGTGTCTTTCACGGATTCGTATTTTCACTTATAAATTTCTTTGCAAACTAATCAAGTCTCTTTATAATAGCGCTCGCAATTTTTGGTCCAGCATTACCTTTATCCATAACTTTTGGGCATTGGGTCGTAAATCAATGAGGTCTTCAGCAACATGCTGTTCAAAATGACAGCTGCAAGAGAGGTATCTGTTATCGCCGTCTACATTCGTTCGGTCAATACCATGTACTGTAGCATATCAGCAGCTCATGTTCTCATGCTTTGGTTCCCAATTTGGGGACTCGGACTCGAAGGTGCAGAAGGAGCATAAGAGCACCCCAGATGGCAGCAGAGAAGAAAGTAGCGCGAAGGGCAGCAGCATACGCTCCGATTACTAGTCAAGGATTTAGTGTCATTAACTTCCACGGGTACATATAATCGAGACTTACCTTGTTGCTGATGCATTGAATCAAGTTTCGCGATTGCTTGGACGGATTTGCGAACAAGGAGGATAACACCCTCCTTGTTGGGTCCGGTGACCATCTCTTCAAGTTGATACACGAGGGTGTTCTGGAAAATCCAACTGCTCGTTGCGACACCCATCACCGATCCGAGGTTTCTCCACAAACCCAAGGTCGTCGTGGCCACAGCCTGGTCCTCTTGATCAGTAGTGGCAAGAACCGACACCATTAGCGAGGGGAAAGAGCATCCTTGTCCGAGACTGGAGAGCGAAACGCAAACCATCGCAAGCCAATCAGGCGTACCAACGCTCATGGAAGCGGCAGCGCAACCACCCAGCAGTAGAAAGATGTCACCAAAGATGATGGTTGGCTTAAGCCGTTTAGTCCAAGTGATGATGAAGCCTGTTGAGACACTGGAAATTGTCACCGCAAGAGTTGAGCCAATTAGCCTGAGACCTGAGTCAGTCGGGGTAGCTAGTTTGACTGCCTGAAAATACAGAGGCGCATTGAAGACCATGGTGTTAACGGAGATGGCGCCGAAGAAGTTTCCAAAGATGAGGCTGGCGCGAGGCTCCTGTACCAATAACGAGATTGGCATCACTCCCCGCTCCACGGTCCGCTCATAGCGAACAAAAACAACAGCTAAGATGAGAGATGAGATCAAGGACGTGATAACAATGGGGTGAGACCAGCTCAACACATTACCACCCAGGTTTAGTCCCATAATCAGTGAAGTCACACCGACGACAAGTATGAGTGAGCCCACAAGATCAATGCTCTTGAGGAGCTGCGTCAAACTCTTCCTCTCTGTTTTCGCCCTCTTCAGGCCCAAGTCGGCAGGGGTTGTCCAAGCTGCCACGATGAAGTAAACAAAGATGAAGGGCAATTGCACGAGGAACGCACCTCTCCACCCCACTTGGTCGCACAGGAACCCGCCAAACGCCAAACCAAGGCAGCCACCAATACCCAGACAGAGATTGATGTAGGACTGGTAGACGCCTCGGTATTCGAGGCGTACTAAATCACTGGAGAGAATCATACCCATGGAGAATACGCCACCGGCTCCGAGTCCGCAAAATGCTCGAGCAGCGATGAAGCTGAACATACTCTGGGCGGCTGCACACCATGCCGTAGTGACGAAAAAGATGGCAATGGCGAAAAGATACACTGGCTTCCTTCCAAATGTGTCAGAAATGCGTCCGAACAGCGGGAGGAAAGCGGTAGACGTCAATAGGAATGCCGTCGACAGCCAAGATGCGGAGTTCGAGGCGTGGAAGTAGGAGGTTATAACAGGGTGACTCGAAGCCATCAACGTGGAGTCAAAAAATCCGATCACGTATCCCATCAAGATACCAGAGAAGATAAGCCAGAATCTCATCGGTGAGACATTGATGAAACGTGAAGCATAGCCAGTAGGCTCACCGGCAACTCCATCTTCGGCATCCCCGGGCACTTGTTTCTGGCTCACGGGGGCAGAAGGGAGTCTCTCGAGGTTAGGTTCAATTTCGAGCCCCTGGGGGATTGAGGTGACTCTAGAGAGACTAAGTATCGCAGGGTCCTCTTCGGGGGCGAAGATGGTTGAGGACAGGCTTGGATCGACATCCTTATCTACAGTCGTATCGTCTTGACTTGTATATAATGATTGACGAGATGACTCATGCAGCAATGGCGTAGACTCAGTAGCAGGGAGAAATGATGGTGGCTTTCCATCTGTTGTATGGGGAGAAGTCATAATCGGAGTAGATGCGGTGAAAGAAATTGTATCAAATGATCACTCTAAAATACGACTTTTGTTGGATAGAACTTAAAGATCATGAAACATAGTATATGGAGCCGAATATTTCCACTGAAGTTCTGTTCATACAAAGAAGGAAAAAAAGATAGTTGAGAAGAGAAAGGAAAGGGAGCAGTCTACAAGGGGAGGTGTAATTCAGTCGGGGAGACTGGCTGAGACAAATTTTATAGAGGGATTTTCTGGTCTGCGGCACTAAAGAATGCACGCTGCGGCACGGTGGATTCCCTCCCGCACGGAACTATGGATATGACTCGACTCGGTCAGCCTTTGCCTCCTGGACCTTATTGCGCGGAAAGACCAACCCATTCTCCACCGATTTGGACGGCTGCATTGGTTGGTTCAGAGGCATGAGGAGCCCAAAATTTTGACATACGTACCCGTCAAAGTTCTTCAAGTCTCATGGTAGATAGATATGAAGTGAAGTCAACAAACCCTGGAAGCTGATTTGATAAGCGCAGTTAGCGGCATTGCTGCCTCCAACCCCTCATCTTCTAGTATGCATTTAGTATGCATGTGGACAGGATCCTTCTTGATGCACGCAAATGAGTGTCTCGCTCGTGCTGCGATTTCGGCCCACTCCCAGAATATCACGTGTAATCACTCTTGCTGATTGGTTCAACTGCAGTCATCGGACCCCATGCCGTGTATGCACCCTGCAGAGTCTAACCTGAATAGGAATGGGGGCCCTCAGAGCGATACCGGCAGAGTACATCTCGGTAAGGCATCAATACCGAGTGGACTACTTAGTACCTACTAACTTATCTATGGGGGTGCAGTAGTCGCCTGTGTCATCTGCGGAGCTGATGGCGTGCGAACTGTCAGGCCCAGGTACCATCTTCTATCTACCAATGAGTACTTTTCTCTTATGGCATTCAACGGACAACTAGCCGAGCTCGATCGTTTTCCGAAGCCAAGGATGAGTTATTTCTTTTGAGACAGATGAAGAGAAACCACCGGTACTGCGCAAGTCAACAGATCAGCCTTAGCAGATGACACAGTGCCGTATGCACGCAGCTTGCATGTTCAGTAAATGCTGCTGAAAGAACCCTGCCACATTGCACCGACTAGTTGCAGGGTTCAATCCCGACTGCATGGTGTGTGCAACTCGATATTTTGTAGTCGTCTCTGCCCAATGCTTGAACAAGATTTACTCTTCAACTATCCAATCACCTCCAATCAAGAAGCAAGTTCCATCCGGTGGCCGCTTTGCTATGACATCCTCCCCGCATCAAGATGCATGATCAGCCACTACTTTGCTAGATGTTAGTCAATGCCATCCTATCAGGTGCACCGTGTATACTCCTTATCAAGGACACTGCATGGTCTTTGAGAGATTTTCAAGAGAGACATAGAACCTCATGAGAAGAGTCTGGATGGTTTCGGTCCGAGCGGGAGGCACATCCGAAGGAGGTGGCGGGACTACCTTCTGATAACCAGACTAGCGCATTCGATAAGAGCAGCCAACGGTGATTCATACAACCATATTACCTGTCCAGGCCACCATTTCCGACACAGTCATTGCGCATAACTAACAAGCAGATCAAACCATAATCTGCAAACAGCTTGCATTGCAGATAAGTAAGTAGCAGCTTTTCAACCCGCTCCTGCAGCTGCTTTCCTCTCCGGAACCCGTCTTCGAATCACCGAATTACCCCTCCCTCCACCACCATGCCCCCGCTTCGTATCGCCATCCTTGAATGCGACACCCCAGTCGAAAAAGTAAACAACAAATATGGAGGCTATCGCGGCGTATTCTCACTCCTGCTGCGTGAAAGTGCTGCAGCACTAGGACAACCCGATAAGCTAGACCCAGAAACCGGCCTCGAGTTTAGCGGCTGGGACGTGGTAACTGCGCAAGAGTACCCCAACCTGGAGGATGTAGACGCAATTGTTTTGTCCGGGTCAAGTGAGTTAGCTACCTACCCTTCGTGCTCTTCCTTAATTCCCGCGCACCGTGCAGCATGCACTTCCTCTGCAAGGCGCGCCCTGTGACTCACATTGTCTCCTAGAACACGATTCCTTTGAGGACCACCCTTGGATCCTCAAGCTGGTTGAATTCACCAAAAAAGCTTTCGAAGACAAGCGCGTTAAGATTTTCGCTATTTGCTTCGGCCATCAGATCCTGGCACGTGCGCTTGGCGCCAGAGTTGGTCGCAACACTGCAGGATGGGAACTTGCAGTGTGTGAGGTGGACTTGACTGAGACGGGGAAGGAGTTGTTCGGGAGGGATAAGCTTGTATGTCTACCATCCTTCTCTCCGTCACCAGGGCATGCATATAGCTTTTATGTGTATGGGTTCTATGCTGACAAAGTATGTTTACAGCGCATTCATCAAATGCACCAGGATATTGCGTACGGGTACCCATCCGAGGTCATCTCCCTGGGCGCTTCCCCGAGGTGTGCAGTACAGGGCATGTATGTCCCTGGGAAGTTGATCTCTGTCCAGGGCCATCCGGAATTCAGAGAAGACATCATGACCGAGATCCTTACTTTGCGGACTGCGGCTGGTATCTTCTCGAAAGAACAATCAGAAGATGCCTTTAATCGCGCAGGCATCCCACACGACGGCATTGCGATTACCATGGCCTTCTTGAAGCTTCTGATTTGAATAGACCTGAACATATAGAGCGACATTTTACTTTGCTGCCAGGACTGGCTGAGATACCTCCATAGCTAACAATACTTTGGGTACCCGCTGAAATTCAGCTCCAGCGACGCATATAACTAGACAGATCAAGAATAGATGTCTTTTATCCACTAAAGATGCAAATGGTTAAAACCGCAAACCCAAGCGCATCTAGCCAGATGACCATAAACGATGGGTATAGAGCGACCTATATATAATCAGAGACACCGAAATCAAATCAGACCCCACAGATCCTATACCGATCCGCAATAAAACCATCACCGAAATGCAAACGCTTAAAATTGACAAACCCTCCGAAGCAACAATATCCCAGTAAAACAATCACACCCCAATACCTGCACTATATCACCCCGTAGCCGACGGATCCTCCCTCTCCAAAAACGTCGGGTCCATCTCCACCTTCCTCTCAAACTTCGTCCACCAATCACGAAAAGTCTTCAACGGAACAGTTTCCTGTCCTCTATTGCTCGGATCCTCCGACGCAAAGCTCGCCAGGAAATTGAACGCATTCCCAATAATCCTCTGCGCCAGCACCTTCGTAGTAATTTCCTTCTGCTGTCGTGTATGTCGCACCAACTCTAACGACGACCCCGCGCCGCCAGCTTGTTCCGCCTCCAGCGCAGCGATCTGTGGTGCAACAGCTTGAACAGGTTCAAGCGAGATCCCCAGCGTTACCATTGGTGCTGCGCCCGCCATCGCATTGCCATTCTGTAGTCCTGGGATTTGCGGGGCCTGCACTTTAAGGATCGCAGATGGTCTCTCATTCGCTAGCGCACCGATAAATTTGAACTGGGGTGCGTTGTTAGGGTCGGGGAATTGGATGTAGATAGCAGCGGCGGTATCGGGCGGGAGGACGGTGCCGGGGAGAAAGAAGACGACAAGTTCGGTGAGTTTGGGCGGAAGGGGGAAATTGAAGGCGAATTTGGTGGTTTGGCCGTTTGGTTGTGTCTCGACTGCGACGATGTCTGTCAGGCAGGGATGGTCTGGTATGATGACGGAGAACATGGTGCGCAATTGGCAGTGAGGAGGGGGATGACGAAATTAAGACTGTTGTATTGTATAGAGCATGTAGATTGGATCTCGATGTGGTGGGATAGTAATCTTAATGTGTATTGTTATAGCTGGACTAGAACAGCCGGAGAGAATTGCGACGCATGGCTTAAAAGGGTCCTAAAGCTTCCGGAGGCGGAGAAGAGCTAGCTAGCCAGCTTTTGAAGAATTTCCTGGCGCGTTCCATGATGGAATCTCAAAGAAAGACTCGGTGACGAAATGGCCGTCTATTGCCCTTATCGATAAGGGTTCCCTCCCGCGTCTAGGCTGGTTGAACTCTTCCAGTTGGCAGAGGGGGGGCATCCCCGCGGCTAAGTTTATAATTATTATTATTGGTGACTCACCAGCCTACAGGACTTGTGTATATACGTCTTTCGTTAAGATTGTTCTTTTAGCATCATGGGCAAGTCAAATCTTGAGCTGGTTATTGAGTGCGATAGGTAATTATTATCCCATATCCTTTGTCCCGATCGCTTGGGTTCTAATCGTCAGATCCGCATGGCAGATTTCCGTACTACCAAGATGGCCCCGCTTCTTATATTGAGCACCTGAAGAATTATCATGTTTTCAAGGTCGCCGGTTGCGATGCCATTCTCGGTTATATCCTGAACTCGACAGTAGAGAGGTTCGACTTGCCCTCGGAATGGTGGGCGACTGATTCCGACAACCGGAGCGTCACCCTCCTGGCTCCGGCTGACGCGACTCCTCAACAGCGCAGCGAGATCATGGCCAAGACGTTGAGTAAGGCAGTGGAGTTGGGAACATTTGACATTCTCAAGGGTTGGCGCAATGAAATGTATCCTATCTATGGACCCGGCGGTAAATTTCTCCTGGAAATGGAACGATCTGCTACCCCGCTGTTTGGTGTCGTTTCGTACGGCGTGCACTCGACCGTTTACGTGGAAGACGAGAATGGTCTACGCATCTGGGTTCCCAGGCGCTCGAAAACCAAGCAGACATACCCCGGTATGCTTGATAACTCCGTGGCGGGTGGAATGAGCACCACGGAGCACCCGTTTGAATGCCTTGTTCGCGAGGCGATGGAGGAAGCTTCCCTGCCGGAGGACGTTGTCAGAGCTAATGCCACTCCAGCGGGATGTGTCACGTACACGTATGTCCGGAGTGCAAAGGCTGGAGGCGAAACAGACCTGGTGCAGCCGGAGGTCGAGTATATTTTCGATGTCAAGGTCGGGGCGGATATTATCCCCAAGCCTTGCGACACTGAAGTCGAGGAGTTCAATCTTTTCACTATCGAAGAGACGAAGAAGGCACTGGCTAATGGGGAGTTCAAGCCCAACTGTGCCGTTGTCTTGATTGACTTCTTCATTAGACATGGTATTTTGACACCAGAGAACGAGCCGGACTACCTTGAGATCATCGCACGGATGCATCGGCGCTTGGAGTTCCCGACTGCATCACACGTGACGGTATAACCTACAACTGACTCGCATATATGGAATCAGAAATGTGGTGTGAAGCAATATTTAATGTTCTATTTGATATACCCTATCACCAATCAAACGCCGGCGCTGCAATCAAAGTACCCCAAGCATGCAAAAGACTTTTCTGACTATCCAAGACAGAACGGGCCAACGCCTTAGACTTTCTGGACACTATATGTGATGGTCGTGAAAGTTTCTTTTTTCTATTTCTTCAGGAGCAGATACACGTAGTCGATCCTCAAGGGGGCCAACTTCTTGTAAGGACCTTCGAGGTAAAGCAAAAGTCCACCGAAAGAGATGAAAACGGCCCTAGACACGATTTAGTCAGTTGTTGATCGATAATAATCTCGGTCACATCGCGAAGTCCGCAACAGACCGCGATACGTGACACAGGAAATCTTACATGTTACCCTGACTCGAACCCTCCTCGAAGCGGTAAACCTTGCCGTGGCAGACATAATCGTAGTCGTTGGCCAAGGTCTGCTCGCCCATTCCAACCTCTCTCCAGCCCTTCGATCCGGAGTCATCCTTGCCATCCAGAGAAAGCGTCGAGGCCAGAGCCATGTTCACAGACTCGCCAACGACGCAAGGGTAAAGCTCGGAGTTGACATCGAGGGTGAAGTGCGAGAGGGTATCAGTGGAGTTGCAGCTCAGACGCGAAACACGGTCATATTTCTGGGAGTTGATGGTGGTGATTGTGAAGGTGTCTTCGAAAAGTACCGGGTCGGACATGGTTGCGGCGGTGGCTTTGAGCGTTCAATTGAATCGCAAAATGAATGAGATGCAGGCGTTTATGCGAAAGACGGTATTCGGGGAGGAACAAGACGTGCGCTGGCAACAAGAGGCGTGGTGGTCGTGGTAGCGCCAGAAGGTGAAAGCGAAGAGTCGAGGGCGGACAGCTTTTTTGCTCGACTTTTAGCGCGGCGCCGCTTTTACTTTCCGGGAGCTGCCCCGCAGCAAATCTTCAAAGTATTCCGTTCGGTTCACTGCTTTCAATCACTCTACCACCTTACACGATGTCTTTTCGCAAGAGAAATATTGGACTTTCGGCAGGCGCTGATCGCACCGGTGCCGTTAATGCTAACGCACAGCCGCAACAGCCTTCTGCGACGCCAGAATTGACTCCCGGAGTTCGCCCCTCCCCCGACGACGGGCGCCCGACTACTTCGACTGGTACTCCGTCGCTGGATAACCTTCTGGCTGGGCATGGAGGTCTTCCCATCGGGAAGACACTGCTGATTGAGGAGAATGGAACTACGGATTTTGCTGGTGCACTGCTAAGATACTATGCGGCAGAGGGTGTTGTGCAAGATCAAAAGATTCATATCGTGGGAATGCCTGAACAATGGGGAAGAAGTCTTCCGGGCTTGTTAGGCCCTGCTGATGCTATTGATGACAAGCAAGACAAACGGAAAGGCGAGCGCATGAAGATCGCTTGGCGATACGAGCGTCTGGGCGAGTTCGGAGCAGGAATTGCTGGTTCAAGAGGTATACTATCTTGTCATATTGTCACTGTGAGAGTTTAGAGGTAGTGTGCTAACAGACACGATTCTGCAGCGCCCTCAGGAGACCAGAGCCAATCTGCCGCAGACCCAAACGTGGACAAGCGACCAGCATTCTGCCATGCGTTTGACCTCACGAAACGTCTCACTCACCCATCCATAGCCAACCTGAACTATATACCCCTCGCGCCATCGAACGAGCCTTTGTTTGTGTCGATTCACAAACGTCTTCAAGCTGCAATTGCCTCTTGCCCGCCAAATACTGTCCATCGCATCCTCATCCCTTCGTTATTAAATCCCACGATATACCCACCCGATTCCTGCCAGCCCGACAACCTTCTACCGTTCCTACACTCCCTCAGGGCTTTGATGAGCGCGCAGGGCGCACGGGTGACGGCGATGATCACTCTGCCCTTGTCCCTTTTCCCCCGCGCCACGGGACTTGTGCGATGGATGGAATTGTTGAGTGACGGTGTCATTGAATTGTGTCCCTTCCCGCACTCTTCTGATGCTCTCGCAACCTCGGGTGCCGCTACTTCACAGGAGGAACCACCACAGGGCATGCTGAAGGTCCATCGACTACCAGTACTGCACGAACGTGGCGGTGGTAGCGATCAGAACATCGGACAGGATTGGGCTTTCACGCTGAGCCGGAAGAAGTTCGAAATCAAGCCGTTCAGCTTACCGCCAGCTGAAGGAGACAAGGAGGGGCAGGATGCAGCGGTAACGGGTGGAATGCCAAAGAAGGCGGATCTTGAGTTCTAAGTTGCACGAAGGGTGGAACAGCCAAAACCAGACCACAATCACTCCTCGTGATCCGAATCGTCCAACATATTCTGCAGCTCGATCTGCTCGGACATAGCGGACCCAGTGTTGACCATTGATCGGAGGTAGTGTCTCCCATATGAGTCAAGTCCAGGTCCGGCAGGTGATGCTGAGAAATAAGTCCGAAGACGAGGTGCGATGAATTTCGAGAAGCCTAGATATGCTTCGAGCTGTCAGCGGCTTGTCAGTGGAGATGGGCGAGCCGGTGGTACCTAAGAGTAGCAGAAAGGGTGCAAAGAACACCATAAAAAGTAGGAACAAGAAGCTCATTCTGTCTTAGGGTGGCAATCTAGTCACTTGAACAGCTTCCGATAATGATTATACGGATCTTATCATCTAGTGGTAGCTTTCACGAATCTCCGAAGAGCATCAACTCTCCCACATTCTATGACTAAGCACCAATAATGCCACTAGCTTCAATAGGAAAGGCGTGATTTCCGCGCAGCTCTTTAAGAGCTTCCACCCCACCGAATATTTTTTCTCGCTTCCATCCTCATCGCTCATTCAACGACAATCTGGATTTGCTGGCCAAGTCCACGAGCATCATTTCTCAATTCGATACTCTATAATGCTGAGTTGTATTGATGGTAAGCAACTGTCCCTTTCTTCCGCGTCAATTGTTCTTGCTTGCATGATTATACAAATACTATAATCTGTCAATCCCCTGAAGCTCAACTAAAAAATCTCATTAAAACGAGCATATGTGATTGAGAAACGTATCGAAAATGATTAGCATTTTCTTGCGCTTTATGTTTCATCCATACATGTCATGGAAGCTGAACGCTAACGTTCATTCAGTCGCACCAGATCCCTTGATAAATTGAATTGCCCTTAGTCGCTAAAATGGATATCGAACCCACCCTTCCTATTCCGATCTCGTATATTGGGGGTAGCTACTTTCTCTTCTCAATTGATGCAGTTACGTATGTGAGACGCGAGTATCACATTTGCGGCGTCTTAAGCGGCACATTGCCTCAAATCCCACAACAGAATGTCTTCCTGGGCTTGCCATTGAAGCTAATGCCGGAAGAGGCCCGGTTGCTCGTGGAGAAAGGTGTAGCATGCATTGTAGACGAGGTAAAAGTCCAAAAGGACGGAATGCGAGCCCTCATGGAGGAGGATCGCAAGAAGTATCTCCGTGAGCTAGAATCTCAAGGCCAGCATGCTATGCGACTACAGAACGACCGGAAGGAGCAGCAACGCGAGAAGGCTTTAAAGAAAATAGAAGAAAAGAAGGCCGCAAAGGCCAAAAAGTCTGCTGAAAGGCAGCAGGAGCAGCAGCCTGCCCCTCTTAATAATGAGGCTGCTGCTCAAGACCCGGTTGTTGACTTGTTCGCAAATGACCAGGAGGGTACTGGCGAAATGTCGCGCCGTTCTTCGACTGCCACTGCTGCTCCCTTTGGCACTGTCATGGGAGTCACGCCTGCTACATCTTATCCGCCTCTTCCGTATGAGTGGTCTGCTGAGCAACAGCTACCGCTTCCTGATGTGCCTTCCTCATACCCATTATTCGCTCACCTTCATTCCGAAGGATACTTCTTATCCCCTGGGTTGCGATTCGGGTGTCAGTATCTTGCCTATCCCGGTGATCCTTTACGGTTCCATTCACACTTCCTGAGTGTGTCTGCTGACTGGGATGAGGAGTTGGATTTGATGAGCATCGTTGCCGGTGGTCGACTAGGTACTGGTGTGAAGAAGGGTTTCTTGATTGGAGGAGCTGAGAAGAAGATCGAGGGCTCGGATGCTGGAGACCCCAGTAGTGTGAGGACTTTCAGCATTGAATGGGGTGGAATGTGATGTGGACTGTTTTCGACGTCCTTTTCGGTCTTCATTGGTCGTCTCCTGAGCTAAGCAGCGCATGTCGCGCGCGCACCGCTTGCAGCATATGCCTGATAGCTGCTTGCCTCAGTGGAACAGAAGCGTAACGTCAAAAGCAGTTGTGCGGCGTTGCGCATTACCTTCATGCGCTCTCAAGTCTGGCAGAAATGCATACGGGCTTGATTGCAGCAGCCATTCATCGGTACAGCTAGTAGAGCTGTTATCTGGCAAGGCTAAACAAACTGGTCTACAGCTGTCGAATTCTCCAGCAGACACCCCAGGCAGCACAGTCCGACATACAGGACTTTGATCGATCTCACTCCAGCGTTGAAGATCCCTGCCATGGGTAAACTACAAAGATGAGATCAAATCGAAACATATCATCAACTATACATTCTTTATTATTCCGGCGTACACTTCCTGTAATAGCTACCGTATCAAAAGGGTCCCGGCCTCTTTTGCACAAAGGGCGTGTCTCAAGCCTGATATCCTGCTGGACCAAATTGGCATGGCAGTCTGTCTTGGTTCGCTCCAAGGACTCGAGAGCAAGGCTCGCTCACATGGTAGAAGAGGATCATCAATCCTCCCATCAAATATCAGGTGCCAGTGCGAGGCTGAATAATGCCTCGTGCCTTCGTAGGAGGTGCTCCCTTATAGGGATCACCATATGGGAATGAAATCTCCATAGCACGTGCCTGCTTGATGTGAAGCCTCCGTCAAACATGCTGCAGACGGAGCGATCTCGATGCTGCGTCCCCTGGCGCGTCAGCCTTGAGTAGTCTACCACGGCTATGGTCAGACTGAATTAGTGGATCCAAGCTCTGCAGGATAGTCTCCCTTGACCGTTCACTCGTGCAGTCCACTTTAAACGATCGAGCGATCGTTGCCATATGAATCTTCCATCTTCTCAACAGCTTAGATATAATCCACATTCCGCCATTTGAATTTCTTGTTCGCCCTGTCAACCGGACGATTCTGGAACTGACTGCCATGGAGCTCAAACACGAGCTCCTTCTTAGCAGAATCAGCGCTCGTCTCCCCAGTCACCGCCGCGCCATCAGCATCATCCGCCTCAGGCAAAGGCACACTAAACCGGAAAATAGTCTGCTCCTTCGGAATAGCTAGATTCACACCCACATTAGCAACACACAAACCAAACCTCATCAAGAAAAAGAATAAAACATACTCTTAACCTCATCCCCCCTCGTAACAACCACAAACGTAAACTTCGTATCCCTAACCACAATCCCCTTAACCCCGACCCTCCCCTCACACCGACTCCTTACAACCTCCACCTCCGCGCCATGAAAATCCGCACTGGAGAGCTTACTCCCATGCGACAACGGTGTCATCGGCGGCTTGAATTTCTTTGCCCCCAAGTCTAGCATATCCTGCATATACCGCACCCACATGGCATGCAGCTCCTGGAAAACCGCATACTTGCATTCTTCCTTGGGGAGGTTGTAGAGGCCCGAGGCGCGCTTCTGACGCGCGGATAAAGGCTGCGGCTTTTGTTTGCGGAGGAAATACTCTTTCTTGCGGAGGCGATGGAGGCGCCGGCGCGAGCGGTTGTCGGCGGGCGTTGGGGACGTGGGACGCACGTAGAGAGGCTTTTGTTTTATGCGCTCGGTGAAGAGTTGCGAGGCTGTGTCGGGGGAGTGCGCGCGCGAGAGGAGCGTGTGTGCGATGTGGGGTTTGGGGGTTGTCATTTTTTCCGAATCCCTTCCTGTGCAATGGGGTGGATATGTTGAGGGTTTGTTGGACGGAGGTATGGAGTGGTGGTTTGGTGGTGGTGGTGACGATGTGATGGTGTTGGAAATTTGGTGGTTATCGGTTCCTGATAAGATCACATGCTGATTGGGTTGGGGTCCACTGGCTTGCGACGTATGCAAAGTCCTGCATCTATCATCCACTCAACGATAGTCGATTCTTATACGATTCCTTCCGCTGATATGGCTTGTTTAGAGTCTAAGTTTTGTCAATTAAGGGAAGTTCATGAGATTTAAGTGATTTCCCACACCAGCTGTGACATGATGTAGCTAAATCGGGGCATCGCCCACGACTCGATTGGTACAGACTATAGCTCAATTCTGACGATATTATAGTGATTGCTAATCTGAAGACGACTTTCTGCATCAGAGCTACTATAAATTTTCTCAAATTGGCTCACCAACCGGATTCCACGCATATAAAGCCCTAGCATTTGGTTCTTGTCTGCCGCCGGCGTTTGCACAATATTAAGCGATGCAGCAAAGAAACCCTCGGATATAGATAAATAGCACGATGTACCGCTCATATAACAAATTAGCTCTGACTCAAAGCAAACATATGCTGGTATGTCTGGAAGTCTGGTCTCTTCGCTTGCATCACATTATGGTTGCCGATTAGTTATCCCTCGGCATAAATGTCTTCCCCGCATGTCACTTACTATATATACTGAGTGTCGAGCTAAGACAATACTGCCAGAGGTTACAGCCAACATCATCTACTACCACAATGTCCGAAACCAACAATTTACCTCCATTCCCATCCGACATTCCCACAGCTCCTCTCCTCCGTCTTTCACTTTCCAAACTACAAGCCCACGATATCACGGAAACCCACAACCTCCTACAAGCCTGCAAAGACATCGGCTTCTTCTACCTCGATCTCCGCGATTCAAACGAGGGCACCAACCTGCTCAACAACGCAGACAAGCTATTCCCAATAGGCGAGCGCCTATTCGACCTACCCCTAGACGAGAAAAAGAAATACGACCTCGCCAGCCAGAAATCCTATTATGGATACAAAGCGCAAGGTGCCATGGTAGCAGACAGACAGGGCAATCTAGACGGGAATGAGTTCTACAATGTCCCTATCCCCCATTATACCATCCTACAATCCAACCACATACTAACACCCACATGCAGGTCTCCAAAGACGATATCCTGAACATCGCTCCCTCTCTCCCATCCCCACCAATCCTACAGGAATCCCGTCCCCTTCTCGAATCATTCGTCCGAACCTCCCACGACATCGTGACTCTCCTTCTCTCAATCCTAAGCGATAGCCTTTCTCTTCCTACATCTACCCTGCCCGACCTCCACCGTCTAACCGCCCCAAGCGGTGACCAAATCCGCTTCATCAAGGCCCCCCCTACCGCTACTCAGAACCCCACACTAGGCGAACACACCGACTTCGGCAGCGTCACCATCCTCTTCAACCGTATCGGAGGCCTGCAAGTCCTCCCTCCCGGAGCGGACGCAGAATGGACGTACGTGCGTCCGCTATCCGGCCATGCTATTATCAACCTAGGTGATGCAATGGTGAAGTTCACTAACGGGCTGTTTCGATCGAATATCCATCGGGTGGTTGCGCCGCCGGGACAGCAGGCGGGTTGCACGCGGTATAGTCTGGTGTATTTTGCGAGGCCGGAGGATGAGGTTCCTTTGCGGCGGTTGGAGTCGGATAGGATTCCGGCGTTGGGGGAGGGGGTGGTTGAGGAGGAGATTAGTAGTAAGGATTGGGTGATAAGNAGGGCGTTAGGGAGGAGGGTGGATTTGGGGCCGGTGGACTATGAGAAGGCGGCTGGGACGGAGGGGGTGAGTAGGAGGTTGAGAGTCTAGTCGGATAATTGTGCTCTGCTTTTATAGTAATTCGTGCGATTAATATACAATGACTTATGTCCCTGATATTGCTGTCCACAGGAATGTCGTTACGCACGGAGAGGGGCTTTTACACTATTATTGATAGTTTGGCTAATCTATGACCGAGTAGACTGTAAGGTCACGCCGATCACAAGTAGCCGCCTAAAGGTATATCTTGTGTCAGTAGTACCAGTAATTGGTAACCAGAGCCTCGGTAGGATTACGAATTCTTCCCCCTTCATAAGATCAAAACTTTTACCATGCAATTAGACATCAGGACCACAAAATAAGTTGGTAGACTACTTCTTTACTCAAAATCATCAGGAAATTCATCCTCATCATCATATGGCAGGCCATGTATGTCCGACATGCCGCGCCCAGTAGTTTCTGGAGTCCTCTGCATCCGGTGCCTCTGAGGCGATTGGAAGGCCAATTCATCAAATTCGTCATGTCTACCAGCTTGCCACTGATGATGGACATTGGCGGTTCGAGGAGCGCCTCCTCCACCAGAGCTACTTATGAGATCATTTGCTCGGCCACCGCCGCGACGTCGGTTTCTCGGAGGCGACGTGATCTCCTCCGGAGCCCGAATCGATGGGCTATAGTTGGAAGATACTCTGTACAAGTCCCGATCGGCTGGCATATTGGACGGCCAGTCGTCTAATCGTAGGCGTTCAACAAAAGCCCGATGCGCCATGTCAGCTCCGAGGACCCGCGAGACGTAGTCGTAGAATTCCTTGGATGCAGCTGCTACTTGCTGGACGTGCTTAACCTGCAGGAACACCGGCTTGGACGTTTCTTCGGCCTCGAATTCCGCCAGCGCGATGGCAGTTTGGCATCCGTTGCGGATCTGTCGCCCGTTCCAGCGCGTTCTGGATTTACTGTTCTGCTCCCAGTTTGCATCAGCCCACTCCAGGATGGGGTCCATGTCGATGGTCAATGACGTCTTTCGCGCTTTGGCTTTTTCCAAATTCATTTCCCAGATGGCGTGGTTCTGGCCTTTGTTGAGCCCGGGGTAGTAGAGGGCCAGGTGGATGCGAGAGACGAAGGCTTCATCGAAGGAGCCCACTCGATTGGTGGTGAGGAACAATAAGCCTTTGTAGTATTCTAGTACTCGCAAGAACACTTTCGTTCGCAAGGTCAGTAAGATTGAGAGGCCCTGTCAAATGAAGGCGAACACTCACCTGAAACAATTGCATTTCTTTCCAACTCCGTTTTGCTGCGCGCCGCAAGGAAGACATCGGCTTCATCCAGTAGCAGGACGCAATTCCACGCCTCAGCCTGGGCGGATATACGATTTAGCTTGTCTTCCACTACTTCCGCGCTTGTTCCCAAGTCACCGCAGGTGATCGGATACAGTGGTCTTTCAAGCCAAGCCGCCATACATTCAGCAGTCGACGTCTTGCCTACACCCGGCTCACCGTGGAGCAAGATGATAAGGCCTTCTCCTTTTCCTCTGACCACATCAGGATCAACTTGCTGGCTTTCTCCGTCCTCTTTCGACTTCCTATCTGAAAAATGGCGCTTCACCTGTGCGTAGAGCATTCTTTTGTGACCAGGCCGCAATTTGAGATTCTTCCAGCCATCGTCAGTAGGAACAGGACGCATGCGTTCGAGATCGCAAAGTGCCCACCGACGGCGATGAAGATCCCATGCGCAAGCACGGTCGGGCATCATAACAAGCTCATCATCGCTCCACACTTCCTTCCTGGTTACTTGCTGTTCTGGGGCAGATTCTTGGCGAGCCAGGAAGGCATCATCGCGAATGAAGTCCTTGGTTAACTCTACATCCACCCAGTCGTCGTCGTAGATCGCTTCGGAAAAAGATCGAATATAGTCCTTAGTCTCACGGTTCGCTAGCACTCGGACATACAAAGTTTCTGAACTTCACTTCCTGTTCCTCCCATGGTACTGGGAATTGACAAGCTGGGCACCCACTCCTGGTCTTCGTTGCGGGCTGTTTTGAAATCAACAATGATATTACCCTTTATGTAGTCGGTCCGCCTGTTAAAACTCCCCGGGCAGGATGCGCCATCCACATGACACGTTAGGGTGGATCCTGAATAGAAACGATGTTGTGGGGTGGCGAAAGTAGCAAAGAGCTCGCCTTGCTTCAACAACTTATCGCGCAGCGCTTGGTAGTCGTCCACAAATCGAGTCGGGACTATCCCCAAAGACCGAATCGAGCGCTCTCCACTGAAGTGAGGAAGATGGAAGTCTCGTGAAAGCACACCGAACCGCTCCCCATCATATCCAATCTTATAAAGTCGAATGATAAAATGATTAACCCTTCCAGAGTAGTTGGAGTTCAAGACTGGTCGTCCTTCAGAGACCTGCAGTACTTTCCAAATACTTGGACGATTGGTTGGCTGGACATGTGGTGCACTTTGCTCCGGAGTGAACCAACAAGCCACCTGCATACCTGGGTGGAATAGGTACCATAGATTGCTGAAAGAGATTGTTGGGTCAAGTGTCGATGGGCTTGGAGCGAAGTTATCTAGTAGAGCACGATGACGGCTTATTACCGGACTGAGATGACGATCCATGAAACTGACAAGGCAGTCGAGTGCGCGAAAGGCTTGACGAGAATCAATTGGCTCTTTACCTGGCTCTAGAAGTGTAGGGTCATCGAGCTCCTCATGCCCACTCCCTATTCGCCATTTAGCTGCGAGCTGTCGATGCCGCTCGCGTATCTCCTGGTCGTATCCGACGAGTATTTTGTATGGGCGTAACACGACAAACGGGGCAGACTGATCAATTCGGGAAACAATATCCTTCAGAAGGGACGCTAGAAGACTGGAGTTAATTCGAATACGCTCTGGGAGATCGTCTTCGGCGCCACCGGTATCTGTTTTGGGCTTTGGGTCTCCTTCTGATGTATTTTCGCCCTCCTCACCCCTGATCAGGGCAAAGTCACCGAAGCGACGGATGATTCTTTCGGTTTGTTGCCAGCAGTACTGCGCAGGGCCTTCCAAGACGTCGATGACATGACGTTTTTCCTCGGCGTACATCGTCTTGAACTCATTCCATTTCACGTAACGGAGATCCATAATAACATCATCGGAGTCATCACAAGGGTAATGCTTGGGTTCTTCGTCCTCTGCATCGCTGGATGTAGAGTCATCACGACTGTGGTCGTTATCACCCTTATCGTTTGCAGCTTTCTCGGTTATCTTAGCATTGCTTTGTTCGAGACTTTGAATTCTCGCGCGAAGGTCCTGCAACTCTTTCAACAACTCCACAGCGGAGTCGTGGCTCGAATTCTTCGTAGGAGTATCGACCGGGATTGCCACTATCGGCTCTTCAGTGATGGTCGCCATGTTTGAATTAATAATTCCAGGTATGAACTAGATCGACTGGCGAGCGTTTCTGAAAAATAAAGAGATCACATTGAAGGGCAAAGACCATGATTTGAAAACGGCTCTTCTGAGTGTGACTTTATACGCATGTAGGCTCAGCACACGTCTATTGAGACAGTTGAGAGGAGACGTGCGTTCAGGCCAGGAAAGACATAGTATTGCATACCATCCAGAACGAAGCTTATCGTAGTTCGGACCCTCGGAAATGAAGTTGGCGAATGAAAGGCTGAGGATTGACAGTCAACACGAACTATCCCTGCCCGGAGTCGGAGTCTCGGGCTACCGTGCATGAACTACATGGCGAGACCGTGTCCAATATGCAACGCTCGTTCAGCTTCATGGGATGGCGTTCTTCATGTGCCCTCAGTGCATGAGACAGACAGAATACAGCCACTCCCAAATGAGCAGAGCTGAGAGTGGCTGGCTGAAAGACCTGGAGATGGCATCTGGCACCAGTAACAGCGTGGGAAATCCCGCAAGTGCACGGCTTCCCCGCCTGTAAGACCGCATGGAGGGATCCATCTGCACGTCAGCGTATCTATAGCAGTAGGGAATGCTCTCGTATATCTCCGCGGGCCGGACTCCGCTTGCTAATCAGTTTGACCTTGTTGTACGGATAAGTCCGTGGATACGTAGAGTTCCAGCCACTCGAATGTCAATGAAGGCTGAAGATGTCAGGCCGAAAGTCTCGTGTATGGCATCCATCCAATGCGTTTGACAGCGTGAAAAATGCCACAAGCACGAGATTCACCCGCCTATAGGCCAGCAGGGAAGTGATTCGGCTGCACCTATCTTTGTGCGCTGGACTATGTGTGCTAGCCAACCTAGCTTGATCACGCGGGAGCCATGAATAGATGGGTAAGACGGCTGAGGCCCACACGCATATCTACCATGGTGGATCGGATAACAGAGGCAATGGTAGCTCTGAGAAGAACAGTAAGAACCATCATAATCGCAAGCAAGAATGGAGCCGTCTTTGATGCCTAGAATGACTCCGGAGCAAGAAACTCACATGGCAAAAAGCTGGCTTAGAGGACATAGCCACCGACTCCGGTTGCCGCTTTCCAACAGGAGCCAGCCACAGCCATCAGCCCAAATCGATCTTGCGGACACCCGGCAAGAACTTGATGAAGAGTGAGGCAATATAGTGCTCCTGTCTTACCAGGTTCTGATCCTTCTATAATAGTGTCGACGAGGTAGATGAGTTCTGCCAAGTTATCCAATGCTATTCGAACGAGACAAAGGGTACTAGTGAGTATGGCGATGGCCACGGTGGGGGGAGGTTTGATATATATGGCGCGCACAGCTGGAAAGAGGTGGTTAATATTGTCCAAGCGGTCGAGAAAGACTACAATCACAGCGCCACTGGCTGGAAAGGGCTTGCTAGAAGGGCCTTTCGCAAGCTCGGTGAGCATGCAGAGGATTTCAACCCTTGGCTGGACCTCTTGCCGGATGACAAGTATTTTAGCATTGCTTGTGGCGGGCTCAAGATAGTCCTTGGTGTTAGTACACTCCGTGTCACTGGCTTCGTGCATACTGATTGAAGTAGATGGCAGCGCGAAGAAGCGAACAGCGGGAAGCCATTCTTGCATTCTTCGCTGAAATTCCAGATATCATTTTCTGGACCGACCGTTACCATTCTCTTTTCCAGGACGAGGAGGGATTGAAGACCTACCTGTACGAGTTTTATCTGGCTCTCCTCGCCAGAATTCAAGGCACGATTGCAGCGTTGGTGGATGTATCACTGTGTAGGTGTTGGCTTCTAGCTGCAGCGGATATGACACCAATACAGTCCCGTACTAACATGCGCGCTTGAAATCAGGGAGGAAGATTATTTCTGGTCTGAGGGTCAAAAATGCAGACAAATCGCTTGGACACGTCAACCAACGCTTCATGCGGGCCAGGACTCAGCTCGACAAACATCTCCAGTTCGTGCGCGATCGGCTGCAGGTAGATACAAACCAGGGGGTAGTTTATATCAAGCCTATCGTGGACAACCTTGCAACAGAGCAGGAAATAGTAATCCAGCAAAACTCAGATCTGGGGAATTACGTGCGTGGGTTTCGCCACGAGGTCATGACTCGGCTGGAAAGGCAGTTAAACAATCCATCGAGCAATTTCGCGGAGCAGATGCAGCAGGTCCTCCGGAATGAGTTGCAGAAAGCGCAGTGTAGGTTCTCTCAGTGCCACTTATCTTCAACTTAGGCATTGACCTTGCACTTCAGGGCAGATAAACCAGGAAAACATGCAACGAGAGAGTCGACAGTGGCAGATTACGCGCCAAGGGTATCCCAGAAGCGACCTATACTTCTTCCTTCGTTTGAATGAGCAGGATGTGCGACAGCAGTTTATCCAAGATCTCGATGATACTGGCCGTGATGGTCAGGATATTGATATGGCTGCTCAAACCCACGCTCAGCAGCTTCTCCGTATGCCGCGATTCCAAGATTGGATCCGTTCCGACCAGCCAGACATGCTCCACGTCGACGGGAATTGTGACAACTATGCAATGGCGAGATGTTCTCCATTCAGCCTCCTTTGCTGTGTGCTTGTCCACGAGCTACTACAGCAAGCGCATTGCCAAGTTCTGTTCTTCTTCTGTGGATTGCACAATCTGGCCGGGGAGCCCATGGCAGGGCCTGTCGGTCTTGTCAAATCGCTTATCATACAACTGCTTCTGGATACAGACGGCCATTATGATCTCCTTTTCCTGACCTTTGGGCGGAGGGAAGAAGCGTTGTATCACAATGACCTTCCCACCCTCTGTGAGACATTGAGGGAAATGCTAATCCAGAACCGCTCCTCTGCTCTTTTCTGCATTGTCGACGGTGCTTCGTTATTCGAGGTGCGAGAATGGCGTGAAGAGATGGAGTATGTTGTCCAGCGATTATTCAGCCTAACGATTGATCCGGACATTGCAACGGCGTTCAAGGTACTTATTACGAGCCCAGGTATTAGTCGGCTCGCCAGTGGTGTGCCTCAAGCGTGTCGCGTGTATGTGTCAGAAACCAACGAGAGGATTTCAGACGCAGGCTTCCGCAACCCAGAGGCATTTTGGGACGAAGTTGATCGCCGTCGAGAAGACATGGCAGACACTGCAGGAAGATATGAGGTCAATCCATACGAGGCAATGTACAAGGTGGATATGTACAGTGAGGAATATGAGTAGCGAAGTCTACCTCTTTCCGAAAAGAGAAGGTGTAACGCAAGAATAGTTCGGGTTAGTCGTGGTAGTACTAGTAATTGGCAATGCTGAGGAATCATGGTATCAACAAAAATTTCAGCGCATGTCATTTGTTGTAGCCTTGAAATATAATACAGTTGAGATCATCAGAAGTTTTGAGTCATACTTACACAATCCTTCGGGCTACTGTGTTGATAACAAGCATATCCAACGTTTCCACACGAATATGACGACATAGTGCTACGTGCATTTTTTCCGCTTCTTGCCAGCCATTAAATCCTTACCAACACAACCGAATAAGTCCGACTGGCTATTAATACCTCAATATGGCTACTTACATCATAAACAAAAAGGCAAGAAATATAACAAAACAAAATTGGTAAAATAACACAATACGCCGACCTAACATACCAGCAAGTCCTCCCTTCGTAAGTGCTGCCTACCTGCCTATCCGCCAAGAAGGCAACGATGCATATGCACTGCATGCACGCACCAAAGGAATGAGTCAGAAAAAAAGAAAAATTAAATCCAGTCCACTGGCACATCTTTTTCATTTCTTTTTCTCACAGGGATGAATTCTTATTCGGTTCCGGCCTGTTGGGTCGCCATACATGGAAACTCAGGCTCAAATTGATCATCCGAGTTTTTGTTTTGTTTTTCTTTGTTTCTTTGCTTTTGTGGAAGTTTGATGCTCGGCTCGGTCAATACATAACATATAACTTAATAGTCAAAAGTGCCAGTGGCTGGGGTCGGGGGTTCGGTCTTGGTTGCTTACTTGAGAGGGGTGCGTTGACTGGCTTGTTGTCTTTGCTTGATTGTCAGTCTTATAATGTAACTATCCTATATCACAGGGTGTGTAGTGGATCATGTAGTCTTGCTAGTATATAGAATGACACGATAAGAGCTCAATCACGTATCGATTGTCAAGATGCCTAGAGCAGCATTTAGATTGACGGTAAACAATAACTTTCCTCATTTTATTCCCTCGAAAATATACCAGATCACCCACCATGAGATTTACAAGGATCACCCATCCCAAGTAACCCTGACCCGACATGCCAAGAAAATGATCTATGCAATGCCTGGATTGCCCTGTTTCTGGCTGGTGCAGTCAGTCAGTCAGTTGACAAATCGCGAGGTACAGCAGTCAAGTAGGGCGGCTGCAAGAGAACCCTTCCACCGGAGCGGTGATGATTCTTTCAAGCAAGCAAGCAGCCTGTAAATTATGCGAGGGTAAGCGAGGAAAAAGCAAAAATGGATGGGGATGACGCAAGACGGCAGGTGGGAGCGGATGTACACAGGATAAGGCTTACTTAAGGATGAGGTTTGAGTAACCATTGAAAGTTCGGGTGTTTGTCATTGAGTTAGTGTTTTGATTGTCTTTGACTTGTTTATGAAATTGTCAGTGTTTATTGCTTTATGTGATCTTCATACGAGGAATGAGAGTATGTATAGATTTACCGTGGGGATGGACACACTCAAGATAGGTTACTGTTGAACACTGCAAATTGGTACTAAAACTGGATTACAATAGCGTATGATGGACGAAAGAAATAAAGAAGATACCCGTCCCAAGGTACTCAGTAGATAATCCGCAAATCTCCGGCGGGTCGTCGACGGATCGGACCGTTCGAAATGGCCCATGGTAACTGCACTGTAATTCCATGTATACATAAAGGTATCATATCTACAGTAGCAGACCGATAAAATCACCTTGTAATTAGATAGATAAGGCATACCATGATCATCACCAGGATGATGCTTCATAACTCGGATGATCGGCGAATATGAAAGGAGCAAGAATTACCTAGCCCTCCTTGATCGACGTAAGGGCCAGACTATCAGTATCCTCCTGAACACAAGATTGACATCGAGGTGATCTTAATAAAGTGATGTTACACGAGATTATCAGAAAATCCTTCCGTAAGTATACACCGGATTTGTCAATAGGTAGGTAAATCTACGAGCGCCTCCTTCCCGCCTGATCTAGGCATTGTTGCTTTAAGAGGATGAGCCGGGTGAGTCGTCACACTTGGACAGCTATACTCATCCTGCCTCTTCGTGTCGACAATATCTCTTTAGCTGCTTCATCAAGAATGTCAAGATGTCGCGTCAAGAGGCAAAATCATGTAGCATAATATCCTACTTAGCCTTCGAGCAGTTCAGTCCACGATCAGCCAATATAGATTCGATTCGCTCCAACATCAATGAAAAGTGGTTGTCGGTTTGATTCCTAGACACAGAATCCCTCCAACTGTCTAGTAGCTGTCATCAGAAGAGGAGCTTTGCTCGTCACACCTAGCGTTCTTCAGGTCATTGCACAGCCTATCAACTAAACACATAGTGTTCATCAAATCATTGCACAGCTTATCAACATACTGATTCTCCTCTCTTGGAATCCATACATAACGCACATCTCCCTTCTCCTTCAGCCGGTCACTGAGAACCACTGCTTCTTCAATGAGATCTCGATTTGCTACCTCGTTCCCTTTACAATTCATCCATCCGTTCCTGATCCACTTGTAGACCCACTCTTCCATACAGTCAACTGCAAATGCCGAGTCGGAGTAGATCGTGACATCCAACCAAGGGTCAGAGTGTAGTTGATCATATCTCTTCAAGGCCATCCTTAGACCGAGGATAACGGATGTTATCTCAGCTCGCTGATTCGTCGGAGCGGTATATGAAGGCAAGTCTTCTGTTGTCTCGCCATGGAATCTGCCGGACGCGTCCTTAAAAGCAGCGGCTGCAGCCCCGATCGAGCCTGGCTGACCGTTCGGCTCTACAGCCACCGTCAACGTGAATCTTGATGATGTAAACCATGGCGGTGATGGGTATGTCGGGGGAGGAGGCAGATTAGGTCTCTAACTACTGCGGATACGCGAGCCTTCTTGTAGGCGCCTCCAGGTTTCGAACTGCTGCCTTTCAGCAGCGGGTATCTCCACCAGCTGTATAGCCTCAACTCCCAGATGCTTGCCTGGACTCCCAATGAGGTCTCTAGCAAGGTGGTGCTTCAAGTGCTCAGTTTCCCGGCAGTTTCCTTGTGTTCNCGATGCATGTTTAACCATCACCTCTTTCAGTGCCCTATGTTGTTTCTCATCAACTTATCCCCAAGTATTCTGGCAAATCCCAGGATAGCAACACGAGATGGCCAATTACAACGTCACGGCTACTGTACTTGCCTCCATTGCTGCCTCGCAGTCACATGAGCACGATAGTGATTACATTTAATGTCAGTACTGTTGCAATGTCATTCCAAACACCACGATACTATCTTACCTCCCGCTTGCCAACTACTATCTCGTCGGGTTCCAGCATCTCTGATTCCATGGTGCCAGGCTTTTGCATACAATCATTCAGTTAGTCTTACTGTTAGATATAACACACATGGTCAACTAAGATCGTGGGCGGTATTGGCATGACCAAGAGATTAGGACGATTTCTACTTTGCGTTGGTGCTAGTTTTGTTCTATCTTGAATATTATGCCACTGTACTCTGTTGTCTCAGTATATAAAATGCCCCCAAAGAGCCATCCTCTTAATCTTACAACCTCTCTAGTTGCTCTACCCCAAGGCATCCATCATAATCATAACCCCTCTCGATCCGGAATTCCCCCAAAGTAATCACCCCATTCCTACTCACATGCACCCCTACAACCCCCAACAACTACGTAGTACACTCAAACCACCAAATGATCACCACAAACCCCACCATCCAACGTCCATCACCCCAGAACAGGAAACACACCTCCGAACCAGAGCACTCCATTCATCGCTCCGATCCCAAGTACCGCGTGTAGACTACTACTAGTACTTACGTGGAAGTGGAGATCCCGTTCAAGGTATTACCAAATAAGGATAGAGACATTACCTAGGTAGATACGGGCAGAGCAGTCAAGGATAAGTAGTACTTTATACCTTACCGGGAGTCCGTGCCAACTCACCTCTGGGACAGCAACGATTACGTAGATCGCATCCATGAATAATAACACTAAAGAGCTATTTTATCTCCTCTTCAGGGACTACATCGAGTCATGCCATGATGTGTCGGGAAGGAAGAAAGGAAGAATAGGGAGATGGGGAGGGGGTGAGCGAAGATCAGCATTGGGGATTTATCCTGTTCGGGGTAAGCGTAACGGCTGGTAGTCTACTGCCTAGTTGGGAAGCAGGAGGGAAGGAAGTAACTAGTGTGGGTGTGGGTTGTGGGTGTGGGGATGATATGACAGCTGGAATTTGGGTTTCTTGGGATTTTTGGATTTTCTGGGAGGGGAGATGGTGGTATTTACTGGTACTTTTGTAGGGTGAAGGGTAAACTATTAGTACAAAGTATGTGGTTAATGGATAGTATGCTTAGTTACCTTGCAACTTTGTATACAAATGAAATAACATTCTTCATGAAACCGAAGCAAACCTCACATTTGCATTGAAACTACACAACTCCATACATACTTACATACATACATACATACATACCCTCCCCAACTATAAATACTATACGTAGTGTATATGAGATTATAATAACATCCCAGCCTATAACCACCCTGCATAACAACAGCACATTGCCGAAATAAGTAGTGCCTGCTTAGCTGCTGCTGGTGGTGGTGGTGGCACAACCCTCACATCACACCACGCCAAACAACCCAAACCAACGGGTCACTTAAAATTCCATTCCCACCACTTTGGACTCATCCATCCCGGTGCTTAACAGACCGTCTTATGCATCGGCATTCCGCATTGGGTCCTTGGCACAGCAAGACTACCGTCTACCTGCGTATCCATGTGGGGGTGGTAGTCTACTACTAGTTATTTAGACTGGGTCCCTACTGCTAGTATCTTTAGGAGAAATGGAATAGATACTACCTAGACATATTCTTCTTTGTTTTGTGGTATGGAAAGTTACACAGTATCTCAAGGTACAGAGGTGAGGACGAAGACCCACTTGGCTGACTACTTTGCATTCAAGACAGCTGCTGAAAATTCTCTCATTTATTAGTTAGTTAATAATGGTGTCGACTATCCAAGACAATCTTCATAAGCACTTAAACCGACTCCAACAGTTTAGCAGCTACTAGCACCAAACACGATCTATCTCTGATCCGTGCATGAACATCCGTGTTCCGGCCGAATCCTCTCGTTGCGGGATTTGGTCGGCGTTTGCAAAAAAAAACCTATCTGCGCGAGTCAGGGGTAGAATGTATCCAGCCTCATTGGCAGGTCGGAAGTATCAAACAATGATTTTAGTACGCAGGGGCTATTTATTTTTTTAATTTATCGGTATCCCAGTTTGCTGGTACCGGGAAATTAGATCTGCTTTAGAGGGCAATCGGGTTAGTCGACACACCGCGTGAGTAAGTGTGGGCAGGTCAGATCAGGTCAGGTCAGCCGGTGTCTCTACATTCATCCTCATGCATAGGAGGACGACAACCAAGTCGCCGGAGTTGGACAGGATAAGTACTTCCCGCCCAATGGGCAGTAACAGTCAAGCCAAGAGAGCTTTGCTGTCACACACGCATATACACGCTGTTACTATAGGAGAATTAACCCCGTGCATCATGCGATGGGCAGTCAACTTGCTGGACGAGGAGACAACGCCAAAGCGCCGGGAACCGGTCCCGGCCAACATCGTCTTGCGGGGCAGTGGAGCTAGCTGAATATCCTGGTCCTCAGGGATCCAGACCCCCGATGAAAAGGATGGCTGGCGTGGGATCATAGGGAGACTCGCCATCAGCCTGGCCTCCTGAATCCTCCAGGGAGGATACCGTTAGTCCTGCTACTCCCCTGACCGTGGTTATTGGTTGATAACGGCCACTTAACATACGCAGCGGGGCGTACCGATTCCCACCGTGGCATTTAAGTTGGGACCACAAGTGGCCCTGGTTGACCCGTGGCTTTGGCCTCTCCCGACCAGCTGGCTGGCTAGTGGCTCCTGCTCAGCTTAGTTTGCAAGGGTATTGTGCCACCTTTCAGCTCGTTCGCCACAGCGTCCAAACTAAGCATAACAAGAATATTACACAACGGAGAGTAAACCGGTCAATAATCAGGTGCCACAAAGTAACATCAAGATTCAAACAATGCTAGGTCCGCCAACCATCGTTGCATGCCCAGTGCCTTGTGGCATTCGAGAGCTGCAAAGGGTAAAGCTTGCTGAGCTGCTATTCTTGTCGTAAGAAGGTGCGAGCACGTAAGTGAACAGACGCAGCTTTGGCAACCGGTTTGAAAATCCTGACTTGCCATTTGCGCTGCATAACGAAGTAGATTGATTGTATACCAGCCAACTATCTACCCAGTACTGATCCTGACTTTTGCCAATCGCTCTTCAACCCGTCGAACAATTTCGGGGTCTGGTTTCGGCTTGTCTCTGCGAGGTCTGGGATGTATTAGCAAGTGCGTGGGTCACCTTATCAAACAATGGAGTGACTTACGGATCTCGTATTGTTTCAGGCCCCTTCTCTTGGCCACAATTGGAGCAATTTCTCTCTCCCGATCGGTACAACGTTGTACACTTGTGGCATGTATAGCGTACCCGCTGCCGCGGCTTCTTCCACGTCCGTGCAGGAGGTTCTGCGGGAGCATCGACATCTCCAGGATAGCCATGCGGGTATTTGCCCAGTTTAGGTCTGAATTCGTTAGTACAAGAGCTTTCGACAAACACAATTGGCTTGGGGTGGACGCACGGGTCGCGAGGGCACATTGTGCACCGAATATGCTGGCAAGTACTGCATTCCGTAGCATCCGGAGCGAACACAGTACTACACTGATGACATGTACGGCGGACTCGTTGTCGGGTCGGGTGGTGGATGACATCCTGGCCGCCGGTGCGTGAGGGCAGCGTAAGAGGAGGTTGCTTGGGTTTGTGCTGCACAGGGACAGGTTTGTGCAATTTCTGCGCGACAATGGCCTGGAGTGCAGCCTGGGTGTCGTCGCGGTGGTCGTTGGTCTTGGTGGAGGGATGGTGAGGGCAGCTCTTGCAGCGGACGTGCTGGCAGTTGACACAAACTTTGTTCGGGCCGAAGGTGGTCTGGCAGCGATGGCAGGTACGGCGCACTCGCATACGGATCGGTCTGACAACACGCTGCACGGTCGTATCGCTAGGGGACCTCCATTCACCAGGCTCAAGGGTCAGTCCGTATTTCGCAAATAGAGCCCGCGCCTTCTCTTCTTGAATGGCGCCCCAGTTGGTGAAAACGGTCGCGTCGGGTGTAGCTTTGACGGTAGGAGCCTGCGGGATACGTTGGGGACTGTAACGCAAGTCAGTGGCACAAAGTAACCAAACCCATGGGAGATGAACATACGCGGGAGCTTGGCTTGGCTCAGGTTCTCTTGATTTCTGCATGACTGGCGTGGTGGTCCGGACAGTTGAGCTCCTCCTCAGAGCCATCTTCATGCGCTTAACGTATTTGGACAAGCCATCGTGCTTGCCTTCGTTGGAAGGGTTGGGATCCTGTTGAGTCGACATTTTCTCCGGTAGTATCGTCGATCTCTAAATTCGCTTGCCGGTCGTATTCAAATCAGATCATGTGTGGCGTCGCACGACATGGACAGGGTGACTGCTTTGGTGGTGTCGGAAAAAGGTCGAACAGTGTAATGACACTTTTTGTGGGCGCTATTTAATTCATACCAACTGGGATCGGAGGGGACGTTGTAGAGAAATTATAGTGGTGGTGGTTGAATTACTGGGAAGCAAAAGCGCCGAGGAGCGACTACCCAGATTGGGGGGGTAACGACCAAGTGGGTGGAATAAGGTGGGAAACGAGGGAGCCACCGGTTAAGTATGGCAGGTCGCACGGGCGTGTACCGTAACCGTAGGCTTGGGACACCCGACAAGACGGTGAGATGGGTGAAAAACCCAACAGGAAGGGTCGCAGGGAATTGGAACAGCCTGGGGGCAAATCCAGCGGATGATTGGCTGAGGGGCGGTCAGATCCTGTGGACCGGGCGTGGATGAGATGTCCGATGTAAAGTATAAGGTGTGTAAAGTATGTGCAGGAGGGAATGGGACGTGACGTTGTGAAAGGATGGGGGATGGTGGTGGTGGTGGAGGTGGAATGCACGCTGGGAGCGGAACAAAGTCACCGGCCAAGATGGTGGAAAATTGAAGATTCACGACTTGACGACGGGGAGGAGAGGAAGATAAAAAGAAGGCAAACGACCAGCGCGAGCCGAACGTCAAATAGAAGCCGAACAGACTTTCTGGGGGAACCGGACGAGCGAGAGGGGGGTGGGTAAGGAAGTTGTATGTATGTAAAGTAACAGTCAAGTAAGAGTGGCAGGCGCCTAAAGTAGTAGTAGCTAAAGGGAATCTAAGGGAAGTGTGGCACATGGCCTCCCCCGATACTTAACTCTTTCCTGTTCCGTTGTGGTTATTTTCAGTTTGTTTTAATTTTCCCTATTCTCTCTTTTTATTTCCAATTTTTTATTTCTTCATATTGTCCTTTTCTTCTTCTTATTTACACCTTCGCTTCTCTGATACATGCTTTCTAGATTTCACTTCCTGCTTTATTAAGGACACCAATGGACCAAACATTGACATGAGCCGGAGCCTCTACTAACAAAGTCAAAACTATGGAAACCAAACCCACTTTTTATAGCCAACCAGTCTATTCTCACTAGAAGACTCGATACTCAGCTCCTATCGAAAATCGATGCCTGTCTCCGTGAAGAAAACAACGATCAATACCATGGCAGGAAGCTCCACGATCCGAGCGGAAACAAAGGGAGTAAAGTAGCAGAAACTCTAGAATCAAGACTCAGGACCGATTAGGCAAAGTCATCGTCTCTGTGTTGCCGATAGGCCAATCTGGTCAGGAGCTGGTTGGTTGATATACGCCTCGACATCCTCATGCAGCATGATGACCAGCAACTAGCGGGCGAACCGATGCGACGGGGCGCTTTGGGGGTTGGAGTCTAATGCCGTGGCACCCTACCCACTCTGGAACAATGCCCGAACCCACCGCGTCTCGCCCGCGGGTCTGAAGAAGGTCGCGCCGGAAGGTGTGGGTTTTTGCGACTGTTGTCTCCTGGGAACCTATTTTGCTGATCCGGAAATATTATCAGTTTCTATTTAGGATGCTCCTGATCTTGAGTACTAATTACAATAGATAAAAACATGACGTCCTTCATATCCGCGTGGTCGGAATCAGACGCTGATTGAAGATGATGTCAGCTGGAGAATGAGCGGTACCAAAGATAACCATCGCGTATTTTCCGGGATATGCTCCTAACGACCAAAGCCCGTGTATTTTACAGTTTGTCAGATACAACCAACAGCTCCGAAGCTGCAAGAAGACGATAGCGAGGATAATAATAACGACGCTCTAAGTATATAGTCAGTCATTAACGGCTCGAGGCTACCAAAAACGTTTCTGTGCATGGACCGGAGAGGATGACAACTGACTCGAGCAAATAGATCTTAATCGGAGCAAGAAGCCTTACGTAGATGGCGGTGCCGCCTATGATCAGACAACCTGCTGCAGCCTAGCCTGGAGAAACCGACAACATGATGGAATGAATCATTGGGGGATCCTTTTCCCTGGCTCGGTTCCCTTCAATTTCACGCCGGGATAGCGATGCGCCATTCAATCAGGAAGCCCCATGGAGGAACCGAACATCTACCTGACTACCTCCTGAGCTGAGACTCACTTCGACCGAAGATCCGGCCGAAGGACAGACGACTATTCAGGAGCAAGACTTACCAATTTATATTATATTAACTGAACACAAAGGGGCCTACTATCCGGGAACCAGTTCCTAGTGAGAACTCAAAGGAATTGCAGTGTCATCATAGTGTCCCAACTGCTGCTTTCATCACCGACAATCCCAACTTATCCGATAATTCATGCATAGATTCTGGTGTGACGATGGCTTCGGACATCCCCCTACGAAGAAGAGAAATAAGGGAGCAACCATTGTCCTTGCATTTTTCTCATTTTACCAGTTACTTACAAAGTAGAAACCATCATTGACATCTCTAACTACTTACCTCCATCACAACGAACTACTAACCTAAGAAGTAGGCTAAGTCCCTACCCGCGCGGAATTCTAGACTCCCTGACCAACTCCTCATCACACAGCGCTGAAACCATAGTACGTCTCCATACCGAGGCATTCCGACAGCCTGGTCTGTCAAGGTTGTGTATGTGTAAATACTGTTTTAGACGCCCGCAGCATTCCATTCCCATCCCATCCATCCACTTAGACCATGCATGATGCATGACACCACACCTCGTTTCCACCCTACCCTACCAAAGAAAAGAAAATAGAAAAAGAAAATAAATTAGAAACGGCAACGGCTTCATGCAGCCTGTCTGCTGCAGGCGCCAACTCAACACGCTAGACACTGCCTGCCCATTCCTTTGCCGTAACCGACGACCCTGTAAGTAACTACGTATGAAGTGTGTTTGTATGTATGTATGTATGTATGTATCTAGCGGAAGCGTAGCGCGCAGGAATTTGTCAGAGGTGAAGAAAAACATGAAGCAACCGAAGAACCTTAACTTGCATCGCCGACGGAGTAGATCGGAGAAATATTCACCTACCGGGTTCGAAGGCAGTGAACTTGGGTTTTTGCTCCACCGGTTTGTAGGTACATCGTTGGAGGGTTGGTGTTGGGTGGGTAAGTAAGTAAGTTAAGGATTGTCTTTGTTGTTGGTTTCAGGGACTGGGACTGGACAGGACACATGGCATGAAAATGGTGGTGGTGATGATGATGGAGATGTTTGTGGTTCCGGCTTGTTATGCTTATCGTTGGAACCGTGGTTCTGGTTTCTTGCTCCTTGCTTGGGAGGTGGTTTCCTTTTCATTGTAGATTCGGAAATGCCGACCGGAGATTGATGGCCTCAGGCTGGATTGGATGTAGGATCGTCAATCATTGACTCCTACTACTACTACATAGATACTACTCAGAATAGATCCTCCCACCCAGAACAGCTCATCATTTCAACATCGTACCGAATAGCTGGGAATAAACGATAAGAGATGGGGACCACACCCCCTCCCCCCGTGCCAAACACCCGGTACTTACTATCAGCACTTCACTTTCACATTACAGCCAGCCAACTGCCTTTAGTAGTTAACTAGGCTTAATAACTAGTTAATACAATCTGCAGGGCTGAATAATTAATATACCAAAAAACAAGCATGCTGAACACCACCACCACCCACCTTTCTCAGTCAGCTTCAACACAACACACACACAGCTGACCACCGATCTCCGTGATCCAGAAGGGGAGAGGAGCAAAAAGAGGGGAAGGGGGGGGGGGAAGAAAAGTGGAAAAAGGGAAGAGCATAGGCCCAATCACATTGCACTTCCTTCGTATGGACAAGGCCCGGGATATCCAGTCCCAGCGCCGCGGAGAGAACACAAGAATGTCGAGGGGTGGATATTCTACCGGCAGTGCCAGGTGTCAGAACTCCTGCCTTTAGAGGAATGGTGAGGTTTGTTTAGTGGCTTTTTTCATCTGGAGATCCACTGTGGGGACGCGTATGGAGCTTGTATGGATGGTGTATGTATGTATGTATGTATGGATGTTAGGATTTACGGGAGGGGGATAAGTATTACTTGGTTAGTTACCTAGCTTGTATGGGATGAGTTTAGGCACGGAAGGTTCTATTGCTTCGATTAATTGATTGATTGATTGATGGGTCTCAAGTACAGTTGATTGGATGGGATATCGATACTTTGTACGATCTCGTGATTCTTTCTTATGTTACATTGCATGCAATTATCATTTCTACTACCTTATATTATAGTACCCATAAGTAGCTACGAAACAACACTCAATTGATAGGACCAGATATCCCAACAAACATATTCAGCCTCATTTTCACCTCATATCACAACTAAGCAAGCAAGCATAGAAATATATGTCAGGCTCTGCTTAACCAAAACTACCACCTCAAATTCAACTACACTGTACACCTGCTATCAACTCAACGACCGACAATCATACACTTCCCTCTCGACACCAAGGCTATCATTCATTAAGTGATAAAGATACCACGAACAAGCACCCATCCAAATACCTACACATTCTTCCAACTGTACTACTCCGCATTCCCCTCCAAACCAAAATAACATATACATATACATACGCTAGATACTACTACAGATAATCCACACATTAGTATCAATGCTCTACCCCAACCAAAACGAAACAAGAAACAAAGTTCAAGGCGCATATTTGCCCGAGTGGATCCCCATCCAACCCAACCCAACCAGTTGGTTCAGTTCAAACTAAGATAGACATGTCAAGCAGTCAAACCTGGAAAAGGTTTCCGGTCTGATGTCGGTGCTTACTTCTATCTATGTTGTCTCATATATCATGTGTGTGTGTGTGTATGTTATGACGAGGCTATTTTATCGATAGTCATGCAAGGGATTATATTGCAGTGTAGAATAGGAAGAATGACAAATTCTGTCGGGGAATTTGTGATTGATTATAAATCAGATTTGGGGTAGCTACATAGATAGCTGCGTGTGCTCGATGTCTTGGTTTCGTTTCTAACATGAGTTGAATACTATAGTGTTGTCTGGTGAGACGTGCATTCGGAACTGAGAAATCGTCTAGCAACTCATTGTTGTATCCGTATCTAACCTGATCATGTATACAATGCCAGCACTATAATTATGAAGTAAACGCATAGCGTCATGAATGACCAATATAGAAAGGCCTAAAACCAGCTTGACAGACCAACGATCCTTAATCTAAAATCTCCCTAATCTGCGTTTTGCAGCTTCGACTCGATCGAGATAATATCATCTTCCTCATGCACCTCAATCACCCGATTAACCTCCGCCGTATTGCGCATCAACTCGACAGCACCCGCATACATCATGCGCGAATTCGGGTTGCAGTTCACGGGGAGGTAGTAGAGCATGACGTAAGGAACGGTGAGACGGCCGGAAGCCTAATACAACAAACACAAGTTAGGTCTTCCTCGCTAAGTCTAGATGAAACAAGGCTTGTCGAAATACTCACGAGGGTAAGGGGATAGCTAAGGAGGATAAACCGAGGGGACGACTCGGGCAGCTCGTCGGCTAGATCCTCCATCTTGGAGTAAACCTCGCCATCTTCAGGTCTGATCTCCTGGCTCTTACTATCGATGATATCTGCCAACCCTGTTGTCAACGACCCATTGTTCTGAGATATCCGATGTGAAGCGAACAAGTTCGCGCGATAGCTGTGACGGTTGTGCTCGTGATAGATAGAGGATAAGAGAGCGGGGTTATGTAGCAACGACAGGAGACGGGATCCTACAAATGATGGCCTGCGGATCCTTAGCGCGGGAGGTTCCCAAGCGGAACTTGCGAAGCTTTTCTTTGGTCTCGGGGGAAAAGGAATATAGTCGTGATTCAGACTGCATGGACGGAGGCTCCAGGTTAGCAGGGGGGAAAGGGAGCGGGAGCGCGATGCGGGGCAATGTCCACTTACCATGTTGTGATAAGGGTGATGCGACAGTAAGGCGGAGGTAGAAACAGGATATTCGGAAGTGCGCTAGAAGCAAGAGAGTCGAAAATCGGAACCCCCAGACGGGATGTGAGCGGGGATGGATGGAGATGAATTTGACCGAAGAGAACGAAGGAGGAACAAGCAAGTGGTGGTGCTCCGCGTTTTCGGCCCGGTGGGATGAAGAGCGCGGCACTTCTCCACTTCCTCTTCGCTCTCCCTTCACTTTCATTCAATAATTCTCCTCCCCGCCCGCGCTTGTTTGTTACTCCGCCATTCACCCTCTCCTCCTCCTCCCTTTCCCTCATGTTCAGTCGTCTCGGTCAAGTCGCCCGCCATCTCACTCGACCGTCCCTCAACCTCCATTCCACGCCTACCTTCACCTCGCCCTCTCTGACCCCGCCCCTGCTTCGTGCGCCATCTCCCAAAATGACATCATCCGTCCTCCCGAAGAATAAGAGGACCATTCACACGGCGGCATGCCTGATTATTGGTGATGAGGTCCTTGGTGGAAAGGTGAGGAGCGATTAAGTTATACCGGCGTCTGCTATTCAGTTGCTTTTCTACCTTTTGAAGCGTCGTGCATACCCACCTTGGTTTTCACCAAGACTGACTGTTTGCCGATAATGCCAGACCATCGACACCAACTCTGCCTTCTTCGCCAAGTTCTGCTTCTCCCTCGGCATTCAACTGAAGCGCATTGAAGTGATCGCAGACGATGAGAGCGAAATCATTGAGGCAGTGCGACGTATGAGCGACCGCTATGATTTTGTCGTTACCAGTGGAGGCATTGGCCCAACGTCCGTACACCCCCTACGTCGATTGCACACCCCACACGAGCATGAATACTGCATATGGCTTGAAAGCTGACTGATGAATGATTGTGAATCGCAAAAGCCACGACGACATCACCTATGAATCGATAGCCAAGGCCTTCGGTCTGAACCTAAAGCTCCACCAAGCCGCATTCGAGCGTATGAAGAAGCTGTCCAAGCCCCATCCCATGCAGCCAGACTTCGATTGGGACACCCCGTCACCTAGTCTGACTGCGAAGTTGCGCATGGTCGAGATCCCTCACGACGAGTCTGTGCCTTTGGAAGAACAGGCCGTTTTTGTTGCCGAAGATATGTGGGTGCCGATCGCCATCGTCAACGGCAACGTCCATATCCTTCCTGGTGTTCCTCGTCTCTTTGAAAGGCTACTCGAGCACCTCAAGCCGAACTTGTTGCCTCGCTTGGTTAACCCGGAGGGGAAGGGCATCTATCGCTACCTGTTCAGCACACCACTTCCGGAGAGTACGGTCGCCCCTTATCTGACGGAACTTGCTACACGCGTTGCTTCAAAGAACATCAAAGTCGGCAGTTATCCCCGGTGGGGTAATAAGCGCAACACTGTGACTCTAGTCGGCACTGACAAGGAATTCATGGACTCGCTTATCGCAGAGGTGGAGCAGAATGTCGAGGGAACCAAGGTAACTCGAGAGGATGAGCTTGACCCTCCCTCTGACACCGAGGAGAGCAAATAAGTGGAACGCTGGCGGTCATAGTATGCCTTTGTGCAGACAATAGTTGCTAGAGAATTAGACAATGACACGCTTATTCCGAATATGTCATGGTATCACTCGGTTGTATGGGCGTTAGGAGTCCACGGACCTGCAGACGTGCTGTTCTCAACGGTGTCCATACAAATATTGTGCCATCAGGGACGCGTGCAAGTCAAAAATCAACGTACCACTCATCACTCACTACAAAAGTAGAAGTTGTTAAGGTTAGAAAACCAGCCACTAAATCCCCAAAGACATCACTAAGGACCCAACCATAAAATACGAACCGCAGAGAGACAGAAGAATGAAGGCTTATTCTCGAGGACCACAATTTCCAAAATCAAATAAGATTACCCAATAGTTCAAGTGTATACATGAAGGAAGAAATCGGACAGACTAAGATAGATATGCTTATTGCGCGCCGCTGCTGAGTGCAGAATAGGGGGAACGAAACCAAGGAAAGACCAAAATAAGAGGTGGGAAGAGCGAAGACGGGCAAACGACAGGCTAGCTGGCACCGCGATATCACAACGTCTATACTTCCAACAGACTACCCGGTTCCTTCCCAGGGCCGTTGGAGCATCAACATGCAGTTATCTCGCCGAGAAGGATTCAGCAGGTGCGATCAAGCCCGACATAGAGCAAATTCGGTGAAAGAGAACAAAACGTATCCCCGATGCATATAGGAAAGAGATCAAATGAGATTGAGGGCGACAAGTAAAAGAGGATCAGCGGCTGCTGAATGTGCAAAAGATCTGAATTGCTCGTCCAGCGCGGCCGACAAGACGAAGAGGAAGGATGATTCTGCAGTTCCGAATAGTACCACAAATGCGAACCGCGACAATAGCGTACCTATATTAATGCACAGATCTATTGACAGGCTCCGTTCTCGTCCTTTCAAAGATCGAGAAATCGTCAAAGAAAAATCAATCTTCCAAAAAGTAATAATAAACAAAATAGAGGAACAAAGGGGGAATCGAACGTTCATGGAGACGATGGCGGCATTAGGGGGTTGAGAGCAGACATCATCTGAGAGTTGAGGCTCGTATGGTATAATGATCACAAATCAAAAAACGCGTGTTGACCAGCCACATGTTGCAGCAAGGCAAGTGGCCCGTCTCTGTTGCTGACCTCTCTTTCCAGCCGGGAGTGAATGTATGTGTTTTTGCTTTCCTTCCGTATCTCGACCTGTATGTATTTCTTTTAGATCCAACGCCTGTCCCATTACATAATTATACATTTTCCACAGCAGCCGGCGTCATCGCCAGGCTCGCTGACGTCCATTTTTCCTTCCGGGGCGCGTGAGCCGCCGCCCGCGCCAGACGGGTACGATGACATCTCTTTGTTGAACCGACGGATCTCGCGCACGAGGTCGTAGAAAGCGTTCTCGACGTTAATACGGGACTTGGCGGATGTCTCGATGAACTTGCAGCCGAACTGCCGTGCTAGAGCCTCACCCTCTGTAAAGTAAAGAAAGAACCGTCAGCCACATCCTCCCCCGGCAAGCAGATGCTGGGCCGGGAAACCCACCTTCTTCGGAAACAGCCCTCTCCTTTTCTAAATCGCACTTGTTGCCGACCACGATGATGGGAAAGTAGTCCTTATCCTTGACTCGCAGGATCTGTTGTTGGAAAGTCATGATTTCCTCGAATGATTGGCGCGACGTTATCGAGTAGACGAGAAGGAAGCCTTCGCCGGTTCGCATGTACTGTTCACGCATCGCCGAGTACTCCTCCTGTCCGGCAGTATCTAAAACGTCCAACAATGCCACCTCCTCGTCGATAACGCACTGCTTGCGGTAGGAATCTGTATAAACACGATCGAAACATGAGCCACACGGTCGGGAAAGCTACAGTAGAGCTCAGCGCCCACCTTCAATTGTCGGGTCATATTCATCCACGAAGTGGCTCTGGATCAATTGAATAGTCAAGCAAGACTTTCCGACACCACCACCACCGACAACGACGAGTTTGTATTCTCTTAAGAACTATATGCGACCGAGAGGTGAGCGAATCGTCCATTTTCCGGGGTGAGGCAGTGTGCGGAGATCATGAGAGAAAGTCGGTCGGGAAGGGAGGTTGACAGGAGGCACATGGAAGCTAATGACGGAAATTGGAAAGCGCAGCGACAAGGCTTACCTTGGAAGCCATTCTGGTAGGATCTGGCGTGAATTATGCCGTGAGGGAAGGGAAGGGGAGGAGGGGAAGAGAGAGAGAGAAGCGGTAATGGAAGCTATCCCAACAGGAGCTGTGACAGCGGGTCGAAGGAGCAGCAACACAAATTTCTTTTGCAGAAAGAGACAAGACGACAAGAGTCGGGGCCCAGGTCGTCGGGGGTTTCGCGCAAAGCAAAGGCGCCTAAAGGGCAGTCCACAGCAACGGCGGGTCTAATGATTAGGCCAAGCTTAAAGCAGCAGACTGGGGGGGAGCAGCAGCAGCAGAAGTGCGTGTGGGAAGTAGGATCCAGGGGGGGAGGGGGGGGGTCGTGGAACTTTGCAGGCAGGCGGAATTGAAGGCGAACCGGCAGGGTTTCGGCGTGGTCTGCAGTTCGTCTTGGACCCAATGCGTTCTAAGCGATCAGGGAATATGGAAAGTCGAAGGGAACTACTTAGAACACCTTCGAGAACCAGGGTGGATTCAAGGAGGGAAGATAAAAAAAAAAAGAAAAAGAAAAAGAAAAAGAGGGAAAGGGAAAAGAGAGAACGGGGTGGAGAGACTTTGGGAGGGGAAAGGGGAGAGGGAGAGGAGATGATTAAGGAGAGTTAAGCCAACTGAGGAACGGAGGTGGGGATAGGCAGGGCAGCCCAGAAAGGAGGAGAGAGAGTCTAGATAGTCAACTACTGAATACTAACTAGTAATGGACAGTCAAGTAGTAAGTGCGTAGTATTGGATAGGAACTTCCACAAGAACACAGAGCAAGTCACAAAATGACAATATGTAAATTATTAACCGCGGGATAAGCGCCTTGATTGGTGTGGAACACCCCTACCGACGATGTGAAAAGAGCGCACTTCCATCGAGAAATTGATATGATGCGCCTGCTGATTGGAAGGAAGGGGATTCGAAGGTTCGCCAGAATTAATCTCACCACAATCACTAACGATATGATAATCCTCCTAGTGCAGGAGTCGGTTAAGCACAGATTGCTAGTCGTATCTGACTACTGCTGCTGCTACTACTACTACTGCTGCTGCTGCTGCTGCTGGTCTTACAACTTGACTCCGGTTAATGGCACAAACTGTGTGGACCGAATTGAAAGGGGGGTGGAAGACAGAGGGAAGATCAAAGGGAAGGGAGAGAGAGACAGAGAGAGAGAGAGAGAAAGAGAGATGAGCAGTGGGTGTGGCATTAACCGGCAACGCGTGTGGATTCAACCAATCCAGCCAACTGTTTAATTTCACTGGTCCCGGTTGGCCCACCCGCCGATAATTAACCTCAATCGTCCGATCGCAAGATATGAACCTGAACAGCAACAGCCTGGCCTCGAATCCGTGCCAGGTACTCCGTGTACCCCAGATACACAGCACACCCATCACAATCAGAATGGTTTTCTGTCAATCCTTCCTTCATCCAGTGAGATCATCTTTGATAGGCTACTGCAACGGTATTCTCGTGAGTGGAGGTCCGATCATTAGGGAAGAAAATTGAGTCAGTCGGTGGGAAGGAAAATGGTTGCATGGTGAGGTAGCCTGAAAAAAGGGGCCGGGGGGATCGAATTCCCAGGGCACCCAAGATTAATGATCCATTGGGTCTAGTGTCGCTGTCCCTCTCTCTCTCCCTCTCTCTCCCTCCCACACTTGCCAATACCGTACAGTAAGAATTTGGTGGTTTAATAGGATGAATAAATTAGTTGTTCCCTACACAGAACTAGTTACTAGTATTCGGTTCATTTACTATGTCATGTATAATGAATGAATTTCGTATTGATGATCTGACCCAGCAGATCCCACCCTCCCTCCGTACCACCACCCAGCACTCAATAAATGGTGACTGTCATTAGCTTTGCACAGAATCACAATATAAGCTCGACTCCAGTACGAGCCGTTAGTAAACTATGCATTTGATTGACTCCATGACTTTGTGAAACCATTCATCGTATCTCTCCCAGATTAATCTTCACCAGCTCCACCCTACTTTTTTAGCGCCGGTCGTTAATGCTTCTAAATTGTCCAGTGTTCTCCATCCCAACTTTTTCCCCCTGAGGGTCCTCTCCCCTGCTCACCTTACGCAACACAGTAAACGAACGAATAGCTTCCGGAGTCTAAGCCAATCACCGTGAGGCCTGCTGGGTGGATTCGCTCCTCTCTTGACTCTGCGTCCCGCTCCGGTTCCTTGAACAAGTGAACTCCTTCGGTCCCAGGGTGCAGGCTTACTTACGCAAGCACTGTAAGAGAGGCAACAAACGAACTCCCATTGATAATAAGTTTCCCGTCCGGCTCAGTCAAAACTCGGAACGATCCATTGGACTAAAGGCCTTGGACGTTACAATTTAATAGGGGAAAACGGGGTAGCTTCCCCTAGAGGGACTTTCTACTGGACGTGAGCCTTGCTGTGGGCGCGTGGAGAGAAAAAAGAATATAATAAAATAACATAAAATAAAAAAAAAAAGAGGGTGAGTGGGAGTGCGTGAGTGAGTGAGTGAGTGAGTGAGGGTGGATGAGTGAGAGAGCATCCATCATTCATGGATCCGAGGTCCCTTGTCCTTTTCGGCACAACCGTTTTCCTTCTAGAAGGGTAGAAAACTATTCTCAGCCTTAACAGATGCAACATGACAGCTCCGATTTGACACACCGAGTTACATCATCATTCGAAATATTGAGTCTGAGTCTGGCTTCCTTTTGGCTTCGACAGCGTCATGGAATTGTGTCCCTGGAGAGGAGGGGGGGGGAAACTGAGTCCAATGGAGTGAGTCGTGCTCGACTAGTCCAGAAGAAGCCTAAAATAGCCGCAGACCGAGTTTAGGATGTTCTCCACGCCTCCACTTTTTGCCAGAGGTGATATATTGGTCTGTGAGACCGTCCGATCCCATAGCCCATGTTACTGCTCAATCACCATTGGCGAATGAGGCGGCGACCTCGACACAACTCCTTGCTCCCCTTCGGTGATGAGCGGAGTAATCCCGGATGATAGTACCCTCGAGTGTCAAGAGATGACGTCCCGCAAAATTTTAACCCCGGAAGTCTGAACACATTTTTGCATCCTTGCATCCTAGCTGCAGCTGGGGAGATTTTGCCTTGCTCCCGTAATACCACTTACTTCCTGCAGTGTCGTGCGTTGATCCTTTCCCACCACATGCGCTTCTCATTGACTCTCGCCAGGGTCGTCTTTTCTTATCTTCTGCTGCTACTACCCTGGAGCGAAACTAAACCCACCCGTGTTCCCGAGCCATGGCACCCAAGCCACCTCCTCCAAGTCACATTGCCTGATTTTGCGGACAACTGCTGATCGCGGAAATCTCTTCCATCCTACCGACTCATCACATTTGAACAGAGCCATGGCTCGGTTTGGAGGCTACTACCCAAGTCTGGGTAACCGACCGCTTCAGGGACAAAGATACATACCTGCGGGGTCGTCGGGGCCTGCGACCGAGATCGGTACCTGTCACCTACCCTGACTATCGTACCAGTCATACTCCAGACCTTGTCCATGTGCCTGGATGCCCAAATCAGGATCAAACATTCTCCCGCATCGATTACCAAGCGGGCAGAGCACTGATTTGTCTGCGAAGATATCCTAATCGAAGCACATACTCACACCGCCCTCCGATGTTCGGTCAGCAGTGCGTGCTTTATCTTCGAGTACTAGATGGGCAGACCGAAATTTCCAATGACTAGATCGCTAAGCCCAGCCGACAGGCATCAAACATGCCCATGACGTGGCCAGACAAGAAACGGCATGCGACATCAAGCCATCACAATGAGACTTGCAGTAGGCAGAAGTCCCGCCCACACTCTATCTACCTACGACACCCAAGTTCATATAGCTGGGTGGGGTTAATTCAGTCAATCTCTCCCAATTTGTTCATCCCCTCCGTGACACATCCAATGCCTCCGACTATGCCGTCAAACGTCAACAATAACTTTGTTCCATGACTGGCGCATATCAGAATGATCTGCGGGGTACCAAGAACAGACAGGCATCGCTTAAACGGTAAACCATCACACTGACTTTTGGCTGACACAAACCCTGAGCCACAAAGGGGTCATAGCTACTAGTCGATACAAAGTGAGCTGCCCCCCCCTTTTCGGATCTCGGATATTTACCTACCTTGTCTATGTTCGACTCTCTCCAAGTGAGCACAGTAGGTATTGGTAAGATTCCAAATCAACCGCTCACCTACCGTAAGGAAAACCAATTATCATGTGTAAATTGCAAATCATATGGTCTAAAGTATTTAGTCCGCTTCAGGATGTTGTGCATAGACAACTTACTACTCGTTCCTTTTGGCCCCCAATGATATATTATGCAGGGGTAGATAGTGTACTTAAAGCTTGGGGGCCGGCCGGGGGTCTCCGCTGTTGATTCCTTGCCGTCTGTCTATCTGTCTGTCTGTCTCCCTGAAGAAACCTCAGTGGAGAGGAAGACCACAGTATTTTCAACCTAGTAATTAGCTGCACATTGTGCTCGCCTCTTTTTACATCAGAGCTTTTCGTGTCTCGTTCAAGTGGTGTTGGTCTAACAGATCCCTTCTTTGAAAATATGCCAGTACCCCAGAAAAAGGCAGTAGGATGTTGGAGTGACCATCTTAATAGTAAAGTTACTTCTGGGTCAGACCATTTACTAAACGTACAGTAAGTGACTAACTACTTACTCACATTTGTAGTTCTTTTGCCTTTCCTCTTATGAGAGTAGCATAGTTATGTCTGTATTTGCCTGTCTCGTTTCCTACCGTAGTTGCCTTTCACCACAATTTTATCTTGGTCCTAGTTGCTTATTATCAAGCCGGTCAATGGCAATTAAGCAGCCTGCTTATCTCCGGGAGTTCATACAAGCCTTCAATATATAGCATAGAAAAAATGAAAGCAAATGTACTCCGAGATGTTCATGGGATTTAACTATTGCTACGTACATGTCTGACTAGCTCCTGTATCTGGTATTTCTCAGGAATATTCCCTATCACTTGTCTCCTTAATCAGAAGGAAAAATGGAACAGAAAAAGGAAAAGCATTTGAGGTTTGTTACTTGCAAGGAAAGATCGCTGAAATAAAAGTCATGGTTATCGTGCCGTTGACGTAAATCAAACCGAGAAGTCATCAGATCATATCGTCCCCATGGGTACTTTGTGTGTTCCCCGGGTGTTTGGGGGTATTCAAGAGAAAATTCGACCAGGATCAAGAGATTAATGGTATGAAAACTGCCAGGTAGATAGTTATGCCCAACGTATGAAATCCAACTAGTCAAGAAGGATATCCTGAATACAACTTGAAAAGAACTGGTTCTCCGGCGAATGATTCCCAGGTCTGCATAGTTGTGAAAGTATCGTAAAAGAGCACGTCTCCCTGTTTCCAGGTATGCCAATAGCAGACTCTACGGTCATAGAGGAGAGGATTCAGGATATTGCATAGTCTAGTTGAGTCAGCGGTTGAGATATCTTCGATGGCGATGAGAGTGGGATCACAGGTGATATTGCTTTGAGAGAGGAGCGAGTGGTAACGGAAGCAGGGCCGGCCGTGAGAAAAGTGCGGTATGATCAAGGGCAGGGAACTGGTCTCAGTGTCGTGGGATGAAGTCTCTGCGTTCCAGGAAAGTTGCTGGAGTATGCCGACGGTGTAGCTGGCTGGAAGGTGGTGGAAAAACAGAGGGGATGCGGAGAAAAGACTGCGTCTGGTGTTCTCTGAGATAGGGCCAGGGGCACTGATGAGCTGATATCTATTCGGGAGTGGATTCTATGTGAGTGGGAAGTTAAAGAATCTTGAGAAACAGAGTTAGCTTACTTGGCTGGAGAGGAGACCGGACACTGCTTGATGTGATGGGCTTCTTGATCCTCCATGATCTCAGTTGGCCCATCGTAGGGCAGCCAACCTGACAAGGTAGTGCTTTTCGAATCTTGTGAATCACCATCTTCGGCTTTTTCTTCAGGATTGAAGTCGGATATCGAAAGGTAAGAAGCGTCAACGCTCTCAGCTTTCTGCGCGATCAGCTCATGGTCATGAGTGTCTGTAAATCCGCGAAGGACAACTGGTGAGTTCTCGTGTGCTAGACCCTGCACTTTCTCCATTTCAACCTGGCTTATTGAGGTTGGATTGAGAGGCGTGATCATCATGCCACAGGGATAGATGGGATCGACTGCTACCGGCGATGACCAGTTGTACAGCTCAGATATAAAACGGTAGCACCATGGACGCCCGTTTTTGTGGACTAACTCCAATTCTGGGTTAGCATCGAAAACTTCGCGCCATCCATATATGAAGCGGCCGTCAACAGTATAGCAAGGTGCTGAGTGCCATGGTGTGACTGGTTTTGAGGATCTCGGGAGAACATTTATGGAGATCTTGGTTAATCCATTTGATGGATGGATTGAAAGACGGATGTAACCTGAGTAGTTCTTTATGATGGCTTCTGCAAAGGCCTATAGTGAAACCACACGTGTTAGTGCCATTCAATACTGTTATGCTTGGTTAGCGTTCAAGTTTTGGGTGAATTATTCCACTCACCGCGCCTCGTGTGATCATGGCTTTGGCAACATTCCCCAGGTACTTCTTGTGTGCCTTGCGAGATGTGGTACCATTCTCTACATAAAGATGTTCCAGGTCCTTGGTCAAGAACTTTATGTATCCTCGATAAGTGGTGCAGATGTTTTCGTCTGACTTGATCATAACAGCGGCGTCAAATCCCACCGGTGTGTGCTGTTCAATTAGTTCCTGGCGAAACACCGGGGCCAACCTTTCGTACGTCTCTCCGTCAAGTTTGACGTCCTCATGGCTGTGAACAAGGTCGCGCAGTCTGGCGAACTCGATATGGTCGTACTTATTTTCAGCAACCATTTCCCTCAGTGCATGGCCATATTCCCAGACGTCTCTGTCAGAAACGCCCAGGATATCTACCGACAGTCAGTCCCTATTTTAGCATACAAGATCATGAGTACTTTCTTCTCGACTTACCGTTGTACACGAGGCCATCAGATACAATGGTGAGCTTAGCTCCATATTCATAGACGTCACTAATAGCAGCGCAGAGTCCGTTAAGGTGCGCGAGACAAATCTCTTCGCCTTTGTCAGGAAGGCTTCCCAAAGTCTTATTTCCCTGATTCGGAGACTTGAAGGGGAAAGCCGGTAGAATCATTCGGATCGGCTGTTTGGCCCGGATCTGAGACCACATCTTGGATAGAAACATAATGTTTCCGTCGCTGGTGCGATCACTTGCGGTTGCTGGCACCATGGTACGATACCGACCGATGATTTCCATGATCTCAAAGGCCTTTAGCAGTGGATCGTTCTCGTACTTGCGTTCTGAGACTTGTGGGTCGATAGTCGACTCCATAGGGAAAATGTCTGACTCCATGGGAACGACGCCTGACTCCATAGAGACGAGATCTGACTTCATATGGAAGAACTCTCTCTCCATAAGGAAATTGTCTGACTCCATAGGAAACATGTCAATCTCTAAGGGAATGATGTCTGGTCCAAATCCTTGTTCCATATTGGCGCTGTTGAGATACAGGTATGTGCAGGTGGTGTTGTGGGCATCTCAGAAGACTGAGGCGTGAAGATTTACACGTCTGTATAACACGAAGTGAGAATGCACTTCACTGGCTACACGCCGACTAAGCGATGCAAACTCATATCATACTCTAGCTTGAGTTCGGGGTGAACCGTTCAGGGACCGTGATGTCAATCATCCAAATCAACATTGCACTGTGCCGGATGCAGTAATTGATTTACCCACCGGAACCAGTCGATGATAGCCCTTCAGGTACCATCGCCATCCACTATCATTTTCAGAGTGACGAGGTGGGTGCAATGCTCTGCTGGCATCGTCCGTAGAAGATAACCGTGTAGGCACATCGACTCGAGTTGCTATAAGGATGGTGCGAATAAAAGTAGGCTACCATAAAAAGCCTGAGGTTTCACTATATAATGAGCTGACGGCAATAATGCAGACCGATTGTGCCCCTCAAGTCGCAAAGAAAATGTCACCGTTGCATCGGCAGCTTAGGAGTGCCGTTACTTATATATACCGAGCCGTAGATCCAGTTTGCGACACGCAATCTCCAAGTTACCTTTTGAACCAAAGCTGCCAGTTGCCCACGTTAAGTTATTAGCAAAGCTCTTGGATATATATAACCCGATCTTTCAACATATAAGTTGCTGATGGCACTGGATATAGTTGGCAACGGGTGACTTCGTATCATCATGTCGTTCCTTTCACACAAGGAAGTTGAATTCTTTACGCTTACTTTGATTCAGATATGCAGTCTCATCATGTAATATCATTTGACCATATCGTCTAAATCTACCAAAATTCCAGCCAATTCTAATGTCGCTCCACCATTGAGTGCTCTTTACAAGTCCACAAACATAAATGCGTATACACTAAGCCTTGCGGTGCATGGAAGTCGGGGATGCCTAAGTGACGGTGCCATCAGCTATGCTGTTGAGCCCTGTATGCGATGTTTGACTTACCTGGTGGCTAGGGAAAATCAAGGTATCTGCAATCACAACATTCTCGCGCCGACCGGCAGCAAATACAACCACCTCAGCAATATCATCGGGTGTAAGTGGCTCGCAGCCGCTGTAGTGCCCATAAGTAGTCAGTATTTGTCCATGTGCCTTTTTACTGTCAGCTGGGAGAACATATAAGGGATCCTTACGCATAAACTGCATCTGCCTTGGCCTTATCTCCGTAGAACCGCACAACGGAGAATTCCTATCGAAGAACAGTTATTAGAAGGGTCATGCAATTGACATAAGCGAAGTCTTACCGTCTCAACCTGGCCAGGATCAATCTCAATGATACGGATTCTTGTGGCGATAAGCTCCTTCCTCAAAGCATCGGTGAAAGATCTGATAGCCGCCTTCGTGGCACAATAGATGCTACCGCCAGGGTAAGCCTCGCGGCCAGCAATACTGCCAATGTTGATGATATCTCCGCGACCACCGTCGGCTCTCTTCTTGAAGATGGGAAGGATGGCCTGGGTCATGTTGATCAGTCCAGTAACGTTGGTCGAGAACATGACGTTGATATCCTCAGGTGCAATTTCCGGAGCCTTAGCAACTCCCTTAACAAGGCCTCTGCATTTCTCTTAGCACAGACTTGTGAGTAGCAGTTGGAAAAAGTCCTGACTCACGCATTGTTAACCAAGACATCGATTTCCTTGAACTCTTCGGGGAGAGACGGCACGAATTTCTTGATATCTTCCGGGTTGCTCACGTCCAGCTGCACAGGCAACACCTTGACGCCCTCACCGACTTCCTCCTTAATCTCCTTAGCCAGCTCCTGCAGTGAATCAATGCGTCTAGCAGTCACGATGATCTTCAAGTCCTTGGGAGAAGTGCGGGCGAATTCCTTGGCAGTGCTTCGTCCAATACCGGAAGATGCACCGGTCACGAGGATTGTCTTGCCTTCAAGGCGCTTTGCCATTGCTGTCGCCATTGTGCGTTTAATAAAAGCTGGTCTGATTGCAGCACGAAACGGAAGCGGGGTGGATGCGGAGAATGATCCGGATGAAGGGGAGAGCTGTCGCAGGGATCTGAGAGTACTGTAATAAGCCTGGAGAAGCCGCATAAAGAGCCTGTCAGCTGGCGTCGATAACGGTCAAGTAAGAGAGAAAAGGTTTCAAATCGGACGAGGAGACAGGGGCTATTGGTGGTTTCTTATGAATCATAGGCCGAAGGTCGGGATGGCGTGTGCGGGGATCCGGCGAGGCCATTTCGTGCTCGGGCGGGGGGGCCTGGCCTCGGCTGATGGTTATGCCGGCCGGACTGGCTTCCGATGGCTGCTTGTAAATTCTCCCAGCTTCTGCTCCTCCCCCGATTCTGAATCTGCCAGGAACGATAGCTCTTTGGAGAACAGCTCATTCTTGTATTCGACACAAAGCGCCATCAGTCACACAACTACGCTGTTGAATCCTCTATCAACACGAATGCCTTGACTCCAGCTCTCAAAATCGGTCAATAGATGTCTTTCAGCTGAAGTCGCTCAATTATCGAACGATGCAGGAATCAGTCGCCGGATGATAAGTCGAACAGAGACGGTTTTAAAGCCATTGGCAGTAGGGGGGTTTCATTTTTGGAGCAAGAAACAGAATCTTTCCCATCCAGGCATGCCATTTTGTGCGGCTAGCTAGGCCTGGCAAAAGCATTAATCATTCACAGCCATGCAGAAATATGAACTAGCACTGATGATAGACCACCACTGCACTTGATCTTCACAGAACAATCTATATGACTCTCACGTTAGCACCAGTGTGGGCATATCCGTTAATTCCAGATACACTGAAACGACATGAACGTACCATTTCCTTTGGCGGTAGCTTAACCGCGGGCAATCCTCGAAGAAAAAGAAGCCATAGTCATCATATCCGCAACAGCTCTGAAGGGGACTTAGTAAGGTCGTAGTCAATTAGGCGAGAAATGGAGCAGCCTTTGGCCTCTTAGCGATCCACGACAACCACGACATCGTCTTATGGCCAGTATGATAAGCGGCCATGAAATTAGAATCCCGAAGACCGGGCTTTGCTTTTTTAGAACGCATGAATATGCCAAGGCTTCCACGCGTTCTTAGGTAACTAGCTTCGCATCGCCATGCAGAACTAGCTTAAACGGCTAGGTCAAGTCCTATTCTATCTGTCTGCGACCATTGACTACAAACACAAAATCGGGCACAGTCTTATGTTGGACAAGGAGTCATTGTATCCACTTCCTGAAGGTGACGCCAAACGGTACAATGCCACGGGTCCGTGGAGAAAGCTACCTAGTCGCCTTGATAATCTCGACATGAAAGGATCAGTAGGTGGCATAGCTTTGAGAAGTCACTGGGCATATGATAACGAAGATCTTCCTTCAGGTACTTTGGTATGCGAGTTTCCCGTATAGGTCTGGTGCTGGCGATCGTTCGCTACCGAACGTGCTAGCAAAGAGTTCAAGAGTTCAAGCCGCCAGCCCATCCACTATGATGAAAGACAAGACATCCTGATTTGAACGAACCACGGATTTCAGGGATCTGCAAACTGCAAGCGAAGAGATCGTCATCCCAGTCTGCAAACCTTGAGATCATGTGCTCGGACGCGGTAGGCACGTTCTCTGGTTGTTGCGCACGTATGAGGTGCCGAACCCTTTGGATCATTGAACATTGACACCTCGCATCAGTAAGATTGAACAACCATAGTATCTACCAGGTCATGTGTGAGCACAATGCTATGAGGTAACAACGGTCGCGAGCATACAGTAGGAAATTCAAGCAGGGTACCAAGCAAGCATGTCCGAAGCCCGTAAACCGAAGTCGACTGTGGAGTGTACTCCGTTTTCGGCGAATGGCCGGCGCTCCGAGGGGTGTTGAAGGCGGGATTCGGAACTCATGGTGTTTACCACCAGATAGATATCTAGATTCGACGTGATAGTCATTTGGATTCTCAGCCCTATTCGAGGAATTGTAATTCATAAGATGGCGTCTAGGGGAGGTTAAGGTTGGGGTCCAAGAACCAAGGAAATCTGGACTATTCTTCAGCCATGCAAGTAGAGTTTGAGCTCGGAAGTGACTCCGATGCTCGTGCGGCGTTTGACAAAAAGTCCTGAGACCATGACTTGGACAGTCAGGCATCAGAAGAAGTTAAATCAACTAACTATTGAAATGCTCTTATCTCCTTGTCGAAGTCCTGGCAATTGCCTGGGTCGGAGTTAAGGGCAGTGGATCGTCAGGGATAGTGGCTGGTCACTCGCTCTCTGACCGCTTCGGTGCCTTCTTTCCCTTTTCCCTCTCCGGCCGACGATCATCACTAGCTTTTGACAGTCCTCCAAGGCCCCAGAGTCAAGGCTTCTGTGCCAATGAGAGAGACCTCATGCTCCAGGAAAGTTCGACGGGCTATCTCCGTGGGCCAGAATGACATTATTGACATTTGACACAGGTCTATTCCAATGTTGACACCTCTCTCGTCCGTCGATCTTCGCATCTTGACTACACCCTTCAGTCCAAAGCATTGGATTCGCACGTCATTTTCATCTTTCCCCGTTGCACGTACCCCATAATATCTATCGTACAATTGAGAGTTGCCCCTTTTGTGACACCCGGAGCTTCGCATGGAGGTGCTTCGTGAGGACACATAGTGGGGACTTATCCACATATTATTTTACACCAATGAACGAAACGCCCCCAGGCATAGGCTCCAAGACAAATCCTCAGCTATCGAGACCAAGCTTCAGAGCCAAAAAGCAATTAGTCACCGGGTTGCATGGCAAGAAAATGGAATTGAACGTCGGGCAGCTTCCCCGAACTTCCGTAAGAGGTCTCTGCAGCGCTTATTTGCTGCGCAGGTCACATCGACAAGAAATGCACTTTTACTATTCAATGGTGGCGCTCTACCAACTGGCTGGTAGTGGACATCCTTTGCCGCTTATAGCTTGCCCGGCGCAGCAGTAGCGCGGCGCTATCCAGCCTCGTCCTCCCCCTCCCCTTTGAACCTGCATGGGACCCATCTTCTATTGATGATCATAGCCACATTGTCGCAGCCGCACCGCTGAATTGGGATGAGAATTTTCAAAGCAGTAAAACAAAGGAACCCCGAGTTTTCCTTCGGGTTCCATTCCCCCGGAATCATGTATGTCATTTGAATTATCGAGCCACGAGGAGCAACAATGGAAAGCACGCCCCTGTTCTATGCAGACTCGATGCGAGGGTTGCACAGCATTCTCCACATGCAAGCTCGGAGTCCACAGCTTTGATGCAGCCAAGCATGGCAACGGCTGCTGGCTTGCGACCTGGACTCATGGTCCTTGGAGGCACGAGTCATGCGAAACACACAATATCTCTGTCTACGAAACAGGCTCTCGTATGGAATAGTAGTTAATATATTCTTCCTTTTGCCTTTCTCTTAAACATCCGGTGTTCCTTTCATCTATGAAAGATGGCAAAGCAACTAATGCTCAGACGGATCATGCAATTTCAAATTCTTACCTGGTCAAACTTCGGCCATGACGTGCTCTATGGACTGATGTGATCGACGGTTACAGGTGAGGAAACCGAAAATAGAAGACTATGACTACTAGTAGTCGCTTGCGCCCAAGGTTGCGAGAAGACAGGGACCTGCGTGGACAATAGCACAAAGCGCGGACACGCTGCCTATCGAGTACTCGAGCCTACGTCAAAGACTTCCCCAAATATGTCGATCAATCACTGAGCAGATAGTGATCTATCGTTCTAGGAATTTTCCGACGAGTGATGAATGGGAAGAAAGAAACCATGGTTGCGGTTGTTCACGTTTGACCAAAACGGGTGAACGCAGAGGATAAATGTAAGAAACTGGTGAACGCTAATGAAAATTCTGCTCCACAGCGAAGCTGATTGTTCGAACTGTTGTTGACTTCCTTTGCGACAACCCACGATCTTAGTATGCAGGATTAGCTTTTATCGAGGTACGAAACTTTGTTAGGGAGGAGCCATCCGGGGTCTTCCGCTAATCGGGGACTGATGAAGGCCATCTTTTGCCCTGCTATGCATGCTCCCATATCCTCGCTGCCTTGATCATACCCTGAATTGCCATTGTTAGCCAGAAACCAGGCGCCCAGAAAGAAACTAGTTCATGCAAGGCATTGGACTAGAGATCTCGTGTTTTTTCCTCGCTTGGTGACCCACCGCCACGCTGAACGGCAGATCATTTCTTATCCTGTTCTATTTGCAGGGATAGGATAAAATCAACGAGCGAATGAATGCTCGAAATCGTGCCATACACGTTTTAGTCTACCTAGTGCCAGAGGACTTCTATGCCGCTTTAGGCTTGTGTACCTCCACTGGCGGCGCTATCCACACCAGCACGGTCGTGACCGAGTCTCATCAAATTGAAACCGGTGGAAGAACATTCTTCAACACCATCTAAGCCAAATTGAGTGAGCCACCCAGCTTTCTCCATGTGGCTATTGATCCTGGTCTGATTTTTTGCGGCACCCCGGGGGCTTTGCTTGCGATTTCTTAAGGGGCACAGGATGAGCTGGGGATACACGAGCCAAAAGGTTGAAACGGGCATTTTGTGTTTGGCCTTCCCTCTTCCTAGTGGAGCCAATCTAGCCGAATCAACGGTACCGTACGAGGGATATTGCCGAGTCCGTACCAGCCAAGTCGAAAGAGCACTATACTCCAGGAGGGAAGTTCTCAAGACACCAGGGTGGCGTCCCATGGATCGACCATCGGAGAGAGACTCCAGTGACAGGGCGTTGGGTGCCATTCTGGGTCTCGCTCTACAGGTCGCCGTCTTGATTGACTAATGTCCCCCCTACAAGCGCATCCACTCTGCCGTCTGCCCACGACACCAGTGGAGACCGACAGCTTAGTGCCATAGATCATTACTGCAATTTGGAAGGAGTCCGGGTCATGTAGCCACACTGTGCCGGGCAACACCGAGCTGAAATTGTCTACTACGTATACTATGACTCTCCATCCAGGGCTCCCCAGCAGTCTAGCGGCCTTCGCACGCTATTAACTACTATCAAACTTTGAGCTATTGCGGGGGGTACTCGGGCTTAATTCGCTGAACTGTTAAAAGCAGGATCCCCGATACTTTCCTTTTCCCTCTTTTACCCCGGCGCAAGATCTTGAAAAAGCAAACCTGCTTCAAGAGTTGGCGTTAGCCCAGACACTCCTTCTTGAAATCTTGTCGGTGCTTATTCGACCCATGTGGTAAACCACGTTCCGGCCTCTAGGTTCAAGAACCTGGAGACTGTACATCTACGCAGATCGATTCATTGACCGCAAACCAATGCAATATCAACAACCGACGCTTCTTCATCATCCATATCAGAAATCACACGCTCTTTTGTGCAACACTCATCTGCTCAACTGGCCCACTCCTTTGCCATGCTGGATGAAATGATGGGAGGCATGCTGCTTCCCCGGACTACGGATGATGGTACAGCTCGCGGACAGCGAGCCCTGGTAGTGACAGCCGTGCTTACCGGACTCTCAATTGTCATTGTCGCTATGCGTATGTATGCGCGAGTTGGGTTAATGAAATTGACTGGTCGTGAAGATTATATGATTCTTATTTCTCTGGTACGTACCCTGATTGGGGTGTCTGAGTTCTCGCTGGGAAAGTGCCGTACATTGACATTGGTTGCATGTAGGTATTATCATGCACGTACCTCGGTCTTGTTGCTGCTGGTAAGTCGTGGCCATCCGCCAGTGACCTAAAATATCTCTCTTACATGCTCCAGAGGTGCATTTTGGACTCGGAAAACATGACGCCGATTTGTCTGACGTTGTTGTGAAAGAGCAATTGAAGGTAACATTCCCCAACACTAATCAGTTTTGAACCTATACTGATCCTCTGTAATGAAGCGACTCTGGGCCGCTATCCCTTTCTATAATGCCAGCTTGATCTTTACCAAATTTTCCATTCTTTTCCAGTATCTTCGGATCTTCCCCGACCGCCGCTTCCGGCTTGCCTGCTGGATCGTGTTTGGTATCGTGGCTACTTACGGAACATGGGCAGTAGTCAGTGGTTTCTTGAACTGTGTCCCAGTCGCCAAATTCTGGAACCGCAACATCTCCGGCTACTGCCTAAGTTTCGAGGCCGTCTGGTTCTTCAACGCATCGATGAATATCGCTACAGACACAACCCTGTTAATCTTGCCTATGCCTCTTCTGTCGCAATTACAACTCCCGCGCATGCAAAAATTCGCTCTTATGGGTGTCTTTGCTATTGGTGGACTGTAAGTCATGGCGATCGCCAGTTTGTCCAATGCACGCTAACCACCACACTCCAGCGTCGTGATCACGAGTATCCTCCGTCTATCCAGTCTGAGAAGCGTAGCTAAAAGCACAGACACGTCTTGTACGCAGCCCCCATTCAATTTCTTTTCTCCTCCTCGAGTTTAGACTAACAAACGAACCAGACAGTAATGTTGGCGCTGCCTATTGGACCGCTGCAGAATGCAACGTCGCCATCATCTGCGCCTGCCTACCATTCCTTCGTCCAATCGTCAGTCGCATCTTCCCTCGTTTCCTCTCGACCAACAGCTACAACCGCTACACTCGCAACCCCACCATGACAGCCAGTCGCATGACCGCCACTCGGATGACCGCGCGCTCGCACCGGCAAAAGGTCGAGCTTTACTCCCAGGACCGCGACTACGGCATGTACACCATCGACGTCAAGTCCGGCGAAGCGAGCCACGATAGTGCGCTAGACGGAATCGCGGTCACGACGACAACGATGATTCAGGAGACATCGAGAAACAATGACGAGTCGACCAGTCAGCGTCGATTGGTTGTTGATGTCTGATGATCTCCGACCTTTCCTAATTTCGCACACACTCACTATTTCCCATACATTCACGAACTTACTTTCTTCTGATACCACGATGCATGATATATGACGCTGCATCTTCAACATTACCCCCTCTTTTTTTTATTTACTCTCTGATCCTGATATCCCACACCTGCGTCTCGTTTCACACATACCTACCTATCCGTCCACCTTCGTGTACATTCTTCTCATTCTTCGGATGTCTAATCATCGACGACTTTATGNCCATGCTACAAGCTGAACCCCTCTTTCTTCTTGGTTTTATGTACATTCACCCTTCTTTCGCTCATCTAACGAGCTCCCAACATAATACATCTGTACAACAGACATTAATACTAAATAGTAGACGGAAAACCCAGTAGATAAATCGTTAGAAAAATCAAACACTACTGATAAACCAACCTAGCGCCCCCCCCCCCGGATAAACAGAATCCCGCTCTCCACGGTGTATCTACCTATCTACCCACCCCAATTTAAGATTAATAATTCTCACACGATCATAGTAATCTCCCCCCTAATTTTAATCTTATCAATCGCATCACATCATGCCATAATCCATCTATAACACTTTCGCCGGATCTAGAACACCCTCCTTTCCCCTCCTTTGCCCCTCTTTTTTCGCAGCACGGTAGATAGATACTGTCAATGTAAGGCGACAATCCAGCAGGGAAGAAAGTCCTTTCCGAATAATCCTAGGCAGGTAACACAATTCCAACCCATCAACATCAATTCTCTAGCAAGACCCAATGTCGTTATGTGCTTATCATCCTCCCATGTCCTGTTTACACCACTTACTAGCTACAATTCGCTCGAGAATAAAGTAATCAACAAACAATCACATAAAACCCCCCGCCTCGCATTACCAAAAACAAAGCTTTACTACATTCGGTCCATAACCATGAATCAGACGATGATCATCATAAGCGATAAATCCGAATTTAACCGACGCAATGCATAGCTACGTAATTGTAGCTCCTAACTAACTAGCTGTATGCTAACTTACATTTGGTAATTGTTGGAATCTGGACTTAAGAAACATCCCACCACAAGGGGAAGAGAGAAATCCAAACAGGCGAGCAGGGAGTAAGTAATTCTACAATAAATTAACATTGATCATATCACGCAAAACAACTACCCTCAAACCTAGCTGTTACACATGAAATTGGCCAGCTTAATGGCCTACTTTATTAGCTAGTTAGTTCCAAACAGCCTCATACGTGTTATTATTTCGCAGGATTCAGTATGTGACGAGACAAAGCGACCGACTTTGTTTTCGTAACGAAACAAAATCCGGAAAATCCGATCCCTTGCAGTGAGGGGTATGTGCTAGACTACTAGTAGACCTACGTGCGAATAATTAATAAGAATTACATGAGAATAATAGCCAAGGAGAAATTTTTGGGGACTTGAAAGGCCGAGGTCGGGCCGAACCGATCTGGAAAGGGAATCTGGCAGTTAAGCTTATCAATCAGTCAATCAGTCAATCAATCTGTGGTTGAGAGATAACTAACTAATTGATGGGTTTCAGATAATCAATCTATCAATCAATCGGTCGCTACAGGTTCGATCAAGCAGGAATCTTAGCGAACTAGTTTACTTTAGATCAATAACAGTCATCATATGATCTTGATAAGTCCCTTATTACCGAAATCTATTCAGTTATTCCATGACCTTACGAACACAGTCATCTCACCCCCGGTTATCCCGTAATTAATAGCCTTGTCCACGCATCCGTCCGCCGGTACAGATTCAAACAAGGTGAAGGGGAGAGTGAGAGAGAGAAGAAGAAGAAGAAGAGGAAATAAAAGTGTAACAAAACAAGCCTCCGTAGTCTTTCTTTTGTAATCGCTTATCCCGCCAGCGCTTCGAACAAATTAAACCCAAGTAAAAAAAAGAAAACTATGTAGAGAACTTTTTTTTCCCTTAATAGTGCACAAGTCCCGTGAAACTCATCGTGTTGCAAATGGTATCTCGTCAGAAAAAGTCTGCGCCAAATATGTGATTGTTGAAAGAGTAAAGGTATAGCAATAGCAGCATAAACAGTTCTAGGACAACTAGATCCATGATCATTGTTGTCCTAATTCTGCCAATTCGCGCTCCTTTGCTCGCAGCATCTCTCTCATCTCTTCCGCTTCTCGTTGCAACTTTAAGCGACGCTCTTCCCTGATGTTGTCGAATTCCGATACACCAGGCAGCAACTGTGAGGGAGGGGGAGCAAGAGGAGGAGCTTGGTGAGACTGATGGTGCTGACGGCTAAGGGCAGCGAGTGAGGGGTCTAGACGCGATTCGTCATGGCTGTTAGGGTTGAGGAGAGAAGAAATTGAACTGAGGCGGGCAGGAGGGGAAGGATTGACGGAAGACATGATCGGAGGAAGTTGGTTGGACCCGTTCTCCAGAGTGGTTGGGATAGACATCGCTTCTGCTGATGACGCGGTTTCTGCAAGGGTGCGTTTCTTTGGATTACCCGATGGATTCGGCGAAAGAGATCGCCGACCAAACTGAGACACCGGAGAGTGGCTTGGAGCGTTGATGCGATCCGGCTCTAACAATCTTGGTGGCGGGGGATGGTGCGGTAAGGAGACGGGCCCGGAACTAAACCCGGTAAAATCGACAGGCGGGGGTGCAAAGCCAAATTGCTTGGGCGCGGCCGGTGAAATCCTGTCTCCGGACATCGGTCCATAGTGATCCACCGGCTCAGAGCTGTAGTAGCGGTAGTGATCGTCGTGGACGCGAGCCAACGTCGCTGGGGAGGCCTCGGGCGAGGCAGAAGAGCCATTCGACGACTGCGTGGCAGCAGTCGGAGAGTGTTCCCGCAGCGCCGGCACAACGCGTTTTCGCCGCTTGATTATAGTCTTCTTCATTGTGGTGGGGCGATAGCAGCCGTGGAGCTTGTAATATAGACCTAAGTGAAATGTTAGCCGCTTCAAGGCTCGTTCTGATACCCGAGATAAGGCAAAAGAACATACCACACGCATTGCAGATCGGATGGCCATTCTCGTCTCGTCGCCAAAGCGGGGTCACAGTAGTTCCACAATTCTGACACGATACCAATATGTTTCCCTCGGCCGACGCACCACTTTTTCCGGGTACGTCCGGTTCCTGTGCTGGCAGGGGCTTTTCGCTATCTGGATTGGCGGGTCGACCCCAAGCGTGCACCGGCACAGTCCCTCGGGCAGAGGACTTGTACACGCGGTTGTTGTAAGCTGGGCAACCGTCACACCCCTCAGCACCCCCAGTGCCGTTACAGTTGCCCCCACCGGGGCAAGATCCTTTGGAGCCATGACAGCCTCCTTCGCTATGGGTGTGTGCCTCGTGCTGGGGTGCTATCGATGGTGGCTGTTGCTGCGACGGTTGGGGTTGGACAGGTTCCGTGCTGGTCTGTATACGATTCCGCTTTGTGGGCCGGGCAACATTCCGTGCCTTCAAATACAGACCACAGGCATTGCAAATCATCGCCCCGGTCGGTGATCGTCGCCATAGCGGAGTGCTTTTCGTTCCACAGTTACTAAGTGTTACCAAGGAAGTCAGTACCGCCCAGGTAACAAACTAAAGAAGCCCATGGAAACTCACCTGCAGGAATGTCCTAGAAAGGAAGTGTCCTTCTGGGACTTGGGTGATGTCCTTTCTGCTAGTGTGTTCGAGGCAGATTCGGTCGACGGCAGCGTAGGCCGTTCAGAATCGTAAGGAGTAGGTGTATGTTTGCCATCGTAGGCATCGTAAGCATCGTAGCCTCGAGCCGCATCATCATCACGGGCACGGTCAACAAGGTGTTCTCGACCAGCCTGAGCAGACGAGATCAGCTGCTGAGCAGCGTCCAAGTCCTCCGCTGATGGATGCCGCGCAACCATATCGGGATTTCGAGGGAGCGATCGCACCGTCTCCATCTGGGGGATTGATGCCAGCATTGCCAACAAGAAATCGCCCGCAGAAGATATTCGTTTTCCTTCTCTATCTCCCAGTGACAAAGTCCCCAGATCAAGGCAACTTCCGAGAGTAGAGCGAGTCACTCAAGATAAAAGCGTAGTCGAAATAAGGAGAGGGCTTTGTCGTGAAGGTACGTCGCACCACAGTCGAGGGGGGGCAAGTAATGTATCGTATCACAAAGTCAAAAGTCGGTCAAGATGACAGTGCAGGGGGAAGGAGAAAAAAGAAAAGAAAAGTCTAACGACAGCCTGACTGAGAGGCAGGTAACTGCAGCTAGTGAAACTCCCAGAGCCAACCAGGCGGAACCGGAGAGACGACAGAACACTGATCCCTGACGGTGACCCAAGCGTACTAGAAGGAGATAGGGGTTCTCGGAAAAGTTGAGCGATCGTAAAGTCAAAAGGCAGAGATCAGTAAGCAGCAGTCAAACTGTATTGATGGGCAACAGATCTGCCACGAAATGCTCGTATATTGGCCAATCCAGAACGGGATGGTCTGAGTGGCGATCCAGTCGTAACGGATAGAGTGCCCCGGAGTACTGGGTGCGGATGAACAGGTGAGGAAAGGTTTAAAAAAAGAACAAGAGGTGAAATCAAAGGAGGTCAGATCGCGAATAGATTTGGGGGGGGTGGAGGTGGGTAGGAGGCAAAAAAAGGTACGGAATGGAGGAGGCTCGAGAGAGAAAGAGAGAGAGAACGGTCTGGAGAGATGGGATGGATAGATCGATCGTTGTTGGTGGGAGGGGAGGACAGCGGCGACAGGACAAGAAAGATCGGCGGTAACAGGGCGATCAAACAAGACGGATGGAATGTCGGATCAGATATGATGAGGGGTGTTGAAAGAGTAGAAGATGATGAAAGGGGGATGAAGGGAAAGGAAAGGAAGGGATTTAGGGGGGGCTGAGCGGTTGGTGGAGGAAGTGGTGAATGAGCAAGAAGGCGAGAGAGCCGAGGAAGAGATTGATAATAGAGGCAGGAAGTGGGTAAGTATGGAAATGGATGGTGGTGGTGATGATGATGATGATGAAGGTGAGGGTGACCACCGTATGCTGATAACCACGGGCCAGACCTTTTTCGGACGGTTCTGTCATGAGACGGGCAAATAGAAAGTACCAGATTACTTACCAACACGCCTCTCGGTCTGTTTTTTTCACTCAACTATTTTTGAAGCACTCGCTTTTTTTCTTTTTTGGGATGCCTCTGAACTTTTTTTGTTTTTGATTAATTTCTTTTTTTTTTTTTTTTTTCCCTTCCCCTTCGCTTCTTCGCGTGCTCTGTCGGTCTGTCAACTTTCCCAGCAGTATGGTCTTTTTGCTTATCAGGCAGCCCTTCTGTTATCGATCTCCCAGGGGGATCTACGACCGGGGGCTATTCCTTTTCCTTCTTCTCGTCAGGGTTTTGCTTTTTCCTACCCTGCAATCTGTAGGTTCAAACCGATAGTTTGACGGAATAAAAAGTCTGAATGTCTCTAAACTTCGTTTACTTTCTCTCTTTCCATCCGCTAAGGAGGGTGGACAGAATTTTTGCGCGTGAGAGCTCGGTCGCGCAGTTCCCTCACCCTTTTTTCCCTCTTTGCTGGCCAATTCCAATCCCATTTGCCTACGGCCTCCCCAGATCGAATCTCCCGGGCTCCACCGCTTCCTATTACGGTTTAGTGAACTGGGTCTAAGGGGCACTGCGCCTTCCCGAATCGTCCATAGCGTGTCCGTTCACGAATAAGCGTTATTCATCAGCCTATCATTGGCGCACCAAACCCTGGCGCTTCAGTCAGCGGTATTCTAGGCAACCACATTGGCTGCTTCGGAGATTCTATCACGATATCCCGAGCTTCCATGCTCCGCTCCGACGGTCACACTATGCACTCTTTCGTTCGGTAGTCGGCCATAACGAAGCACCGCCCTAGTGGTGCTAGCTGTTGGACTAGGTGACCAGACTGCATAAGATGAGCCCGAAGTCCCACTGGTCCCTATTTGGGATGTTGTGGAAGCCCGTAAGGCTACTGCCTAAGCACACCGGAACAGGTTGTTATCTCTCCGACGCGGCTGACGAAAGAGTCCCGTTTGATCTATCTCGCTCATGTGATTGGATTCTTACCCACCCAACCTGACAACAACAAAGTACCTTTTTGCCTGAGCCCTCTTTTTATTTTCCTCTTCCGGATTGCCGATTTGCTCTGGCGTATGTAAACCATCATCTTCTAGACTTTCCATAACCTTCCGACACTGGCTGCACAAGGCGCAAGGCGCAGCTGCGTCTGACTTTTTGACACTCTGACACGCCTCCTTTTTTTTCTCCTTGTTCCCACTCTTCTAAGCATGCCCACCAGATAAATCTGATAGGTACCATTCACAATAGTAGGATGATTGGATAGTGAAGAGAAGAAAAGAGGCAAAGAGGGGGGGCCGAAAGTATCCATCCAAACGCCGACCTCCTTATCGAAACGTTCGCTTATTTTGGCTCTCAACTTTCGGGACTAATCTATTTCTGACCATCTAGTGACCATCCTGAATCCATCCTCAATCCTCCGTACGGAGTAATCCGTACTGTTAGTTACAATCAATCAAAATCAGCCGACTCATCCGACCTATCTATCAACTTAGACCGTAGCGAAGTAATCAATCAACCAACAGAATCAACTTGATCAAGCGCCACTAGCCCCCCCCTTAGTCGATCGTGGCGTGATGTATGACACCGATAACCTGACCACCTCCCCCTCTCCCCCAAACCGGCCACAACATGATATGATATGATATGATGTGAGATGGATATGATATGATCACAGTAGACTAACTAACGCTACTACCTACCTGCTTACTTTCCTGTACCGGTAAAGTTCCTTGCCGATAACGCTAAAATCGGCAACCTGCGTCGATTTAGGTTTCGACACATTTGCCCTTTCTCTCTCCCACCCACACCCCCTCATCAGCGCGGATTTTAATTTGCCGCCCTACACCGACTCGGGGGTTCCAACGCGCGGAAGTTCCGCCCTTTCGGGATACTAAAAAAGAAAAAAGAAAAAGAAAAAGAATAGGGGAAAAGAACTAGTCTGCTTAAGGAGATACTTGTTGTGAAGTATCTAGTTAGTCTGCATATGTGTGCATGTGTGTGAGATATGACGACGACCACATACATAGTCTACCAACGAAATAGGGAACTCATCGTCAAGTTTGCCTGAATACGTAAGTAAATGAACCCGGATATGACCGGAAATGAACGCCATTCGTCTGGATTGACAAAGCGTGTCGTCTGAGCGTGTCGCCTAGAGTGTATACGAATGTTTGGCAGTTGTTGCTTTCGAGTTGAAAGGAAGGAGGAGCGAGCGAGCGAAGCAAACTCGGGCCCCCTCTCTCGCAAGGTGAGGCTGATTCTGGATCGATCCGTTGATTGATAAGTCGATATAGATTTCTTGGCGGGGGCTTGGCAAGGGGCTTGGCGTTATAGCTGTGGACGGAAATCTTGAACGAGGAGATGATTCTGACTAGGCGTCGGGCCCGGGAGTCGGGCTCGGGAGTAACGGCTTACGCTACGATTAGGTCGATCTTGCGCGTTAAAATAGTGGAGGAATGAAGGGGCAACGACAGCTGCAATGGAACGCAGTGATAGGCTGGCTATATGTGAGGTTCTACTGTCTAGTGTCTGGTCTAGACTAGTGGGCGTTGGGTAAAGGCATACGACAGGTTGGCTTTACTTGATCGTTAATATTGGTTGATATGTTTAAAAAGAAATATACGATTAATGATAAGTCTCAACAGAATGTTCCACAAAGCAAAGAGAGGATGGGGGCGTGTTCTCAACAAGTGAAGAAAAGCCGAAAACACAAGCCGTGACCTGAGTGGGACGGCGCAGAGGTTTACCGCATCCGGAACGAACACACAACGGCCCCATCTTGATAATCAATCGACCTGGATAGGGTGAAGGAGGCCCATCGGTAACATATTTGAAATTGCTTATCTCCGAGCTGGGGTATCGCCATCTCCGAATCCTGGGACCGGAAGAGCATGCCGAACCGCTCGTGCTTGTGGTGTCAACGTTCCAATGGAGCAGGTTTGCCCGAGCGATCTTTGTTTTTTGATGCCCGCGCCCTCTTTCTTCTACTTGTGGGGGCGTGGGATGGATGGCTTAGTCCAGGACTTGATCGAGCTAGTCGAGTAGTTTGCATGTTGCCTGAGCGGCAAGCCGGATCAGATAACTTTACCCACACATGCTAGCATGGGACTGTCCGTGGTGATTGTCGTCGGAGAAGACGAGTCCATGTGTTCTTGTCCCACATGGGTAGCTTGTGACGGCGGGACGCCGCTGTTGTGGTGCTGTAGCATCGCTAACTAGTACTCAGTTTGTATACCGTAGTGCTTGGCCATGGTAGGGGATTCATATGGTGCGATGTCCGTCTCAGCACCCATATACTTACTAGCTGTCATCACGCCACGCGGCCATATTATCTAGACTTGCGTTTGCCCACGTCAGACCTCGGCTTAAGATTTATTATATATCATCTACTACTTATTATACAAAACTAAAGGGCATGAAACAGCGCCATCCGGTACGAACAGACCACTGGCCCCACAGGACAGCCTAGACCTTTAGAATTTTCCAATGCACACATCCACCGTTTGAGAAAAGTAAAAGAAATAGCGTGATTTAGAATGATCTGGTGTCATCTTCTGGCCGGCACCCCGGCCCAAACCTGATCCTTTGGTCTTTGCATTCCCCCATCACTTGAATCATCGCTGAGAATTAATCATCGCGCTCGTCGATCATCAAACATCGCATAAGAGTTATCTTCGCTTTCCCTGACTCTCACTCGTGCTTCGAACGCCTCGTTTGCAGTCACGGTGTCTTTTGTTCTTTGTTAGAGGGAGAGACCGCAGACGATAATCAACTCTGAGAACACAGATTATGCGCCATACACCATCACTCCGTTAACAGAGAACAGATTTTACACCGCATTTAGACCTGCTCGGCGCCCCAGCCCTGGTCGTTTTCACGCATGTTGGAAGGGGGCTCGATGGAGGGAATGAACTCCAGGGCCAGGTAGCCCAGGCCGATGAATCCGATGATGGAGCCGGCAATGTACCGCAAAACCCAGTCGTGCAGCAGGATACATCCAACGAAGATGTAGACTACGCAAGTGGTCAACTCATTAGCAGCGATCTACGGCAATCACGGATAGTGTGACTTACAAGCACCACGTCCCAGGAAAGAGAAAAGGAAGGACGCGTAGCGGTAAACGTAGTCGGGAACGTTGGGCAGGAATTCCAACCCACCGACAACTAAAGCCATGGTGTAAGTATGCTGTCATATGCACTATACTGCTGCCTGATCTGAGACTTACTGAGACCAAAGAGAATCACGTAAATGCCGACGATGATGGAGCTCATAGACGCAGGGAAAAATTGCGAGATACCACCGAGAACCATCAACACGCCAACGGCGATGTTAACAATTCGACTGCAGCCGTTGGAATTAGAGTACATTTCACCAAAAATGTATGCGATGCAAGGCCATCGTCGACGTACAAGATGTTAGAAAGATCCATTTTGGCAAGTATTTAGGCCTAAGGAGCTCTTCCTGCTAATATAACCGGTCGTCGGGATATAGGTAGGGTGTTCAACGACGAAGACTGAGTATCGGAACGGGTACAAAGGGGAGAGTTTCTGTAGATAAACTGGGTTAGCTGGAGAATCCAACAGGGTGAGGCCAACGCCGGATTGGGCTCCGGCAGGCTAGCCATAACAGCTACGTCAGGTATGGTCGCGCGAGTGATGACCACTCAAAGGGATTGTGGGCAGCATGATAACACAGCCAGAGGATGGAAGCTCACCTTTGAAGCCAAGCTTCTTTGACAGATACGAGTCGGAAGGAAGAGGGCGGAAGGGAAACCAAGGAGATGGAGAGGCTCAAGCATCGTCGTCGCGCTGTCGCAAGCAGCGGGTCTGCCAAGGCGCTGAGTAGATGACTCAGCAGGTCTCGTCTCCGGAGCGCCCGCAAATACGCGAGATGAAAGACCCATTTCAGCTACTATTTCGGGATGTGCGACGACATTGATTCTACAAAGGAGCTACTATGCGGCATTGAGGCCAGGGGAAGGAGCTAGATGCACTCGACAAATCTCATACTATTTTTTTTGGTCTGTCCACTGTCTCTGAAAGACATGTGTAGACTTCATTGATCACGAGGGCAACTCATACGTCATATCTGACAGGCAGCTACGATCTGTCCAGGTATGACAGCTGTTGACGGGCATACTTTGCTTTAAACAGATGCCTGACGGACTCCCGATTATGTACCAGAGCAAAACGGCCCTGCACTAGCCGTTCAAATCGCCATGAGATCTCCTTGCCTCTTCTCCAGTCTGACAGCCGACAATCCATTGGCTAGTCGGCTCATACTCATCGAGTCGCGTCCTAGGTCGGCGTAGATAGCGTCCAGGTCCGTACCAAGGCCGACATTATCAGCAGTTTCCAAACTGCGCCCATCAATAAAAGGTGCAATGGAAGGCCACACAGCCTGGGCATTGTTGAAAAAGAGATCTACGCCCAGGTCGCCTAGTCCTTTGATCTCCTTTATCAACTTTCTCGTTTCGTCTCGGTCATTATGGGCTTTTTTCAGAAGATTGTTAAGATCTCCATCTGCAAAATGCAGTCAGTTACTGGCCACAATCTTACATGACGCACTCATGCGGTGAAACACACGTACCGTACTTCTCATTGACGAACTCTGCCAAATCACCTAGATTCGTTGCACCTTGCTCTCGATAGCGATTGTATCCCCCGTCCTTGAGGACCATTGTTCTCTCCTCCCAGCTGCTCTCCCCTAATTTCCGTATATCATGATACCCGACCTCGATAAGCTTATTGACTGCGCGCTGTGTCAGGTCGTGCGAGATAGGGCGCGATTTCAGCATCGCGTCCATAACCATAGCAAGTAGTGTATCCGGGGAGCTCTCCAGGCGTCCCTCTGCGATTTCGGTCCCATACAAGGGTGGGCGACCAAATTCCTTGACGACCTTTTGCAGTTTGGGCTTGCTTGAGACCCTTTCTTTTGCTTCTCCTTCATCGTCTTCCTCGCCTTCTGCGTCCTGGTCCTCTTCTTCTTCACCACCTTGCTCTTTCACAAAGTCGACGTTCTCGTCATCTGCCTCATCATATTCTTCCTCTTCATCGAATTCCTCATTATCTTCCTCGCCCTCTTCCTCAAATTCTTCGTCCTTATACCCCGAATCCTCCTGAACCTCGTCATCTTCTTCAACGGTGTTTGCAGCTGACTTGGACGCTTTAGTAGGCGGCTGCTCCTTTTCTACCTCGAGGCTTCCTTCACCGGTGCTGATGTCAGGGTCTCTCTGATCGAGCTTGCGCTTGGGGGCATCAGCTGCGTCGGTTTCGCTCTCTACCTGGGGCGATTTGTACTTCATCTTGGTAGAGAGCTGCTAATATGCGAACAAGACGAAAGTGACGTAGAAAGGTTGGAGAATTATTGTTTCCAAAATCAATTGAGTTAAGATACAGTGAGTTGTCGTAGTTGAAAGTTTTCATGGATAAATAGTCTGGGGTAGATCGTAGATGGCTTCTCCGCGGCTATGGCGTCATGATGAATTCAGACGCTATGCCCCGTCATTGAATTGAAACAATTCTTGCATGTAACGTACCAGTAACTAGAGCGAAATAACTATGCTTTTTAAGATTAGCGTGCTAAACTTTATGGTCTATCACAGGACAAAATGTTGTGTCTGAGTCTACAGCTTGGCTTTATCCTTCCGGCGCAGCGTTTCCTGGACCAACTTGACAGCATCCTCCGCACATCCAAATGAAGCCTGATACCCAAAGCCACCATGGCCATAGTTATGCACAACGGACACTCCGTCGACCTTCTCCGCTTCAATACGCGGCCCGCCCTCACGGAGGGGGCGTAGTCCAACACCATGTCTGATGATATCCAGACCTTCGATACCCTGTCCCTTCTCGACCAGCTCCGGGCATAGAGCTATGGCCCGCTTCATGATTCGAACAGCTAAGTTGGGATCTGGCAGCGGATCCCACTGGTTCTTCTGATACGAACCTCCAATGACAGTTCCACCACCTGCTGCACGGGTCATCATGTAAACGACCTCGTCCTCACCGTCGTCAGTGCCGGAAATAGACACCATCTTACCCGGGTCATTGCGCACGACGACAATCTGACCACGAGCAGGGTAGAGCTTGTCATCGAGCACACCGCCCAACTTCTTGGACGAGAGTCCGGTGCAATTGACTACCACATCGGCTTTTTGGCCTGTGTGGTGGCCGTTTGCTGCATCTGCCACATGCTTCAGGACGGCTCGTTTGAAGACGACACCGTTTTTCCGGCACTGACCGACTAGCCAGGGTAGGTAGACGGCGGTGTTGATGCACACTGATGTGAATTTGGATGCGTTGTCGATTCCGGGGGCTAGCTGGTCGGCGGGGATATCTTGGAACTTTTGGAGGTTAGGAGTGTTGTCGGTGAGGGAGAGTATGTGGGTGTACGCACATCAGGAACAACTTCCATATACCATGGGTCTTTTTGCACCAGTTCAGAGAACCATTCCCCGGTTGCTGATCCCTGATCCTTTGTACGGTTGTAAACAATGGTTTCTGATGAGGTATGCTTAGTAGTGTTCGTTAATGAGAGGCTTGGAGCGTACCTTGGAAGTGAATGCCCGCTTCGGGGTGGTTCTTCGTGAGCTCCCTCAGGGCGGGCCAGGTGTTTCGTTCCCATCTCTCATGGTCACTTCCGGCCTTTCCCACACTGTGAAGGGAGAACCTCTTACATTAGTCTTTTGAGACGTGTGGACCGATACACAGCTGAGGGCCTACCCTTGGAGGACATACGGAAGATAATTGGCGCCAGCCCAGGGAGAAGTATACTCGATGTCGTAGTCACCGGGCATGTGCTTTGCAAGGACTGTAATGCTATTCGAGGCATCCTGGGACAGTAGATATGCGGTGGTGAGACCGGAGACACCAGCTCTGGTGATTTTCAAAATCAGCATACGCCGGTGACATGTGAGCTTGCGGGGAAGCAGCTCCTACCCCAGCATTACAATGCGGTTGTTAGCCATCTTCCGTTCGAGCAATGGAGATCAGATATTTTCGAAAAGATGCTTTGCAAAAGACTCCAATGGCACAGACGGGCTTATAAGCAAGCACCCAGGCATACAGATAAAGAGATAGGAATAAGCATGAGTCAAGCCAAGAGGAGGGGATGTTGAGGCACGATCCCCGTCAGTCAAATTAGTTATCGGAGGCCGATCCCGCCATTTTGATAAGGACTCGACTCCTCTTTTTCTTCTCTTTTGCTCGGACCTCATTCGGCGATTACAGTAAGGTACGGGCGGCTTCCGGTAAACACTAACGTGTAATTGGTGTATATACGGTACAAAGTACATACCTAACGGAACGCGTCCCGACCGCGGCTTACCATACGGACCGGCTGACACAGGCTTGCCCGGCGGTAAGTATAGGCCAGGAAAACAGGTCCCTATATTGTGAATCGGTGGGTATGGAAAGAAAACTAGGATGATGATGTGCAGGAAGGCTGATCTGCCAATTTTGTTCAGGCCACTTCATCAGGTATGCCTGCATGGCCGGAAAGATGTTACCAGCAAAGCGCCAGGGTTGTCTGGCCTGACCGCTCCCGAACAGACAGATCCATTGTAAGCGCCGAGGCGACGGAGGGGAAAGGTCTTTCGTCATCGGTGACAGCCTCACACCCGTGCTAGCCAATCATAACAAACATATTAGCTCACCGCCTCGTCCTCGGTAAGGAACGGGGCTGTAAGAGGGTAGGTTTTTTCCTGGTAAGGTAAGTTAAAGTAAGTTGATTCTGTAAGTAACGGGGTTCCTCCGCACTCTCCGTCCGAACAAGAAAAGTCTCGCCTGTCTCTCTCGCGTGTAGATCGTGTGTTGCTTTTCTCTCCCTCTTTCCCCCATTATTCACTCTCCATTCTACTGCGCCAAAACACTCGGGCTGTTCCCCCTTTGACTATTGTGTTGCTCCCCACTTTCCCTATTGTCCCGCCTCTATTCTCCTCTGCTCGACGAGGCTCGTCTGTGTTCCCCTTGCGCCAAATGAGGGCCGTTCGTCGGGCAGGGCTATACATCAACCATGGCGGACGCTCCAAATGGTGGCAGAATCGTGCCCATAGTCACGACTGCCCGTCAGCACTACTCCAGCTCTCCGACAGATGAAAGCATGGCCAAAACAACTCCGCAGACGTCTCAGAAGACCAAGATGCCTCGCAATGCACGCAACAAGACTGCAGAGGCGGAAACTCTGGAGATTCCTTGCCTCAATGCGCTAGGGCTCTATGCTCTCCCCACTGAGGGTGATGGTAACGTGGTCCCTGCCATTGGGCACCTAGCTTCAATTTTGGCCTCAATTGGGTTAAAGAAGCATGCTCTCCAGTCTATCTAACTGTCCATCGTAGGCAACTGCCTTTACTACGCGCTGTCGGACCAGACTTATGGGGATTTCACGCACGCCGACGAAATCCGTGATCGTCTTGCAGACCATATATCCGCCAACAAAGACTACTTCATGAGCTTCATAGCCGCGGCCGGTGGAGAGCGTCGAGCCCCTCGACGGGCTGCGGCTGCAGCCGCCCGACAATCTTATTGTTCCTCTTCGTCCGCTAGCCCGGCGCCTCCTTCAGCCAAGGATAAAGAGCGGAGCTTTGACTCCAAGGTGGCAGAGTCCCGGAAGAAGGGCGTATGGGGAGGAGCGGAGGAAATTCAAGCTTTCTGCCAGGCCTTCAAGAAGGACGTTTGCGTCTATACCATGTACGGTATTCAAAATTTTCGTGACGTTCACGCCCCTGAAGGTGAGGAACGCGACATTATCCATATCGCATTCCACGTAAGATACCTTATGCCATGGTTCTACTTTACGGTTATCTAACGGGCCTAGGACTTTCACCATTACTCCTCCGTGCGGCATAGCGATGGGCCTCACACCGGTCTGCCTTGTATTCCCAAAGTCGGTAAAGAACGGGAAGCAGAGGCGTCAGCCGCTGAACCCACAGTTGTCGACATGGCTACCCCCTGGAAGATCTCCGCAATTCAGGAGGGTCTGGGGGGTAAGTATGACCAAGGCGCTATAGTAGAAATGCTACAGCAGTGCCGCGGGAATATTGACCGGGCGTTTATGAATCTCCTCGGTGAGGATAGCAATACGTCTCTGGCAGACGCGCCCTCGTCCAAGGCCATCATGAAGTCACGCCTCCAAGCATCTTCGAGGTCGTCGTCTCCTTTCAGCGTCGGCAGCAAACGTTCAGCAGATGAAAGTGACGCCGACGACAGCCCTCAGCCGGCTGTCCGACGTACCCGGACTCGTGAGAGTAAAAGGCGTATCCTCCCTGATGTCATGGTCGGGATTGAGTTTAGAGACGATCAGAATGATCTGGTCTCGTTGCGATTGCGAGTCAGCCCAGACACTGTCGTTCCCAAGCCTGCAGTCCAGCCAAGCACCGAGCAGGCTGAGGCCAGCTCTCTAGAGTCTGCAACGGATAGTCCCAGTCTCTTACCACAGGACAGGAAACTCAGGATCCGGTCAAAAACTGTTTCAAGTGAGACGTCTAGCATTCCGAATGAGTCCAGCGATGAGCGAAAGCCACCCCGACGAAGCCAACGAATTTCCAGGACTCGTCCGGCGCCTAGAAGTGCTTGACAATTACAATCTATTCTGTGGCTCTCCCCTTACTCTCATCTTCACGTTTCGAGAACATCAGTTTCGAATCACAAATCCTTCTACGCATACGACATTACGACCCCATCCTTCACCTTCGCTTCATTGCTTTTTTCATCATTGCATTACGAGCGCGTTGGGTGTTGATCATACTATCCCGCTTTACCATTAGAGCATCTGTCGACAATCACATTTCTCTTCCTTTCCATACCACTGGCGACTTGGAGCACTTACGACCCAAATCATTTTCCTCCCGCATATTTTCACCATCTCCAAAGACATAGTCAATGACGACTTTTTGACTTGACTTACACGCGAAGCATACGACACATACCATCTACATCTTCATGAGGCGTTATTGGACGGTTGCACATTGCATAAATCCCGTTAACTTTCTAACTTGCATGCATGCATTGGGTTGGTGCACCTTTCGGAAAAGTTACCTTCTCATCTATTGATTTGCCCTGGCGGTCTTCTGGAGAATACTTTCATCTTGGGACGATTCTGCTGATTATACTGCTGAACGGATCACAACGACTTTGATGATAGAAGGAGTATTGTCCGTCAAACACACCGCCTTGCTTGATATCACCGGCTATTACTGAATAGACTGGTAGAGGTCCGTTATTTCTTATTGCTGGACTCTTCTGTGGCTAGTTAGCTCTTTTACTAGCGATTATGATTGAGCCATGAGACTCATTCGCCACGAAAATAAAAGGCACACATATCGAGTATACCATGTCAGCTTCTCTCTAGAGCACGTAGACGCATAGACAGTATCAAGCGTACCTCGTAAGCCAATTTTCTAACATCGTAAAGAATACCTAGTTAACCAACTACCTGACAAGCCGAGTGACCAATTGCCAGGACTACTCAAATTCCTACTCCAACATCATCTACATACTTACATGAGCAACAACAAAGCAAACAATCTCCTTCGTTCCCAACATCCAGCACACAAGATGTAATGTAATCATCAATCAATGCTACCCAACGAGACCAAGTATTCTTCCGCCCTTACGGCCCATACCATAACTAGTACTCTCAAAGACCAAACCAACAACTCACCCATACATAATGACAGACAAGTTATCAGGCACCAGACCCCCACCCCCTCTTTCTCTTTTCCTTCCCCAAGCATGCACACACAACACATACTTTCTCCCAACAATCCAATCGTCTCCCAATGAACCCCTACTGAGTACTCATAATTATTATCTATTACACATAATATTCAATTTTACCCCTCCTTCTCCTCCCACCATCCCCACTACTAGTACTTAGTTCCGGTGTGGCTGACCGACCAATAATCAGCTAGCTATAACAAACCCGTCATTTTTTATTTCTATTCTCTGTTGACTGAAATAGTCTAATATAGACAGTTCACTTCATCTAATCCTCGATGGTCTAACGGTCATGATTTCCGCTTGTCAATCCCATCTCGGGAACAAGCGCGGGAGACCTGGGTTCGACTCCCAGTCGGGGAGATTTCTTTTTGCTTTTTTATTATTGTCTGTTGTCATTTATTCTTTTGGGGGGATGGTATTTGTAGGATGATGGTGCTTTCTTTATTTTGGGGGTTTCTTGTACGGTGGTATGTTGGAGGTTAATTGATAAGTTTGTTTGATTTAAAAGGGTGTTCGATGTTATGCTGAGCGTGGTTGTTGTCGGTTTTCCGATGAATGAGTATCGGAAAGTAAGACAGGTGGTGGGTTGATGATGATTTAAAAAGGATTTTTATTAGGGATTTCTTAGTTTCTCTTGTTCTATTGTATGATTATTAAATTCATAGGATAGTAGAGACTGGCTATATGTACATGACTGAAATGACGCCAGAGCTGGTTGCTTCACTTCGCTAGTATGTAGATGTCAACGAGAAGAAGATAAAGAGAATGAGGCATTTGTCTGGCTTGCTGAGATTGAGGACAATGCGATACAATATGGTCATTTGACGGGCGTGAAATCGTGAAGTGATGTATGCATATCTGTGATGCTTGCTAGTCCATAGTCTGGCCTTCTGGTAAATCCCTTATGACATGGTGGACTGCCGTGGGATAGCTCTGTTTATTTGCAACCCGATATATTTAAAGGCCACGTGGAGGCCTGCTCTCTTTTCTGGGAGCACACATGGAGCGCACGTATATTTGAGAGGGGGCGGAGCTAACACCCTTCCTCGCGGTTTGGCGCATACCCTCATCTGGGTGAGAGCCCGGCGTATGGCTCAGGGCAGTGTTTGAGAGTAAGATAGTCCAATCTCAATGCTCATCCCGTGGCCATTGAACTCCGGGTCACTGAGCTCCGAGTAATGGCTGTATCTGGCCGCAAGCGAACACCAGGTGAGTAACAAAGATTATAGAGTTCATCCACATAACTGCTGGTAGCCAAATCACCGGCTACAACGGTGGCGTGCGAAGCATGTTTGGCAGAGTCCAGTGATCGCGTAGATAGCTTGGCGACATCCACCTTGACCTCCTTGCGGACCATAATATCGCCAAGCTGTGAGAGCTCCGTCAACGTTTCCTGGGAGAGATCGCCATGGGGGGAATCCGCATGCTTGCGCGGCCAAAGTTTCAGAACAGAACGGATGGAAGGTGTGATATCGGCTTCCGTGGCGGAGCTGCTGCGTGCGTTTGAATAGTACAGTTCCCTGCCCAGCTCCTTCGCAAATCCATCACTTCCGATGTTTGCGTCGTTCAGTTGTTGCTGTGCGCGGAAGAGGCGTAGGGGCATGAAGGTGAAGTCCGGGTTCGAGACTTGAGTATCCAGATTTCCAACAGCGCAGAATGGCAGTAGGATAGAGTTTGATGCATCAGAATCAGAGAACATCCGGCAAGGGGCAATGAGAGGTCTGGCTGAGAATTTCGAGGCCATGTTGATATCGGGAGGAAGTGCGCTTTCAAGCGATGTCATCGCATGGATCAGTTGCTCGCGGAAGTCATCGATCTCTTTGTTCGACTGGGCTGCTTCAGATTTCAGCCAAGACAAGCAGGTCGATATGGTCCATCCTTCCATGTGTGAAATCAGATCGAGGTGCTGAATGTTAATTCGTTTAATCGGTAATGTTGATGAAGGCAATGGGTTACCGGTCCCCTTCGCTGTTAGTACCTCAAAGTGGTCGGAAATGGTAGGGCGCATAACAAATGAAACGAGGTGGACGCCCGGCTCGTAATTGCGGCCTCCAGTCGCGTAATCTCGCATGTCTTTTAGATGCTCGCCCAACACAGGCAATGGAATGTGCATTCGGCTGGACAAAACCGATGTGACATTTTCGACCGCAGTGAAACGGAAACCTGCGGCGGCCAGTCGATTCGCTTCCTGCTTGTCCAAATGGCGCACTGTGAAAAGCATTTGTCCCTTGCTATTGTTTAACCGAGAATATCCCATCGCCCGAGAGAAGCGCGATGTCGGAGCAGTCGTAACCAGTACATCGTCGTATAGCTTTCCGAGGGCCGGCAGAGGCTGTCGAACCTCGTCGGCGAGGTCCTGAGCGGTAACGCAAAAATGTCGCTTGAAGAGTTCGTCGAAATCGTTCTGCAATTCATTCTCCTGATCCAGGGCCTCACCCTTGGCAAGAAAGTGCTCCGTCGCCTCTTTGTCTGTCTCGATCCGACTTCTCATAAAAGGGACAACATCCTTGACCAGATTCCAGTGTCTACTCGCTCGGAATGCCCAAAGGAAAGCGGGATGGCTCCGGGTAAGGTCGTCATCGTTGAACGTCTATATAGTTGGGGGAAGATTCTGCATCAGCACAGTTCGGGAATGAATTAGATTGCAAACATACCCTGCCAACATAACGATCGACAATCTTCCGGCTAGGAAGCAACGCGTGAGGAGTGACCATGATCCGCCCAGACTGGTCAAAGAAGGCACAAGTCAAGACGAGCTGTCGAGCTTGTATGTTCAGTCTTCTCCGATTTCCACCAGCAACTACGGCACACGCCGTCAAAACTCCGCAAGCAGCGCATGCCTAACATCCGTTAACATCCGCCACATCAGGTAACCCTGGACTTCAAACATACCAAAACAGAACTGATAATGACAACTTGGCTCCGCGAAAGCTGACCATTATGCTTCATGGTTGTGTCATGATTGTAGTAGTATGTGCCAACTGCAGCAGTCCAATGCATGCCGGAGACAGCAAGGGCAAGTACACAACCGCAAATACCGCGTCGCCACCAACTATCTGTCCATGTAGCCCTCCACCGAAAGAAGACCGTCAACGCAACAGTACTAGCAAACACCGCGATGATGGTGGCACCGACGATGTTTGCAACACGGTAGCTACAGCGATAGTTGCTGATACCGAGCTGACCGATATAATGCATACCGCATACTGCACCTCCTGTGAGTACACCACCCGTCAGGATTCGGATATAACCGGCTTTCTCGCTGGCTCCTATGCTGTAGAAGGCAACAAGCAGAACGACAACCGGGAGCACAAAGGATACGCCCGTAAACGTCATGCTATAAATGATCTGAAATTGTGCTTCCCCGTTTCCCAGGACAATGGCACGGTTTCCAATGTAATGCATGCACCAAATACCGACACCGCCCATTGTTATGGAGGAAGTGAGCAATAGATACCTATATGTACGGTTAGACAGGCGCTTGTTGTTATCATGCAGTGAAGATATCGTACCAGTTGTACAGGCCAGACCTCGACGTCCGTCGGTGCAGAAGCTCCAGAGTGGTGGTACATCCCATCACACTGACTACGTAAGCCAGGAAGATGAAACCACCCATGTAAGACACATTGACATGGTCCCCGTGGGGAGCCCTGTCCGTGAGCAACATTCTCGGCGTGAGAAGCTTGTTAGAACCAAATATTACCCGCAAGACATTGGCATGGAGAAGATGATGAAAGATCCCTCACTGCATTTGCGAGCATACAACACTGGGGAGGTTACACAACAGCAGCAACGGGGCGATGCATGAGGGAAGGCAAAGGCAGAGTAAGCCTAACAGGGGCAGGCCTAACTAGCAACATGCGGGAATTCTTTTTAATATAACAATGGCATTCAGCTTCCAGGAGCTCCACGCGGCTGGGCCGTACTACGTATTAGCCATGGTTCTCCAGGTACCAGATTGACGGACCGTAATGCAATCAAGGACATTAATTTATCGAGCAGACTAAAGTGTGTTATGTCCGAGTGGGAACCACTTATTGCTTGCGGAGGCCACAGAGACCCTTCAAATTTTTACGTTGGCTGTACGCGTCCAATTAATATGCGAGGGCCCCAGAATGAGGGTCTGGCGCTCTTCCAGCGTTCACATTGGGCAATGTAAACTAAAATGTCAGTTTCCTTCCAAGGCGAATCAAAGTGTGATCTGTGTCTGATTGGATCAGAACCATCGATCGAGGTTGCAATCAGGAACCATGGGGCATTGAGTTTACCGGGTCGGTTCCAGACTTGCAGCCATGCTCGGCGAGTCAGAAACATGATTGAAGGGCCGAAGGCTATGATCAGATTAGTCCAGGAAACTAAAATTCTTCCCCTCTGCCAAAGTCGGTTATTACTTGTCGACCAGATGGGTCTACGTTTATGGCTCTCGGCGGATAAGGACCGCTAAAGCCAACCCTGTCGGACGAGGGCCAAGAAGGTTCAGCTGCGCCGTCTGGCTGAACCTTCGCTCTTCTCCGAAGATAAACCAGTTTTGCACTATAGGGTGAGCCATGCAGGACAATTTCATAGCTGGGAAAGGCCTATCGGGGAAACTGAAAGATGATTACGTATCTTAATGTCGAGCGTGTAGACTTCCCCTAATGGCGAGAAGCCCGTCAGCACATCGTTCGCAACTCCATCGGTTAAATCATCCTCTAGCCACTAATACGTCACGAGTCCTCAACTTAGGTAGCAACTATCCAGAGGGGCCGTATTGTAGCGTCAGCAGATGAAACTCAAGGCGGAACCAGACAATCAGAACCGAGCACCATGACTGATGGTACACTCTGAATCGAGATTTTCGACGGGATGGAAAAGGGCAGATTCGCCAATTGCCAGCACCCACGCGGTTGACAAGGACCCTGAGTGGTCAGTGGACGCAGTGGCGGGCTTAGCTCGGGGCACGTCCATTGGGAATCATGCGATTCACAGGCACGGGTAAGACACAATCAATCTCTAGCAGTGGAACTGAGAAGGCGAGCTGGAACCCGACGGATGGGACCAGATGGAGACCACCGGTAGCACGTTTGAAACCAGAGTCTTGCACCGTTGGATGAGCTGAACGTGGCCGAGTGGGAAGTAAGAGAGGGGGAAAGATCCAGGCGGAGCTCGGAGATGCACTCCCGTTGGACCATCACGCGTGCACTAGGCCACTTCGGGGTTAGGCAGCAGCCCCGTGACTCAGATCGTGGGTTCCTTTTCTCGATTGGCTAATCCTGATCTGGCTAGCTGGCCGAGCATGAACTCCGCTAGTCCCTTTGTGGTCGCCACCCACACAACACTGAGATCCTCTTCCAGTGAAATCTGTAAGCGATGGCATCTTCTCTGGCAGTCAGTCAATATGTGCTAGCCGGGCTGGCCAGGAAATTGGAAAGAGTAAGGTTTTAGACAAGGATGTACTTCCTCCTTTGCTAGTCAGAAACCTTGGTAGGATATTATAAAGTTAAACGGACGGAGTACCCAACCATTTCAAGTCAACAGCGATGCTACTATCTAGTAGTTTCAGTCCAGGTTGAACTCTAATAGAGTCAGTAGAAGTAGTCAAATAACATCAGGTACTTTTGCCCTCGTGGAAATACAACAAAATAAGATGGGATCCGAACTATGAGCGTCGTGTCCCGTCAGCAGCAGCAGCAGTAGTAGTAGCACGAGAACGCGACAACCAATTAATTATTCGCCAAATCCTTCCGGTTAACCCCTGCCGGATATTCCTCCTACTAACCTTACTGCGTAAGTCAGAACTCAATGATCAACTCGCTCCTTGTGTTGACTATCTCTATATCAAAGATGATGAGTTTCTGTCCTTTGGGAAAAATCCACTGCAAATTTTTGTTATAACTGAGCCAGAAACCAAAGGCCCACTAAGTCTGATTTTCACGGAAGTAGAATATCCTCCCGAGCAATCCGTGAAAAAATAAAAGAGAGAACCAAACAACCAAGTGATTGATAACCATGGAAGGGAATGTTTCCAATTCCATAACCATTCCATAGAAACAGCGCTGACCCGCTGTAAGCACATCAACACACAGTAGCACAAGCATGAGCCTGCAGGCTGCAGCAGCCAGATTAATGAATTTGTCACCCTTTCCGAGTTGTGCTGACAGCACTGGCGCTGCCGCCCAACTGATCGGATCCTTCATTCCTCCATCGCATATGTAGATTACTATTGAAGTATCTAGGAAGATCCTCCATCCTTCTACAGCCCCCAAGAATAATAGTAATTGGTATGCAGAGACAGCCCCAGACCAGGCCTAACCTAGCAGACCACATACATCCTGATTCCTCCCCGATCAACACGCTCCGATCATACAATCCAGCTTATTCCGGGATACCTCGGCCTCACTCCTATACGATCCAGCCGAGCAGCAATTGGGCTAGGCAGGTCCATGACTAGATTAATTCATATGACAGCCAATATCACCCAATTAATTTAGTGGGCACGTGCCTCACTGAAGGATTTTTTCTATTGCATAATAGGGTATAGCCTCGGCACGCATTCCGCAACCTCAGGGGATAAGCAATAGGAGAAGTGAAACAAGAAGGCACAGTAGCACAACAGTACAGCACTGCATAACATAGCACGGAGCAGTGAAGGTGCATTCATCAAAAAGTGGCTGTGCGCACAGTGCATGTGTAGCTGAATGATGGAGCCATGAGCCGTGTTGTGGTGGTCCTCTGGCCCACTCCTCTGGGAATCCTTTGGTGTGCCGAAAGATGTCCGTACTCGGACGGGGCTAATGCGGCAGTAAATCTTGATAAGGTAGATGAAGTAGCAATCCATGAAATTTTTTGATTAGGGGTGATTTTGATAGGGAAAGAGTAGTTTGGATGATAATATTTTCTGTGTAGATGCGAGAATCTGAGTATACTCAGTAGACCACGGCCACTTGTGGCATCTGCACGTGTTGTGATGCGTCTAGCCGGTACCTTGCATGAAAACTCCGCTTTGACAATTTACAATCCTGGATAAGCTTCTGATGTATCTCAAACCATCCCTATAATATAGTATTCTGTGATATGTGGTAACCCCCGTCGATATTAATATTGTATCCGGATCAAGACTCGACCAAGTGGCTGGAAGACCTGCGACTGACTCGACGACCCAGTTTTGTTCAGACCGCTTATTTGGCTATGATTAATCGGCGAGGCCAATTTCGAGGTACACAGTAGTTAATTATCTTATCTATTCATTCTGGTTGTTTATCCAGTGCACAGTACCTATTGGGGGGTAGGCTCCTACACTATGCTTGTTGGTCAATTGCCAAATCATCACAGCAACTACTCAATTTCTATCTCCATCTATATATAGTCATCATGGGGGCCACTCATTAGCCAGAAATAATGGCGGATATATAGAGCTGGGGGCCAATAATCCAATTGATTGCTCTTTTTAGGCAACAATAAAATACTAGTGTTAAAGAACTGAGTTTCAATCTTTTGGACCAAGGACAATGTATCACCTTACCTACAGAATGTTATGAATCCCTATCCCATAAGCTCATGCTCTATAAGGTAATGTGCGTAGAAGCACTTAAAAGCATACGTGTCGACACTAAGCTACTCTCCTCTCCCTTCGATATGATTCCTCCTCTTACGATCAATTGAGAGATGAATGCCTGAGAAAAGAGCATCTGATATATACGATAATGACAATCTATTCTCTATTTCCGGACGATTGATATATTGCTCATATTTGGGGCCATAACTATTAGACAATGCGTGTTATTTACTTATCATAAGAGGGTACATAAAAGCTTTACCATCCATACTCTGCTTGACCAGTATTCGTACAATCATCGGGATCTATTTGCAGCCACCTTCCTAAATACTCCCATTCTATTGCAATCACACGTTTATTACTCAATTCGACCATTTTCGTTACATGCTTTTAACATGATAGTCAAGCTGCTACTTACTGTATGAGCAGCCAGGAACAGCAACATGGAAGACCTTAACGACTATCTTTTCCACCAGTGGGTCCCGGAGGTTTGTGAGAAGTTGGCCAGGCAAAGTAATAGCAGCTGCATAACTTGAGGGAGTATTCGAACCTCTGTTCATACCCGTGACAGAGGTCAAGAAGACGTATGATGTTGTATGATTAGTCTGAATTCCCCCCCCCCCCCCTCCCCAAAAAGTTAGAGTATGGAAAATCAGATTATTAGCACAGAATCTAAACGTTCTAAGCAAGTCGCAGCTTGTCAACTGGACCGAACTCACCATTTGGACAAGTGGGTATTCTCTGTATATAAGTCCCACTAGGTACCTATTCAATCAAACTGGCTATTATCTAGTTATCGGAGTAGTATATAAGCAGGATTAACTAGAAAGCCCTGCTATATTCACTTCATATTACATTTCTAGTACTATCTATCTGGAGAAAGCGAAGCCTAATCTCAACCAGGTACATTGTGAAGCTGTCTACAATTCTGATCTGTCTGGGTAATACTTCTGTCGTATCTCCCCGTACTAGATACAATGGTGTCCGCGAACTTGAATATTATTATTATGATTCCAAGATCATTGGGGGGGGGGAGAAGCCGGGGTTGCTCAGGATGAGAATCCGGCTTGTTTTGGAATTAAACAGGAAACAGCTAAGCTGAAATATGGGATGGTGTATATGCAGGGAAAATGATATCTAATCAAATTACATGCGGCATAGCTCCTCTAGTGAATTGAGATTCGTAGTTATGTTGTTGTTTGTTTACACCGAACGTATCAGGATATTTGAGTTCGTTGTGGATAGTATACCAACTTGTTTGCATCGAATTGAAAGACCAAATTAAGTGCGGTCACGTTGTACTACTACTACACTTGAAGACGGTAGTTTGCTGTCTTGCATTTTTTATTCTATCGGCATCAAGATGGTATTATACTATAGGTCGAACCTAGGAAAGACCAGCATATGGGGAATACTGTTGAGAATGATTGATGATTCTTCTCGACCAGAGCAATGCAGTAGCATTTGTATGCCTTGGAGATGCTGTCCCTTTAAGCGCGTTGCTAGTACTTGCTGCATGACGCTTGTGGTGGTTATTTACCATATATTCATTGGGTGATGTACGACAGACTGGATATGTCTGAATCCGGCTAAGATTGTGTCATTTATGCTGCTTCAACAATACATAGTATAAGTAGCAAGATACAGGGATTTAAGTCGTCGATTTGCTCTTGTTTGCTGCGATGTCTGATCAGAGTGTAAAGTGACAAGCAAGCCTGATGTCATCTTACATTAGCGTATGATATGGTTCGATAGAGATAGATATGCAGGTTACCTGCATACTAGTTGAGGTTTTGATTGAATCGCTACTATAGCCCAGGAATACGACCATAACTACATCTAAAATTGACAGGTACCACCATCAATTCTATATAGATAGTCTAGACAAGGTGTGCGGGGTAAGAAGCCCATCAATTAGATTTCATTTGTAACTAGCATAACCATCAAGGTATCCCCTTATTATCATCTATCAACGGGGAATTTATGCAAGCAGAGCCTGGATCTTCTGCTCCAGACCCTTGGGGTTGGCACCGGTGAGGTCGTCGAACTTCTTGCCGTCCTTGAAGAGCAGGAAAGTGGGCATGGCACGGATACCGAGCTCGGCAGCAACCTCGGACAGTTCGTCGACGTCGATCTTGTAGAACTTGGCGTTGGGGTAGGTGTTGCTGAACTCCTCGACCTTGGGGGAGATAGCCTTGCAAGGACCGCACCAGGTAGCGAAGCAGTCAAGGACGATGGCGTCGGTGGAGTTGGTAACCTTCTCGGCGAACTCGGCCTTACTGCAAAGACAGTAAAATTAGTAGTGGTCTCAGAATGGATAGAGGGGTAGAGTGCGGGGAGAGAGAGGGGCGGGGATGTCTGCTGGTAAGACGATGAGCTTCGGGGGAGAAAGGGAAGGAATTGCACATACGAGGTGATGTCGTGAACCTTGTGAGACATGGTGGAGGATGTGTGAGAGAAAGCGCGACGGCTGTGGATGAACGGAGTTGGACGGAGGAAAGAGGGCGCTACTGCGGTTCTAGTGGAAGACTGGAGAGAGAATCTAGCGGAGGAGGAGGAAGAGAAGAGGCGTCGGGAGGCCAGAGTGGATGGTTTAAAACTATGGGAAGGTTGAGACGACGATTAGCTCCGAATGAGGGGCAGCCCAGCAACGGAGGGGCACAAATCGAATTTGTAGTTTGAGTGACGTTGCACCGCCCTCTGACTAATCACCCCGGGGCGTCGAAGCCTCTCGGTCACAGTCGAAGGCAAGGGTCGCTTCTGGGCAGTATGGGCTTACCAAGTGGCGCCTCGTGAGAGACGAAGACGGGTTTGATTTGTCAGGCTAACAGCAGACATTCTGGCTGCAATTGAATAGTATAATCAACAGTAAGGTATATTACGGGCCGGTTGGGCAACTTGGTTGGTGGAAGGGAAAGGGGAAGGAGATGCACGAAACGGTGAAGGAAGAAACCCCCAAGGCAAAATGACGTGCTCCCGTCGCTTATGAATCGCGACCGGTCTGGACAGGCGCGCTCGGCCTGAGGCAGCAGCAGCAGCAGCAGCCGCCGCCGCCCTCGGCGAGTCTCTCCGATCACCTGACTCAAGAGCGGAAGAAGATGGCAGTATAATTCACGGGTGTATTTGGGGAGAGGGTTCAGGGAGTCATTCGTATCAAGTTGGCTGGTTTATTGTCTGGGGGGTATGGAAAGATCCATCTAGTGATATTTACAGGCAGTAGGTAAGCGGTCCAGGATGTCATCCATCTCTCGAAAGATAACAGGCCGCGATACTCGAGCATATAGTACAGTCAAGACATTAAACAATAGCACGGGTGGTAATCGTAATAAGGAAACGTGAACAGGTAGATTGTGTCACAATATGTGCATTGAACTGAAGAACGAGAATGCTTCGAGTCTATCAAAAACGCGTAAGTGCCTGCGATCACTACAAGGCAGTGATCGGGGCCAAACTCATTCAAACTTCCGCTGATGTGGGGGTATCAACAAATTCGAAAAGTAACAATGCCCACCAACAAGACCAGAGCACGGACACAACCAGTGCTTGACCCGATGAGAGCGTTGAAGGAATATAAGCATGGCTACATCCAGCGCCATGAACCCTGAGGAAATCCGCCGGGGAAGTATGAGGGGAAGGGGAGGGGGGTTTCTGGAAGGAAAAGGAGCGACATAGGAAAGGTCTAAACGAGCGACTGGGGTATATACGGGAAATAATCAAATAAAATGCATCGTGCTGACATCAGAAGAATCTCGACACGGGCAATTATTCCACGTAGTAGCAAGGGCGTCACTAGGATCTACCTCTGGTGATCGAAGCAACGTTGCGCACAGGATGGTCCGTTGGCGACCTGGTTCAATTCGAGCGCCCATTCCCGTGGTTATCAGACGTTTCGAGCTCAAACTCAGCAGAGTGCTCTTCAATGGGACTGAATTCTTCTTCGGCACAGAAGGACTGGACATTCTTCAAGAGTCCTTCGTTGGACTTCGGACGGATTGCTGGAGTCACAAGTACAGGTCGCCGGGCAATTTGATCATGCCAGGTCTCCTCTGCTTGCTCCGGTACGCTATCCATAGGCGAGTCCTTGTCAGGCGACGCACCAGCTACATCAGGGCCGGATTTGAGACCCTCATCCTGATTGGTCCCAAATCTGACAAGAGGTTCGCTAACCGGAACGTCATCTCCATTGGAGGACCCCTCATGGCCCTCTTCCATGATGTTTCGCGATGAGCTAAGGCTGGTGCGCAGTGGATTGCTCGCCTTCTTCTGAGATATGCGACGTAAGAATTGTCCCGACATCCATGATCCTTCGGAGTCAATCGATGCTAGAGATTGGGACAAAGGAAGATTGTCCGGGTCACCTTCCCAGCTGTCGCCTGTCCAAGAATGGTGAGGATTTCTCGGGATGTCCTGGGGTTCTGACCCAGAACTGGGGATGGGATACTGGGTCCCCATGTTGATATCTGACATCTCATCTTCTCTCTCGAACTCATCCAACACCTCTGGGATATCAGGTGATTGAAGCCTAGAGTCCGGTGGAGAAAGGGGCTCGTCACCGAAGTGTTCGGTAAACTTGGACTGCGACCGCTTGATGGTACCTGACCCCAGGAATGTCCGAGGAGCAGTGACGAATGAGGGAGGTGGGCCAGACGACTGCGTCTGGACCTTGAAGAAAGATTCATGAGACGGGTTCGAGTGCTCAGGACTGCGTTCATGGAAACGTTCACGATAGCTGCGTTTGAGGCGCGAGCTACCACGTCGGAAAATAGAAGTAAGCGTATTAACACGTCCGCTGCCATGGTCAGACAAGCGCCGGTCTGAGTCTATGGTTCGCGAAATATCGGATGTGGATTCTCGGCCTATGCCATAGAGTTGCGAAGAAGTTGGGCTATACAGCTCACGCCTCGACGGCGAATGAGACAAACTGCTGCCAGACATTCCCATGTCTTGCGACGGAGCGAAGCTACGACGCATCACAAGCTTCGGTTCCCGAATGGAGCTATCGTCGATGTTACCAATGACATGCACACTATCAACGGACTCGCGGCCACGTCGATCTGTGTCTTTGGAAGCACCTCTCAGCCAAGATCCAGAAGAATTACCGCCCAGGAAGGCATTGGTTTCGTTTGTCCGAGGAGCATATTCTTTTGACCGATCAGATACAGCCCGGCTCTCCGCGCCAGGCCGACCACGTGGAGCTAAAGATGTGTCTTCAGCCTCGCTGGATGGTTCTTGGGGAACAGCATCGGCTTCGGCTTCTGCTTCTGCTTGCCGCTGTTGTTCCGCAGCGCGTTGTAACTTCCGGTGAAGTCTTGCTTGATCTTCAAGTTGCTTGCGCTCCCTACGCCGGCGGTCCCTTTCAAGCAATTCCCTGAGGGCACCGGCATCTAAGTCGTCGGCTAGCTTGTCTACTCTCTTCTTAGAACGCGAGTGCTCGTTGTGCGTGGCATAAGCCGGTGTCTTATCCTTCCGAATTGAAGGCTCAGACGGCCTTTGACTCTTAGCTGTCGACACCCGAGGAGCTTCCACATAGCGTATGACCGGACGAGGCGTCCATGCAGCAAAAGTGTTGACCTTGAACGTATAGGATTCGAAAATATCCGAGAGTGAGGATGCAGCAGAGTCACGCATCGAAAGACTGGTGTCAGAACAGTGCCGATCGGAGCGTCGACTCTGGGCTCCATTAGCCCTGCGTGTCTCAATGGAAAACTGCTCCCCGGGTAGCGGAGAGGGACGACGAGGAATATCGATCGGAGCAGAAGCCAACATCCGTATTTCCCGTTCTCTGGCAATCTCGTACGCCTTGCGCTTACTCAGCTTCTTCTTTAACACTGCCGGGCCATTCTCGTTACGCTTGGATTTCAGCAACGATGCAGAGCGAGACAAAGAAGGTTGTTCGTGGCTCATGGTGGAGTAAGTTGTGTAGGCATCGGAATGCTGGCCTGCTCGGGAGACCGGGACCCGGTTTTCTTTCATCGGGGTCGGTTGCTCACTGTGTGACGTAGGTGGAGGGTACTGGACGACAGGAGAAGACGTCGGATGAGAGGCATCGTGCAAAAAGCTCGGGACGACTTCGACGGGCTGGGCGTGTCTGTTCTTCTGACGTTTGGAGTGCTTGCGGGACAGTCTGCCGAGCTTGCCGTCATCGAAGCTGTGGCGAGGCTCTTGTGACGACTGGACATCCGCCACGGCAGGTGCATCCAGTTGGATCGTATGCCGCTTGTTCTTACGACCAAACGGCCATATCGCCATGGCGCCTGGTTGATGATACCTCGTCCCGCCTGATCAGTCAAACGTGGACACTGAAACTATCGGAGATGACGTTGAACCGGGTGACTGGACTCATCAGGAAGGACCGGGGAAGGATTAGACACGCGACCAGCAGGCGAATCTAGAGTAAATAACAAGGCACGGGTAACAGCCTGAAATAAACAAAGCACCAGACAGACAGGGTGACTGAAGAAAGGAAGAGAAGGAGGAACAATCCAAGGTGGTCTGTCTAGAGACGGAGGCGAACCGAGACATGCAAAGCGGTGGGAAGGACTAGGGTGCAGCGGAGCGTGTGGGTTGTTGTAAGTAGTAGTGTGTGTGTGTGTGTGTGTAGGCAGTGGAAGTAGTAAGTTCAAGGATGATCCAGGCGCTGGTAATTGGCTACCGGAGTAGTGTAGGTACGGGACCGGGGGGAAGATCAGAAGGGGTCGTAGCAGGTGACTATTGGTTTAGAACGAACGGGTAATCGTAGCAGGAAAGGTAGTAGTGGGAATCGGTTTAGTAGCAATAGTGAGACCGGGAGCCACGCCACATGGGGTGGCGGAAAAACAGAGATACAGAGGGGGGCAATCTCGTTTTTTCGGGTCACAAACAAAACAAGGAGTAGAAAGGAGAAGAGAAACAGAAAGGAGTGGAAAAGAGGGGACAGGGGGAGGGAGGGGAAAGAAGAAAAGCGAGAGAGGGGAACCCGATGAGATGAGAAAGCGAGGAAGATGAAGAAAGGAGGAAGAGAGGGAGGAGAGGAGAAAGGGAGACAAGACGACGAAGATGTAGAAAGCGAGAGATGGATGGTAAGTAACGAGCGAGACGAGACGAGCAGAAAGGTAAGCAAGCAAGTACCAGGTGATGAGCCCAACGAGGACCGACAACCTGCCTATCTGGCAGCGGTTTTTCCTACTTGACAGCCAGAAGAGAAGCAAAGCAAAGCAAAGCTATTCTGCCTACCTCCTAGTTTACCGACTAGTACCAACTTACTATTACTTTACTTACTCACTTACTTACTCACTTACTCACTAGTAGACAAAACGGTCAAAAGTCGAGAGCGAGGGACTGAGAGGGCCGAGACACAAACAAACCCGCCCGTTTCTGAACCAGGGGATCTCGTCGGTTGGTTAGTGGTTACACACCGTCGACCCTCCCCGGGGCCGGCCGTCACAGCAGAACCACTTGGAACCAGTCCAAATCCACCACCGGGACGCTTGATTTTTTCCGTTATATTTTCTGATTATTTTATTATTATTGTTATTTTATTATTAACAGAAGGAGATTAGTTCGTTACGAACTTACTTACTACTTACATACTTACTCCATACATACAGCTCTCTCTCTCTCTCTTCTGTCTCTGTCTTTTTGCGCTGCTGTTCAGGTGATGGATTATATGCATCAACCCGTTCTTCTAATTAACAACCCCCTCCCTCCCCTTTCTTTTCCCTTACCCACCAAGATGTTCCTTCGTCTCTCTACTGGATAGAGGTCCGTCCCATTTTAGGGTGTCTAGAAGGAGAAATGTCCAGCACATACCTGCAGATGCCGCCTCCCAACTCTCCAACAGAAACCCGTTTTATGTTTTCTTTCTTTTTTCCCCTTCTGTGTGGTTATCATTTAATACACATCTAGTCTAGTTGGTTCCTATTCAGGAGAGAGATCATGCGGGAAACCTGAAAGACACAAAAATCGATTGTCGAAAAAATTTCTTCCAAATGTGGAGAAAAGACCACTAGTGGCACCTAAACTGCCAGATTGCAGCCCAATCCGATTATTGTTACCAGAAACTAGGGGCAACTTCATTGGTACCTGCCTTAGGGAGTGCCTAGCCAGTGAATGACCCATGGTATCTGCCGTACTCCACACTCCATACTTAGAAACCGAACTAAACCACAGCAGCTAGTAATTTATCCGGATATTGTTACTGCACGACGCAGCCCACTTTACAGCACACTCGGTATGTGCGAGCTCGGTCAGTACCACCTCAAAACAAGGCGCCAATCAATACAGCCTCAGCTCCTCCCGGGGAGGGGGGGCGCCTTCGGGGCAGGAGGCAAGGCGTTTTCTCCCTTGAAGATCATATTATCTCCTAGAACATACTTAGGCAGATACTGTTATTCTTTCGAGATCATTCTTACTTAACTTCACGAGATCTGCTAATTAGGACAAAATTTATCGCCCATGATGTCATGCTAAAGCTTACTCTTCCGACGACTCTCACATACGAGATCCATGCAGCCTGATCGGAATTGAGTTTATCGTGATAAGAGAGAGGAAGCTTTTGAGAATGTGTTAGGCAGCTGCTCCTTAGCCTTTTCGGCCGATGCCAAGGAAGGCTCCTCTGGTTACTATCGAGGGCGCGCGCCTATGACATATATATTCAGTGAGCTCGACATGACCTGTATCTAGAAGTAATCACAACCGCGGAAAGTACCGTGCAAGACCTTTCCAAACCTACCTACATGAGCCGGATGCACGCTCAATACCCCCGCTCATCTTACCGACGGCAATAACCGCTCCTCATTCACAAAGTACCCTGGAATACTGAGAGCATGCATGATTACTCCTCATGCCTACATGGTGGCTTCGCAGTATCTAAGCGATCGCACTTCCAAATTACAGTAAGCACGATGAAAGATTTTCAAGTCCCGCGCCCGGGCCTTAGCTAAGCAGTTGGGCCCCATCCTCGCGACATGAGGAATGCTTAGAGGGGCGAAATGACGGTCCAACGGGCTTCTTGGGGTGGGGAGTCACCGTCCCCAGGAGCCATAACCGCGATACGAAAATCTTAGCTTGGCTTCAGCCGAGTGTGTTAGAGCCGATGATAATTTTACCAGTCGATACGATCAGAGATCCAGACCAGCAGAGAGAGATACAGTGTACTTAGTTAGGTGAGTGGGTTGTGTTCGATGCTACTCTGGCAGCTAGGGATCGGTACATGACCATCGGTATCCAATAGGTATCACTGCTGGTTGATCGTATGGAGTAAGCCTAGTACTCAGCAATGTCTTACTCACCTGCTACAAAGTACTAAACTACCTCCATCGGTCTGGAATTGGCTAACTTTTCACCATTTTGCGCTCCTCCATCACCTGAAAACCACTCTCACACAATTTACTTAGTCAGGTACCGCCCACATCTTACAGGGGTGTATGGACTATGGAGCACCACGATGGGAGTTCATGTTTAACTTCCCGCTCCCAGCCCATCCAATTTCCGCTGGCCACAAGCTAATAAATTGACAATTTTGACAGCCATTGACAGGTCGAGTATGCATTGGCCAAAGCGTGCAGCACCCATCACAATAACGTAAACCGTAACGGTCGAATACCCATTGTCAGTTAGGGAGCTGCTGCTCGCAATTACAGTGGGGCCATTTTTTTCCGACTAAAGAACCTTAGGGTCCAAAGGTTGAACACCACAAAACTTCAGTCAGTGCGATGTCCGTCGATCACTGTGGTTTTGATCCGGTCATATATTCGAAATGGGCAAGTCCGCAGGCCTGGACAGAATCGAACTGCGTCAGTGGCTCACTCTAGTCAGCTGCGATGAGCGGCTCGACTGTCCTGGGTTTGAGTGACCTGAGTCATCCACCACGCCAAACCCCGGCAACGGAAATAATCTCCTCTTGTTTACTTTGGTCCTTGCAGATTACTTACTCGGCCCCGACTCTCCCTACAAACCAACTAGGAACAAGCGAGTTAGTGTCTAGCCCACTCGAGTCTTCAATCATTAGTTCGTACTCGACCGGAAATGCCGAAGTCAGGCCCATGCGAGCCCACTTACGCGCGTGCTGCATTGGATTAGGAAGAGCGCAGAACAGTCGCGCAATTCTACTATTGACCTAGATACTATTCAATTACTACACAATGTTGCTGGCATCCTATCAAGTTACCCTATTCGGGTAAACATTAACGATCTCTCTCATCGTTACCTATCTCGTGCTGGTTAGAGCCTGCGATTGTCATGACATCTGCTAGCCCGGTGCATCATCAGACTACTACAAAGTAGTCACCGATGCGCTCATACTAGTCTCAAGGTTGTCATTTCGTCCACTCGTATCTTCGTCCGTTGAGTTCGGCCCATCAGCCCCTCGCGATGATACACATTGGTTTTAAGGGTCATCCAGCGCAAATCAGTGGACCAGTGTTCCTGATTACTTAGAGACCCGGCTAGATCTCTGTCTCACGAGAGGCACGAGATGGAAGAAGGAGTGAGACATTCCGTCTGACTAACATCCGCTGGAAAGAGATTGGGCGTGCACAAGTGGCGGCTAGCTTTTCCTGCCTTGCATGTACGGAGGCGAGAGCAGGTGGCCGTCGGCCCTTGTTAATGGGGTTTTACTCGGAGACTTCAGCGTGGCTTAACTCTGTACAGCATTCGGCTAGGCAGGGAAAGGTAGCCAACACTCCCGGTACCATGGTTTTAGAGCAGCTCTAATCAAACGCACAGGACGCCCAGAGTTTTCTTGGTACTAGTAGTCTGTTTTGTCTAGTCCGGCGTCCCCCTCGTTCTAGATAGATAACTAGTCATGCGCTCCGCTGCCTATGCATGTCATGCTCCATCGGCCATATGGAGCATCCAGATGTGGGTTTTCGTAATTATCATTCAGTCACTAGTAAATTATCACCGAACACTCTCGGTATAAACGCTCTTATTGATAGGCGGATTAATTTCCCTTCTAGGAGGGGGTGTGGGTCTCCCTAACATTAAGAAGCCGTTGTGTATCCAACCAATTCTGGTACCTGACTCCCCAACTTATTAGGATAGCCGGGTGCGTTACCCTGCCCATTTTGTGTTACATGCTGGACTACCGAATAAATATTTTGCAGTGTCGCCGAAGTGTCATAGGCAACGGAGTATATATCATGATTGTGTATGGCTGAGAAGATACCGTGCAGCAACTAATGCACTGCAATATAAATGTCCATTCCAATCCGCAAGTACATGCAGTGTAGAATCAGCACTGCATTCAATACGTCCATGCACTCTGCACTCCATACAGAAGAGTAGTACTAGTACTTCAACCTTGCGTCGCAAATTCTTTTACCCTCTTTTCTCAAGTACTATAAACATCCTGCATGGGTTTCTAATCAATTGCCCTGGCGACAGCCAATATACAACTCAACACGCCGGTGTAGTAGCCTTCTACTGCCGGGAAAATTCTGCCCAATATCGCATCATGTTAGTTCACACTATATGATGTCTAACTAGTCTACACATCCCATAATAGTGCATGTCCTAGTTCCTTACTATAATACCCAACATCTGAGCTTGTGATGACCGCGAACAGACCTTTGTCAACTGCATCATGCTGTCGAATCAATGTCTATATATAGTATCGAAATCATGATATAACACAGCTTTGCAGCATCAACCAACCCTTTATCCTTCATATGAAAAACTATACAACCACTCATCCCGACATATGCATCATCGGAATACCACGGAAAGATACCAATTTGACAACAGAGTCATGACCAAAACCATGGACGACCGCACCACACCCCCAGGAAAAATCCAGCCATTTCAATACCTAGACCACCAGCACGAGGCGCCCACACCATAAATCCAACAACCAGACGCAGCTACAATTTAAGATGCGCATCGCCAATGTCGACCAAATCACAGACCCGATATGACATGTCCAACTGTCAAGGCAACCAGACATTTTCATCTACATACATACACACACATACATGCTATAACGTCCAAGCATCAAATCCAAAGTCAACTGCCAGCAATCCAGCCAGTCCAGTCTATTTCCAACAGACGTTGAAAGAAAGACGGAAAAAATCTTGTTTTGGTACCCTTGGCATGGAGCTAACGTGAAGCCCGGGAGCTGTTGTAAGGCACCACGTCGGATTGAGCTGGCAGGCAGGCAGGCAGACAGAGCACCGAATACTTACATTTTCTGTGTGCGTGTATGCATGCATGCATCAGTGCTTTCTACGAAAACTGACCACGAAGTTACTGTTATCATTATCATCTTCTGATGCTTCACTTTGTTGTTCGCATATTCACTATACTCATTTACTACGAACTACCTACACAGGCAACTACCCGCATTACATGTGGCATCAATAAAAGGCATCCAGATGGACGATTAACTGGATGGACTCGAGCTCGGTCGACGTCGTTCCACACTAAAGTCAAGTCCACCATCCGAACTACGGACAAAGTGAGACATGAAAAGAAGTCTAGATTCAACCAGACCCATTAGTCTCTAACGGACGTGCGCGCCACGTTGTTGTTGGGAGGGACTGACTCCATAATCTGGTCCCATATGGCGTGTGCCCCATGTCCGACGGCTTTCCTGTGCCCAATATAATTCAGTCAATATCTGTCGGGATAACACCGGAGTTCAGTTCATTAGAGAGATACGGTTGCGATGGGGATAGTACCAACGCCAAGATCCGACGTGGAAACAGATAAAAATAAAAGAAGAGGAGCCATGGATGAAAATGGGCTAAGCAAAATAGAAGATTGGTAATAATGGGAGAAAAAAGCCATGCAATAAAAAAATAATATGAGCTCCGAGTTCCTGACCCATTCGTTCATTCAATTGATCCTTGGGACAGACATGATGATCGTGACATTAGGTGGAAGGACACCATCCACTGATAAGCGTACATGATAGTCCAATAAAAGAAACAAAATAACGTGGGAGGAAATTTTCCTGCGGGTGCCGATAGATACCTAATACCCACCAACCATTCCGCGGTTGGTCTTCGAGCGGAATCCGTGGGAATAATGGTACTGTGTCGTATCTAGTGGCATGCCCCATTTCAACATCAACGCCAATAAGCATAGGAGGGAATACGATTTGTTCTAGCCTTCGAAGTGAACCATTGCAGCATAGCAATATAATTAATATACTATGAACGCCCCGAACAAGAACAATAACAATGGTTATAACGGCAAGGATAATGATAACCAGAACCAAATCATGTGCAAAGTGATAAAATAAATAGATACATTCACCCCATTCCCATATCTTAATTTCATTTCATCTTATCTCATTACTGAGTAAACCTCTTTCTCAGCCGGTTCGGCTCGCGTTCCGGAACACGATATCGACGACTAACATGCCGACTGAGAAACTTCTTTATGGACCAGGACTCATCGTGGCTTTTCTCCGTAGTACTAGTAGTAGTCTGTTTATCATTACTACTATTGTAGTAGCCAGTTACATGGCCGAAGAAAGACCCTCGTCGTTTGTAAGGTTCAGGATTACAGAAATCCAAATCCTCCTGGTCTGCGTGGCGTCGGAGTGAGGTTTTCATTGACTCTGTGCTCATTTCTCCCTTTTCCCTCACTGTCACGCAGGGAAAGCGTGGTTGCAAACGGAGACTAATGAAATGGAAGTGGTCCGTGTCTTTTTTCTAATTGACGAACAGCCACTGACATACACACACCCCCTGTACGCCACTAGATAAATAGATAGATGGATAGTTAGATCAAATGGGAAGAATCAAATTTCCTCTTTCTTTCTCTTTTCTGCCTGGTTTTTGGTTTAGGCAATAACAACCTGGCTGGCTGGTGGTCCGCTGGGGCTGGCTGCGTGTTATGGTGTTTTCGGGGTCTTTTGCGGATTTAGACCGAGAGAGCAGGCAGGTAGACAGGCAACGAAGATTCTGAAGGCGGGGTTGGTTGGTTTGGTTTGGTTTGGTTCGTTGGATGGATGAATGAATGAGTGGTGGGTGATCGATCGATTATTTGCAAGGTTTGTTTGTTGGGGTCATGCAGGTATGGATCTTGTGTCTCTTGTATATTGCTAATTTAGACAAGGGTTGTAAAGAACAGTTTGGCGAATCCAAGGATTATATGTTTTGGAAGGGTTAAGCTCCTAACAGGCAGGTAACTAGATACGTATCATGTATGAGGATGCAAAGCGGCAGCAAAGAGGACATATGTCAATTTACGATCATCAGTAATACGGGCGAGGAGAGACAATTAGTTAGTTGGTCAAGCTGTCCTAAGAGAGAGACTATGCTAACTACTGAGGAGTTATGCTGGGAACTGGGAAGCTTTCACTCCGCGGGCACAGGCACCATACTCATTGTGATCATTCCGGGTCCCTCGGAGGGGCTGCGGGACAAATAGTGAAGACTGAAAGAGGGACTCGATCCATGGTTTGCCGACCCGGACTGAGAGCCAGTAGTGAAGCAGCATGGCGGAAGATCCAGTGTTGGGACCGGTGTTCCGTGAGAAAAAAGCACGTGTTTGTTTTATTACTATCTACCCCACTATAGATGACAGGTGGTGGTGGTTTGCGATCGATTGTGTTTCTTCCAGAAGAGTCCGATCATTAGCAGATGCTCTCGTTTGTTTTCTGGGGAAGTTTGTGATGGGATGACCCCCAAGCATGCTATGAGCATGGGGGAAGCCTGAAAGATTGTAACGATTGACTGATTGATTGCATGTCTTACAGCAGGCTGATTCGTCTCTTCGGACTTCCTTCGTATCCGATGGTATCGTTAATTGATAAGCTTACAAGGATCCATCGGCTGACGTGGAAGAGCTCCAGTGAGGACGGCTTGGGTGAATGTTTGTCCGTTAGTTGCTACTGTTCACTGTCTTGAGTTATACGCTCATACTGGAGCAGCAGAGATCCACGGTTCAGCGAAGACACAAAAATAGTTGACATGCTATGTTCCGTAATATTATTTGCGTTGGGAACGAAAGCTGGATGCCAGGTGCTCGTGTCGATCTGTTGGACTTTCGGTTCTGTGGGCCATGACACAGATATACTATCGGGCTCGGTTGGTTGCACCTCACCGCCAGGTTCAGTACTCTATAAGCGGATAAACATATTTATGTTCATTGTTTGATTCACACCGCCAGGTGATGGGAAGTAGACGACTCGGCCAATCCTCTACCGATGTATTGTCTGATGTCTCTGCTCAATAGGATATCTGGTGCTCTGAGAGCACCCTTTGTGTTGCTGGTGGTAAAAGTATCGGGCGCATGAGATGAAATTTAGCTACTGTTCTCTAACGTAGTAGCCTTATTATATACCTTCTATGTCCGCATAAGTATGACCAGCCTACTAGTAGGAAGTGATCTGATCAGACTTTAGCGTGCTCATCCTGTATTGCATTATATACATATCCTACCGTGTGATTGACATTTTCCTCGAGTGCCTCATATGCTGGTAAGTGGGACAGTAGCCAAGGTTAAGTAAGGTATATAATATGTAAAATGGCTGGGCATATTAACAACCCAAGCATGTTAGCTCAGGGGAAGAGCGCCGGGCTCATAACCCGGAGGTCCCTGGATCGAAACCAGGACATGCTATCCAATTTCTTTTTTATATTTTTTGTCCATCGTCACTAGTCCCCACTTTTGCTATATTTTTCTTCTTCTATATACCTTCATCTCCCGTTTACTATCATTATTCACCCTCCAAGGCATTTTCAACAACCCCTTAGAGCTACATAAGGAGTGATAAAAATAATTTACTCGCTGTTGTAGCTTTAACTATCCGTGATTAAGATCACTGTACCAGCACGTGACGAGCTGGCCGCCCTTGAGGGATGCCAAGCCGGCCAACACGCAAAGGACGGGCGAGGCTCTCGACGACTGACCACCGCCGCGTTGCTGCTGCTGCATCCGATCATTACTCCCTGACCCCGTCGTTATTATATCCTCCATATCACCGACCCCCGGATTGCGCAGACTGGTCTCTTCGCATCCGTTCTTTTTCTCCGACCCTCCCCTTCACGTCAATCCTCTCCCTTCTTCTCACCTCCCCATCCGGGGGTCCTTGTGGCCGCCATGGCATCCCGTAGGTGTCCTTGTGTTGAACCCTCCCCCACATTGCTATACTGCTCCCATGCCCCTGTCCCCGGAATTCGATCGCTAACTGTCGCCCCCTCTCCCGCCTCTTATATACAGTCAAGCAGTTTATCCGGAACGTGCGTTCGGCCAAGACAATCGCCGATGAACGAGCAGTCATCCAAAAGGAGAGTGCGGCCATCCGTGCGTCGTTTAGGGAAGAGAGCCATGATTCGGGCATCCGGTTAGCATTGACACCGCCAACCTCTAGCAACACTCGAACCAGCTTCTCATTTATTTGCACAGGAGAAACAATGTGGCTAAGCTTCTGTATTTATTCACCCTCGGTGAACGGACACACTTTGGTCAAATCGAATGTCTGAAGCTACTGGCCTCCCACCGTTTCGCCGACAAGCGCCTGGGATACTTGGGGACGATGCTGTTACTGGATGAGAACCAAGAAGTTTTGACGCTGGTAACAAACTCATTGAAGAAGTGAGTCTGTATTCAAGGTCGGCTTAGGGTCTCCTAGCTAATGTTTTGCAGTGACCTTAATCACTCCAACCAATATATCGTCGGCTTGGCCCTGTGCGCCCTGGGCAATATCGCCTCCGTCGAAATGTCTCGAGACCTTTTCCCCGAAGTCGAAAACCTAATGTCTACTGCAAATCCCTATATTCGGAGGAAGGCGGCACTGTGTGCTATGCGTGTATGTCGCAAGGTTCCCGACCTGCAGGAGCATTTCCTGGAGAAGGCAAAGACTCTTCTGTCAGACAGGAACCATGGTGTTCTGCTGTGCGGTTTAACACTCGCGATTGACATGTGTGAAGCTGAGGAGGCGGAAGAAGGCCAGGAGGGGGTGATCGAGATGTTCCGGCCGTTGGCCGGTGGTCTTGTGCGCTCCCTAAAGGGGTTGACCACCTCGGGATACGCTCCCGAACATGATGTCTCCGGTATCACCGATCCCTTCCTCCAAGTGAAGATACTGCGCCTTCTCAGAGTACTAGGAAGAGGGGATGCGGCGACCAGCGAAATGATCAACGACATTCTGGCCCAGGTGGCCACTAACACGGATTCGACGAAGAACGTCGGCAACGCTATTCTCTACGAGGCTGTCCTGACCATTCTCGACATCGAAGCTGATTCAGGATTGAGAGTGCTAGGTGTTAACATTCTTGGAAAGTTCCTGACCAACAAGGACAACAATATTCGTTACGTTGCTCTCAACACGCTGAACAAAGTTGTTGCAATTGAGCCCAATGCCGTCCAGCGGCACCGCAACACCATTCTGGAGTGTCTCCGTGACCCGGATATCAGTATAAGAAGACGTGCCCTTGATCTCAGCTTCATGTTGATCAATGAGAGTAATGTGCGTGTTCTTGTTCGAGAGCTGCTCGCTTTCCTGGAAGTTGCCGACAACGAGTTCAAGCCAGCCATGACGACTCAAATTGGTATCGCTGCTGACCGATATGCCCCCAACAAACGCTGGCACGTTGACACTATTCTGCGAGTACTCAAGCTTGCTGGTGCCTATGTTAAGGAGCAGATACTCTCGTCCTTTGTTCGCCTCATAGCCACCACACCAGAGCTGCAGACCTACTCGGTGCAGAAGCTTTATCTCTCATTGAAAGAAGACATCTCCCAAGAAGGCCTTACCCTTGCTGCTACCTGGGTCATTGGCGAGTACGGTGATAACCTTCTCCAAGGTGGTCAATATGAGGAAGAGGAGCTAGTTAAAGAGGTCAAAGAGAGCGACATCGTTGACCTGTTCACCAACATCCTCAATAGCACATACGCCACGCAAACAGTGGTGGAATACATCACTACGGCCTCTATGAAGCTTACCGTGCGCATGTCTGATCCAGCACAGGTTGAGCGGCTCCGTCGCTTCCTCAGCAGCCGGACTGCCGACCTGAGTGTTGAGATTCAACAGCGGGCTGTCGAGTACGTCAACCTGTTCGGCTATGACCAGATTCGTCGTGGAGTTCTCGAACGCATGCCCCCGCCTGAGATACGTGAAGAACAAAGAGTCTTGGGTGCACCGACCAAGAAGCGTCAAAGCAAAATCCTGAAAGACAAATCCAAGAAGCCTGCCAAGCAGGCTGAGCAGGACATGCTCCTGGACCTCATGGGCGGCGATGCTCCACCGACCAGCCCGACTACCAACGGTTCCCAAAATACGGCTGATCTCTTGGCCGATATCCTCGGCGGCGATTCCAGCTTATCGTCACCTTCTCCCCAACCTGCGCAGAAGGCAGCAGGATCCACCAATACCAGCGCTATCATGGACTTGTTCAACACTAATGGAAGCACGCCCTCTCCCAAACCTGCGGAGCCTGCATCTTCAGGCTTGGATCTTCTAGCAGGCTTGAGCTCTTCTGCCTCGCCCGCACCCACTCCTGCGCCGTCGGCGACTCCTGCTCATACGGCCTTTAACAAGAACGACCTCTCCCTTGCCCTTCAAGTCCAACGTGGTAGCGGTGGAAGTGCGCAGATTCAGGCTCGTTTCCGCAACAATTCAAGCTTTGGCCGCTTCTCCAATGTTGGATTGCAAGCAGCCGTGCCCAAGAGTCAGAAACTACAGCTAAGCGCGATCAACAAGGCTGATCTCGATGCTGGCGACGAAGGTATCCAGATGCTCAAAGTTGCAGCACTAACTGGGGTAAGTCAAAACCAACCGCGCCTTTTCTAATTGCCTTTGACTAATGTCCTGCAGGCCCTCCCACCTAAGCTCCGCCTTCGTCTCCGTATCACGTATGCCAAGGATGGCTCTGATCCTGTAACAGACCAGGTAGACTGGACCGAGCCGTGAACGGTAACCAGGGCCTTACTTTCATGAATCCTTATATTCGCCTTACAGTAACCTTTCAGACCGCCCATCTAATTTTATTTTATCAACCCAATTATTGTACTAGGAGGGAGGATGGAAGCAAGCAAGCCAACCAACCCTTGGGAGGAGACTACCAGCGGGAAACCAACGCCTACTTGACCATTCATAGTTCCTCACATTACATACATGCATGTTCATACATACCCGGTCCATTTCTAGCTCTCCGTTTTCAGCATTTCTTCCCTTCGCTATCATGTCTTCTTCTTGCCTTCTATGTAAATGCTTGGTATGTTGCTGAGGCCTAGGAGTGGCCGGTTCCCCCATATGTTGGGGTCTAAAATGAAAATGTTCCTGTGCTCTTTACCACATTTGTCTCCTACTGTAGTGATAAATGTAGCTCGCCTGTCATAGTCAACCAGTAGAAGTAGTAAGTAGCAAGTACTACTTCAGCAACCACCTTGCCATGCTCAACATATCGACGACGTGGGCTCAGTCACTCCGTCCTGTTCAGTCATGGACACCCACTAGTAGTACGCTATAGTATATACTCTACTACTGTAATATGAAGACAAGCCAGCACAGCAGGCCTGAGAACAGCACACACCACTAGAATTAAACCCTGAAAGCCAGAAGTGGAAATGATGAACTCAAAACGGTACTATATATCTCGGAGTTAGAAGAAATGCCATCACGGCGTTAAAAACAAATGTCCGGTGAGCCGTTTGTTTGCGCTTCAGTGATGCCTTGCAATCCCCAAACTACCATGATTGTGACTATGACTGTACCCAAAGCCGGGTGAGACAAAGGATTAGAAGTTCCACACGTCATCGATAATAGGAATGAGGCAAATCGACAGGGACCGGCCATCTATCACAGACAGCTGCGGCCTCCGATGCACTCGTGCCTAATGAGCAGTGCCGGGGTCAAGGAAGATTTCATCAGTCTGAAATGCGAGATGTGAGACATTAAGCTTTTGTTTGATAATGCTGGTCGGGAAGATAACGGTTGATGTATATGGTAACTAGTAGTAGTGATCGTTAATATTTCTCGGTGTTGAACTTTCCTTTGCTTCTTCTTCAGCGATCTCTCCTTCTATTTACCCAGGTCTGGCTTCCAGGCGGGTTTTGCAGGGCGCGTATATTGACCAATTCGCTCGAAGCGCTTATGCATCGAAGAGGATGGTGTGGCTCGGATGAGTTGGCCTCAGTGGGACAAGGCGTCTAAGCTGCAGCCGACCGGATTAAGGCTGCTTGCTTCGCCCAAGTTTGATCGACTCTACTGATCACATTGTCCAGGCACAAGGACGCCTATAGCGTTTTTTACTGGCTGCTTCATGATCGCCTCAGGCAGTAGATAAGTGATTGTGATGTGATACTTGGCGGTCATGGCTCCTGAGTACTGGGCTAAGATCCTTCCCTCGTTGTAACTTTTATAGTTCAACAAGCAATGCTGGTTACTGTTGGGTATGAATCGGCAAATTTATTGATAACGTAAATGAAGTACTTGGTGGATGCCTTTATCCTTATCCCCACCATCTTCTGAGCGTTGGGCTGCAGAGGTTCCACTTAGCAATCTCGCCTGATGGCAACCATAAAGTAGGCTGTTCACCTGAGGAAAGGGCTTCGCAAGGTGGTGTGAACAGTAGCTATTACTTGTTTCTGGACGGCTTTTATGCAGTCATCCTCGACTGCTTTGTTTGACGTCTTGAGTCCAAGATCGAAGGATTATACATTGATGCCTGATATGACACCTGCTATCCGGTCCACACTCCAGGCGGGATTCTACGCCTATGCATGACCTTGGTACATTTGACTATGCAGTGTCAGCCAGGGCTTCAACGCCTCTTACTCCAATTTGCTAAGGATTTAGATTGTAGATCGTTCCAGAAATTGCCCATAGTGCAAGCTTATGGTATGTCAGATCAGATAGATGCAGGATACAGAACAGCGGGGGCCATAGCCTCGCTTCTGGGGGAGTTTACACTGAAGACGGATGAGCTCGGAGATAGCCATGTCTGAAAGTCACTATCTTTCAGACGCTCTGTAGTATATTCGCGACAGAGTGACTCGAGAAGATGTATCCCATTGTAGATCGCATGGTGCATCACCGACAAACTTGATGATGACGATGTCAGGCCGACATCACGTGTAATACCGTATTGTGACCCCCCTCATCTCCCCTCACCCGCCGTTCAGTGTCTGCACCTTTCCGAAAACAGACCAATACCTAAGGATACCGCGTAAGGAAAGCGTAATAGAGTCCTGAGGCCATCAGCAGCGTCGCGCGGTTCCTCGTTCTTTCTGTCTCTCGCTCTCTCTCTCTCTTCCTCTTCTCTTTCTTCCTCATCATTCTCTTGACTGAGCAAGCAAGCAATCAACGCTCATCAATCGCGATTCCATTAGATCCAGCATCATCATCAGTTTCATCCATCGAGTCCTCTCCGTTGGAGAAACACCATTTATATCTAGATCTCCGTTCGATCTCATTGGTGTCGGGGGACTTTCTCGCAACAACCAGTGATCGTTGCTCGCCTTGCCAGGGACTTCTGGTTCGCCAATTGATTGCTGCGCGCATCGCGGCCGTCCCCAGTAATACCTGCCCTACGACCATTTGCCTGCTCTCTACTGGACGGTAAGCCAATAACTCAACACGCCCCATCCATCCCCAGCGTCGTGGGCCACCGGAATTTGATCCAATCGCCTGGTCGGTCGCTCCCTCTTTAATTGTTGGTTTTGCTGCTTTTCCCAGCTGCGCAACGTGCCACACTGCCAGTCTGACCCACGGTTACTTCCGTGTTGCATTACCCGCGTCACATCCCGCCCCGACTGTTCCCAGATCTTCCGCGCTGGAAACTGTCAAGTGCGCATGGCTTGCTGACGTGACCACTCCTGCAGTCGCGCGCGCGCCCCCTCTAAACTCCCTCCACACAGAGCCACAGGGGCTTGCCCAAAAAAGAGTTTCCAGGTTTCTGGGTGCTGTATCCTCTTCACTGGCTAATCAAATCAGATCCTTCCATTTAGAAGAAGAAAGAAAATAAAACAAAAAAGAGAAAAAAGACATACGAAAAAGAAACGCGCAGGAAATCTCAAGAACAGACAGGCAAGACAGATTTAAAGTACTTTAGAAACAATAACAAACAGAAACGCCTGCTGCGACCACAACCCCCCCTCCACCCTCCTCGTCGAATAATAGATCCCGCCGGTCCTTGCTCACGACGCTAAAGCAGGACTATCGCAGAAGCATTGCCAATCCCCCACACGCGCAACTACGCCCGTCTTTCCCCGTTCAGGCTGTCGTGAAGCGAATCGCTGCCCAGCCAGACGCACCCTCGTTGTCCTTGGCGCGGCTGTATCATAGCGCGCGAGATCGAGAATCCACCGCGTGCTGCACGCAGCTCTGACGTGGTTTGCCAACAGAGCAGTTAGAGACAAGCCCCCGTTCTAAATCCAGTATCTCTGCACGTTCTCAGAACAGCTAAAAATCATGTCGTCGACCTCTCCCTCGAAGGAACCGGAGGTGGAACCCGAAGTTCAATCGGGTGAAGACCAGGAACAAATGGATAAGGAACAACAAGACACTCAGGCGCAGGGTCAGGGAGAGTTCGAGGTGAAGGAGCAGGATAGATGGCTACCAATTGCAAATGGTTAGTTACGTTCCCTTGCAGCTTTCTCTTTTTCTGATTTGCGCGTACCTTACGTTTATCTGCTGGTCAACCGCCTCTTGCCCTACTATGGTGGTTCACCCACCCCCCCCTTCAACCACCCCCTAGTTGCTTTATCTGATCATATCCGCCGGCTCTTCTGTATAATTTTTTGTGACTTGGATTTTCATGGCTCGGATACAGCCTACCTTGGCCCTTTTATCGTTCGTCTTCTGGTTGCTCGCACATTACCCATCATAGAAGCTCGCATACTCCCCCCCAATGTCTGGAAGTAAAAGACGCCTGATCACTTTCATCTATGCTTGCGACTCCCGCATTTATCACAGTTGATACCAAATTAGGATACTAATGTTGCAAATCAAGTGGCCCGCATCATGAAGCTGGCTTTGCCTGAAAATGCCAAAATCGCAAAGGAGGCCAAGGAGTGTATGCAAGAGTGTGTGAGCGAGTTTATCTCATTCATCACTAGCGAAGGTTGGTGCGACCACACCTGCTCTACAAGCTCTTTCACTGACGGAGTCTCGCACATTTGTCCGTAGCCTCCGAGAAATGCCAGCAAGAAAAGCGCAAGACCGTTAACGGGGAGGACATTCTATTCGCCATGACCTCCCTCGGCTTTGAAAACTATGCAGAGGCCCTTAAGATTTACCTGTCCAAGTATCGCGAGGTGAGACCTGTGCAACGTCCCTAATCATGTTGCCTCTTTTTCGTAACAGGCGACATTGAGTTTCATGACGTATCCGGACGCTAATGATTCCTCTAGACCCAATCCGCCAGAGGCGAGCACCAGAACCGTCCAACAAGCAGTGGATATGGTGCTGGCGCGCCCGTAGGGGCCCCGGGACCTGCCGGTCCTGGTGGCCGTCCAATGGCACCAGGTGCAGGGTTTCCTGATGCTGCTGACAGCGCCAACAATATCATGAACCAAAGCTTGGACCCGTCTGAGCAGGACACTTCCGCTTATGGCTACCCCCCGATGGTCGGCCAGCCGCACAACGGCACCGCTGGTGAATCTTATTAGTATGCTATTGTGCGGGAGAACCATCCGCTGGACTTGACGACTATCCCACAGCAAGGGTCTTCTTCGGAATCGAACAAGAAGAGAATCGAACATCAGCCTCACCTCACACCCACAGAGGCTAGATGCCCCTCGTCTCCAGCATGAAAAGCGGCTGGGATCACAGGCCCAAACGACGAACGTTCCCGGATGTTACTCCCTGTACAGCAATCCTAATAAAGCGGTACGATACGATGGGTTACTTACGGGATATTAACGGAACGAATACGAATCAAGCAATACGACAGGATTAACGGAGCCGAGAGATAGTTTTACTGATTTGGTTTGTTTTTGCTTCTGATTCTTCATTTTCTCTTCTACAATCGGCTAGAGCACCAGCCGACCTGCCAGGCCCACTTGGCGCCTCAGTCACCTTCATATAACCAAAGCAAACCTCTCAACATCAAGCCAACCAAGAGAGAGGCTGCCATATATTCTCATGCTTACGAGTACCAATATTTATCTGCGCGTTATGGTGACCAGAGAAAAGGGTACCCCACCTCTTTGCTTGGGCCAGTTACATGTAATTATTGTCTGAGTTGAGTATCTATTATTGTGTGTCTTTGTCATTGTTTATGCAGAGTATGGGATACTGTTCAGAAGAAGAAGACAGGAACCTGACAAATAGAACACGGATTGGACTTCACTGTCCCCTGACAGAAAAAAATCACGTGGTTGCATTTTAACCGTAGAAGCCAAGTCTTAAGTTACCGCTAGATAAATCCTGTACGACAGACAATAGTTCATGAATGGCTCACGCTGTGTAACGCTGAACCCCCTTATTACGTACTCAACAAAAACGAGCTATCCACCATATAAACAACGGGACGATAGAAAGAAAGAAGAAGGAAAAAATCAAACACAAAAGGTCATCATCATAGTCATCATCATAGTAATGAAATGCCAATCTAAGCAACCAGAGAAAGATACCACGACTCGCTAAATCAACAGAGAACCCAACCGCACGTTCCACGCACGTGGGGTATGATGTGAAATTTATCCATGCATCCACCCCCCATCTAACAGAAGATCTGACATCGGAGTCTCTTGCCAGTAGATCTGACGCCATTCATCCTCTAACTCTGGTAGCCCTTCCATGGCCATAGGCAGCACGGGCTGGTCCAGATCCGTGAAGGAGAAGAGTTGGCGCCAGTCGAGAGATTCGCGGGGCGCGTCGGCGTCGATGGCGTCGACGACGGGGGTCATGGTGGCGGATGGCGGAGGTGGGGGGATCCAGGCGTCTAGATGGTGATGTTGTTGGGGCTGAGATTGAGGTTGAGGGTGGCTGTGGTGAGGGCTTGTTGGGAGGTGGTTCGTGGAGGAGTCTGGGGTGGGGACTTCGAAGGGAAGAGGGCGGTCTGTCGGGGTTGGGTTGGGGGGTCTTGGTGTCTGCATTGCTGTGGGTGCGGAGGTGGAAGTGGTGGTGGAGTGTAGGGTTGTTTTGAGTTGGTCTTGAGGGTTGCTGAAGCGGCGGGGTGGTCGTTCGCTGGTGGCCATTCGGAGGTCTTCTTGGAGGCGTCTGGAGTCTTCGAAGAGGCGGAGGATGGTGTTTGCGTGGAACCAATAGCTTGCTAGTTCGCGGAGGGAGTAGGAGGCTGAGTCGAAGCGGCGGAGGGCGTTGATTGCTAGGACGGGGTTGGAGAAGCGGAGTTCGACGCGGACTTGGATCATGGCTGTGAAGAGGGTGTGGACGCCGGAGTACCAGAGGAACTTGAGGCGGTCGTTTAATCGGAGTTCTTCGAAGATGGAGGTGATGACTCCTGCGGCTGCGCTGCAGATTTCGGCATCGTGCGGGCCGTAGTCATCTGAGTAGGCGGATGCTCGGGGGTGTGGGCGGTGGAGGAGGATCAGGAAGTTGTTGTAGGTGAGATGGAGCATGGCGGACCAGGGGTCCATGTCGGACGCTCGGAGACGTAGTTTATCGGGCAGCTTCAGGGACCAATTGGCGAGGGCTTCGTCGGCTTCTAGGAGGACGGCTTTGCGACGCTCTGCGCTCACTCGTAGTCCGAAGCGGCTTCGAACGATGTACGAGATCATTACTGAGAGCTCAGTGAAATGGATCACGTAGTCGGATTGGACACGAGGTCCGCAGCCCTCGAAGTCAGAGATTGTCAATGGAGACACGTCGGAGTCTTCTAGGTTTCTGTTGTCGGAAGCAGTCAGCGGCCGATCGGGAGGGTAAGGAGGGGGCTATCTGCTTACATTGCCTGCGGTCGACCATACGAAAGTGATACCATAACGTCGAATTGCACTATAATGTGCCATAGCCTCCTCCACATCCGGCGATCACGGGAGACAAACCGGCTAGAGATAGGATTTCGGTGCATTCCGAGGCCAGTAGCAATCCTGGCAGCTACACCCACCCAGTAGTGCGCATTCGCTGCGACATCATCGTCGGCACCATCCGAGTGCCAAGTCAAAAGTAGAGCAGCTTGCACCAGGATATCGCGATTACGCTCAATACGTGAATCAAACAGCCACTTGGCACGACGGAAGAAAATATCCTTGAGGGCATCGCGTTCCGCTTTGGGACGAGTGACATGGGCTCCCACTAGCAGAATCGCTTGTAGCAGCAATATCGGGGGAGGATCAGCAGGGTCCCGGTTGCGATACTGCGCCATGAACAAGTCCTCGTCAATGATAGGATACCCTGGGTTGACGTGGTCAAAGTAAGCTTGCACCAGTTCATCTGCTAGGGCCGGTTCAGGCAAAGTGAGAGCATCCATGAGGAGCTGATCATGGCCGGTCCTTAACTGTCGTCGCGGAATCTCATTGCCTGCAAAGTGATAGACGTCGTCATCCTTGTCGCGTTGCTGACGGATCAAGAAAGACATGTTCGACAGCTCATGGCCCACGTATATAGCTCGCACACCCCGACGAATCTCCCGACTGCCCGATTCTTCCTCATCGATGAGCTTCACTAGTCGTTTCTCCAAATCCGCGTGGGAGTCCGATTCGGCCGAGACATCCTGGCCCGCGGGACGGTTATATGTCGGAGATTCTGCAGCTGACCCGGCGCCATTATGGGGAGGGTGGTGATTAACATTATGATTAAGCGTTTGATGAAGATTATGAAGACTTGATGCGGGATGTGCGACAGGTGTTGTCACTTCCGGTTGGACGCCGCGAAAGGTGGTGGTGAAAGCGTCAGGTGGGGTTGTAGCCGTGAGAGGCAGAGAGTGTCTGTGTGTAGGCTCAGAAGAAGCAGGAGGTGGTCGACAGCGGATCGGAACGGGGTCGAGGATTGATCGCACCGCCAGACGCTTCTTCTTTTCGTGAATCCGACAGTCGGTCTTTCCCGCGGAACGGCAATTGGAGCATGGGAGGCCGACGATGCGGGCATCGCATCGGACTTTGCGCCGATGGCAGTGGACGCAGGCTGCGGAGCCTAGAGGGGAATTTTCATTAGAACCAGGAGAAGAATAGCAGATATATGCCAAGTCCTTCATAGACATTGCAGAGCGTACCTGACTTGCGCTTAGTCACCCCATTCCCGGCGGGTGAATGACTGCTGTGCGCTGCGGAGGTCATCGCCGAAACATCGACACAGATCCAAGGGTCCGGAGACTCGCTAATTCGTCATCTCTTATCCGAGAGATCTGAGGGAGAGAGCATAAGGTCAGATCAGGACATGATCTACCCACGGACAGAACGATTGGAGAGGAGAATGAAGAAGACGGAAAGAAGAAAGAGGAGAAGGAGGAGGAGAAATGCCAGACATGAAGAGGAGAAAAGGCGGGAAACTCGAATTGCTTTGCTCGGCATAGCTGTGATTGGCCGATAATGGGCAATCGGGTGGGGCTCATCCAGGGCGGGTCTGGGGGAGTCACGTGGCGGGGTTGCTGATCGATTCCATTGAATTTGTTTTAAGACCTTCGATGCTTTTTCTCCTCGTCTTCTGGAAGCCTGTCATGATCCGCCGTTTGCTTGCTACCATCCTGCCCATGGTTACCTAAAAGCATACCTAGTCTAACTACCCACGCTCAGGACCCCCTCCATGTCTTCTGCCCTGCATTTGCGTGACACCCGGTGTCTTCTTCCGTGCGCTTATCCACTCCGGGGATCCACCCTGGCGTCAGCTCCGTTATCAGTCCGCCTATCGTCCATTCCTGTCTTTCTCACTGGACGGTTGGTGGAATTCCTTATCAACATCCATTCTCGAGATAAAGTGTTTGACAAAAATGTACGGCTAAAGCGGAGTCATGGTCCTAATATTGACTTCTTCTGCATTGCGGACAAGTTGCCCTCGGGACTTTTCTAAGTTCACGCCAATTCGCATTCTATCAAGCTTTCCACTCCCTTTTCCACCGTCCAGATCTTGACTACCTTCAACCCCACAGATTCAATCAACGTAGTCCAGTGCTTCTCCGTCCGTTCCCCCGAGGCAATTGACATCATGATCATGTCAAGGCTAGTCGTCTCGAAATGCGCGTCGAGACTGGGGACAACATACTCGTTGATCAACAGCTTACTGTACCCTGGTTTCATGGCTGGGATAAGGTTGGACAGGATCTGACCGCACACATCGTCAGGCCAGTCATGTAGAACCGAATGCATATAGTACACGCGTGCTCCTGAACCTTATCAGCCCAGATCTTCAAATTATCAGAGTAAATGTTTCATAGACATACCTTTCACCGGCTGCTCCGTAAAGAAATCATGCGCCATTGGGTCAATGGATACATGCAAGTCCCTCACAGTTTCTATAACCTGAGGCAGATCCTGCACCACAAGGCGCCCAGACACCTCTGGCCACTTCCGACGGAATTCAGATACATCGTGCCCGGTGCTACCACCCACATCAACCAAGAAGACGTCCTTCTCGCTCAGTTCGGTACCCTTAATTAACCGTTCCTGGACTGGGTAGAAGCCTTTGTCCATCCAGCTAGGTCGTCCCTGATGGTACACCGACATGTGGTTGCCGAATTGTTTGTTAAGGGTAGGGTTCTTTTGCACACATTCGAAGAAGTGTTCGTCGACTCGCTGTCCCAGCTGGAATGGGGACTTGGTGGGATCAGTTGGATTGCGGAATCCAGTCTGTTTAAGAAAGGCAGGGATAGCGTAGATACCTGGGTATAACCAAGCCGAGCTGGGGATTGACATCAACGTTAGTAACCAGTCTACGGGCGCCTTGGTGTCACTCACAGTGCGGGGAAAGCATCTCCATATCGTTCGACACTTAGTGTGGTCGAGAGGTTCGTCGCGATGTACTCGTCAGGTCCCGCTTCAGTGATTACGCTCATAGATGCCAGATGTTTCATGATGCGCGCTAGGAGGCGTAAGTAAAACACAACTCTACCTACGCAATACATGCCACGAATGAAACTGAACCAACCAGTAAGTACTTACACAACAAGACCGGATCACTCTGTGTTATCACTGCAAGCTCTGCAACGGACTTTGGCTTGTCCCGAGATAACTCGCTCAACACACCTATAGCTAGAGCCGTTTCAATAGCGGCGTGCAGAGTAGCCTGCAGCAGAAACCGTTTGTTAGATCCCAGCAATTATGCACATCAACTCACAATACCGTCCCAAGCTCTCACGTAACAGACAGGACTTACCGTAGTCCAGCACTGCCTGACAATCGCCTCTCGCGGGGTCTCCAGCGCATTAGCCAGGGATCTCGCAGCATCTCGTAGCCTTAACCTTTCCACCGAATTCTCCAGAGATATGGATTTGTGGGATGCGATCTGATCGATGAGAGTCGGGACAGCATCGGGTGCATTTGGTGAAATGGCAATCGTATCCACGTTCACGTCCGACTTGGAAGGCCCATGGCCATTGGAATGGATGCCATTTGTATGGTGGCCATTAGTATGATATCCGTTGGTATGATCACCATTAGTACATTGCTCAACAACCGTTGAGACGTTCGTATAAGTCATTCTGTAGTTATCGGGGGTATGCTTCGGGGTGAGTTACAGGGAATATGTAAGGGGTCTGTTCGAATGGCGCCATCTACTTAATAAGGTCCGGCAGCCGGACGAAACGAGCAGCCTATGTAGGCTTCTCGCCTTGCGCTTTTCCATAGCACTACAAAATAGCCCGCACTATAATACCTTTATGACGCTTAGAACAATATAGTTAGCCTCTATTGTCTTTTGTGCCTACTGTGGAGCTAAGTCAAAGAGATAAGCTAGCTGCTGCCACCTCCACTGGTCATTTATCTCACTTTCAGGCTGCCCACTCTGGTGACCTGCAGTAGAGTCGCTAATGTAGCGGCGACGCCTGGATAGACTCCACTTCCTGGCGAGGGGTAGTAATGGCCCTAGTTAGATACTTGTACTGCCCCCGGCAGATGATGGAAGTTCATACCGATGGAACGGCTAGGCCGCAAAAGACGCGGGCTACAAAAAGGCAGGCTCATATCGTTTTAATTCACTGGCGAGAGATAGAGGGCCTACAGAGCTCTTTCTCCATGTTCTCACTGGACAAGCTCGCGCAGTGGATAACTAGACAGGATGATTTAGGACGGAAAAGCAATTTTGAGGATACCCACAAGTGAGATAGCAGCGGCAATATAACGCTATGTTAGCCTCCCCGCCGATATTTTGTGGGTGTTCGAGACTGGACGGTGTAGTACCTTAGTGCAGCACTTCCACTAACAAGGTCACGGAAATAGCAATATAAATAGGCCTGGCTTATATGGAGACGGAGTTCGGGGATGGGCATCCGCTCATAAGATAGAGTCCCGCCCTGACGGCTTCGCACCAAAAAGCAATTAGCGCACTCTTATAAATTCCAGTGCTGCGCCGTATCCTGAGACTAATTTATCTCAGTAGGCAGACTCCAGATAGGATTCGCGAGATAGGTGTCGTGTAAGTGCAGAGGATACCGATAGCTCCCACAATCGCCAGAATCGAAGTTTGGAAAATTCTTTGATCTTGAACCAGAGGTAGCAGGCATCAGGGAAACGAGAAACTCCCACTCTTGCCACGGGTTTCAGAGAGCGTAGTACTGCGCCAGTACTGCCAGGAGCATCCGTATCTCAATAACAAAAGCGGAGGTGCCCCTGAGACGGACAAAGGTTGCTTTCAATTAATTATCACTGCGCCAACGGGACCGCTGTCTTGCAGGGATAGTTGCATAGCGCATGACACCACACTTCGCGCCATTAACATCCATAGGCCCGGGCCTGCATCGTACTTTTGGACTGCCTTCGTGCAACTAGTCTAGAGTTGGGTATCCGACGGATGATTCATTAACAAATAGGAAATGGCTGAATATTAGCACCACGGTACGACCTTGTAGCAACAGTGTATTTGGCTGTTGGGCAACTCTGCGGTGCCAAGAACATGGTGGATCGCCTAGGCCAGACAAGCAATTCTAGCGACTCTTGATGTTCAGCCTTAAATGTTGCTGTAGGGGGGGGGGGTTTGATATCCGTATTTGGGGGCGCTTTCAAGTTGCGCACGGATGCTATCATTTGATCGTCTATCTCAAGGAAGAAATGCAACCTCAAGAATCACCGATTAGCTGAGATACTTCATCGTAGAGGTGCGACTTCTGTTATTAATTAATTTGCGCCCAGTAGCGTCCAAATGGACAAAGAAGGCAGCGTGATCCACTAGGCCTTGTAGTATACGCTAAGGATAGAACGGTGCCAGATGGTGCGTGACGCCGGCGCCGTCGCTGGTGGAACCGGACTCCAGGCAGACTCGTTCGGAAGTCGGAACTGTGGGAAGGTCAAAAAGCTCGGTTTATATTGGGACCTGTTCTTTCATATGATTATTCCCTTCCTTGAACTGTCTCGACTAATAGACTAGTGTTCAAGCCACTAATCTCGATCTAGCAATGACCGTCTCCTGCTCTTTCCAACACGGAACGTCTCTTGAACCCTGGAATGTCGGGCATGTTCCTTATCAGGGCTCAGCTCTAGGCTGAATTTGATGCCACGCTCTTGAACAATGCGCGGAAGTGCCATGCCCCCTGTGCTGCTATTGGTTTGCTTGCTTAGCGATTAATTGGACAATCTCGATGGTGCCATCCATGATGTCTCAGGTAGTGGTAGCATGGATATTATTTCCGGTTGATGTTTCGATGAGTCCACATCACTCTGGATCTAGGCGTCTCGACTCTAGAGTCTAGAATTAGAATAATATAAAGATTGGAGAGCAAGGGATTCTCGACGAAACTCTGCGGCGACTTCGGATGCACGAGATGGTCCGTAACCGGCCTGGAAGTGACAGGGATTCTGTTGCACAGCTAGTGGACTAATTGACACTAGGGGAAAAGCAAATTATGTTAGAGTACAATGAAAGAACTGTACGTAAACCCCTTAAGTTGGGCCTCTGGATAGCCCAAGTAGCCCAGTGAGCACGTTTTGCTGGAATCATATCAGCGTTGGACCTTCTGATGTTTGTGACATTCGACTACTTCACGCCAACGCACAGCTGTGGATGTTGGACACGGAGCGATGACTGCTGTATCTTCGGAATATGCCCACCAGACTAAGGGCCCACGAATATTGGCTGTCTTTTGGACCATGACTAGTCTTGCAATTCTAGCTGTGGCAGCCAGGCTCTTCATCCGTATCAAAGTCTTGCGCAACCCAGGTGCAGACGACTGGTTGATCGCAACGTCAATGGTAAGTCGATTATACTATTTCTCAGGTCCGACTGCCACAGTTGTTCTTTTTGTTGTACATTCTGACGGCTGTTAGTTTTTCAGCATATCATATTCTGTAGTAACCACGGTCGACGTCGCTCTAGGTTACGGAAAACATGCAGTCGTCATAGCAGATAGACTAGAACTCGTTCTGCTAGTCAACTATATCAACTTCGCCTTGGGCATAATCTCCTTCGCCTTACCCAAATTAGCCGTGGCTGCCCTGCTGAGCCGTTTTCTGAATCCGACAACGATACAACGCGCGATTTAATGGGGATTGACGGGGTTTGTGGCACTGGTGTCGTGTATTTGCATCTTGGTGCTCTTTACCATGTGCGATCCAGCGAAAGCTCTTTGGGACACGTCCCTTCTGTCAAAGGGCGCGAGTTGCCGGAGCTCGTGGATCCTTGTGGACTATGCCATCTTCACTGGAGGTATGTGCGAGTATGATTCAATAGAAAGATAAGTCTAGCTTAAACAACGATAGCCATATCTGCCTTTACGGATCTGTATTTGGCAATTTATCCGACAGTCATCTTACTAAAGCTTCATATGTCGATGCGGAAACGATTGGCGTTGTGTGCAGCGCTGGGTCTGAGTGCAGTGTAAGCAAGAACTCAAGAAGCTCATCGTCATCAGTATTAGCTAAGAAACAAGGCTATAGCGCTTGTGCAATGGCAATCATCAAGTGCATGCAGCTACCAGGTCTTGCCGATCTCAGCGATACGACATGTGAGTTGTTCTTGATGCAAAACTGTACTAAGGCCGGATGTTCACTGACACTATAGCAGATGCCACGGCCGACCTTGTGATATGGACAAGGTAAGCCACCATGTGTTACTTCGTGACACCAAGCCCTTATTGAGCAGCAATTCCGGATATTGACAATCTCCCGGCAGTATCGAATCAAACGTCGTGATCCTAGCCTCATGTATCCCCACGCTACAACCGCTTCTCGAAATAATTCTCGGAAAGCGCAGTCTGAGAAGTACCGGCGGATATCAGTACAAAGAGAGCAGTACCCAATTGCCCGAGTCTAACAAGTGGAGCAGCAAGCGATCTGGACACCGGAAAAGTAAAGGCAATATGATGATTGCAGACATTGGCAGCCAGGATAGCATCTTGCAGATAGGTGATGATCACGAGGACGAAAGCCATTATATGGGGCACATCCGTCGTACAGATAAAATCACTGTTGTGTACGAAAGTGTGACACCACAGCCAGGTGGTGGTGATAAAACAAATGACCCTGTAAAATAGAAGAGTTACACTGACGGTGTTTCTGGCATGCTTTTTTGTTCTCCGCCTTCTTTGTGTGTTGGTCTTTCATTAAGTGCTTGTAGTTTTTCCATTGAATAGGCGCAAAGTTGTATGAGCCCCCAGAGATTTTTTTGAGAAGCTGAAGTGCTTCATCCAGAATAAGTTTAGACGCTTGCTATGATGATGTGTTAGCATGACGGTTCAACACTATCGAGCCTAAATGTTGCGTTGCTTTCATACCTTCATATCGCTACCACAACAAAAAATCTTCCATATGCGATTATGTACGTATGCAAGTCCAGGGCTAATGGTCTTGCATGTACCTCATGTTCCGCAGTTGTATTGATCATCCAAGAACGAACCTCTTCCAGTTTTCAGCGAGCTGCCGAACGCCTTGATGTAACTCCCACCCGCGGATATTGCAGATCTGCCTAGCAATTTCCTCCAGCAAGTCATCCATCTGTTGCCCAGCCGTATGCAGATCGCTCTCGATGAGTATTCTATCATCAGGCAAAGCCTTGATAACGTTGATGACCTTCTGTGACGAAGGTCCGCCGAAGTTTATCACAGAAGAGAAGGAGAAGTAGACGTCTGACGGATTAGATTGATGCAGAAATTGCTTCAATGGCTCCACCGGCCCGGAATAAGAATGCATGCAGATCCGTGGTGGGAATGGGAGAGACTTTTCATCTGACTTTGCAGGCTTCTGTTGCATTCGTTCATCCTCCGCATCGCTCTCTGCATGCGCATCTGGAACACTATAACGTCGGCGTCTCTCCCGTCGTGAGGCGTTCTTTCGCTCATGGCCAGACCAAAGGGCCTTCAAAAGGTCAAAGACCGCCCCATGAGCTTGAACGCTATGCACAGAAACTGGCCGCTGAAGTTCCCCAGCTAGCCGCAACTGAGCCTCCAAGACGGCTTTTTGATGCGCCAACTGAACACGATACGGCGAAAGCTGTCTACCTTCCCGAGATCCAGGGGTCATTCGCTCATCCCGAGTTTCTTTTTCCTCCTCGGTCCACGCCTTGGGAAGCCTAAACGCACGATCAAGGCCAACCTCACCCACAAGAGAACGAGGATACGCCAGCAACCGTGCTCGAGATTCCGACAGCAACTCTGACAGCGGCTTTGGATCAGGTAACGACAGGATGAAGTCATCATCTGGCTCTGGAGTAAGGACCTTCTTATAGTGCAGCTTCTTCAGCTCAATTGGTGAGGTACTTTCATCGGTCTTGGGCGAACCAGTCGTATCGTCGATGATTTGATGCGAGAACCATGGGTGCCAGCCAAAGCACGGTAGCACAGGCCCTGTTGCCGAACTTTGGGCGGAGTCCTGACCCTGGGTCAAGGATGTAGCGGTCTGAAGCACCAAGTCCTGGTCCTCCCCGCGAGTGGACATGACTGTTAATGTCAATACTTTCATTTGGGGGATTTCCGCAATGGATGACATGGTGTCAGTGGGGTGACAATGGGCGTCGAACACCCCCAAGTGCCAAGGAAATGCATCGTTCTGATCCGTCTCAGACATGGTGCATGTGAAAAAGAATTGATCGGAAAGCCGAGGCGGAATTAGAGTGCCAAAGCGAAAAGAAAAATGATTCAGAGGCAGCTTGGGGATGTGTTGATTGACAAAAAGTCGGATGATGAATGGAGAGAGAGCTAAGCTGTGACGTAAGGAAAAGCCCGCCGATACACACGCGATACGTGGTGTAATGATGCCTTGGGCAGGCAACGGACATCGAGCATCACATGCTTCTTCGTCGTCTTGCTTCTCCGCATTTTGGTTCTGGGGATGCAGTCATGATTTCTATTCCCTGCATGGACACTGCAGGGCTATTCCTTCATACTATAGCCATGCCACTTGATTTCTATATATCTAGTAAGAAAATAAATATTTCCATGTATTCAACTCCCTCCTTTGATCTTCTATAGCCTACCTCATAGCTGCCCTACTCCCCTCATCTTCATGTCCTCTATCTCCGCCTTCTTGAGTCTTCCCCTCCTCACACTCTTTTCCCTCCCTCTCGCCCTGTTGGCATGCTTCACCACCTTCCTTTCCATCATATTTCTCCTCCTACGCTTCTCTGTCATCTATATTGAGCTATGCCTTGCCATAATCACAAATTACTTCGTCATCCCAACAGCTGCCAACACCTCCCTCCTCAACTTCTCCGCATCTGAACCCACCACCCCAGCAGCCTCAACAACACCCAAGCGTCGCTCAGTCGACCACAGCTTAAACAATGGGCTTCTCACTGCCCTCGCAACATATCGTCCAGGCTACAATCCTCCCCGTCGAACAAACAGTTTAACCACCACAACCTCCACTTCCTCAACCTCCCAAGACACTACCACTGTTCCACTCTATCGCAAAGATGAACCCGCAAATAACGCTCCCTCTGCCCTCCTAACTCTGATCAGTGGCGACGAAGGCCGCGACTTTGAAGGTCTAGGCGGCTGGCGCTGTGCGACAACAGCAAAAGCAGCAGCAGCAACAACAACCACAACAGCAAGATACCCAGCCCATCATCTCCTCTCAGACACCGCCTCCCCCTCACCAAATATCACCACCAGTGAATACGACGAGAGAGCATGGCTATCCATCAACGAGAGACTAGAACTCCCCTCCCAACCTCTATTATCCATCCGAAACAACAGCAACAGCAGCAACAACGAAGCTCTCGAATCCCTCCCTTGGAGACATCGGCAAATGGCTTCAACCAGCCCGCCCCCCGGAGGCAGTAATAACCTCATTCGCAGTCCCCGCCATCACCATCGTTCCGCAACCACCTCCTTACTATCCACTAGCCTGTCCCCTAGGTCTTCACTGCCAGACGCCGTTCCCCACCACGGTCTAGACCATCCACAGCGTAGGGCTACCTCGCCACTACTATCACAACAGCAAAATAGTACGAATACCCTCTTCTGCACGCCCTCGCCCACTGGGAAGTTTCCAGGCGCATCGATCCCTCGGGTATCGAGCCCTACTGAAGGATCAGGGGGATATTTTTCCTTGCGACCCGGTAGCACGAGCAGCACGAGCGGGTCAACAACACCAGGTGAAGAGCGACGATCGCCTAGACCCTCGGCCAAGTCCATGGTGCATTACCCCGCGGGCGTGAGATATCGTCGGAGGAGTATGTCAGGGCCGAATAGTGGGGTGAAATTGACCAAGGCGTCGTCGGGCACGGAGCGGGCGTTGTAATTGATTTATTATGGAACATACTCATCTGATGGTGTTGATTGCGTGAGATATTTCTGGATATGGTATTCTTTACCTCATCAATTTTGGGTGGATCTGACAGCGTTACGTTTACATCGTCGTAGCGATTTACCAATCATGACACAGATATTTTCAAATTCTCTATGCTTGCCATGTTCTCATCATATGTCTACTTCTACCGTTAAGGTATATACATTCCACGTAGTCCATGATCGACAGATACTATTTGAGACATCGCCCGATCTTTAAATCAAAACCATCAATGTTTACTTGCTCCACAAAGAACAAGTTTCACAAGCAAAATGAACAAAACCCGCTATTTGATGACCCAACGTAACGTAAACACCTCTTTAAACAGAAAAGAAGACTTTGGCCGAAAGAAAAGAGCTAGATTAGACTGCACAAAGAAACAGAGCTCTATGAGGCGCGATTAGCTCTCTCCTTCTGAGCCACCTCCTCCATCTCAGCCAAAACGATGCGGTTGAAGTCTTCCCATCCGTCTAGATAGATATGATGGCCGGACCTCTTGATAATGACCACCTTAGCTGAGCCATTGTCCGCTTCGCGTTCCTCCACTGTTGCGTTTTGCAAGATACGCTCCTTCTCTTGATCCAACTTAGCCTTTGCGGCTAGCCCGCCCTTCACGTCCATCCAATCGTGGTCACCGTACATGAAGATTATGGGGAGACCGTTCTCGCGCTTGGGTGTCGTTGAGGGGGTCTGAGAGGGGGCCGAGTTGGCCGAGGAAGATTCAAGAGTAGATTGGGATGTGGTAGCTACAGCTGCGGCTTTCGCAGACTCGAGGACAGCAGATGCGGGTGACGGATTTTGCTGGATGAATTGACGACCGACGCCCTCGATGCGTCGGATTAGCGGACTGCGGGCGAATGCGCCCGGGGCGAGAATGTACGATAGAGCATACTCGCCGCTGCCGCGCATGCTGAAGATCGAATACGAATAGTCATGCAGAGATTTGGCCTCCTCTGCCGGAAGATGGGAGAAACGCCGGGATGTCCACCCGGAGACCAGACGCGGACCGAGTGGTCCCGCCCATCGCACCAGGCTGAAGGGGGAGATGTTGGCATCCCAAAGATAGGCGAACCACTTGGGAACCATGCGCCGGGGCGGCCGATCTTGGGAAGCGCCACTATCTGTAGGGGAACCCTTTAGCAAAATATTGTTATCGCCTTTCTGAAGCTCAGTTGGGGGAACCGAAGATGCAGATTCGGCGATATTGCGCTGGTTCTGAGTGAGCTCATTCGCCATGGTCGACTCGTTTGGCGCAGGCATCTCTGCCCGCACAGCGTACGGGTCCTCTGGGATTCCGACGGGGGAAGCAAGGATAAGCTTGTTGAGTCGTCCCGGATATTTGAGAGCGTATGCCACGGCCATGTAGCCTCCCAAACTATGGCCAAGTAGTGTGAAACGGTCGATGTTGCGCTTGACACGCCACTCTTCCAGCGCATCCACGAACCAGGCTTCTGCTTCTTTGATGGCCTCCTCACGCTCCTTCGCTTTGATACGAAAGGGTGGTCGCGTACTGCGGCCCATGCCCAGGAGGTCCAGCGCATGGAGTTGCCACCCTTTCAGGCGACTAAGAGGCTCGAAATTCTTATAGAAGAACCCCAAACCAGCACCGTATCCATGAAGCATGACCAGATGTTGATCTGCTTCTTCACCAATCCGCTCGACAGAGAACTCGTTCAGAGCCCGATTCTTCCCGCTCAGCTCCACCATACTGGAGCGCCACATTCGGGGGCCGTATGGATCATTGGTAGAACTGGCTGATACCTCACCCTGTTGCGTTTGATCGGCGGACTGGAGACTGCCCGTCCCGCCAGAGACACTGCTCGTTTTACCGGTTTGTAGATGGGTTGGGGGTTGATGCTGGAGGTAAGGGAGGTGGGAAAGAACCCTGTGTTCGGCTGTGGCGGCGGGTAAAGACGCCCACTGGAAGAAAACCCAGTCTCAGTCACCCATGCGACACTTGACTTTGTTCCTCAGTAAAGAAACGTACCCATTGACTGAAGCCTTCCCTGTAGCCTAGGGGAAACCAGGCCAAGGGGGCAGGAGTTGCGCTGGCTCCGCGAGCTGCGTGTGGCGTACTCTCTCGGCGAGAAGCCACGGGTTCCTGGCTGCGGCCCCGAAATTCGCCGCTGGGCGAGTTGAACGACTCGGATGCCATCGTAGATGTAGACGACGAGCGTCTAGAATCCGTCGGTCGGGAAGAAGAGGAAATATATCGAGCGCTTTCGAACGAGGTCCAGGAACGTGAGACTGGGACCTGAAAAGAAAGCGAAGGGAGTCGCGCGGTCGACACCTTGTCGTTAGGAAAATCGGAGTGACAGAGGGAAGAGCCCTGTCACTCTCTCGGCTGCAACGGAAAAGAAGGGAGTATTTAAAAGACAGCGAAGGGGAAATAGATTAAATTCTCTCTTAGGGGGGCGCAGTGGAAAGAGTAAGAAACAGGTCAGTGGAACAAAATGAGAAACGGTTGAGGCAACGCCAAAGACCGTTAACCCCGATCCGAGATGGAGTTAAGCAACAGGCAACCAATGTTGATGACGCTGAAGGTGAGGACCAGAAAAACCTCAGAAAAGAATGTTCAGTTCCTAACCTGCACAATTGAAGACCCTGACTGTCAAAAACAGTATATACTTGGAAAAGAGAGGCAGAGGATTGAACGGGGGGGAGAGATGAAAGTTGAGAAAAGCTGAAAGTCCAGCGGAAGTGGAGCCTCAACCAAGTGTTGGCCGATGGAATGGATGACGATGCTTCACTCTTTCTTGTCTCTTCTTCTCCCTCTCCGTCTCCCTCTCTCTCCATGCCTCTCTATCTTCCTCAAAACCTCTTCTCTTTCCATGCGATGAGATAACGCCGGGCCGCAAAGGCCAAAATCTACCACTGTGTTTTTGAATTTCACCTGCGATTTGAACCTCCGAGGTTAATTCTTGCTCCCTCTATTCTTTTCCGTCCAGACGAACCCGATCTCCCTGCCTCGCCTTTCTTCTTCTCTGGCTTCCACTCCAAAGCTCACCATGGCTTCAGCAAGCCTAGACCAACTGGTTAAGGGATCTCCAGCACCCAACAGTCGCCTTGCATCTTCTGCGACATCCTCCTCCGAATCATTGGCGCCTGCATTTCACTCCCATCCTCCCTCTAGCGATCCCTCTTCCCCGCCACGGTCGTCAACCCCCGATCCACTGTCGACCCTCCCCTCTTCCCCACCCCAGATATACCTCAATCTCCTCATTCTCGAGAGCTCCCTGCGAGCTCAGTACCTCGCTCTTCGGGAACGCCGCCGACAAAATACGTTTTTCCTTCTCTTGCTTGCCGCCTGGATCGCCTACTTTGCCTACGCGCTCTTTCTCCGCCCGCGCGAAGATGGCCGCGGCGTCGGAGGATCGGTCTACTGGGTGGTCGAAATGGGAGAAAAGGTCGCCCTGATGGGCGGCGTGGTCACTGCGCTCCTGGTCTGGGGAACAGGGCAATGGGAACGTGGAGTTTCGTTGGCCGCGGCGCTGGCTCGCCGTAGCCAACCGCGGCCTCCGCACCATGAACACCAAGATCGTGGTCATCCGAGGTCCCTGGTGGCAGGAGCTTTTCTCCTACCTTTCTTTCCTATTTCCATTCTCTGCACCCTTTTTCCCGTCCCCCGTGGGCGATTTCCACTACGTCGAGCGCCCTGCGTCCGAGAGACGTGGTAGTCGGCAGCACTACCAGCAGTACTACAACCACGACGCGGAATCAGGTCTGGTACAGGAAGACCTCAGCCCCGGAGGTGACTACATTCGACTTCTTCTACTGCCGAAGTCATTCTCGCCCGAGTTCCGCGAGAACTGGGATGAATACCGCAGCGAATTTTGGGATAAGGAGAATGATCGTCGTGCTCAGCTGCGCCAGAAGCTGCGCCAAAGGGAGCGTCAGCTAGTCCAGCAGGATGGCGGCTGGTTCTGGTGGTTCGGGTTGAGTTGGAAGGCGTCGCAACGCCGACGAGTCGCTGCCGCAACGATCAGCCGACCCGGCGATGCTGACAAGGTCCAACATCGCTCCCATCACCACCACCATTCGTCCAGCATCTCAAAGCTCGCCCTTGAATCCAAATCGCCCTTGCGGCGCGGTGGACCACGCTCTGAATCCCACTCCCGCACGCCGTCACGCAGCACTACCCCCGTAGACACCGACGACCGACCCCCGTCCAGGTCGTCCGTCAGTGGCCGTCCCCGCCGCGGAAGCACAAGTCCAAGCACTGAACAACACATCCAGCAATCACGGAAGAAGAAGGCATCCAAAGCCGCCACTCGTGGTCTGTCTCCTTTGACGCAGGCCCAAATCCGAGAGGGCGTGCGCACTCCGTCCTTTTCGTCCGACGACTCTTCTTTCATGGGCACTCCTAGCGAAAAGGAGAAACCCAAGGACGAGAGTGTTGAATAGCGGTTCCACCATCTTTATTTCCCTTAAACCCATTCTGGTCTAATTTACCAACTTCTCCCCCATATGTCTATTGTCAATATTATACCCTTTGAAAGCACACCACGAAGACAAATACTATCTCATCTCGATGTACTTACCGCCGTCGTAGGGGGGGTGTCGAAATAAAGCTCTTCTCTTCTCTTCCATTTTTCCCGTTCCATGCATTGCCGATTTCTGCTTTATACATTTCGGTGTCTTTTTCCTCCTCTTCCCATCTCCAATTGATTTCTCTTTATAATACCCCATCATATTATAGCAGATTTATAGTGCATTTTACTCTAAATTTTCCGTTTTTGGCATCAGAGGGTATATGCGGTCGACTGAGTGGATGTTTCGCATCGCATCGCATCGCATGGTGGTTTCTTTTCCAACTTCCCCTCCTATTCGAAAAGAGATTAGATCAGAGTCCGATTAGTCCTTGTCCTGGATAGTATATACACATGCATATGGGGTCCTTTTCTTTCTTTTCTCTTTCGCTCTTTTGCTTTCTTCACCGTACATGCACTCAATTGTAATACAATCAGTGGTGGACAGGCTAGACTACTTAGTCTTGAGTAGGTAAACTCAAATCCCAACCAGTACCTGCGCCCCGGATGTAAGGGATATGCAAGATAAAGGGGCAACTAGTGAACAAAAGCAAGGTCTAGGGGAGGGGTCCAAAAAAAAGAAAGTATACTTTAGTGGCAATCCGTAGTCTAGACTATTCTCTGAGATAATTTTCTTGATAACGTAATCAACGGTCGGACGGGCCACACGGTCAGGCGGGCCATCTGGTAATACTATACAAAAGATATCTTTTTAAACATAATATATCTCTACCATCCAGGTCTAGAAGAATTAGATTTCTTCTATATAGATTTTAAATAATATAAATAATATCTATATACCTTCTAAAAATGAATATACTTTTACTTATGGACTTATCATATTACAATATCTGTATTTATATGTATTATATAAGAATCTGGTTTCATTATCAAAGTAAAAATTCTAAAAATCTGAAAAATTCATGGAATACTTATTCTTATATATATAAACTATCTACAAAGTTAGAGCTTCATAGAAGTAGTACTGGTTGATATATAATAGAATCAAAAAGACATCTTTTATATGGGATTTCAGGATGGCCCGCCTGACCGTGTGGCCCGTTCGACCGTTGATTACGTTAACCTTAGTCCCGGCTTATCATAACATATCAGGAAGCCTCTAGTGTCAGGGTCTAGATAGGAAGTTGTTCCGTAGACATTGATATGAGAAATGTATGATGGATGGCATTTCGATCAAAATAGAGATGCACATGGAGAAGGAAATAGACAATTAGAGACAAGTAATATAAACGTTGAGTATCCGAGACGCCGAACTATCCTTCAAAACAGGTTATATGTATTCAGGAAACATAGAGGCAAGTGTAAAGAAATCATGCGCATGAGTCAGCCGTCACGTAGGTATCCATCCCATTTCTCTAAGTCGTATAACGTGGTTAAATTGAGTTTTTGTTCTTTATGATTAGATTCTGTAGACGGTTTCGTCTTCCTCAAGGTACCTGTTTCGAAGAAGTCATTAGCACTTATGTCATGTTATGGATAGAAGGTTTCAGGTGCATACATTAGTTCGTTCCTCTCGTTCATAGCCCTCAGGGCCTGGATTGCTTCTCCGCGCTGGAAGACGTGTGACTCGCCCAGCGAAGGTGTGCTGCGCAGCGCAGTGTTCACAGCTCCAATGAGCGATTCGACGTCGGCGGTGTCACCGTGGGTGAATAGTCGTGTGCCCATCAGGGGACCCAGTGCTTGCCTGAAGACCGTCAAACGAGCGGGCTGGATCGGTTCAGATGACACAGTAGTGTTCTGTGACTGCGAGTTGTCGGTCTGCGACTCGACGAGCTGTGACGCGGGTCGAGATGAAGCCACAGACATACGGGACTGGCTTTGTGTTTGTGTCTGCGTGCGGGATGTTTGACTAGAGCGGAGGCGTTGACCGCGGGGACTAGCATTGTACAAGCCATCGCCATCCTCGGAGACCGCATCTCCATCTGCGTCCATTTCTGTGTCCTCGTTGGTGGTAGAACGTGCGTTGGCTCCACGGGATCGGAGACCGCCTCTCCTGGTTGATCGAGGAGTGGCGCTGGATGTTTGCGCAGGAGTGTTGTCGTCGTCATCGGAGTCAGAGTCGCTGCTCTCGGAGTCTTCGTCGAACGAAGCGACCTTTCTCCTTTTGCGGCGCTCGTCTTCAACAATTTCCTTGAACATGGCGAACCGGAGGATAGACTCCGCGATCTTGGCGTCGCGCTCCTCGACTCTGTTGGAGAGGCGTGACTTGGCGTGAGCCGTGGACAGACGGATCAAGGTTTCCAAGGTACGAGCAGTGATGGGCGATGTTCTGCGCTGGTTACCGGACAATTCGTCGTTTCTCAGAGCAGAATATGTTGCGACAATGTGGTCGGCGGCTCCCTTGGTCAGGACGGGCTTGACACGAGACTTGGCGTATTGGATGTATTTCTTAATGAAAGGAATGCTCAAAATCTCAATGTTCTTGCTCTTGGACCGGCTCATGTGGGCCATGCCGGCGTGAAGCATGACATTGAACTTCTCGTAGACATCTGTAGGCTGGTTCGAGTCCTGCGTATCCTCGAGGCCGACACCAAGCGTTTGGTGAAGCTGTTCGCGGACAGGAGCACCCTCCTCAGTGCCGGGCTGGCGGTAGCGGTGCATACGGAGGACGTGCTCTGACACCATTCTGTCTCTTGAATCCTCAATGTCATCGGTCACAACGAAGAGCAAATCGAAACGCGACAACAGAGAATCAGGAAGGGCAATGTTCTTGTGGGGGTCTTTGTGGGGGTCGTATTGTCCGTAGATCGGATTGGCAGCGGCCAGGACACTGCATCGGGCGTTCAAACTCGTGTGAATACCGGCCTTCGCAATGGTGACAGTTTGCTGCTCCATGACTTCGTGGATAGCCACACGATCGACATCGCTCATCTTGTCAAACTCATCAATACAGACCACACCGCGATCACCCAGAACCATGGCACCAGCTTCAAGTCTCCGCTCGCCAGTTTCCTTGTCAGACGTGACGGCAGCCGTAAGACCGACACCGGAAGATCCTCGACCTGTCGTGGCAATTGCAAGCGGGGCGGTGTTCAAGACGAAACGAAGCAGTTGAGACTTGGCGGTCGAAGGGTCACCGACCATGAGAATGTTGATATCACCACGCAAGTGTGTGCCGTTGTCCAGGTTCTTCTCCATACCACCGAGCAGCATGAGCAGGATGGCCTTCTTGATGTAATCATGTCCGTAGATACTGGGCGCGAGGGAGTGCGACAAGAGTTCGAAAACGCCCTTCTTCTTGGAGACCTTATTGATGTTGCGGATGTCGGTGTCGGTAATGGTGGCCTGTGCGATTCCTCCACCAGATTTTGAAGACAATTGGATAATGTTATTCGCAAGGACAAGCGTGCGGAATGTGGCAGACGTAGACGAAGCGTTTCTGTTACCCAGAGAGCGGTACACTCCGACAAGCTGGATTCTGTCACCTGGCTTAGCGCGATCAACCAGATCATCGTCAACAATCACATCCACACTCCGAGGCAGCTGGCCAGCCGGGGCTCTCTCGGGCATTTCTTGGATCGAGATAGTCTGATGGTCCATATACGTGGAGAAACCGTATTCTGTGACAAGCTAATATGACGAAGACTATTAGCCTCAAGATATCGGCACTGCACCAATCGAACATACCGGGTTCTTCTCCTCGTCTTCCTGGGGATAAATGCTCATGCTCGTTGCACCACTGGCGGTCATCGTCGCATCCATGTACTTCCTCGTAAGGAACTTCTGACCGCGCTCGCTCCAATGCACACTCTGAATAATCTTAGGTCGGACCAAGGAGCACTTCGTGACGATACCCTCGAGGGAGATCATTCGATTCAGGTGGGAGGAACCGAGCGTCCTAGGGTTGCAGGAATATTCTCCGAATGCGCCGACAAAGCCGCAATGGTAGTTCTAGGCACTGTTAGAAGCCGAACGAGCAACGTGGATGTATCAAGTATTCCCATACCACATCGTCTCCCGTCTCCCTCGATGGCCTATTCGGCAAAGTCTTGATGATCTCTTTAAGGGCCTTTTCAAAGGCATCGGAGTATTCATATGGCGATGTGAGAAGGCTGTAAGCGATTAGCCAGGGCGTCTGTATGAGTGTGCGTATGTTTCCTACCCATCGGCCATTTCACGGTTATGCGCACGGATCTCATCAATGCTAACCTGCGCAACGTATAGGCATTAGCTTCGGGAACGTATATGCTGTATATATGTCTGAGGCCTTATGCATACTATCAATCGACGCAACCCCCGATTCAACATCAACAAGATATCAGCCCGATAACTAGTAGCAAGTTAGTGTCTGTCATGGTGTCGTCTCCCAAGGTCGTTGAGAATGGGTTGGTGAGCAACGGACCTGCGCGCTCTCGCATCACCTAGATTAGAATCAAGTTAGCCTATGTGATCCATTGGAACCAGTCTGTCAGAGCTTACTTGGGTCGAGAAACTCGACGGCGGCACGCACTCGATCTTGTGCGGCGTCGTCAAACTGTCCCTCCATGGCGGCGGACTTTCCCACGGACTGCTAGTAAGAAAAATAGAGGGGGTATCTGGTGATAATTGGCAATGAGGCGTGAAAACAAAATGCAGCTAGAAAGGTGGGGTCCGGTGGGAGAAAAGCAAGCGCGGAGAAATGTCGAGGTGATTTTTGATGCTCGTTGATGGGGAAGAAAGGGTGGGTTGCCGGGAGGATCTTTCAGGTTGCCATACGCGACAGCTCAATCGGGTAATATTGGAGCGCGTCCGCCAGAAGGACGCGTGCGACCGTGTCACTGTATATATGAGTCAGCGGTGCATAACCCTACATAGAATACCTGCATTACTACGACTTTATGCTCTGACAACTCATAACAACAGCAGTGATGCCATCTTCTTCTTATCTTTCTCACTTTACTTTTGAATTGCTCGCATCTGTCAACATGCTTAAATCTCTCAAGTTTAATTCACAGCGCTACAATCGTAAAGTACTCCCAAAGGAACCGCAGCTTCTGAATGGTTATAGCCCAAATTCAACGCCATAATCTGTCCCACAGCGACCCCATAGTAAGTAGCAAAGTCTTGCAGGGTACCATAGCCCAAGGTAAATTGAGTCATAGTACAGGCAGTATTGTCGCAGATAGGGATCTTCACCGTCTCACCCGTCTGAAGGACATCATAGGGGCCAGGGTTCAGAGCGGCAATATACCCAGTTTGAGCGGTCTGGTTGATGACAGACTCGACCGTGATGTTGAATCGTTCGTTGGCGATCTTCTGAATGGTGTCTCCAGGCATGATCGTATATACGTGGGGACCACTATCGATACAAGTGTTGGTGGCCTCGGTATTGTTGGTGCTGAAGCAGCTCAGGTCATCTGGGAAGGTCGGTTGAGCAGGAATGCGAAGCACCTCGCCAGCATAGATGAAGTTGGGATCAGCGAGGATATTCAGCCGGGCGAGATCACAGGTTCCCACGCCGTATTTGGCGGCAATGGCTGATAGGGTGTCGTTCTCTTGAACAGTGTAGGTCTCGTTCAAAGCGGTGATATCTAGGTTTATCACTGTTCCGGCGGTTGGGAGGGCTGTAGGTAGTGCGAAGAGTTAGCGTAGCTAGGTTGGCTGAGGTAAAAATGAAAATAAAAGGACAACAAACCATCATAGGTGGATGCTGGAAGAGCGACAGCCACTGCTGACAGGCTGAGAAGAGTAGCAGCGAGCATGGTTTTGAACTTCAGCTCTCCAAACTTGTTCTCAAAGGAAATGATCTGACATTCAGATCAAAATCTGTCTGGTGCGGTACAAGCCCTATTTATATAGGCCAAAGAAGCACTTCGAAGTCAAAGGATCTCAACCCGCCCACTTGGCGCAACCAAGCTACCGCCAGGCCAAAGACATCACTATCCAGAATTGGTGCCCATGACCGACTCGAGAAAGCCATGCCCCCGATTCCTTGGTCATTGGGCGCCTCCCTCGCCTTTTCTTACTCGGACCAGCATAGCTTCAACACTAAGTGCCAGCGGACTGAAGCTATAACATGGAGATTTTGAGGGATGCCGTACCCTTCCACATGCCCCAGAGCATGAATGCCATGCGGGGACTTCCCCACAATGACCTGGGCACGTATCGGACAAATGGAATTAGTACGGCCTCATCCGAAGCATGGGTGAGTGTGGCCTAGTGCAAATGTCAAAGCACTAACCGCTAGACCAAAACCGATAAACCGCTCTTGGCTAGCCAGGCGACGGAGAGATATCTGTCCCAACAGTAAATAGTGTAGAGGTATTAGTATCTGTGCGGCTGGACGCTTCGGAGGTCGGGGGCGACTGTAACTTCCGACCTCCGTCGGCTTTGGGACAAGACCTGCCCTTGGTTGGGCTTGGCCAGGTGAGATTTTTTCATGAAACTCAGACTGTCCGATGTCACACATGCGAGCAATATCCATGAACTTCGTCATGGTGGCTTCATGAGTAAGCCAGTAGTCGTAACTCTAAAGAAAGGTTTGTTTTACATTCTGATATTGAAGGAGAGAAGTGATAACGAGATTAGATCCCATAACAGCTGTAATAATACAGAGTGAACTGAAATGATTTTGGATGGATAATACGGAATCCTCCTATCCTCATTTCATGATAAGTGGGTTTAGGTCTTCGAAATCACGAATGTGTGTACATACCATCCTTGGCCACCTCGTCTTATGTTTTGTCTAGTAGACAGGCGTAAGGTAGGCGCTCAACTTCCAGAGCATGGCCTGGATAGAGGTTGCGTTCTGTTCGCAGACCATAGTGTTGTTGTCAGTCCAGTATGGGCGCGACGGCCAAGTGCAAAGCTCCTGGACTTCGCCCTTGTGCTCCCCAGAAGTAACAGTGGCATTGATTCTGACAGGTACTACGTCTTCCTCTACCCACTTGATCATGTGGGCGAAATTGTCCCGAGGGAAACCAGCATTGGGTTGCTCATCGTTGGTTGCGCAGTGGGCTGCACCAGGGACGAGATAGAAACGGTACCAGTCGTTGAGTTTCTCATTGCCCTCAGCAAAAGAGAGGTCAGGATACATGATCTCGCGAACCGATTCGTGGTAGTGAATGGATCCGGTCGGGGGAACACTGCTATCGGCCTCTCCATGGTAATGAAGCAGACGGCCTCCCTTGGAATGGAAGGGGGTCAGGTCAGGAAGAGTGGTTTGAAGAGAGTCCATGTATTTGGTCATTCCTTCGATCATCCATGCCTTCAGGTCATCATTGGTGACTCCCCACATGTCCAAATCCGTGACGTTCTGCCAATTTAGGAATTTGGTAATCCATTCTCCGTTGGAGTTGGGAGATGTGATCGTCCAGGAATCCGTGGTGCTGTCGTAGACAGTAGTGTCGCCAAAGCCGGCAGTAGGCTGGAAAGGGAAATACACGAGGTCACCGTTTGAGTCTTTCTGTTGGGTTTGGAATCATGTCAGCGAAGTTTGGAGGCAGAGAAACTGTGGGTGTCGGGGAAATATTCATACCAGTCCAGTTAGAAGGTCTTGAATCACCTCAATATCTTTGGCATTAATGGTTCCATTTTGCGCAGGGGTGGCTGAAGTTGTTTGCCTCTTGCTCCGCTTCCCATATCCCAAGCCAAGGCTAGTGGTCGACCCAGCCTCGCAGTAGTACGACTTGCCCAGCATTGAGGATACATTGAAATTCTGGAAACAGAGATCGCTACGAGCAACCACTCCATCAATCTTGCCGTCCATGCCATCACAGGCATTGATCGTTGCGTTGATCACTGTATCAAACACGCAAGAAGGCGGATAATAGCCGATAGTCTGGATCTGGATGGGAGGAGCGATGTGATTCACCTGCTGCTGGCCGTAGCGCATAGCAGGGGCACCAGCAACGATGCCATCGTACAATTCGGGGGCACGTTGGGCTTGGCTCATTCCCTCACGTCCACCTTCAGAGCAACCGATGTAATAGGTGTACAACTTGGTAACGTTATTTCCGACGTTGAAGAAGTTGTTGGTAAAGGCCTTTCCAATCTGGGTCATTTCGGCAATGGCCTGGTATCCCCAGTTGTATATGGCAGGCCAGTTGGCAGTTCCATTGCCGAGAATGACAACATCATCGAAGTCAGTGCCACCCCAGTAAGGGAATCCACCGTCGGTGTAGCCAGTGGCAGCCCCAAAGGCGACCCCTCCGGCGATATCACCTCCTCCTGAGCCGTTGTTGATCTCATACGCGGAACCACCTGTAGCGAGGAATCTGTTCTGGAAAAGGTCTGGGCTCGGCATCCAATATTGGACGACTACGCGGTCATCTCCGTTCTGGTGGCTGTAGGCAAAAGATACTTCACAGAAGTTGATGGTCAAATCCTCCCAGAAAATGGAATCGGTGAGGGAATAGTTGCGGTAGATACTAGCAGATACAGAGCTAGTGTCGATGGTGATTCCAGAAGGAATGTCATCGCTGGCAGTAGGCAGAACCGACGTGACATAGTCGGTTGTACACACACTGTTCAGCGATGCCGCAGATGCGACACCGACAAGAGTGGCAGCAGCCAGGCTGTACATTGCGAATGAAGAGAAAGGACGGGCCATTGAGCCCAGAAGAAGCAATTAGAGATAGGACAAAAGGAATTAAAAGATTGTTATTGTAAAAATATACCAGAGAGAACTGGGCCTTCAGGACATTATTATACCATTGGGATCATAGCAAGGTAATGGTTCATTTAGTTCAGTAGACCCCTTACTCTCTAGTGTAACTAGGGCACTTACGTATGTCTCTATATACTAACCTCTCTGCGTGAAACACTGGACGCCGATCATTGAGTAGCCCATCCCCCATAGGAGCTTGATGAGCAGTAGTTATAGTATTCATCTCGAATGCCATTGTTGAGCCTAGGCAAACTTCTGACAGCATAAGCCTTGCTGACTCTCAAAGATACCTCCTAAACCGAGGCCATCTAGATCAATGACTTACCTGAAGACCATACTTGTCTCTAATTGTATGTTGTATGTATGATCTCAGCTGCTCGATGGTTAGTCTCTCTCTTAATATAGTAGTGATATATGAATGATGAAGATAGACTTCATGATCTGCGCGAGACCCCGAGGACCCTATCCTACCATAGAGTTTGAATGCGAGACCCCGAGGAGTTTAAACACTTGATTACCTGTGAGTGGCTAATAAAGTCTCCAAGAGTCGACATCTTCGGAGATGTCTCTTATTTTCGGACTAAACACATCGGCCTTCGGCCATTGCCAGTCGGAGATTCGGGTTCAGTTTCCTCAAATGGGCTGGCTTTTCTATCATCAGGCAGAAGACCCTTCCCGAGGCCGAGCGGCAATTGAGCTTTTTGAGACGTAATTAGAGTAGCCATAGGGCACTGGTAAGGTTATAGGGTGAAGAAGTTTAGATCCTGTTAGTCTTATCTGTCATGGAGGGGCCCTGTTAGCTAGTTTGTAGATATGGTAACAACAGACACAAACTTGAATCCCTCGTGGCGGGAAAGAAGGCCAAACTACCAAACAAGTCGGAATTGATACCAAAAGGAAGTGGATTGCAGGATTTCCCCTCCCTCAATGTCCATAAATACACGCATAAAGCGGGGACAACATATCCCCTTCCAGTACTAACATTCATGAGAACAACAGTAGCATCCTGATAGAAATAACCACCTACTAATAAAGTTCATCTTCCACACTAGCGGTTAGATCGCAATCGCTATGGTTATAAGCGACATCGGTCAGGATGAACCCCTCGACGATTCACAGATCGACGAGGAATGTTTGTGCGGATTGATCTACTTTGCCAGGAATCAGACGTGCTGTTGAGGCACCAGTACTCCCGACACCATCGAATGATGACCAAGCATATCCAGCTTTCTTTTTCGCTTCAACCATACACCCAGCAGTCTCAACCACTCCTCCCCCTGGATGCACGTTGAAGACAACACCCACTTAACCCTACAATGTCTCAGCCTATCCCTCTCACCACTCAAGGCCTTCCTCAAAGAAGTCCGTACCTATCCTCGCAAGGTCTCCGAATCCACCATCTCAATCTACCGCACGCAATCCACACCTCGAGATATCCACTGGATGCCCGTCGCCACTCGCCTACCCCGGGACATCTCCACCATCATCCTGAACGAGAACAAGAAACAGAAGATTCTCCAGGATATAACCGAGTACCTACACCCTCAGGGCAGACAGCGGTGGCGATCCAGGCGATCAGGAGAAGCAGAAGATAGAAGACGAGAAGGAGAAACTGCAGGAGCTTGCGGACGGGTTTTCATCGTATTTGCCTAAGGATTGATTCAGTATTGCTGATGTCCAGGGGTTCCTGTTGCAGTATAAACGGGAGCCTGAGAAGGCATGTGAGAATGTTGCTGGTTGGGTTGAGGAGGATTTGGGCGTCGATGATGAACAAACTACTAATACTGAGGAGGACCGTGACAAATAGAAGAGGGGATGGGGCCTGCTCAATGCTCAAGAGGAAAATCAAACCACTTATCACCATCAAGTAGTTGCTTGTAACTGAGCATAGCAGGGCTCGGCTCTATGAAGGACTTTCAGGAGAAAAAGTAGGATATTCTCTATAGACAAACATGGTCGCGCACAATTTCGTCTTACGACTTCGTTTTTCAGTATATTAATAATATAACAAGGATGACTGCCTCGCAACACACCAGTACAGCATTGGCATCAATCTAACTTGAACTCCTCAGTATCCGGACTTTGTACCCCTCCCTCCCCTCTACCTGACCCTACTCTAACCTTAGCAATCCACAGCATGTACCGGGTACACGCTCGGTTCAGCGCTCAGCCGCAAATGCCCACGCCAGGTGCCCCCATGGCTGAACTCGCAGCAACCCACAGTGGTACCGCTGTTGTGCAGAGTAGTCACACATTTCTCCACTGCGGCCAGAATCGTCTTTTTCTCTGCGGTCGTATCGCAGTTCGACCCCGTTGTCGTCGCCTTGTACGCATATCCCAGCACCTTCTCCCCGCTGACATCTGTACCATAGGTCAAGGTGCACGAGTCCGCGTCCGACTTCGACTTGATGAGACCCGCCAAAAACTCCCAGATTTCAAGCCCAGCCTTGACTGTGAAGATTACGTGGGAGGCAACTTTCGCTGTAGTCACGACTTTCTGAATCGTAATGCCCGTTCTTTTCTCCAAGTCCGTCGTGTCAGATGTGACATTCGCCCATTGCCAGGCGTAGTCGGCGTTGATGACCTTCAACTTCACTGTCATATTGCCAGCGCCATCATCCCAGTCTGCAACGATTGGTGTGGTGATCACATCATATGCTGTTTCATTGTCTCCAGCAAGACATGGATCAATAAACCCGCATGCGAGAACGCCACACAGGACCTTGCTGAGCTTGACCATTCTCCGTCGGTGTAGCGATGATATAAAGCACAGAGATCAATGATAAGGAGACAAGCAAGCTGCAGGAGGTTCATGCACACTAAAGAGAATTGCTCAGTCAAAACAGATTCAGTGGGCTTATGGAACAAGTTGGACGCTTCCGTACCTTGGGATGAGTGCTGGAAATAACAGGTCAAGGAGAAAGAAAAAGTGAGTGATGAGCTGATGTAGAAAGCAGGAGGACTCATTGGATTGGGTGCTTTATATACCTTTGCAACCTGGAGGACACAAACCTTGCCAATACTCGCTTGAAAGTTTCCAATCTCCAGAGGTGTATATCAAAGGCTCTTGAGGTATTTGGTTCACGCTAGCGAGTCAAAGGATCAGCTCGCTAGCTTGATTTGTATAGCAGATTCCGACGAGATCAATCCTGTCGCCTTTACCAGCGAGAATAGATAAGAGGAGGGAGCACTCTCCACCACCATAGGAAGGGCCATATCAATCGGTTTTGCTGCGTGTGTCCGCCATGCCACTCACGTTAGCTATGTCAGTTCGCATTAGATTAATCGTCATATTGCATTTAGTGATGTTATTGTAGAATGTACAACTTGTAATGGTCAAAAGGCCGAAAAGTTGAAGTTTCGCCTGACCTGTGCAGAAAACTGAAGCGATACAAAGTCCCACTTCAGGGAGCCGACGGTTCGGAAGGCACGGCCCTCGTTACCGATGCGGAAAGAGCTCATATCTTCCTTCTGCCTAATGATACAGTGTCTAGTCCCAAACCATGATCATAGCCGGTGAACATGTGCTGGGTTGATTCTGGTGACGCGGCCTTATGAGGCTAGAAAACTTAAGCTTCTAGTTTGGATGGATAGACGGAGAAATTCCGGGATATTCGACAGCCTCATGGCTACTAGCAGTAGGGCAGAGTTAGTCCCTAGGGTCAAAATGGAATAGTTCAATTTGTATAAGCAGTCCTTCGTGAGTCCCTGCTTTTTCGCCCCCACTGACTAGTTGCTCGCATGATTGAGGTAATACGTAACACGTGAAAGTAAGTCTGTCCAGGTTATCGAGTGGATAACATTGCAGTTTCTTTTGATCCCATCGTTAGCGCTGACGAGAAGCCGTAGTACTTACGAAGGTTTTGCTGTTACCTGATGTGGGTTACAATCGAGTCAACTCCCTAGAATAACGCAGTAGAAGATAGGGGGGTGTCAATGGTGAGTATTTGGAAGCTAGAAATGGTGGTGATTTGGATATTAGGATCAAAGCAGGATTAATGGGAAAGCGACCAAGCTGTCACAGAAATCTTCATCCATAGTGTACAATTCCAATAATGATCAGATGCTATGCTTTGACTATACTACTATACATTCACAAATCTCTTTATACATATATACATACTCGCCCAACTTGAACATCCCACCCCGTTTGGGGTACATCCTAGAAATACACTTTCAACTCAACGAGTCTCACCCTCGCCTTGAGGGATTTGCCCTTCGTCTTGAGGGTCATATATGTCCTGTTCGGCGGCATCAGGAGTATCTTCTCCTTCTTCTGCCTCCTCTGCTATCCAGTCTTCTTCCTCTTCTTCTTTTTCTTCTTCTTCTTCCATCTCCAGGTCCTCCTCCAGATCGTCGAACTCATCTTCATCATCTTCCACAAGACTTTCATCGTCCATCAATTCCTCTTTCGTTCCGAGTTCCTTGCCTCTTTCCTCAAGCAGCGTCTCGGCCTCCATGTCGTATTCGTCGGGGTAGTCGAGGGTCTTTCTGAACGGCGAGGGTGCAACATCGGAATCTTGCTCATCATCGTCCAGCTCAGAGATACCAACGTTGAGCGGAGGCTCATCAATTGGATTCGAAGAGGCGTCCTTTGATTCGACTCGAACATTGCTGCTGTCTTGCTCCGCCTTATCACCAGTCGGCTCAACCCGCGACTTAGACCTAGTCAGGCCGCCAACGCCAAGAATACCGCCTGTCCATACATAGCGATCGCGTCCAAGTTCATCAACCATCTCGCCTTTCTCCTGCCGACGCCGGAGGAGCACACCTTGGAACTTCTCACGGAGGTAAGGCAGTCTAGCAACGGCTGCGATTGTCTTCGGCGCCGCATCGTAGATAGCTTGAAGGTCCGTGCCTCCCTCGTGGATGCTTCGTTCGCGAAGTCGCCTCAATGCAGCAGCCAGATATACCATGGACACGTACGTGGGCTGCATGAAGTCCGGCTGGATTTTGCTCCAGTAGCGCCGGCCCAGTTTGCCCAGTACATTAGGCGGCTTTGCACGTTTGGGATTCTCCATCGCATCAATGGTTGAAGGCACACCCGGCGGTCGTGCCCCATATCCTCGACGAAGATTATCCCACCCAGGGAAGTTGGGCATGAACTTATGTTCAAAGACAGTGAAAGCTTCAATCTGATCGGACAATCTGTCGGAGGATGCAAGCATCTGCACAAATGTGGACCAATTGAAGGTTGTCATGGAGAAGCCTGCCTCCACATACTTTGCTATAACCTCGGAGATCTTCGAAACTTCGTTTCCATAAGCCAAAGAACGCAGATACAGTGAGAGCGGGCGAGATAGCATGAAGCGGTACGCCGGTAGGATCGGGTCTTTCTTTGTCGTAGCTGGCTCGCTTGACGTAGCCTGGGAGGAATCGGGATTCACCACGAGTTCGGCATGAGATGGTAAGGGCGGTGTAACTGGGTTAAGTTGACGGCTAAGCCACTCATCAATATCAGGGGAAGTGGGACTGGCTATCTTCAAAGCGCGGGTGAAAGCCAAGTTCCAGCATTCTTCCACCTGGTGGTACTGTTCAGCCTTCAAATGTGCGAGCATCAAGGCAGACAGCAAACGAAGAGGGGCGATATCATGGTAATTTTCTTCGTCGGAGTCTTTAGGTGCATGACTTGCGGTATAGTCATCGAAAAGCCTCCGAGCCGACAGATAAGCCCCCTTCATACCATAGGCAGAGATCATATATTCGTAGTAAACAGCAGGGAATCCCTTCCTGGCAGACATTCTACCAGAACCCAGCAAGGGGTACTTTGTCGCCAATTTGGTAGAGTGGTAATCCGCAAGAGTCTCTGCGAGGAACTTCTCAGAGTTTTCGAGACGAATATTTGCGTGGTTGCCGACCTGACCACCCTGTGCCAAAAGTTGTAAATCTCGCTGGATCTGACTCTTGAGCACGAGGAGCCTCGAGCCAAGTCCCGGCTGGTTGAATCTGTCTTTAATTTCGCGGAAGATGATGTGCACCATATCCCGATTGCGATCCTTCAGATAGCCATACAGGATGACTGCGTAGTGGAATTCAGTAGCGTAAACGCGGCGGCCTCTGTGGAGTGCCCTGAGGATGCGACGGGCAGAATCCGTCTGGCCTATAAGCACAAGACTGAGCATGAGAGCAGAATAAGTCATATCATCGGGCTCCAATCCTGCGGCATCCATCCGCGAGCGTATCCTTGAGATAGCTTCCAGGTCCATCCGGAAAGCATAATTCCAGAGTAGGATATTCCACATTCTTACGCGAGAACCCTTGACGTCGAGGCCGAGGCAAGTCTCCGCAACGTGCTCAGCCATCTCCCACTCGGAGTTGTTGCAATAAGCCTCCACAACTGTATCAATCATGGGGGCGGTTATCTGCACGTTATGTTGTTGGGCCAGGCTGAGCAAATCGCGGACATGAGTGACATCGCCCCGGTTAGCACAAAGACCCATCATTATACCGAAAGTGTGCGAGCTGGGCTCAACACCCTCCTCAATCATTTTCTTGAACATGGCGAAGGTCCCTGAAAGATCTCCTGCTTTGGAATAAGCCGTAAGCAGGATGTTCCAACATATAATATTTGGTTGAAGGTTGAACTCTTCTGAAATTCTTCGGAATTGACGCGTAGTCTTTTCAACATCGCCGATTCTGGCGTAAACATAGAGAAGCGGAGCCACGAGTTTGCGGCTTCGCGGCTTCCCGTGGTCCGAAAGAAACCTCTCGAATACATGCTGGACGTTATCCACATCACCGGCTCTCGAAAAAACAATAAGCGCCTGCCTGTAGACGTCCTCTGTCGGTTTGCGATGGAATTGGGAAATCTCATCGAGGAAGTATAAGATACCAGTTGTGATCTCGAACGAAGCAAGACGCTTCAACAGCTTAGCCAGAAGCTTTCGGGGTGGAGTTTCTTCTTCCATCTGCCAACGGAAATTCCGATATACCACGATAGATCGAACAAACGTCGATCGGTGCTCTGATTCTTGGAGGATGTTGATAAGATCAAAATAATTCCGGGAAGTGACCATGTCCAAATGATTGAACTTTTGCAGTAGTGCTAGTAGGGTCTCCGTCGCAGTAGCTTCGGCAAATTCCGTGCTAGAAAATACATTGTTGAGTATGAAGCGAGTAGCATGACGTACTGGACTGTGGAGACTCTGATCTTGTAAATAATCAGCAAGTGCAAACAAAGGCTTATGCACGGAAGACAACTGTAGCCAAGGCGCGACAGCGTGCCATAGTGAGTTGTCGCCCAACGGCCTCGATCTCCAAATATCTTGCACATAATCCCATCGTTCAGAGTTCACAAATTGTGCAAAACAGTATGCCCAGCATGAGACGCCGCGGCCACAGGAGACTGCTTCGCGACATATCCCAATTACATCCGAAAAATTTCCCGTGGCAATACAAGACTTGGTCATGTGCAAATAATCCTCAGAAGTTCGGGACTCGGTAGGCAGAGAGTTGAGGAGTCGTCTGGCCCTTCTGCTATCAACGTCACGCTCAGAGCTGCCAATTCCCGCCAGCAATGCAGAAGTCAGGTCAAGAGGGTGACCAGCCTTCGAAAAAAGGCTCCATAATTTATCGGAATCTTCGATCTCCTCCTTATCCAATAACGCTCGAAGTTCATTCTTGGCAATGGCGCGGTCTTCATCGGCAATTATTTCAGCAGAGTCGTCGAGCATGTGAGCCTCAGCGTCCACCCTGCGGTCTAGGCTAACAGCCTCTGACGAGTAATTTCTGGAAAGGCCAGGGACGGCCTTCCTTTTCCGTCGCGGGACAAGCCTTCTCGGCGAACGTATCAAGCATGTCGCTATAAACTCCTGTGTGCGGGGGGGATAGAGAAAGTCGAGAACGGGGGCCCGCGGGTCCGTGGCTGTCCTTCCGGTTGTCGAGGTGGCGGTTGAAGTATTCGACGCGGATCTTTGCGTTGCCTGTAGGAAAACCAAAAGCTCCGCCCCTGCGCTACTGAATTGCCCAAGAGTTGAATATATCGAACCCCGACCTCGAACAGCGCCGTTGGGATCCCGGAAGAAACGCCGTCCCGCGTTCTCAAGACATCCGGCAGCCCGTTCCAGCATTACCTCGAGAAATTGCGGTGCCAAACCCTGAATTTCACCGAAACTTGACTGCGATGCATAACATATCGGGATCAAAGCTGGATTCGATGCCAATTGAGGTCAGTGGGCTGAGCATGCAGGAATGTGCAGGGTGCTAAGGGAGTCAGGCCATACCACGCAAAGCAATCTTGTGCACGAAGCTCACAGCCTGCCGTTAGATGGCTGCTCCTCCTGGTAAGAATCAAGAGAAGATCCTGCTTGAGAGGAAACAAAACCGACGGCTCCAAGCAAGAAGGCCAGGGGGTGGTTGATGGCCGGGAGGTTGACGTGGGATAATTTTCGAGATGGCCGAGCAGCAAGCTTTCCCGATGCTGGAAAAGAGAATCCCGCGAAATCAGCCGGGGATTTGTTTGGCCGAGACTTGACCACCTCAGCCCGCACTCGTTCGGGTGGGAACACCACCATCGCCCCGAGCTCCCACCCCAGTCGTCGAATATTGCTGGCACGATGGAGATCACCGACTTCATTTTCTCCCAGAGGGAGGAGAGTCTCTTGACGGGAAACTACAACGCTTATCGAGCACACACGACTCGCAAGTTGCACAGCGCCCGCCTGCGACTTGGACAGACCACCCCCAAACGCAGCAAGTACATTGCCAAACGACCTGTGACGGCGGAAGATGTGAACAGCAATGTGGAGTATGTCTCTGAAGTCATCTTTGACGTATTCCTTTAAACACTCATACGGCTGGGTCAGCTATGGAAATTGTACTAACACTCCGGATTTCTTAGATACGTCCACACCCTACTCATCAGCGCCGAACGGGCATGGGCGAACGCAATGCACATGAAGACCACTCACTCGGCAGACCCATCGGCCAAGGGGGTTAGCGGTACGACTAGGGGGCACATTATTTCGAAACTACGGAAGGCAGTTACATTTGCGAAGCAATTGGTGCACGTTCTCGAGGATCAAGAAACTTCTGGTGCTGCAGACACTGATGTCCTCGAAGCTCGTGCATATCTGGCGTCCCTCTTGGGAGCATACTTCTTGGAGAAGCGCAATTGGGAGCAGTGTCTCCAAAACTACTCCGTGTCAAGAGTGATCTATGCAGCTCTGGGTCAGCAAGTCAAGAAGGACGCCTTCCGAGACCTTCTTTCCGGCACTGTCGACCCCAGTATAAGATACGCAGCATATCAGTTGAAGCTCCCGCGGTCAAAGCCCATCCCGTCTTTGGCTCTTAGTTATTTCCCATCGGACGCGACCATCAGGTCCGAAGTTGAGAAGTTGGACCCCAACTGTCTGAAGGAGGATGCAGCGGGCACTCGGAGGACCGCTGACGGGGAGGTGCAGCAACTCCCTGGAAGCGTCACATGGAGATCGCATACAGTTGGCTTGGAAGATGCCGCAATCTCACAGGCTCTTGCGTCCGCAGCGGCAGCTGAGTCTCGTCTCACTACGTGGCTTGCGGAAGGTGAGGGCAAAAACGCCTCCTCGAAAGATAAAGCCGCTGCCTACGATAATGTTATCATCGCCAGTCAAGATGCCGTCGATGCTACAAAGACTGCGATCGATGACCTTGCCGGAGAGGGAGTTGACCCGAGTGATAAGAGAATGCAGGCTCTGCAAATAACGCGGACTGCTGTTAACTATGATCTGGTTGGGTGGAGAATCGGACGGAACCGTGTCCTTTGCGGAGACAACGACGGCGTTTCATTCGAATCTGTCTCAACCAAGTTACCCAAGAGTGCCAAGGCTACTGCCAAACAGGACGATGCTACGGGTAAGAAGCTGGCACGGCTGCGCGAAAGAGTCGTCCTGTATGATTCTACCCTTCAAAGTATCGAGTTCATTCTTGAGCTTCCCGGAGTTGCCGCGGATACGGCGTTTGTTCGCGAATTAGATGCAAAGCGGCGGTACTTCCGTGCTTTAAGGTACGGCAGCGCAGCCCTTCCATACCGATAACCTGCTAACTGGAGTCTTTCTTAGATGTCTGACCATTGGACGGTCGCACGGAATCCTGGGCAAGTCTACCAATGCCCTCGCCCTATTTGCGCAGGCTTTGGCCCTTGTCACAGAGACCGCACGGTCGCCGCAATCCTTGACTGAAACGGAAGGACCACCGAGGCTGGATATTTCCCGTAGTCAGGTCCAGACTCTGGAGCTGACCTTGAAGGGCCTGGTTGCGCAATACCGCGGTTTGGTGACTTTGGAGAAGATGTCCGCTGAAGCACAGTCAAAATCTGTAACTCAGCGACCCGCAGTCGAACGTCTACACGATTTTGCCGGTGATGCTCTGGATTTGACCAACATTGTTCCTTACCCCCCTCAGATGCAGCCGATTCCAGTGAAGCCTTTGTTCCTGGACGTGGCTTGGAACTACATCGAGTACCCTCGTCAAAGCACGCCTGCTGCAGACAACAGTCAGGCTCAACCGGAACCACAGCCGGAAGAGAAGAAGGGTGGACGACGCGGCTGGTTCGGCTTTGGTCGGTAGCCTGCTAGTGATTCAGGCTGTGGAAGGGTTTAATTTCTCCACCTGCTTCATTTCCATGACATAGTGTGTAATATGCTGTTGCATGTCAGCACCTACCAGGTGTATCTAGCGTACATAGTAAATCTGATGATGACGATACTGCGACCAATAACTCGCTTACAGCAGAGTGAATCTTAACAACGTATTCCATGTGATCTATTGCTGCCTTTATACAAATTGTGTTGGTTTTAATCTCAAAATGATAGATTGAGAGTATATAGTTGTGCCTTTGTTGCAGCACTCTGTGCGGCGCACTGAAGGACACTTTTTTTTTCTGCCACCGCCTAAAGTTACAGTTTTCTCCGTTGACCTTTTCAGGACTGTATGTTCTTAAATCCGCTTAAATCCGGACTTTTTTCAGCGAGGTTCGCTAGGTTCTGCCGCCTAAAGCGGTCTAAAAGGCGGTAAATTGTGAGGCACAATCGTTCATAGGGCACATCGCTTGTAGTAAATTAGATGTCGGGAGAGAATAGTTCCCCATACTACTGCTATCTATCTTGTACATTGAAACAGCCAAGATCTCCTTCTATTCTCTACACTGTACTGATAGGCGGAGAACCATCCGGGCGTCTCCGACTACATCCACTCGTTCTATCAACTGTCAAAGATGCTCAGTTCCCCGTGGAAACCGCACGGGCCAATTCTCCGGATAAGCCGAGCCACATCCACTCGGAAGTTTGACAGCCGGATCACCTTTCTCAAGTCCAGCAAATGGTACGATGGCAATTTGTATTGCTTGGCCACTGGTAACCTGCGTCGTCATACAATTCCAATGGCCCGTTAGTGGTCGGCTCCTCCGGGCATTCATTTTATTGAACCGAAGGTGTGGAAAGATGATTGATGTGGCGTATGAAATATTAATAATCTGTGGTTTGCAGATTACCTCGCTACGGTTCATGCAGTCTAGATGAACAAGGTTTGTTGTGAGCTTCATGGGACGGATACGATGATGCAGCTTGTCTTTGTCTATGTAGTATTCCATGGAGAATGGATTCTCGAATGCGGTACTGTAATTAGTATTAATATTGGATCTTTGGGATACAGATGGCTTTGGATGAATCACCACTGGTAGATATATATTCGAAGCGAGCACTATGACTTGGAAAATCTCAACAGGCACGTGCTTCACAAAACATGGTCAGGAAACTGTGGAGATGACCACCTCACAGCCTAGACCACATTATAATAAAGTGTTTTATATTGACAATCAATCTAAGAAATGACGGAACATCGAACACACGATATCCAAAGGGTTCGTAATACAATTGCCATTCATTCAATATGGATTTGAACCGTTCTGACTATTGAGCGGGAATGTCACCCGCTTTCCCTTTACGAGATCGGTACCTGGTGCTAGTGATTCAAGCTAGCCACAATCCGCCTAGTGACTGCTCAAAGGAGCAAGCGCTGCCTGACAATTGGCTGCAGCGCATGTGGGATGTTGCCAAACGAGCCATTCTCGTCAGAATCGGGACACGGATGTACAGCGTGGAAATACGCGCGGGATACGAGCGATCATCCAGGGGCAGCTCGACTTTCTCTCCACATCAGCCATCCTCCCGTGCAGATTTGATTCCTTCGAGCAAGGGTTTGCTTAAGATTCCCACGTAAGCCCACAAACTGCAGGGTGTCAGTCACCAAAAATTATTCTCATTCGACCAGCTCTCTCTAATCCTAGTAATATACTAGATTCCCTATTATTGACTACATTATACTCCTGTTTCCTGCAGAATCAATTCTGCTCCGTGGAACCTCAAGACTTTTTAATCATAATATTCTGCCGATCCTGCACATCGGGGGCTTCCTGCGGCGCCGTACTGCCAGACTCCGGCGTTCCGGCCAATCCAGAGCGAGTTTGCCTGCCCTCGCCAATAATTCTGCCCCGAAATTAGAGTTGCGTCTCCCCTGGATTCGCTTTCCTCTTCTTTTCCCTCCGCCGCCGCCGCTCTCCTCCTCCTCCTCCCTCCGTCTTCTCCTTCCCTACCCCGTTGGAGACCGTTATACCGAACCCAATTGATCAATTGATCATCCGACATGGCCTCTGTCAACGGGAGCTTCGTCTCCCCCTCGGCTGATGCCGTCGTCTCCCCCAGGCTCTTTGAGCCCACCGGTCTGGTCGCCTCTGTCCTCGAGGGCTTCACCGTTTGGAAGGCCTTGTTGACTCTGTTCGTTGCCGCTGTCATCTACGACCAATGTACGTCTTCTCTCCAAGCCAATGCCCCGAGAATCGGGCAAAATCGCGACTCAATTTTAACCATTTATATAGTCCGTTATCTCTGGCTCAAGGGCTCCATTGTCGGCCCAGCATGGAAGTTGCCTTTCATGGGACCTTTCCTTCAGTCGGTGAACCCCAAGTTCCACGAATACAAGGCCAAATGGGACAGTGGTGAATTGAGCTGTGTCTCCGTCTTCCACAAGTAAGTAATGCTTTTGCGACATGTTCCGGGTGTGCGCGGAGGCGCATGACTCGAAGAGGCCAGATTTTAACTTATCTGCTTATAGGTTCGTTGTTATCGCATCCACTCGCGACATGTCGCGCAAGATCTTCAACTCGCCCACCTACGTTAAGCCTTGTGTTGTGGACGTTGCGCACAAGCTTCTTGGTGCCGACAACTGGGTCTTCTTGGACGGCAAAGACCACGTTGAATTCCGCAAGGGTCTCAACGGTCTTTTCACTCGCCAGGCTCTTTCCTTCTACCTCCCTCGCATGGAAGAGGTTTACAACGAGTACTACGCCCGTTTCTTGCGCATCTCGAAGGAGAACAACTTCAAGCCCACTCCCTGGATGCCCGAATTCCGTGAGCTCATGTGCGCCGTGTCCTGCCGTACTTTCGTCGGCCACTACATCACCGAAGAAGCTATCCAGAAGATCGCCGATGACTACTACATGATCACTGCTGCCCTGGAACTCGTTAACTTCCCCTTTATCTTGCCTTACACCAAGGCCTGGTATGGCAAGAAGGCTGCCGACATGGTTCTGGCAGAGTTCTCCAACTGTGCTGCCAAAAGTAAGGCTCGCATGGCCGCGGGTGGAGAAATCTCCTGTATCATGGACGCGTGGGTCAAGGCTCAGCAGGATTCCGCCAAGTACCGTGAGAAGATCGCTCAGGGTATTGCCGTCGAGGCCAGTGACAAGCCCGCCCAGGTCCTGCGTGACTTCACCGATTACGAAATCGCTCAGACCGTCTTCACCTTCCTGTTCGCCTCCCAGGATGCCACTAGTGCTGCCTCTACCTGGCTGTTCCAGCTCATGGCCGACCGCCCCGATGTTCTTGACAAGGTCCGCGAGGAGAACCTGAGCGTTCGCAACGGCGATATCAAGGCCCCTCTGACCATGGAGCTGCTTGACCAGCTGCCCTACACTCGTGCTGTCGTCAAGGAGACTCTGCGCTACCGCCCTCCCGTCATCATGGTTCCCTACCTGGTCAAGAAGGACTTCCCCATTACCGAGAACGTCACCGTGTCCAAGGGCTCCATGATTATCCCCTCGGTGTGGCCCGCCTGCCACGATGAGGAGGCTTACCCCAACGCCGACTCTTTCGACCCTGACCGCTGGATTACTGGTACCGCCGAACAGCAGACCAAGAACTGGCTTGTCTTCGGTACCGGACCCCACTACTGTCTTGGCCAGACCTACGCCCAGCTGAACCTGATGGCCATGATTGGCAAGGCCAGTATGGAGATGGACTGGGAGCACACTCCCACTCCCGAGTCGGAAGACATCAAGGTCTTTGCTACGATTTTCCCTCAGGTATGTTTTCCTTGCGCTATATCGATTCGAGTTGAAAGCTAACAAAGCCCAGGATGATTGCCTGCTTGCATTCCGTCCCCGCCCTTAAGCGTTCCTGCCGTCTTCGCTAAAGACGTCAGGCGCTGCAACGTCAGTTATGCCGGATTCTCCTGCCTTGCTGAAAAATAGCAAGCGCCTGCTTCGTGACTACGGGCACCCTCTTCTGTCCTGGTGATAGAATGGCTGCAGGCATTTCTTCTTTGCCTTTCTGAAATGTAACTACTTGTAGTATTGTTTTTCCTTTTTCTCCAATACTTTCTGAACCTTTGGGATGGGGAGTTGCGGACGGTCGACCCCTTGAGGTATGGCCACTGGCCTCTGTCTGTTGGAGGTATCGACACCGCGGACAGAGTGTCTGGAGTAACATGATATTGAAACGATCCAACTGCGGTCGTCCGCTCCCGCGATGAGCGACGCATTGAAGGACATGTCATTTTTAGACCACGCTACCTAGAATTAATAATAATAATGTGACACCCGAGCTGCTAGCCAGGGAATAGAATACCATCACTAGCCCTATGTGAAAGTTGTAGTTGAATAGGCTTATTCCCATACAAACTTCAATAACCCGTGTCTGGATTCACATCTAGCCCTCGCTATCACTACTACAACCCTTCACTAAACTACAGCCATCATGTTATATAAAGCCCATCCCTTCCCGCTTCCTCCCAGACTTTCCTACTTCCAACAAGCTACTACATAAGCTCCCACACTCGAGATAAGAAATATATACAATACTATATACCCAACAAGAAAAATGCGGCATCTCTCCAAGCATATACTATTCCTCAATCGGCTATGTTCACCGGAAATCCACTGCCGATAGCAATATATCCATCCAAACCCTACATCAAGCCAAGATGCTTTCTCACTTACTACACCCGTTATCTATAAAACACCGAATATCTCCAACAAACTTATATACAATACACCATATACCAAATAGCAAACCAACCGGCATGCTATCGCTGCCGTCTGCGTCCTAGTGCCTCAGAACGAGACGAACACAAAGAAGGCAGGTTGGGCTCCCCTAGTGACCACTCACACTTACGGCATATACGGAATAAACCTACATATTCTGCTCCCACCCGCCATCTGCATCCACTAAGCCACTACCCTGCCAAATATGATGGCATCTAGGCGCGGGAGCATATCTACCAGCAAGTAGCTTCTACGCTAGGTGGATGTGGAAGCATATGTGGTTTCTGTTTCAGGACCATACTGTTCAGAGATGGTTGTAATGGAACAAACCATGGACACGACATGTTTTTAGAAACTGGTTGGGTGGCTGTTGAGGATGAGGAACAATAACATTGTATATGGGGACATATCTCTCCGTCTACTCTGCACGTAGACGCGATTTATTGTTCTTGGTCTACTGGTTAGCACGTTGACACTGCATGTGGAGAACGAGACGGTGGACGATGAGGATGAGGACCGGAGCATTCATTGAAGTCGTCGCTTCGCCGACGATATATCATATATACGCACTGCCTTGCAAGAGAGCAAGAGAGTGAGGGAAAGAGTCTTAGATGCTCTTCCTATTTCTGTCTCTTCCTTCCCTCTCATACGGTGATTGCTCCAATGTGAATGCAGCGAGACAGAACAGCGCGGTCGATATGTCAGACGTATCTATGCTGAAATATTACATCATAATGGAATGGAAGGGCACATCTTTGCGGCTCTTATATCTGGGATGCTGTTATATGCCATGGAAAAGGCAGCCAACGTCTATGGACTATATGACGCCTGTTCAGCAGATCCGAGCTTTAATGCCGGACCGCATATACTGCCCTTCCAGATCTGTTCTTGGAAAGTACACCATCACGGACTTCACGCTAAACCCTATTTTGGTAACGGTAGATCGGCTTGGAGACTCTGCTCTTTTTCTCTCGATCTACAAGGGCAGTCCAATACCTGTATCTTGCGTTCCTCCATACAGTCGGCCTTCCTGTCCTTGGGTTCACCATACTATGTCGGATGCAAAGACCGCTACAGAGGCTCAAGCATCCGCGTTGGAGCAGAAACGGACTTCGAATTAGCATTCGAGTTAAGGTCCGGTAATCGAGATATTTTGGCTTCCAAAATTGTTACAGGCCACACCCCTCCGAACGAAACCGTATTGGCATTCCCAATTAGAATGCCAGCTATTTCTGGATCACTACCGTCACCTTTCATCTCGAATCCTGCCATATAATCCATGCTAGGTGTAACAAGGTATCACAGACAGAACATGGTGGAGGCCTATGGTAATCTACATAGTCGCATCATATCTGACTGCGCGGTTTCTTGCTTTCATGATCAGGTGGTGGTTATTTGTTCGAGTCCGTTGAGTACGGACCCATATATCTGAAGCAACTGAATATCCTGTTAGAAATGATAAGGTAGTATGTAAAATGAAGCCTGTTTAGCTTTAAACTTATGCTAATAACTTATATATTCAGTCCCCTGACCTATATCTTACTGGACAGATCTAGCTAGCATTGTTCAAGATAAGATTTCTTTTCTCCAGGTCACTTCCTAGAGACGCTCGGACACGCAACCAGTCATACTGTGGGAACATATAATGGACTTCTCGAAGTTCAGGTTACTAGAGATCGTGAAACTGGGAAGCTAATCACCACCTGTGAGCATAGAGTTCTTGGCTCTAGCCAGGGAACACTCTTTACTTCCAAGATTGACTTAGGAGCCTTATTATATGATCGCGTGGGAGAAACACACGGTATGTATTTTGCAGGTTCTGAACAGAAAAATCAGACATTCTTCATATATATTGGAAAGAGAATGGTTCTTGGGCTTAAAGAGATTCTGTGGCTATACCAGGCCCTGCGGAAATTGCTGTAATACTCTTATCTTACAATTTATAAAAGCCTGTATTCCTTCCTGGATCCTGTATTCTTGCCATTGTTCTAATTTCAAGCAATCTGCAGACTTAGCATTCGAAATAATCGGGTCATGGTAGTTGTAGAAATAGAACATATCTAGATAGTCCCGAAGGCGGTCAACACTGCAACTGACATCACCCGAAGCCGGACTTCCATCCGTCGGATATCGGCTGTCACTCTAGCATATCAGCTCGACAACTTTCTGGACTTGCCTCGATCTCCAACCCAGACATATCAAGTCATCTTTCTCTGGGGTAAGTACTCCTCTACTCACGAGCCACTGTACAATTTAGACAATAGACACCATATAATCTCAAACCAGACACTAACTTCCGCAGAACTCCACCAACTACCTGCCCCATTCGCGCAACAGCACCAGCACCAGCACCAGCAACAACCTCACCTCCAACCCAGTGGACGAAAACCAACAACAATGGCCTCTCTCCTCCCCCTCCGCCGGGCACCCACGTCCCTCCTCTCCTCCACCTCCAAACAATCTACCCTCCTCGTCCGCTCCCTCCGAGCCAGCACCACCATCCCCTCCACCCGGACCTTCACAACAAGATCCTCCACCCTCCTCCCCAACACCATCACCAAGAGAACCACCATTACCCCCATTTCTCGCCCTCATCACCACCTCCTGATCTCCTCCACTTCCATCCGCCAAAAAAGCACCAAGGACAACGATGCCCCCACCTTCCGCCAATGGGGCTTTGAAGACGTACGTCCCTACCTACCTACTACCATAACCCCCCACCCAACTAACCAAAGAATAGATAAACGCTTCCCTCCCCAACAGCCCGACTGAAAAGCCCATCATTTTAATCGACGTGCGCGAGCCCGCCGAGCTCTCCTCCACCGGCATCATCCCCTCGGCTGTGAGCGTGCCGCTCGCCTCTCAACCGGACGCACTCTTCCTGACTCCGGAGGAATTCGAGACGAGGTTCGGGTTCCCCAAGCCTGGTGTGAAGGGGGATGAGGAGGGTGCCGAGATTGTGTTTTATTGTAAGGCGGGGGTGAGGGCGCGCGCCGCGGCGCAGTTGGCGGAGCAGGCGGGGTATGAGGCAAGTAGGCTGGGGGTTTATGATGGGAGTTGGTTGGATTGGGCGAAGAAGGGGGGTAGGGTGGAGAGGTGGGAGGGGAATGATAATTAATCTTGTCTTCTACTAGGTATGGATGGTAGTAGGTACTGATTGTGTGGGTAGATGATGGTTGTATGTGTGCCGGGTTGGGCTTGTATATATTGTATGTTGCCATAGTACTACTAGTATCATCACATCAAATGGGTTCGTTTCGAAAGTGAACAATCATCACTAAGTACTACTAGTAGTGGTCGGTATAAGGTATAGTTAGCTTCTACTATGCTCTGCAAATTCGAACAAACAATCAATTCAACTAGAGATCCATGATTATCATTAACAGAAAAACAAAAACCTAGGTATCGACCACGCTTTACTTTTCCAACCACCTCTTCTCTTCTCTTCTCTCTCTCTTTCCCCCCTTTCATGTCATGTACAGGCATCTTGCTTTTGATTGAAAGTCGTAGTCATTTCTCATGCAATGCTCTTTTACTTTTTCTTCATCAAATCCTGAGAATGCACCCACATAAAGCAGCACTTGTCTCATCATCGCGGCAATGGAACTTGAGATCGCTATACAATACCACGATAATGGCATGCTGAAACCCGCTACCAAGCGCCATGACCCCGCCACGCTGTACTCAAGTGAGTGCCCAGAGCTGGTGATCCAAGGGCCATGCATGGGGCTGGGCTCGGTATCCGGGCTACAGAGGGAACTGGTAAGGCGATCATGGGATGTCAAAGACAGGCTTGAGCTTCTTGACGAGACCCCACTCCTCCATCGAGACATCGGAGCGGTAGAACTCCTTGAGGGTGTCGATACTGGCACGGGAGATGTGCGAGTACAGGGTGTCCTTGTCTTCGAGCTGACGGCCGTACATGGGCTGGTTGCTTCCCTCGATCTTGACGGCCACGGAGGGTTGACCCCTCTTGCAGACCTGGATGGGCTTGTGATCACGTTCGATAGAGACACTATATGCATGATTAGAATATGTAAAGTAGGGATAATAACGGGGGAAAACTTACACTCTGCCAAGGTCGATGATTTCCTTAGCGCCAGTCTCCGGGTTGGCCTTGACTGCCGCAACAGGAGTGTGCAGACGCAGACTTCCTTCCGCAACATCAACACCGATGACGATGGGGTCCTTCTTGTTGAACACAGCCACGGTCTTGAGTACGCAGGGGAAGACAGCAAGCATCTTGCTCTCTTCCTTGCGGCGCTCCGTCAGCTCAGCCATGTGCTTGGTGAAGTCATCGAACAGGTGGTAGATGATGTCGGCAGTGAAAATCTTGACACCGACTTCATCGGCATAGGCAGCTGCTTCCTTGTCCACCTTGACATCGAAACACAGCATAACGGCGTACTCCTTGGCCTTCTCCAACATGGTACCGGCCATCATGACATCACGCTTGTACACAGGACCGATAGAAATGTTGGCGACGGGAATCTTGGAGACACGAAGGAACTCGAGCAGAGCCTCCAGAGATCCGAGAGTGGAGGCCTGCACGCTGACACCACGCTGGTCCCTAGAGACCTTGCTAAGCAGGTTCTCCAGATCGGACATGACCTCTTCCTCAATGTCCTCCTCGTCGTCATCAGGTCCGACAACCATCAAACGAGAACCGGCAATGGCCTGCTCAAGGTCGTTGGCGGCAATCTTAACACCAAGGGCAGCCTTGACCTCCTTGTTGTGCACGTACTGCGACTTAAGACGCAGTTCCTTGAGAGGAGCCGGTGTCAACAACGCTCGAATATTCGTAGATATAGGACCGTTTAGACCGCACAAAACGATTCGATCACCCTCGCGGAGGATACCGTTCGACAGGACTACGTCAATGGTAGTACCGAGACCCTCAATGACCTTCACCTCAAGCACAGTACACTCAACCTCGGACAGGTACATCAGGGAGTTGGTCATACGCTCCTGGGTAAGAGTGGTCAACAGCTTGAGCATGTCAGGGATACCTTCACCAGTGTGGGCGGAGGTGGGCACGAGAGAAACGTTGCGGGCCATGGACTTGTTCTCGTAGAACAGCTCCGAGTTAAAACCCTGTTCGGCGAACAAGAGCTTAGTGCGCTCCAAACGGGTGCGGAATTCGTTCTGAACGCCCTTGTTCTGCAAGGCCAAACTCTCTTGGAAGCCGTTGTTGTCGATCTTCTTCCAGCCGTACAGACGATCAATCTTGTTGAGGGCGACGATGAAAGGAGTGCGGCGATCACGGAGCAGCCTCATGGACTCAAGAGTCTGGGGCTCAAGACCGTGCATGATATCGACAACCAGGATGGCGATGTTACAAAGGGAGGAACCTCTCGAACGCAAGTTGGAGAAGGACTCGTGACCAGGGGTATCGATGATGAGCAGACCAGGGATCTTGAACTCAAACTGGCCGTCTTTGTTCACCACGGCAGTCTTCTGACGCAGAGCATCAACAGGGAAGTAAGTGGCACCGATCTGCTGCGTAATACCACCAGCTTCACCTTCCTGGACGTTTGTCTGACGAATCTTATCCAGCAACTTGGTCTTACCAGTATCGACGTGACCCAGAATACAGCAGATAGGAGAACGGAGGTTGTCCTTGGAGCGCGCGGCCATAGCCTCCTCGTGCTGCTTCTTTCTCCGCTCGGCGGCCTCGGCCTTGCGCTGAGCAATAGCCTTCTGTGCCGCGGACTGCTCCTCGTCCTCAGAGTCCTCGTCAGAGGTCTCATCGGAATCATCCTCACTCTCGTCTTCCTCATCCTCCTTGGAGGCAGGCTTCTCGGCAGCCTTGCCATTGGTGGCGGGCTTCTCCTCTTCCTCGTCGCTAGGAGCATCCCAGCTGTCCTTCACTTCCTCGGCATCAGCAGCCTTCTCCCAGTCATCGAGCTCGCTCTCTTCTCCGCCAGCGGCAGCAGCAGCCTCAGCCTCGGCCTTGGCCTTCTTCTCTTCCTCCTCCTTTCTTCTGCGTTCCTCTTCAGCTTCACGCTGGGCCTTGGCGCGGGCAGCAGCAGCCTCCAGGTCATCCTCCTGCTTCTTGGGTCCACGCTTCTTCCGGTTCTCGTAAACAGGGCGCTTCTTCTCGGCCTGGCCCTCTTCCAGACCAGCAACCTTACCAACACCAGCCGCAAGCATCTGCTGCATGCGCCGCTCATTGCGCTCCTTGGCTTCCCTCTGGGCCTTGGTGAGCAGCTTACCCTCCTTACGAAGCTGCTCCTTCTTCTCCTTCTCCTTCTCCTTCTTCCTTTGGCGGGCCTCTTCCCGCTTCTTCTCCTCTTCCTCTTCAATACGACGTCTCTCCTCCTCAGCGGCTTGCGCCTCGGCTAACAGGCGCTCCTCCTCTTCACGCTGCTGGCGGAGAGCCTCCTGTTGCTTCTGGATAGCAAGCAGGTGTGCAGGGATCTTCTTCTTCTTGCCGCCGGTTTCCGGAACGGGGGCAGCAGCGGGGGCGGGGGCCGCCTCTGCCTTCTTCTCAGGCTCGGCTTTAGCGGGCTGAGCCTTCTCAGCGGGGGCAGCGGTCTTCTTCTTGGCAGCCTAGATGATAAGGTGGACCCATCAGTTCGACACGATCATGAAACGATAGAAAAGCTGCAAAAGCGCAAGAAACATACCTGCTCCCTCTTACGCTGCTTCTCACGCTCCTTCTTCTCCCTCTCCTTCTCCTTCTTGGACTTCACACGGAAGCCACCCTCCTCCTCCTCAGCGGGCTTGGGCTCAGGCGCAGCAGCAGCCTTCTTAGGCTTAGCCTTTCCGGCGAACACATCGTCTTCATCGAAGGTACCCTCCTCAGGCTGCTTGCTAGCGAAATCGGCATCGCCGTTGGCCTCCTGAGTGGCATCCTCACCCTCAACGAAGTCATTGACCGGCTTTCCCTTCTTCGCCTTCTTGTTCTTGTTCTTCCTCAAAGCGGCGAGCAAACCGCCACCGCCCATGCCAGCATCCTCGTCGGCAGGAGCACCTTCTTCAGCAGCGGGAGCTTCGGCCTCGCCACCGGCAGCAGGGGCAGACTCTCCGAGCTCAGCTTCCCAGTCCTCCTCTTGCCTCTTATTTCCCTTCTTCTTGGGCGCCATATTGATAGGTTGAGGATTCGGTCGACCTCGTTTTTATTCCTTTAGATGGATATGTGGATGGATATTACCCTATGTGGATTAAAAATGAACCGTTAGTTAAGTGAATAGAAAGGTACTATGTGACCGAGCGATGTTGGCAGCCAATGTGGATGAATGGTGGTGGTGCGCACTAACAATGAGGTATCAGCTTTCTCCGGCCCGCGCGATCTGCGGAAGGCAAAGAGTGGCAAAAGATGAGCCCGAAAAGAAAAAACCTTCCAAAAGGGATCGTGAAGAATGGGAAGAAAAAGAAAGAGCGAAAAACAAGCAACCGTTTTCCCCCCTGGTGGTCGATAAGATCCAAAGGTTGGAGACTCGATGAGGCGGGAAGGACGAGTTGCCTTTGGGGTAATAAGAATTTTGGGCCGGGCGTTTGGTGGGGACAATCGCCGGATTATTATGCGAGAGGCCGCCGGTGGCCCGCGCTCTTATTGTTCACGGCGGGCACACAATAATCACCTTCATAGTATTAACCTGCTGGCTGCATTCAATTTGCGTCAAATATTTTGCATCTATGTACACGGTACAATTCTATATATATAGCTTGGTGTCAAATATTATCCTTCACAACCGAAATTGGTAGATACCCTTAGACATCCACCGGGAGGATCCGCTGCAGCCATCTCATAACGCTCGCAACCGCATCGCTTGTTTCCCCCAGTGCGTGTCTAGTCAATTCCGCAAAGTGCTCGGGGACTCCCTGCTCCGGACGGATTCCTGGAGCTGCCGGACCACCGAGCGTCTCCTTACTTAGCATCTGCATTAGATAGCCAGGCCCGCGTATGAGCAAGCGGCTGAGAACGTCACCGTCAATATGCATTTGAGATGGCTGAGGGTCCATCAGCCCGACCGGGTTGCGCTGTCTTCTCCTCTTGGGAATAAATGGGCAGATCATGGGATCGCGGATGCATAAGTCCTGCAGCAAGCGTAGAAGGCGCCACTCCTTCTCACCAATAGTCAAGAAACGATAGACTGTGCCATTCATCGCAGTACCATAGAATACTTGAGAGGTAGTGGAAAGAGGTGACTTATCAGAGCCGGAGCTCAGCCTCATCACTGATGAGGGAAGGTGTGCTTCGCACAGAGCTGTGGGTAGCATCTTGTTGGTCTCTGTCACACCATTCTCCGTCAAAAGGCTCACGCGCCCACCTCTGCTGGAGCAGAGGACAAGGTTCAACTTCCCACCAATATAAACATGGGCGAGACCATCATGCTTTTGACGATCATAAGCATGGAGTGTTAACTTGTCTTCTGTGGCCTTGAGCACCATGAGTGATTCTCTCGACGTGGTCATGTAGAGGTACGGCTCCCTGGCAGTTATGAGGACCGCCGGAGACAGGACAGAGTATCTAGCCGCTCGGACCCATCGTGTCTGCGAGAATTTTGGTTCAAGTGGCACGATTTCATGGCCAGTGGAAACCATCAAGGTGAACGCACCGTATGGCGCAATTGCGAAAACCGGCCCCTCAAACTTGTGGATATATTTCACAGAGCATTCGATCCGCGACGGTTTCGACGGATCGCGGTATGCCTGTAAGAATATGACTCGGCCGCGCTCTTGCTGATGTTTGCGAGAAGTGCCGATGACAATAAAGTGATATTCCTCGTCCCCTTTTCTGGGCGTCCACTCCAGTATGCAGCTGATCTTCTCTCCTGCTGCACCTTGAGGTCTCCACGGCCGGGGATCGTCTTCCAAAGGATTTTCGAGGGAGTCGATGAGCGAGTTCTGCATGTCAGGGTCGATAAACTCGATGAAGGGCCGCGTGTAGCGCTTGATGGGGTCTGCGTCTGTGTCGTATTCTGTCTGGGAATAAACCACTATCAAGCTCTTGAGATATCGCGAATAAGCTAATCTGCTAGCGCTACCGGGCAAGTCGATCCTCCTTGGAACAGTCTTCGTCCCTTGCTCCAAGGTACATATCATGAGCTGTCCATCGGCGACGCAGAAAAGCGTGTTGGAAAATCCATCCATGTCTTGACTCCCGGAGCTCGAGATGGAAAAGCTATGAATGCTTTTTGGGTGATATGCAGGCTGAAGGATGTTAGTGTTTGTGATCAAAATGATGGGCTTATGTCACTCACATTATTCTGGTCAGTGACCCATATCCTCTGAAGTGAGTAATCGGCCAGTCTGCCGGTGCAAGATGCCTGCCAGAACCCTTGTCCACAAGTCAATAAGGCGAACTCTCCCTTGCCCTGTACTTTTACCGATGTGTGCCCTAGGTGCTGCGGCGCTACCTGGGTTAATGCTGCATATCAGGCCAATTAGCATAGGAATTAATGGGTTGAACTTGTGTTAGAACAAATCTCACCAATGGGGGAGTCAATACTCTCCCTGTCCAGTAATAGCCCGAATGGAACCAGGATACCGCTTCGCAAACCGCATAGAACAGTGCACATTTTCAGTGATTCTTCACCGGCATTTTTGATGATAGCAATACTGTCAATGGCTCTCGATATGTCGTTCTCATTCTCGACGTTGACAGTGGCTTCCAGTAAGAAAGAGATGCTTTCTGATAGGCGATACACCAAGATCCTTCCGTTGCTCGTGCCTACAAACAGAAACAGAGACGAGTCAAGATTTTCCATGATCATACAAATCGGCTCATGTTGAATCAACGAGGGCGTAGCGACATCAAGCAACTGGTGCTGACCATCTGATGTGAGTTTCTTGAAGTGAAGGCGTACTTCATCTTGCGTCCTAACAACAGCGGCGATGAGTGAGGCCGGTCCATCAACAGCAGCCACCACAATAGTCTGGCCAGGACCGACTTCAGAGCGATAGCCCGGCATCTCTGGGGTTGCGCCAACGCATACTGTCCTGTCTGTCACCTGTATGATAGCCCCCGATACAGTGCATCCTGCTGCCAGGGTCTGTGTGCTAGAGTCGAGCCCAGATTCTGCCTCATCAATGGCGCAAAGTTCTTCTCCAAAATCAGCAGGCAAGTACAACAGAAGTGAGGACATAGGGTCAGATGTTAGAACAAAAACGCCCCCAGTCGATCCGTCTGGCATGGTCCATATATCTCTGGTTCCAGACAGCTCCTCCAGCGCAACAATGAGCCCGATTTGTGCTTCAACGCCGTGCCGCAGCTCAACTACTGCACCTCGAGAGAATGATGAAGCAGAGCAGACAAAAAGGCGATCGCTTGCAATATCCGAAGGTGTCGTATCCTCACTCTTCACAACAACGGAGTCGGTGACAGGGGTCCAATTCATAAATTTCTGGACACACCGCGGATGGTCACGAGCCTTCTGGACAAATAGCCCGCCATCACCTGTGGTGCCCGCTGCAAGGAGCAGGTCACCACCTTCGTAGCCGATGTCCAGAATGTCAAATGCTGCATCAACATCACAGCACAGTTGGCCCAAATGTGCCTGATTCTCGAGCTCACCGTCAGTGCCAATTCCTAAGTAGGTTATTTCACCGTCCTCGCGACAGAGGTAAATGTCATCATGCTTCTGATTGTACAACCAGTTGCGCAACGGCCTTGCCCATCTGGTCCAGAGCGGTGACTTCTGAGATTCTTTTTCATAGACAGGGAGCGGGTATCTGCTAGGGAGTCTTTGAGGGTCAAGCTTATTTTGGTATACCGTTATCGATGTTGTCGTGACGAGCATGAATGAAGAGGTCTTAGTCAATGGAATCAACATTGTGGGAAGCCTATCCTCCAGCGGCAATACTTTTTTGGTCACCCGTGGGGTAGCCTGGCGTAAAGACTCGTTGGCATCCCACTCGTAACAAACAGCCTGTGTCAACTGATCCTGAGCAACCAATAGTAGTAAAGTAATCTTGTCACCGTCTTCAGACTTTGGATACAGGAATTCCATGGCAATGATATCGCCTTCAACGCGGAAGAAGCGCTCCTACAAAGGATCACACAGGTTAGCTGCAATTCAGTATCTAGGATCATCCAAAACTATACCTCTGCTATAGGGTCTAGTCTATTTTGGGTCATCTGTGCTTGGATGACCGGCGGTCTCTTCAGGACGAAGATCCCAAAATAGTCACTTGAAGCACTAACAGCTACCGCACGAGACCTGCAAAATCTCTCAGCCTATGATCATCATAAACAGGTTCATGAAGCGGCATACCTTGGTTCCACAGCAATATTCCGGCCGAATCGTTCAAAAGCACTGACATCATTTGGCAGCGGCCGACGATGGTAGACAAAATGGCCACTCGCGTTCGAAAAATATAGAAATACTAGCTCTTTCGAAGCAAGGCTAAGAACCAATATTTGTGGAGGAAGGTCCTGGCGCAAGTCCGAGTTCGCGCGCAGTGTCGAATTGCTCGCCCCAAGCTTCATCTCCTCTTCCCAAGGCAATTCGGTGCTGACATTAACGACCTTTGCTGCCATGATACATGAGTCGAAGTCACTTTTGGTAGTGACCTCCTCCAAGTGAACCCCCGATACCGCTTCTTTGATTTGCAAATGCCGCTCACCCACGAAGACGACATCATTTTGGTCTTTGCTTCTGAGGTGCGCGGGGAGGATCCACTGGATGATAGGACTCGATACTAGAGTATGTGACAATAGCCCAATTTTTGCCTGGGATGCAGAATATATGTTCTCTGTCTCGATGTCCATAGAATCTCCGGTCGCCGAAGTAGTTACGGCTAATCCTGCACCGCTTCCTGATGTAGCCATGGTAGCTACTATTATTGACTGTGGGGAAAGCAGGGCCCGTAGAATCAGAGGGAAAATATCTCTTGCCAAACGAAAGAATGAGAGGAGGACACGAAATGGAAAGAAAGAAAGACGCGAAGATGAAAAAGGAAATCAAAACGAGAGGATATGACAGCCGACCAACGGTGTCCACAGCTGCTTTTCGAGGGATCCCGACTCCTTATTCTGTGGAGCTGAAAATTCAGGGAAGAATGGAAGGGGTGGTCTCTCAGAACTATGGTTTGAGAATTTTCATGCTTAGGATGATATGAGAAAGCAATTTCATGTCAGGAAAGTGCTGAGACACCAGAGGCGAAGTGAACACAGAACGCAGTGCTACTATGCGAATACAAATCAAAGAGTAATTCCCTCTGTAGAAATGATACCGCTATGCAAAACCGAAAGCTAGTAAAGTATCAGCAAACTGCAATCTATGGAAGACTGCCACAGGGCAAGGATTCGGGACTTACACTCCAAAGGTATCTTATGCGAACGCTTGCGGTGGTGCTGGTGATATGCACTGAGACGGCTTCTCGATTCTCTTAAACACCATATGGTTGTCCAAAAGTTTATGTTTCACAATGAAAAAGCGTTTATGGGACACAGACAGCGGGGAAGTAGTATGTCGAATTAAACACGATGGCCAGCAGTGGAACCCAAGCGGTTTGCGGGAAGGTCAATTGAATATGTTTGGTTTTAGTATGATGCCATCGGCCCACTATGAGTTTGCAGCATTGTCTGCAGCTATCTTTGCGAACCAGCAAGATAAATTTGCAAGGATGACAGAAGTTGTTGCTTGCGAATAAACCGACAGTGACTCTGGGACTCGTGAAGACCTCAGCCAGCCATGTAAGAAGTTCTGGAGGGGCAGTGGATCGATCATCGAAGCCTCGCCTGCTCGTTCGGGCGGTCGGCGATACAGATCAAACCAAGCAAATCACAGATCACGGGACACAGACCTGGTGTGTGGCCTGAGGCGGCCACGCGTCCGTTTTGGGTTTGGCCATGGCCGCAGTCACCTCCGGCTTTGCATATCGCCTATGTTATCCCATAGATATTTCGTTGCCTAGATTGCGGTGCTGTCGGTTAATCTGGAGAAGCTAGGGCCGGACCGGAATTGAATACTGGGCGTTGATTTCCCTAAAGCAAGCTCTGACCTGGCGAGAGGCCCGTTCATCCGTTGCATCCAAGTATAGACTACTCATTGTTAACGCTATACATCGGGATACAAAATTAATTTATATCGTCAAATTGTTTCATTCGGAGGCTGGCCTGCAGAGACTCAAATTTTATACACACCAGTGTTCTGAGATACACTGCCCGCCTCAACGATGGACCAGCCATCTGAGAATAACGAGCCAGACCACATCACGGAGACAAGTCTGGAAACAGAGCAGAAGACTGCCGCCGAAGCCGAGGCCCTTGAGTCAGAAAGGCTCAAGAATGCTGAGCTCGAAAGACGCAGAGCCGAGAAAGAAAAGGCCATTCGTCAAGCATGCGACTTGCGCGATTTTGATGCACTAGTCTCATATGCTACCTCAGAAGGCGGCTTCCTCAACGATGATGTCCGGCGAACTGCCTGTGAGAACTACCCTATAACGCTCACATGCACTTTCTGACGTTCTATCAGGGCCTATCCTTCTACAGTGTGATCGACGTGGACCCAATTTTGATTTTGCAGGATGGGAACAACTACCTGCACATAGTGACGAAGAACAAGTTCAGCTTGATGTGAACAGGTCGTTCGTCTACTACCCTGAATGTAAGTCACCCTTTTTATGGCTCTCGGTGGTGTCTAACTTGACCAGGCTCTGACCAGGAGCTATCCATCAAGAAGGATGAGCTCTCCAAGTTGATCAAGCAAGTCTTGCGGTGCTTTCCCATGCTCTGCTACTTTCAAGGCTATCATGATATCGTTCAAGTCCTGCTATTAGTGCTTGGTGGCCAAAATAGTGCTGCTGCTGTTGCACAAATTTCCCTTCTCCGGATAAGAGATTACATGTTGCCGTCCCTTTCGCCGGCGCTGAAACATCTAGAGCTGATCCCTGCGATCATCGAAAAGGCCGATCCTGCATTACGACGTCATCTCGCCGAAACCAAACCATTCTTTGCACTCGCTGCGACTCTAACAATGTACTCGCACGATATTCAAGAATATAGTGACATTGCACGCCTTTTTGACTTTCTGCTGGCCCAGGAACCGGTAGTCTCCATATACCTTTTTGCGGCCATCATCCTCTCGCGCAAGAAAGAATTACTTGAGTTTTCAGTCGATGAAACCGATATGTTGCATTTTACCCTGTCCAAGCTTCCAAATCCCTTGGATCTTGAGGGTCTGATATCCCGCGCGATGCAGCTTTTCGAAGCTCACCCACCGGAAAGTCTACCATTTGGGGCCTGGAAGCGCATTCCAGAGTGCAGTGTGCTCAAGTCTTCACGGGACCTTGTCAGGATCCAAGCACCTGATGAGACAGTCGGCCTCTTCGCGAAACAAGTACGGCATCTACGTTACGAGGAGCGGAAGGAGAAGACCGTTGCTTTCTTGTGGAATCACAGACGGACTATCGGCTCCGTGGCAGTGACGATATTTATTGGTGCTATGTCGTTCTGGATCAAGAAGAGGGGATTTGACAATACGATATGGTCGTATGTCAGTAGATTCCACGGGGCTTTGCAGGCCCGAGGTTACATTTAACCTTATGTCACCATTGGGAAAAGACAGAAAGGCACCGGCTCACAAAAAAATATGCTTGGGAAATATATGTAATATTACTGCACACGAAGAAATATGTGATAAGAAAGGAAATATAATAGTTTTGAGAGATGAAGAACAGCCTCAGCACACAGATTAGCCAGTAGAGGCGGACGCACAAAATGCGAAACACAGCCCGCGTCAGCCCGTGTTGAATAGATGGACAGTCTCCACATGGTGGCTAGTGCGTGGCTTTCCCGGCAGCCGCTGAGGTGTACTCTTGCATTCCCGCATCTCCCAGGAACCGAGAGCTCAACAACCACCTTTGAAAACGAACGTGAGCTGCCCAAAATGGCGAACCAGGGCTACGACGTGGTAGTGGACGTTGACGCCGAGGTAAGACCCCGTCAACAGTCCGCATCTGTAACCATAGTCTACTAACAGCAATTTCCAGGGCGATCTCGGCCATACCGACCTCCAAGAAGACCTCGAATTCCACCGTTCCAGTAAGCTAGCTGGCCTTGAGTACCAACACCTCATCCCAATGCACACCTACTTACCTCCATTATCTCAGACTTCGAAAATGACCAACGCAATGCCAAGGCCCAACAAGACTCGGCCCCCTTCCTCGGCGGCGGTTCATCGCGCGGCCGTGACCGATCCCCCGGCGGCACACCCTCCAAGCTCAACTGGTGGTCGATCCACTACTACTCGCAATTCTTCGACGTAGACACGAACGAAGTCCTCCGCCGCTGCGTCGCAGCTCTTTACCCGCGCAGCAACTTCCTCGACGTCCTAGAAGGCAACCCAGACCTCTACGGCCCCTTCTGGATCGCAACCACCGTCGTCGTCATCCTCTTCCTGACCGGCACCATCTCGCAATGGCTCTCCAACAATGACGACGAGCACTTCGAATACGACTTCACTTTGCTATCCGGCGCCGCGGGCTTGGTTTACGGATACACGGGCATCATCCCCATTGCGCTGTGGGGTGCGCTGAAGTGGTTTGGCAGCTCCAGCGCGGACTTGGTTGAGTCGTGGGCGCTCTATGGATACTCGAACCTGGTTTGGATTGCCGTCGCCCTTGTCAGCTGGAGCCCTTTGACGGCGTTGAACTGGGCTCTGGTGGGTGTTGGGTTCGGGTGGACTGTCTTCTTCCTCCTGCGCAATCTGTACCCGGTTTTGAGTGCTACGGATGCGAAGGCTAGTAAGATCTTGCTGATTCTGGTCATTGTGCTGCATGCTGGGTTTGCGTTGGCTATTAAGATCTTGTTCTTTGCGTAAGTGGTTCCCTACTATTCTCCCTTCCGGTGTGATTATCTTACTGTGAGGGGTTCTGACTAACGTGATAATTTATGCAGACATGGAAGCCCTGTTTCGAAGAAGAACAAGGACCATGATGACGACGATGATCACGACGACGACAAGCGACGGATGTTCGGTGGTTGGTAGAAAAGAAAAGGTGCTAGATGTCGGTGTTGGTATCGGTGTCGTTTCCGGATGTTATACTGTTCAGTTGCTGTCTTTCCCCTCACATGGGACCATGACATTGCTCCGGCAGCATTATGTCATGTCATGTCTCGACTTGCTGGTTTATGTTCTCAAGTGTTGTTATCTCTGATATCGTTTCCACCGTTTTGTCTGTTGAACGTTTTTCCTCTTCCAAGCCATGCTGCATGTGTATGTGTATCTACTAAGAATGCGACGAGAGCTTTTTTTGAATTTTACAGGTTGTGCTTTGATTGCAACTTCTTCCCGAGGAGTCAACTATAGACATTTGACTTCGGCTATAAGTAATGATTCATCATTCCAACGCCATGTAGAAAATCTCCCACGTTGCAATCGTATCGTAACCCCAGCAGCTCTTTTCCCCAGCAACGCAGAAAAACCGTAATAAGATAATCGTCTATTTGAGCTTCTTCTTGGGGCGGAGCTGGTTGGTGTGACCACACTTCTTCTTGCGGCAGTTGGTGGCACGGGGGGGAAGACGGGCCTAATCGGAGGATCAATGTTAGTGGGGGAAATGGTTCGCTAGGCGGGACTCAAAAGAGGGCGGGATCGAGTCGGAAGAATAGAAAAGTAGAATAGATGGATGGACGTACGTAGCACTTGCGGCAGATGGACTTCTCGCAGTTGTACTTGGAGGCGAGAGCCTTAAGGGAGGGCTCGATGATACCACCACGGAGACGGAGGACCAGGTGGAGGGTGGACTCCTATAGTCGAGAAAAAGAACCCGTCAGTCAAACTATATCCCCAATAGTCAAGTCGCATCGAATGTCGATAGTCGTGAAACGTTCATGAATGCGACCGTGCCGATTGATCCTCCCCTCAAACCCAAGTAGTATGTTGTGGCGCCCCAACCGACCCGTATCGCATCATGTTCGTAACCGACTATCCGAGCAGACGAAATCGACGTATAGATGATTCGCGGAACCGTTTCACTCATACCTTCTGGATGTTGTAGTCGCTCAGGGTGCGGCCATCCTCAAGCTGCTTACCAGCGAAGATAAGACGCTGCTGATCCGGGGGGATACCCTCCTTGTCCTGGATCTTGGTCTTGACGTTGTCGATGGTGTCGCTCGACTCGACGTCGAGGGTAATGGTCTTACCCGTGAGGGTCTTGACGAAACTATTAATCGGAGAAGAGCCTGGGTCAGTTTCCTTATTTCATTTTCGATGATATATTCGTGCCATCTTTCGGGATTCGACCGTAATTCGACGGGTGGTTGCCAGGGGACTTGGAATGACCTACATCTGCACTGCAGAGACGCGGAAAAAACGACATGTTAGTTTGCGACTTCAGGGAACACGCATTTCGCATTCACGAATGAAGAGGGTATACGTACTGGCTGCGGTTTTCGTTGTTGCTGGCTGACGATCGGCTGAAAGGTCGGTCGGATGAGGCGATGTCAATTTCACGATTTCTCGCTTAGCAAAGGTGGAACGGACCGCACGTGATCAGGGTTTAGGGCAGTCCGGCCGCGTTCGGGGCCTCTCCGCAGTCTCCATAGCCCGTAGCCTAACTACTTTTACATCATCCATTTAGCATCATGCATACGTTGGAGGCTGTCCGTGGTCCGTGGTCCGTGGTCCGCGGTCCGTGTTGTGATTGTGCTTTCATGATGCTCGATCTAACACTACTGTTCAATGATACAAAACAAGCCTCCCTTACAAATTTGTAACATGCAGAGAAGCCTACGACCATATATGACTAACGATCTCGGAAGTTTCTATTTTTGATGTTTATATACTACTACTTCAAGGCCGGGACCCAATTGGCTCCGTTTCCCAGTATATATGATCGCCAAGCTCAACTTTACTCGCCCTCCTCCAGCTCAGACATACTCTCTTCGTCATTGTCTGAATCCGTACTGGACTCCTGAGAGAATTCCATGCCCATCGATCCAAAGTACTCAACCCGGCGCTGCTCTTCCAGCCACCGGTTGATTTGATTCTCTGCTTGTGATACAGCCCTGATCAATGTAGATATGGAAACGCCGACTACCTTGGCAGCTGTCTCGTAGAAGGCCCTCGCAGTATCCGGAAGATCAGATTCGGTTCGATACCGCGTGTAAGAGCATCCCGGCCGGGGAGTGTCCAGGTCATCCTTTGCAATGACTTGTCTTGCTCTTAATTGGCTGGTGGACGCCTTGACCAATTCATCCAGAGCTTCCTCATCTGTTAGTTCTGGAGTAGGAGCTGTGGCCTGGCTTTCCCCAGCACTTGGACCAGTCGGAAAGAGCTCTGCGAGGGGATTTGATACTGGAACACTATTCAGCACTGAGAAGAAAATAATGTGGCATATGTCTCACCTTTACTCGCATCAAGCCAATTATTCTCGTACCAATCCATATACTCGTCGAGCTGGGACGGCGTCATGCTGAAGACGTCTCTCTCAGTCACCAATATTTCCTTTCCCTTGCCAAGCTGACCCGCAGGCGTCTCTCGATTGTCAAAATGCCTCTGTATTTGTGACCAAAGACTCCAATCGATCACTTGCACTGTGGGCTCTTCTATGTTCGTGGGATATCTTTCAACATCGTCAAATGGGAATAGAAGCTTGGTGGAGATGACAACTAGAGCGACCAGTTGCAGCTCGGGCAGTTGGAGGGGCCTTCTCCTTCCAGATATGCTTGTAGGGAATTCGAAGTTGAACCCTAGAAGATGCTGCAACTTTTTCGCGGCTGGATAAATATCGACTGGAAGTAGGTTAACGAATGAGAATAATTGAAGATGGGGCGCCGCATACGAGGAAGCGCAAGTCTCTTGACGTATTTATATAACAAGACTGGCCAGTTCAAAGATGGAAATTGCATGTTGAATTTGCCATGATAAAGCAGCAGAAGGTCCGAGACAGCTCCGTGAAGATGCTCGGCTTGGAGTAGCCTCTATCATATAGTCAGATACAGCCATCTATTTCTGACATATCATAGGCACTCACCGTGGTCTCAAGTATGGAAATGAACTCTTGTGGTAGTCTATCTCTCATCTCCCGAGGAATATCCTTTACAATTCTGATGAAAGGAACCTCGCCACGCATAACCATGCTAAACATTCACTTAGCCCTTGTAACATTCAAAGTGGTTCATGCTTAACTACTCACCGATAAAAATCCCCAACACCCACCGGCAGCCTCATTAACAGAGCACCTAGATAGCACAGAGCAATGCTATCAATAAGGCGAGGCCATGTAGCCTGCCTTCCTCTGAACTTGATGTCCTCGGCGCCATCAAGCCCCGAGGTTACTTGCGAACTGAAGAACTCGGGCTCCTCATCTTGCTCTGAAGGATCATTAATCTTTTCGGCGTATGTCTCCAATCGGAGCGCCCAAAGGTCGCGAACGACAGGCTATGCCCGCATCAGTCAGCCGCTTCGTTAGTGGTTTCCCAAAGGGGGCTATGCCATGCATACCTCGAACTGTGACGGAAAGCCGCGGTGATGGACGAGCGCGTGACATTGCTTCCAGAGGATCAATTGGTAGACTTGCAGAAACAGACTATACGCCTGGCGTCCCCGGTATGCTGCCCGATATTAGCTGATGTGGAGAGCGCGTCACCTCCAAACCATGATGGTAATGGTGATGGTGGGTGGTGATAGTAGTTATGGTAGGTTAGGGGCTCTCTTACTCTTTTGAGACTTCTCCGCAGCAGCCTTCTTTACGCGACTTGTCCGGCCTTGTGTATTAAAGTCTTCAGGATCTTCTTCGACTTGACGTCCCTACGCGGTGAATGATAAATGAGTGGGCTGATCGGTCGCGTGTGTAGAATGCGTGAGGGGCGCGGAGAGGGGAAGATCAGACCTCTTGTTGATGACCCCGCCTGCAGAACCAGAGGCCATTATCCAGGTAATACCGTCGTTCACGGCACCCTTCCTGCCCGCAAACCCCTCGGGTGATGTACTCCATCCAGGGCAGCGCTCTTCATTCTTCCTTGTCCAGAGGATGTGGAGGAACAGAAGGCCTGGGTCTTCCGGAGCGGGTCAGCGCAGCTACCAGAAATCGTTACCAGTCAGATTTTTTCTACCGTTGATGCAGGTCCCGAAAAAGTAATATCCGCATCGCGCCTTATCGCCCACTGCGTAGCCCTTGATTCTTGCGATAAGGTTGCTTCTTCAGTGTTTCCGTAGGATTTATGCACGCCTGTCTCAGGATATCGGATCTATACTAGTATGCTGCTTATCTTGTCTACAAATGACATTGGAGTATATTGGGTCGGGAGAAAAGGTAGTTATTTTTTATTCGTCAAACTATCGTGAAAGTGCTGAACTCAAGAACTGTTTCTCTGACAAGGCAGGATTTATGCCGCCAAATTAACGTGACCATCATGGCCGGCTCAGCGTATACCCAAGGCTAAACAGACGGATATAAGAGTACGTGGCGCCGTAGCTGCCCAAAAGGCCGTATCATCCACCTGACCAAGGGCAAAGCCGAGCGAGGCTCTTCAAATACACCATGGATGACAGAGCAGTTAAGGGTCCATAGACACAATAATTTAGTTGCCCTTGGGAGCCTCCTTGACATCCATGCAGACCTGCTCGCCCATGGAGGACAGGATGGTGACGTCTGAAAAGGAAAATTCGTCAGTAATCTTGCCAACAGCCACCTAGCCAAAACGGACGGGTGTTACTCACTGCAGTCCTTCTCCTCATCGTGGAACATGCGGCGGATACGGTCGCCCACCTCACCTTCGGGGACCTTGACGTCGTCCTTGGTGTTACCGTTCTCGTCCATCAGGGAAAGGAAGTCGTCGTCAGTAACGTCAAGCTATAGCTGTGTTAGCGAGTCAAGATCACCAAGACCGTTCATGTTCCAAACTACTCACGAGCTGGTATTCCTTGCGGTAGACGTTGGGGACGTCCATGTTGTGGGTGGAGGGGGACAGATCCTCAAGCTTCTTGCCAGTGAAGATATCGATGGCAACGATGTGGACCTTGGCGTGACCGTGCTTGCCAGTCTTGGAGGTGGACATCTCAACGATCTTGCAGGGGCGGCCCTTGATAACAACGTGACCGTTCTTGCGCAGGGCAGAGCACTGCATGGGGAAGGTGGCCGAGGCGCCGGCGTCGGCGGACTCGAAGGTCTCGTGGTGCTGTTAAAGGTGAACATTAGCGAACTAGCCCATGATTGAAATTATAGCAGATGGTCGGCGAGTGTAGCAAAATATGCAATGTCTGCAGGAACGAGGGGGGTTGGGTGGGGGGCAGCGATCGAGATGCGAGGCCCCGAAGACACCCAACCCAACCGAGCAAGCAGGACAAAGATAGGCCGCAACTGAGTAGACCGGGAAGTTCGCAGAAGGAGAGTTAACACCTACCTCGTCAGCCATGGTGATGGATATTAGGGGGTATGAGGTAAAAAGTGAAAGGGAGAGGTGAGGAGGATGTTGGAATTGAGGAGGAGATTAGAGGAAAAGGAAGAGAAAAAAGCGAAGGAAGGACGAAGAGGGGGACACAGGCGAAAAGAAATCGACAAATGGACTGCGAAAAAAAGGCACTGGTTGTGGCGGGGTTTTGTGGTCGCTAGTCCCAGTCCAGCCTAGTCTCGGACAAACCACGTCCGCGGTTGCTGCAGTTCGCCGTAGCATCTCGGCCTGCTATTCCACGTATACTCCTAACCATTATAGTAGCAGTAGTTATCTACTGGTTATCTCCTGTCGACAATATCAGCCTGGTCTCGGTCTTGATCTCCATCTCCTCGAATGTTCGCCGCCCTGTAACATCTCCCAGTACCCATCTGTGTTCTGGGAGAACTTCCCTCACCCCTCTACCTCACCCCTCGATGAACCCGGGGAGCTCTCCGCTATCCGCACGCTTCTCCGTGCCGGCCTCCCAAGATGTGGCTAGACCGCATTTCGGGCCATGCGACGCCCTCCGGTCCCCAATTCGATAGTCGCAGCAGCTCTCCCTTGCCTCGAAGGACCTCTTCTCGCTTGGCTCCAACCCCTCAGAACAATCGCCCCGCGTCTAGTCGCCAAGGTTCAGCGTTGTCTCTCTTGTCGACCCCGAATGATTCGTCTACCTCCCTCTCTGCGCCTGCGCGAGGCGAAGGATCCTCGCCAAAACCGAGTGCTACAAGACCCCGCCCATCCGATGTCGCTGATCCGCTCGAAGTCTTGAATGGGATCATTGGGAAACAAGGCAAAACAAGAGACAGCTCTCCAGCGTCCGTCGCGGAACTGAAACCCCCGGAGCTCGTGGAAGACATTGATTTTCATGGACTCAGCCTGGAGGACTTTATCGCGGAAGAAGACCAACCGCGAAGAGCTTGGCAAAGCGATGTCGGTGCCCAGACCATCCAGCAATTTGAGAAAGAAAGGGACAAATTCCAGGACCTGCACTCGGCAATCACTGGCTGCGATGACGTCTCCAAGTCAGTTGAAATGTATTTGAATGACTTTCAGAATGAATTGGGAGCTGTATCGGCAGAAATTGAGAGTTTGCAATCTCGGTCTATACAGCTGAATGCGATGCTCGAGAATCGGCGGAATGTTGAACAGCTGCTTGGTCCTGCCGTGGAAGAAATCAGTTTGTCTCCGAAGACCGTCCGGTTAGTGGCGGAGGGGCCTATTGATGAGAACTGGGTCAAGGCCTTGAATGAGATTGAAACTCGGACGGCTAGCATCGAGGCCAAGGCCTCAGGCACCAATAGTAGCAAGTCTATCGAAGATGTGCGGCCTTTACTGGGTGATATCAAGAAAAAGGTACTGCTTCCGATATAGATTCACTTTACAAACCGACTGACAAACTACGTAGGCAGTGGAACGAATCAGGGACTACCTGGTCTCTCAAATTCGAGCCCTACGATCTCCGAATATCAATGCGCAGATCATCCAACAGCAGCGACTAGTCAAATTTAAGGACTTGTACGGCTACATATCACGAGCCCACCCAACTCTTACGGGAGAAATCACCCAGGCGTACATCAATACGATGCGATGGTATTACCTGTCGCATTTCACAAGGTATCACCAAGCACTCGAGAAGATCAAGGTCTATCCGAGTGATCGGAACGAGGTATTAGGAGGGGACCCAACCTCACATAAAACAGGTGCGTTCGGGCTTGCCACTCGGTGGATGATCTGACTGGTACTAACTGGCACAGGTAATATCGTTCCCGGCGGCCGAGCTGGTTCTGCGGCGCACGACCCCTTCTCTCTCGGCAGGAGAGTCGACATACTTAGGGCGGGTAACCAAATGGCGATATCTTCCTACTTGGCAGAGGAGGACAATGCTTTCCACGGGCTCGAAATTCCCTTCCGTAACTTCAACCTTGCTCTCCTAGACAACGTTTCCGCCGAATACTCATTTATGACCGAGATGTTCTCCACATTGGGCTTTCAACAAATATCTCGCAAGGCTGTTGAGATCTTCGAACCAGTCTTCACCCTTGGGCAGACCCTGACCAAGCACCTGATCGAACAGACTACGGATGCGCTTGGAGTTCTGATCTGCGTGCGGTTGAACCAGCAAGCCGCTTTTGAATTGCAGCGGCGCAAGGTGCCAGTGGCCGACTCATATGTCAACGGAACCAACATGCAATTGTGGCCTCGGTTCCAGGTCATCATGGACACGCAGTGCGAGTCCCTGAAGCGGGTAGCAGCAAACACCGGCCGTAGTGCAGTTTCTGCGTTGTCTCTTGCCGGAGGAGACGACCTCAACAAGTCATCCGCACCTCATTTCCTCACTCAACGGTTTGGACAGCTTCTGCACGGCATTTTGGTGCTGAGCAGTGAGGCTGGGGATGATGAGCCGGTTTCCAATAGTCTGGGTCGGTTGACCACAGAGTTTGACAACCTTCTGACGAAGCTCAGCCGGATTGGCGGCGACGCCAAACGGAGGGAGAGGTTTCTTTACAATAATTACTCACTTGTTCTGGCTATTATTAGTGTAAGTCGATCGATCCGCCGCGGATACTGGTGCTGACGGATGCAGGATACCCATGGCAAACTAGCCACCGAACAAAAACAGGTTTGTGCTGCATTGCCACTGGAAAGGATCGGACTAACGCTACGTAGCATTTGGAAGACATGCTTAAGAACGTAGGTAAGCGTGGCTAGTTGATAGACGTTCTTCATAGAAGCACGCTGGGTTGGTGTCTAGATGTGCCATTGTATATTCCATCGCCGATTACGGCACGCCCAAATAGTCTACTGTACGACAATATAATCCATAGAAGCGACTACCCCATATAATAGAAAAGAGAATATTTTTCAATCAAATACCCCTGATCCACATTTGAAATCCATGTTCCGATCCCCACCAACCAAGTATCCTGCCAGGAACATCCCAAAAGATAACGATAGTAGCAGAGCTTATCGGCATCGGCGCCGATGCCGACTCCGCCCGGCGTGGGGAACAACCACTTAAGTGCTTCTCCTCACCCCAACAACGCACCCCCGTACAATGCAGGCATTGTCACAACGATTCCACTGAGCCACCCAGTCTCAATGGCCACTCGTATCCTCCGTTCTCTTCCCAATAGCCGTCTTCTATCGCGGCGCGCCTTCTCCAGCACCGCCGCCTCCAAGGCCGACGTCACACATGCGGTAACTAATTCCTACCAGCACCCATCCATCTACATTCTCGACTCAGACACAAACAGCAATCTAACACATCACTGTTAAGGTTATAGGCGCAGGGGTCGTCGGACTGGCAGTTGCACGCCAACTCGCCATGAAGGAGGGCACATCGACGATCCTACTCGAGAGACATGAAGCGCCGGGGACGGAGACGAGTAGTCGCAATTCAGAGGTACCATTCCAGATTTCGATTATGCCAATACGATTATACTCTCATGAATAAAGCTAAGCAATCTTTTTATAAATAGGTCATCCATGCAGGCCTCTACTACGGCACCGACACCCTCAAAACCACCCTCTGCATCAAAGGCAAAGAGCTCCTCTACGCACTCTGCGCCCAACACAACATCCCGCACCGCAACACCAAGAAATGGATCGTCGCCCAAACCCCAGAACAATGGGAAGCCTGTCTCCGCGTCCACGAACACGCCAAACGAATCGGCGTGCCCACACGCATCCTAGGGCAGGATGAAGCGCGCCGGCGCGAACCCGAAGTGCGCGCCCTCGCAGGCATCGTGGAGAGCCCGACAACCGGCATCATTGACAGCCATTCCCTGATGACCTATCTACAGGGGGATTTCGAAGACCGCGGAGGGGATTGTGCGTTCATGACGAAGGTGACGGGCATTGAACCCGTTGCTGCCAGCGAAGGTGGCGGATACCGGATTAGCGCAGTATCAGCGGACGGAAGCGAAACGACCATCACGGCCGAGACGGTGATAAACAGTGCAGGCAATGGGGCATGTGCGATCAATAACATGGTGTTACCGGCTGAGCGGCATCGCAAAGCGTATTTTGCCAAGGGAACGTATTTCTCTTACTCGGCTTCAACGCCGAAGACGTCGGTGCTGGTGTATCCGGCTACGTTGCCGGGCACGGGCGGTCTGGGCACCCATTTGACCCTTGATATGGGTGGCAGGATCCGGTTTGGGCCGGATGTCGAGTGGGTGGAGGACCCGAATGATTTGAAGCCGAGTCCGACGCGGCTGCAGCAGGCGTTACCGGAGATTAGAGCGTATTTGCCTAATGTGGATGTTGAGGCGATTGATCTAGACTATTGTGGGATCCGGCCTAAGTTGGGGAAGGGAGGGGCGGTCAATACGGGCAAGGGGTTTCATGATTTTGTGATTCAGGAGGAGGAAGGGTTTCCAGGGTTTGTAAATTTGTTGGGAATTGAGAGTCCGGGGCTGACGAGTTGTTTGGCGATCGGGGAGAGGGTGAGGGATATCTTGTACTGAGCTTGAAATTATCCCTATGTATATAGAGCGTAGCTGTATGGGCATACTTTTCACATATCACACTAAAATTCATATCACGAAGTGGAGCCTGCAGTAGTAACAACACGCATACAAAGACCAGACAGACAGACAGACAGACCAAAGAATCGCCACCACAGTCTAGACAAGGCTACAAGGCTTACTTGGCAGTTCCAGCATCGAACAAAGACCTCACATAACCAAGGTCAAATGAGGCTTGTTCCGCAGGCTTAGCATGGCTGGAACACCATCAGAGACGACGCGTTGGACTCCACCTCTGATTAAGCTTCTCCATCGGCTACGTCAAGACTCTGGGCAAAATAGATACCCTTTTAAGAAACGCAGCATCTTTTCCAACAATAACGTTGTAAAGTAGAAGGATCATATTATCTATCTATAACGAGAAAGACTGTACCTGAATTGACATATCACATTTCGTTTCTATTTCCGTCAAATACAGTAAAGTGATGAGGAGATACGGAGGGATCTGGAAAGGACAATCAGCGAGGAATTACCCGATGCGGAAGAGACGGGTTGTTTGCCACGCCTTGCAAAGCAGATCCCCCAACTCAAGGTCAAAGTCCAGACCCGGACTTGGATCGACGGGTTACGCGTGTTTGTGATACTGTGAGTACTTATATGTTATCTTCCTTTTCATTCCGTAGTGTGATCTCTACTATCATAGTTTATTTTATCATACTACATGAAAGATTGAATTGACTATTTCACTTTATACTTCTCTCTCTCTTCACTTCTCTTCTATTACATATTCATCTGTACTATTGCTATCTACTATCTACTATCCACTATATACTCATCCAACATGACCACCCACCTACAACAACCACATCACCACAACTTCCACCCACACACTTCCTCCTACAACCCCTACCACCCCTACACCATCCCCAACCACGCTCAAACCAAGAAACAACGCTCACGTCCACACCGACGCCAACGTCAACACCACCCCTCCACAAAACCCCCGAACCCCTCCGCCCTCAAGACCCCCTCCTCTCCATCACCCTCCAAAAGCAACCGCTGCTTCACCTGGCTGCTCCTTCCCCCAGCAAGCAACACTCACATCGCCAAAAACCGCTCTTCTTTCAGCAGCTACCGCCGGGCACCATGCAAAATCGCCAACCAGCGGGTGTTAGGCGTAGGCACAGTCCAGCTCCGAGTGCAGAGGGCGCCGGACGACCCTCGCACAAATACCCTTGTGCTACATGACGTGCTGCATATGCCGAATGCGAGGTGCAATGGCATTAGTGTGGCTAAATATACGGGGGAGAGTGAGGAGGAGACGGCGTCGGAGGGGGGGAGTAGTGCTGGGGAGAGGGCGGTTGTGGAAGAGGTTGAGAATGGTGGTCTGGTGAAGGTGAAGAGTGAGAGGGAGGATGGGGAGGGGTTGTGGTTTGCGAGAGGGAGAAGTAGGGGAGGTCAGGGCAAGGGTGAGGGTGGGGATGATGGGTTGAGGGTTGTGTTGGCGGGGGAGAAGGAGATGGAGAAGGATGATGGTGCTGGTAAAGGAATCATGGGGGTGGTTGCTTCGAAGGAGGAGTTGGAGATGTTGAATGAGAGGGTTAAGAATCGGTCGTGGGTATAAAATATTCCCACTTTGTGGATCATCATATTGTACATAAATTGGTATACATGCTGTCGTATTTATAAATGAGATCGTAACGCAGTTGATGGCTTCGGTTCTGATGTAGTGGTCATTCCACATCCATCAGCACATCGCTCATGATATGCAGCACATACGAAAACTTCCGTACGCTCCACTTCCCCGTATCCTTTAGCAGTCCCGCGTAGTCGAGCAGGATGCGGCGGGCTGCTTGATAGCCTCCTTGGATGGGAACACCGCGTAGGTATACCGTGCCGCCATTCTTAATGAATTCCAACGCTGGTTCTTCAGACGGTGGGAAAGGTTGACCTTTTCGAGGCTCCATGAAGCTAGTGAATCCCTCTGTTCCCACTTTCTGCCAATCAATATCGTCGAAAAGCTCGATGGAGTTCCCGCCCCGCTGCATTTCAGAGGGATTTGGCACCATGAAGACGTAAAGACCCAGCACCAGTGCTGCGTAGAAAAGAGAAAACACAGAGTGAAACATTGTATGGTCCGATGCCCTGCGGTTCGTCATGGCTCGGTAGATGTGTGCCGCATGCAAGCAAGCCCGTCTGGCAGCCGGGGTTTGCGACCATGCTGCAATGTCATCGAGTGCTTTCCGAGCAGGGCCTGGGCCTGAACGACCAGCTGCCATGTCGAAGATCTGAGTGTCTGCTGTTAGCGTCATGCACATGTTGTGCCACATGACGGCTGCGTTGGGGTTCAGTCGGTCGAGCACGTCGCCATATTTGCTTGTCAGCTGGAGCTGAAGAGATGGTAGACATCTTGCACGCCCGTCCATGGCGTATGTGTTGCACGGGGCGAAGGGGTAGCTGGCACGATTCGAAAGAAGTCGATAATAGGCTTCTGAAAGCCTCGACTGAACCATTGCTAGCACTGCATACATGCAGAAATCATCTACCGGGCTGTGAAGTGTTGGAACGTCGACATTCTCCGATGGCATCAGTATTGTAGGCATCAACCTGACTTTGTCGCTGTCGCTTAGCTGCATCCAGCGAGTGGAGGAAGTAGCTCGAAAGAGCGCTTCCTCACACGGGAGTATCATTTGGACAGAGTCAGGCACGATGATCGGACTTGTAGACATGAATGATGAGTACCAAGAGTCAAGTAGCAATAGTCCAGTTATAAGCCTGTGATGTCAGCAGATGCTCTTCTGCATGATTGTGCAACTAACCGTTTCACTGATTCGACCTTGCTCCAGGCTTTCCACCGCGTTTCAGTATTAGGAATTGCATCGAATAAGTTCGCGCCAAGCACCTGCCCTTCCCTAGCTGCAAATAGTCCATGTCGCTGCGCAATCTATTCATGCGTCAGTCGTATTCTACGAGATCCATGAGATGGCATACCGATATGAGATTGACATAGAGCATCTGGCACTTTACGAGGTGCTCCTTTTCCTATAGAAATCAGTATAAGCCTTCGTTTCGCGGTGATTTACCTACCCCTGTCATGGCAGCCAGGTTCAGAAACAGAAAAGCAGCTGCGAATGTAGACACTGTGGACAAAGAACCCTCAACCCCCACAGAACACTTGGACAAATCTGCTGTAACACTCTCGAGCATCGACTACGAAAAATTAGCAAGGCACACTGCAAACAGGCTTTGGTCATACCGAGAAGTTGTTGACGACAAAGTTTAACGTGCCTTTGGTTCCCAACAGGACCATGCCAATCAGACACATGGCATAGAGCAAGGATGGACGCGCATCTTTCGCAGAAAATGTTGGGACATGGATAAACGGCACCAGTGGGTGGAAGTCGCGGAAGAATAGATCTAGTGCCATATCTAGGATTTCCGCAGGAGGAAAATTGGAGTTGTTGCGCGGTGGTTGGGTAAAAGGTGACACTGCGGTACTCTCAGACGAACGCATCTGAAATTGACCTCGGCTCTGACTGAAGATTGTATAAAGACGCTGCCTGCATTCTTCATCGACGCCATACCTCGACCCCTGCATGTAACCTGACGGGCCGCTGGAAGAGTGGGTTGGCCTAAGAGCAAAGACATTGTCCTCTTCGCTGTAGGCTATATCGTGCCATAAGCTGTTCATGAGCCGCCCAGTGTTGTTGGATGGAGCAAGCCAATAGCGCTGAACACGGGCAAACCGTTCAATTGGAATACTGCCTCCAGAGCTCAAGCTCATGCTACCAATAGATGGTCTTGATTCTGAGGAAGCAACAGCTCCTCCTAACATGCCGAGATTAGAATTTCCCCCAAGATCTATTGATCCTTGCTGTGAGATCGAGTCTCCCTGCGGTTCCAGCCAGAATTGCAGTATGTCGTTATGCAATGGATCAAGCATAGTGCCTCTGTAGCATTGTTGGTCCGGAACAGGCACATCATTCCAGCCAAGATACTCTTGATGCTCACTTGCCATGACTTGATTGGCTATTGGTTCGGTGCGAGGCTGATGAGCCGAGACATTGGCAAGGAAGTCCAAGGAAGTCGACTGCTGATCGAGAGCCGCAGAAAATGCCGAATTATGAGGTGCCGACGAACCATGCTGGAGCGGGCGAGCACTCTCCGCACCGATACCAAGGACGTAGTTCTGAGTATCCGCTGTCATTGTTGACGACCGATCAGCTGGGGCCTGATTGGTCGGTGTGGCAGGAAGACCAGCACCTGGTCTAACCGCCGCATTGGCAGCTGGTTGGTTGTGTCCCCTAGCATGGCGACTTAGGACATCACTGCAATTATGTTAGCAAGATACAGTGTGATTTGTTCAAGGGGTGAAGATAGTCCACAGCTTAATACCTTCGTGAGAAACGCTTATGACAGACATTACATTCATAGGGCTTCTCTTTAGTATCTACTAGACGTCAGTAGGATGCAACAATATGCAGGTCGGTTGACTTACGTGAGCGTTCGTGGCGCTTGAAATGCTCCGTTTTCTTGAAACGTCGATCGCATATGGTACACTTTCGCAATACCATGATGGTATTTCTTTAGATTTGGTATATGAGATGGCTCAAATAGTCAATCTTTGGCGGGACATGATGTGGGCAATCCTCACCTTTTCTTAGACGAAGAAAAAGAACAGAGATGTGAGGGGAGAGCATCGCAAACATATCCGGCTACTTGCAGCCCCGGCCTGACTTAGCCCCGATCGGGTAAGGCGTGGGTGCCGAACTGCCGGAGCCGTGGGGCAGCCATACGGATACCAGATTGATACACAGTGCAGCCAATGAGAGGTACGCGATTACTGTTAGTCATCGCATCTGGAAAATCCTGGGGTAATCGCCCGTATTGCACTGTCAGTTGGAAGGCTTCTTATGAACGTTGCTAAGGGTCCATGAAGCATCTTAATGAGATACTCTTGGTGGAAGAGTTATCTTCAAAGACTCTGTGGTGTCAAAGTTCACATTCAGTACCCCCAAGTAGACTCATTCATTGGCTCTTCCCAAACGACTTTTCAAGTTGATGAAGCGGTTAAGAACTAGTGAAGTTCTTACGGCATCACTGCTTGCCTGCTTCACTGGAGTCCTTCATATAGGCTAGAACATCCATCATAACCAGGAACTTCAGCAGATCCTCTGGCGCCTGCGTGGCCTTATATAAAGCCTTCTGCTGATCTTCCTTCCCTCAAGACCTCCTTCAGGGTCTCAAGGACAGATAGCCACAATTCTAACCCAACATACTGATATCATGATATTTTATAACAATATTGGAGTTAAAAATACTGGAAAATGCACCATATGCAGGTACTCCACTAGATGCTTTGCCTTCGCAAAACGCGAGCCCTCCATACACTAAGACAAACAACTCGAAAGACTTCGACTCTATTCCCGAGACAATACACCAATAGAGCACCGGCAGAGTCAACAAATGTTATAAAAAAAGCATTGCACCAATGCGAAGACTCAGACCTCGCATTACCCATGAACAAGTCCTTCTGTTCCGTACCATAATCCCATCTACTATAAGCCCATTTCAACTCTGATGCTGCTAGGTTCGGACCAGATCTTGCACGGTTCACAGTATCTTATCTAGCTGTGCAGAGGTCCAGCAGTATTCAAGCTTAGTAGGAAAACGGGAAGTACTGAAAGGCCTTAAGGCCTGCGATATGGGAAAAGCCCGCTAAAGAGTTTGGATGAGACTAGTCTCAATGGGTAGGATTGTACTGCTTATCTAGATTATTACTACACTATACCCTGGACCCCGAAATGAGTGCCGCTCTGCTACGACCTGCTTTACTGCATTCCGGATGTAGAGGGGGGCAGAGGGAAACACGTTAGTATAGTAGTGACAAACGGCCAACTTCAGAATAAGTCAGAAAATGCTTCCGGGGAAGCTCAAGGCACTGATTGAGTGCAAAATAGGCCATAGCCCTGCTATTAAAATGCAGGAGGCTATCCAGATGATTGCGTGGGTCAAGAAGCACCTTTATCGTAATAATGATGTCAACAACTATATGTGAGAGACTCTCCTACTTAGCTTATATTGATCTTGTCATGATGTGTCTAATAGGATGTCACAGGCCTATTCTTATGTCAAAGATGGCCCCGATCATACATCAGCTTTGCCGAGTATGATGCCGCTAACTGGGTCAATCACTCGAACAGGTGTAGCGGAGTGTCTCCACTACATCTGATGACAATGAACCGATATGGTCTGTTTTATACCATAGGCGGGACAAAACCCCTTAAGCTAAGAGGGCTAATAATAGTTTGAAAGTTTGTACCAGGTCTGTATTTGGATTTACCAAATGGCTGCCGATAAAGGCTTTGAATGACCAGCAACGCGTCGAAACGGAGGTTCAAAGAAAACACTCCCCTTTAAGATAAAAGTCTCTATAGGAAGCCCCAACCTACAAATGTACATATCGAGTCAATTTTTAGCCTCGCTGCTCTTGAAATAGGAAGAACCGTAGTATACTAGCATTATCGCTTATGATTGTTCCCTGGATATGGCGACATTTGGGGCTATTTTAGATTGACTTCAGTCAGCACCGGAGTACAGCTCATTGCCATCGAGATCTTTTGAGCACCATATGCTGGTCATATTCAGCACAGGGTGCAGCCCGCTTCTGCTTCTGCAAGTGTACTGGCCCCGTTGGCGCTTCCAAGCGTGATGGAACTCTGACGGCAAATTCGTGGACGCCTTCGCGCATATGAGACAGGAAAAATTTGGCGTAAGCAGCCGCCGTGGCAGCGGCATATTCCTGCCATTGATCGTTCTTATGTGAGTCGGCATAATCGCATATTCCCCGAATAACGAGGCAGTCGGTGGTGGTTCTCATGACTCCTGCCGCCTCCATCTCAACACAGATCACATTTTCCTGGCCCAGGCGGTCTCGGTATCTTGCATCTCGAACGAGTTGGTTACCAGATGCGATGAGGCCGTAGAAAACGTTTGGGCCGTCATGCTGTCGAGTCCTCGGCCGTCGACTGCCGATGCAGTTGTCACAAGTTGGTTCCGTCTCAACGTGCACATCACCTGGGTCGAATAGCATGTCTTTGCCTGCGCCTGGGTATGAGTATTCCGGTTTCATTGAGGCAATCAAACTAAGATCGTCAAGAAGCGGGTTTGAAGCGGACTCGAAGGAAATGAAGCCATTAGACCGGATTTTCGTAATGACTGCTCGTAGATAGGGCGGTGGTTGTTGCTTCTGTGCTGTCATCTTAAACTCAGAGTTTTGGATCCATTTCCCCATATCGCCTTGGATCACGCCGGTACCGACGACAACATCACCAAGACGTATATCGCGGGCTGCCGAAGGCACTCCGCCTCCGATTCCAAAGACCAGACAGAACTTGAGACGCGGGAAAGTTCGGATCAGATGAGAAGCAACATTAGTGGCGGAATTCGTGCCATAATCATCGTGTGGAAGGCCGGCAGCAACCACATTGAATCCTTTCATCCGTCCGAGACAATAGCAGTTAGGATCATTTCGGTCTTTTTCGAGGTCAGGATGGGGTGAATCGAACAAAGCGCGGACGGCAAGAAGTTCTTTAGACAGTGCACACACAATGCCTACCTCGTAGTCCTCGTGAGTAATTCCTTCAGGCGGGGACCTTGACAAAGGCAATCGCCCGGGACCATTGGCAGTGGCAGAAGGAGCCAAGATTGTTCCAAGTCCTGAGTCGTGGAAGTCGTCGTCTGAGTCGGACCCCGAATCATCATCTGAACACGACAAGACATCTTCTTGTTCAGGGAAGCCAGTGTCATTCCAGGTCCATCGCAAGTCTCTGTTGTAGCCAAATAATATCGCGCCATGGCTCCAACCGCTTGGTCTAACGGCATTGTGCTTCGGTATTCGCTTCCTAAAGTGCGAGGGCAAGACGACTTGTGCCAGTTCGGAATGAACTGTCTGTTCCGGGCATCCAATGCATTTGCAAGCTGGAGGACCATTGCCTAGGCAATTGCACCATATCAAATTGCGGGTCAGCCGGACCGGGCTACTATGTGGATTTCCGAACCGATCGATGATGTTTGCAAGATCATACCCACTGACTGCAAGGTAGGACTTTCCTTCTGGCATTCTGCTCCAATATGGGCATAGTTGGCCGTTATCAACCGGGCGAAGGATCTCACCAAACCCCGTCCCAAACAGCACTGCCGCACGAACATCTCTGGTTAACTCAACCCAGCTCTTTCCTCTAGTTCCCAATTTACAAAACCGAGGATACAACGGGTCTTCCTGGGTCGCCAAATCCTTGAAATCCCACCCTTCCAGAATTCCCCGGGCCATTTTGCGAGACGCTGCGCCCTCTGTCCCCATGATCTCTGCTTGATGATCCATGATCTTCTCAAGCATGCTATACAAACGATCGACCCTGTCTTTAATCTGTACAGTCGGTAAAGTTGCCTCATTTGGTTCGCTCTGTTTCGCGTGGTACAGTGTCAGACATAGGTTATCAGGGTTCAACAGAACCTCCATTGCAGAGCTGGGAGTGATTGTGTTCTCTGGGACTTTGATATCGGTAGGAGTTAAGTGGAATGCAAAGCCGAGTGGACCAGTCCTGTTGAAATGGAGCGAGGCAATAAGAAGGTGCAATAGAGCGCAGGCCCCATTCACCAACCACCCTCGTTTTCCTCCCGCATCCCACATTACCACGTATTGCCTGGCAATCCACGACAGCTTTTCAATGTACTCGTCCCGAATTAGTCGATACGGTAAGTCTTTGTTGCCATATATAGCTGGATCACCCCCTGTAATTAATCTACCTGCCGCGATAAAAGTGTTGTTTAAGCTGCAGCGAGAGGATGGTGGCCTCAACCAGGACCGATTGATTGAATAACTGGCATCCGCCGTTCCTAGTGACAAGTCAGGTGGTGAAACCCTTTTGTTACAAGCAATAATCATGCTATGACGTACCGGCATAGCATTTTGCGTCTGAACACCAACCAAGGATATGCCGGCTGGACTCCAAATCGGCCAGTGTGATGTGTCCGACATGAGCCTCAATGCCATCCAGATACGAAATGCGATCTCCATGAACGTTATATCGTAGGTGCCATATCATCTGATCCTGATCCCGAATGTACTTTGTCGGGATCAATAAGCTAGAAAATCCTTTGATAAATAGTTTATCACTAAAGATGTCCACTTGCTCTGCTTGGGCTAGACCCGCCAAGATATTGAGCGGGATTTCAAGGCCAGTTTGTTCTCTGGAGCGGTATGGTATTGGGAAGCCCATCGCCACTGTCGGGTAACGGAACAAGTCGTGCCAGCATTGTCCCAGGGAAGGCGGGGAATTCGCTTGCTCCTGATCGTCAACTTTGAAATCAATAGTGCATGATACTCGTGTGAGAGTTGGTGTTTGTGAAGTCGGGATTGATGCTTCTTCAACGCTAGTGTTGCTGACGAATGGTGTGCAGTACGATATCCTGGAGTCGTGGGGAGAGCAACGGAGAACAGAGCCTAGCCAGGCAAGTTGCTCTCCAATCTCTGCAATTGAACCCTCTATCCCAGTGACTTCAACGAGAAACTCCTTTTCATTTGCCCAAGCTGCGAGCTGTGTATTATCTGGGAGGGTACCTATAGACATGATAAGCGCCCGCGGGTGCCAATAGGGGGAAAGCGTACATCTGTGTTCATAGCCGCGCTCATCAACCAGTGCAGCTTCGACTAGCTGAAGGATATTGGCACCATATGAATGCCATGTCTGATGGAGGTATTGCAAGCAAGTCATTGCTTGAGCATCCTGACTAGTCCCTGTAATCGTGATTATCTTCCCAAGGAAGCCTTCTTTACTTATATCGTACTCCTGCTCTGCGATGAAAGATACGGGATCCCATTTGAGAAGGTATACTACCTGGTATACTGTTGGCTGGTCATATCGACTGACTCTTCGGGATGACGGGAGGGTCTTCAGGATTCGGTCGCGAATAGCATCTTGAACATTTGGCTCTGCTGGGTGCAACTGAAGTTTCCTCCGAAGACTTCTAAGTAGCCATTCATACACTGGGCTGCCGGTGATTAACTTCCTATAGGTCGCATATTCAGGGAGATTCTCATCGTCTTCAATCAGTATATCTTCGTCACTGTCTGAATTCTCTGCCCCGCTGTCGAATTGTGGGATGGCAAGATCATCATCTGCATCCTCTAGATTTTGATCCCAGAGATCCATGAGGTCGCCTAATTCCATTTTGGTGTCGTCTTGTCTTGACACATGGGTTTCAGTCTGATCTTCTAAGTATTTTACTCTCAACCCATTCGCAATTTCACTGTCAGGATACTTTATCAGCATCTACATGAAGGCAATGACCAAGTCTTGGGGAAGGACGAACTCTCTATGTCGACGGATGAATACCATGATATCCCTGTGTATCTGAGTCGAGCCAAATTGACCAAATCTCATAGCAAAAGCTTTCAGAAGTTGAGGAAGAATGCCGTGGATTCTTTCCGGAAGATTTTGGGCATCTTGATCATACTGGACTTTTCTGAACAAATCATTCACCAATTCGGAAATATAGCTCTCCTTATCCGAAGGGGAAATGCCAGACCTAGCTGTGTAGATAGATTCGGTGTCTTCGCTATAGTCTTCTGCTTTTCTCGGGCTAGCTGCCGCCGGAGGTGAAGAGAATCTCTCCTCACCAGACACTATGCTTTGAACATCGTGAACATATTCTGTACGGTATTCTTCTCCGCGCAGAACCTTCTGGTGGGTAGTAGAAGCGTATCCGGAATCTGTTGGCGGTGCATTGAAGGTACTTTCCTTCTGTCGACTCCATCCCGGGGTTGGATTGCTGTATCCACTTGCATCGGTGCTTCTTGCTTGGTTTGACGGGGACATCGCACGAACGGAGAAGGATGCTACACGTGTATAGGGAATTTAGGAGCGCATTCCAGACAGATTTTAAGTTGATTCGAAAAATCTTACCAGTGTGTATTTTTTTCTCTAGGGCTGGAACCACCAAAAGAAGCTCCTTTGCATAGGCCGCTGCCGCAGCTGCTGCATATCCTTGCCATGCTGTGTTTTTGTGAGAGTCGGCATAGTCAGATATGCCTCGAATGGCCAGACATGGAAGGTTATCCAGGAGACCTGCGGCTTCTAGCTCAAAACAAAGTACTCCCAGCTCCTGACCAATTCGGTCTCGAAGTTGGCCGTTTTTCATCACCTGAGGTCCAGATGCAATGGATCCATAGTGAATAACAGGCTCTTCGTGCTCTCGATCACGTCGTAAAATTAATTTGGATCGATCGCAATCCGCACACGAATCGAATCCGATATGTTCATATTCAGGTTGGAACAGAAAGTCCTCTTCTGGCCGCGCGAACTTTTCAGCGGCGGCAGGAGGAAGTTTCTCCTGCATATCGGAAAGGTAACTGGCGACGTGACCCCCCATACGCCCTGACAGGTTGTGATTCACTTGGAGGGCAGCTAGAGCAGTTGACAGAAACTCAGGGACTTGATGTGAAGATTCGTCCCAGCTCAATACTTTACCCAAATCGTACCTGATCAACCCTCCAGATTTGCCTATCGGCTGGCTCACTACAACATCGCCTAATCGAATGTCTGCTTTGCTGCTTGGTATGCCACCACCGATTCCGACTGAAAGATAAAAGCGGATGGCCGGAAAACTAGAGGATACCTGCCTCTCTAGCGCTACAGATGTCGTAGAGCCATACGTGCCAGCTGGTAAACAAGCAATCACGACGTTGTGATCTCCAACCCTTCCAAGGATATATGTATTGGGATCGTTTGGCGGCATAGGCAACGGTGGATGTATTTCATCCAACATCAGTTTCGCAACTGCCATCTCGATAGGCAAGACGCATATCCACCCGACGTTGTATTCGTCGTGGCGTGGAGGTACTTTGCGGTTCTGATGGGGGTGAGCGCGCATGTCGCGTTTCGATGGACTTGTGGGCATCATCTGTACGGCGGATGGCTGCCAGACCACAGAGCACAAGCGGGGAGAAGTATAGTGGATATAAAAAGGTAGAGATAACAGGGAAGGAGGATGGGCTGTACAATGATCAGACCCTTGACATAGTAAGAGGCTACAATGGAAGACGATAGTTTTGCTGGCCGCATATTGTTGGAATGACCGTCACTTTGGGCAAGAGTGGGCGGGGTTGAGGGCGAGGCTGAGCTTTATCCCGATCGATCTGCCTGAGATTTCCCAAGGCTGAACGAGACGAGACATCTTTTTTAAACTGTATAACATTTTTACATATACAATCAATTATTCTTCATGGGATGGCTCTCGTCCGGATTTTCATTGCCCCAAATTCCTCCTTCGCATTGTCTCCCAATATCTCTGCGATACCACTTCGTACCGCCGCTTCCCTTCTCCGTCCGGGAAGCTGGTCTTGCTGTCTGGCGCCCTGCGCGCGAAACGCCAGCCAGCTGCCGGTAGCGCCTCCCAAGATGAAGATTCAGAGCTGACTGTCTCAGCATTGCAGATATACGCACACCTTGATTTACCTAACTAAGCTTTCTCGTTGTCCTCGAGCCATTTCCGCCAGAGTTTTATCATCATAGTACGCTTCCAGCTGCTTCTTCAATGCTTCTTTATCAGCCTTGACTTGACTGAGAATCTCCTTGATGTTTGGGTATGCGGAGAATTTGTCCTACATAGATCATCAGCTCGGCTTCAACCATCGTGCGGACCTGAATACCTACAGGTAAAGCATCCCACACTTTGGGATCTGGACCTTGAGCTTTGAATGTCCCACAACCAGTCCGTGCATATTCGGTGAACAGAAACGACCGGCTACTTTCGACCATAATGGTCATTTGATCTACAATGTCAGTTACCTGTTCCAAATGATGTTTAATGCCATTGTCTTACTCTCTAAGATCCTCCGAGGATCGTTCACCTGGTTGCGCATTTCATGCACATAGTCATCGCTGAAGTTGCCGTGTGGCGTATGGCTGACCTCGATACTACCTCCTCCGGGCAGGAATTCTTCAGAACGTCCGAGTCCGCTTCCATACAGACACGCAAGAAACTCGGTAGCCGAGTTGCGGTGAAAATACGGAGGACGGAACGTGTTGGACGCCACATCCCATCGTGGTCCAAACCATAGAAAGTCGGCTAATGGCGTTACTGGGTCTTTAGACGGGGCAGTCAATACGCAATTCACAGACGGGTCCGTGTGGTCGATGGATGTTGCATTTTGAGAGGCGAATTTGGTCAGGTCGTACTGTAGAGGACTGTCAGTATCGTGTTTGTCTACATCACAGAATAATCGTTGCATACCTTGTAGGGTATGACATTCCCATGCCATGCCACTAAATCGAATGGGCTGTGACCCTGCTCTATGACGCTATATTGACCATTTGCCTTGTTGACGATTTCCCAGTCCTCGTGGAGGTTCTCGTCAATATGGGCCACGGGATGAAGAAAGTCTCGTGGGTTCGCTAATCCATGACCACCTAAGGGTCCTAAATCAGGTAACTCCCAACGAGAACCCCATATCTCGACGATGTACCCGCGGGCAACATTATGCTCGGGGCCCAAGCGGATAGTGAAGCGTACTCCGCGGGGTATGACACAGACTTCGCCGGGTTGCAGGAACAGCATCCCCATCTCGGTCTGTAAGTCGAGAATTCCCAGCTGAGCCACGATCAGAAAGTCGCCGTCCGCATTACAGTATGCTCGGTGGTCCATGTCTGCGTTGATCATGAAGACATAGAGTGCAATGCCTTCTCGCAGATTTGGGTCTCCACTTCCTCCCAGAGTGTGCAAGCCATCTACAAAGTCAAGTCTCTCATCTTCTTTGGGCAGATGGAACGGTGCCCATTCAGCTTGACCAGCAAACGTTGTCACTTTGGGATTAAGTGTGAGGAAGCAGTTTTCGATATCTGATTTGTGCTCGCAGTCGTTCCTGTAGCCATCTTCACAACGTCAGGGACATTTGCTTGCTTTGAAGAACGAATGGGATCCATACTGTGTGCAGCTGCCGGTCTCACCCGGTACATATAAGTGCTAAAGTTGGCATTTCTGGGTGCTGTGAAGGCCGAGTACGTGAGGCCTTCAGTGTACAGACCAAACCGCGGCTCTTGTGGGTTGTTTTGGCCGGCTGGCAAGGTCCCTGGGATGACTTCTGACTGAAAGCGGTTCCCAAATCCAGCCATGTATTCGTATGGATCATTGTCGCGGGTAGGCTTCCGCGTCATGGTGTCTGTGTAATGGAACACTTTCCTCAGGTCTTTGATGGGCCTTCGCTGGTTGGCTGTGGATGCTGGCATGATGGATAAACTATGTGATATCCGGAAAGTCTATGGAGTTCAAACAAGGGATGGATGGATTAAGACATGTGTAATTGAGAGTGTATGGATATAACAGCATAAGACGCCCTTAAGTATAAGATGGCAAGAACAGCTGATTAACATAATTGAGACATACGTCAATGCATAACCTGAGGGTTGGATAGGCCCCTCATGATCCCATGATAGCTGTCGACGTCTAGAAAGATGGAGTATGTGGAGCAAGACAGCATAGTCGGGGCTAGCTGATGATGTGCGAGTATCCATGGCGCATGAGAAAAGACCCACATGGGTAACAGCGAGGTGGAAGCAGTTCGAAGGAGATCTGAAAGTGTACCAGGTTTCATAGATAACCCAAGAGTACTGACTATCCTCACTGACCCCTTCCCCACAGTCCACTCCCCCCAATGCGGGGCTACCGGCTCCGCGAATGTGGAGCCATTCCTCGATGGCATCTGGGGTTATGGGACACTGCCATATAAGCTTATTTGAACTTGGCAGAGATGGGGCATAGCCATAGGTATCTATCATTTAGTTCGTATTACTATGCTAAGAGTATGGCCCAGGGAGGAATGCATATATCTTGAATCCCTAATCGACAGCAAGAACATCTTCCACCATTCTCGTCGACGCACCCAAGTAATTGACAGGGTCATACAGCTGGCTCAGACGCTCTTCGCTCATTTTTGAGGTCACTTCAGTCTTTTTCATCAAGCACTCAAGCAGTGACTGGTTCGCCTCGATGCTCTCCCGGCAAGCCTCGTAGACGGTGTCATGCGCCTGTTGCCGTCCCACATGTGGTGCCAGCCCCATCATCACTGCCTCTGCCACAATCAATCCCTTAGTGGAGTGAAGATTCTCTAGCATCTTCTGGCTGTGGACACACAAGCCAGATAGAGCAAATTGTGTCTGGGATAGCGCTCCGACCGCAATGACAAAGCTTTCCGGGATAGCTACCCACTCTAGGTGCCAAGGACCTGAGGCACGCTCAAAGTCAGCGACCATGCCGTCAAGAACCAGCCCAGCGTTTGATCGAAGGATTTTCGATGCCGCCAAAATAACTTCGCTCGATATGGGATTGCGCTTCTGGGGCATGGTAGAGGAGGCACCGCGGTGCGGCACAAATGGCTCAGATACCTCGCCCAGCTCGTTGGAGGACATGATGATGATGTCTAGGGCTAGTTTGCCCATTGATCCACCCATCAACGCCAGGAAATTAGTTATCTCCGCTATTCCGTCCCGAGCAACATGCCAGGTGATGGGAGGATCCGTAAGACCCAACTCCTCTGCCAAAGCTTTGCGCACTCGTAGTCCATCATCCCCAGTCCCCAAGGATGCCATTGATCCAGCTGCTCCACCAAACTGAACCAACAAGCAGCGGTCCTTCAGCTGCTCTAGGCGCTCCAGATGACGCTGAAAACCGGATAGCCATACCGCACACTTGTACCCAAAGGTAACAGGAAGGGCATGTTGAAGGTGCGTACGGCCAGCCATTGGTGTGTCCTTGTACTTGACAGATAGTCCACGCAGCGTACTGATAACCTTTTTGAGGTGGTGCTCAACAATATCTAAACCCTCTTTCATTTGCAGCACACTCGCAAGGTCCATGATATCCTGGGTTGTTGCCCCCCAATGCACGTACTTTCCAGCCTCGTCTCCGCATATTGCAGATAGCTGACGAACCAAAGGAAGAATAGGGTAACCGACAATTTCTGTCTCATATCGGAGCCGTTCCATGTCCAGCTTCGATTCGCGGAGCTTCCGAGTTACCATCTCACCGATCTGTGATGGGATCACATCACAGCGTGATTGCGCTCTTGCGAGGGCGGCTTCAGCGTCCATACACCGCTTGATGTACGCTTCATCATCAAATACTTTGCGAATTTCTTCAGTTCCGAATAATGTCCGGAAGATTCCCGAGTCAATTGCACTGACGGACCCGATGTATCTTCGAGATACAATAGGGGAGATGGAGATCCGCGGACGAGTGATACGACATAACTGCGCAAATGAGGATGCTGACATGGTAAGGGGAGATGTGAAGTGTGTAAGGTCACAAGCTAAAGTCAGTTAATGCTGTATATGATATCCGCGTTGAGTACTGGAGAGCAAGCCGTTTAAGCTCGGCTTCGGAATGAGCCATGGGTGTATGTTAATAGAGCGGAGGTGCCTGGAATTGCCGACAGATGCATGGGGGCAGCCCCGCAAGAAATGTGGGGTTCCGCGTATGCCTTCATCATGCCTTCAATCCCTCGACTTCTGTGAACGTTACATGTGGTACAGCACAAGGTCTGATAGGAAAATCATCTAAAATTACTATGCGTGATATGGAAATTCAGTGGTTACCACTCCTCCCAGGATATCAGAAACAGGACCGTTTGCGTGCCATCCCACAATGGACAAAACACATAGACACACGGGTCCGGGACCAACCGTAGTCTATGACGATAGAAATTTAGTGAGCACTGATGTAGTACATTGCTTGCACAGCTTGATAATAGCAACGTTATGTGTGCCGTGAATCTCACGCTGCTATTATAATGTGCAACAGCCAACTGAATGCGGCTTCTTATCAGGATGTCATAGATTGTCGCGCGAAATCACATGTGCGGGGCCATAAACATTTGACGACGAAACAACCTGGTCCATTATTGTCTTTTCTCGAGCTACGAAGTCAACTGAATCCCAATTTCAACCACGACGAAACCTCAGATATACCAATTGTCGGTGGCGGCCGCATTTGACAGGTTGAGCCCACAGGAAAAGCTCTATGCTCATCATATGGCGAGGTACTACACGTCTCCATTCGCGAACGCGCAGCAATGATTTCTAACGTCTTGTATTTAAGGACTGCCTAGGATGGCACGAGAATTATCCTCCGTCAAGTCTCACCAGAAGCTAATGGCATTTTCGACTTCATTATGGACCTCTACAATACCTGTGAAGGGAACTGGGAACAACTTGCTACCAAAACTGGAGTCGGCATTCTGTTGTTAGACGAGTTCCTAGACTATGCTGCTAGATTTTTATCCAATATCGGCAATTACTTCGTGAGAATCTGCCTGTTTACTGGTTGAATTCTTCTCATTTCTCTAGGGATCCGGTGACCAGAAATTCACACCTGATATATCTGGAGAAGCCCTTAATTTTCTAGCATCAGTATCTTCATCGGCGAGTAAGATACTTGAGCAGATCAAGCCTGACGACAGTAAGTCACATTGTCGAGGTGACAGGAGCTAAGACAGTGAATTACAGTCGCCTACAACATGTATCTTCAGCTGGGTGTTGATGGGCTTCGGGGCCTCGAGAATTACGATCCTACGACCAAAGTAAAAAATAAGAGTGTTTGAAGGTATTGCTTACCGATCGACAGATATTGGAACAAGCACATAGTCGAGTAAGTCTATAGCTGACTTGTATCTAGGCACACTATGCCATCTTTCGACATCTCTTTCGCGACAGTGGCGACCTCTATACAGTTACAAAGGATGTGGAGAAGAATAGCTTGACGGTCAAAGTTGACCGATCGCGCGTAATCTCTCATGGCAAACCATCACTGGGTCGCATGCTCCTAAAACTTCATATCTATCGTTGCACTGCTGACGTCTCCAACTGCCGCCGCTTCTATGAGAATCTATCAATTGTTGACGACGAAGCTCTGAAATGGAGAGATATTCTTGTCTCCAAAAAAGACCCTCCTTTGGTGTTTAGCCAAGCAAACACCTACCTCGTCGGTGATGACGTGAAGATAAAGGAGTATGAACCCACAGCTCAGGGAGTTGTGCAAAGCTGGGCTGAAAGAAGCATCGAATAACACTTTGCACTCAGCATACAACACAACCAAAAACAAATGCATAAGAAAAACTCGAAACATGGTAAATTCTACTAATAAACCTAGATAATACGCCCTATTGCATAATTATTCAGACAGACTGCGAAATAGCAGTGGTCCGGCTCTCTCCTTATAGCAATAATGCACAAGAGCGCCAAAACTGACAAGGCATAAAACCACTATTAATAGTCATTGCGCATATTGGCATGTCTACAAGAGACTATCCGTAACCATCGTGTTACTTACAGCCACTAGTTCCGAACCTAAACAAAGATTACCCAGATGTATTGTAGTACATGACTTATCGTTTCGCAGATTGCAAAGAATGACAATCCAAACATCTTGCATCGTTATACTGATATCTGTGGGATATTCCGATCCGCTGCAAATGCCCTAGGTTCCGGCCTACGCAGCATTGGGGACATTCCACAAAGACCAGATATTTCAGTATGCGCCTACGCATATAAAGGAGTATAATAATCCTGTCGTCTAGTTTGCAAGATCATAAATCTAATCAAGTCCTTTGTTCGTTTCTATAGAGTTAGCTTACCTCTCTCAGAATTACTGAAGAGGAACTCTATCTACTCATAACGGACAAAATTGAATCCTAACCAAGTCTAAATCATGCCGTACTACGTTCACCTTCAAGAGCACGTAGTCGACGGGATGCTGGAACCCATCATGCGAAAGTACTACCTGATGACTGCTGCAAATGCCACTGCGGCCGAGAAATTTCTTGTCGGACTGCAGAAATATGCCCGGACACCGAACACGCAGATGTATAATGCTAAGGCGGTGACCTTGGAGTGGTGGAACTGTAAAGTCAGTTCAGCCGGTACCATCCGGTGGATCTACAACGAAATGATTGCCGAAAGGCCTGAGAATTACAACTATGTGCAAGAATTGACCGACTGCTGTGATACAATCCTTATCTCCGATTTGGAAGCAGTGAATTGGCCAATTCTTCCAGTCAATCAGGAAACTTCACAAGTAAGGACGATTTTTGATCACCACTTTAATCGGTTTTGATGGAGTCTTTATCTTGGTGGCCAAGAATGGTTTAGGGGGATATGGTCACGTGGTTGTCGGTTTCCCGATTCTCTTAGCGGTAGCATGTATCGAGAATGACCAGAATGCGAAATAATTATGCTTTTGATCTTGAGTGGCCAGAGTAGTCCATCTTTACCCTCATAATGTAGAACCCAAAAAATATTGTTGTGAAGCAGGGAATGTGCTACCCCAGATCGAGACCCCACAAGATCTCCCGAGTCGGAGGGAAAGTCGGCAGAGTCAAGGCTGGCCAGGAACATCGGCGAGTTCACCCGATTTGTCTTGCCGATGCCAGTCCCGCTGTCGGAATCGTAAAATACGCCGTCGTTGTGACGGGATCTCCCAATTGGGCGATTATCTAATCAATCATCGCCGCCGGGGGACCCTGAATTAACTGACTGACAAGCAGAAAGTAACTACGAAACAATCCGTGCATTGGGGGATACCGGTGGATTCGGAGCACGTTTGACAAGGCCATTCCGGTCCGATCGCGTGCCTTGATAGCGCTTTTGAGGGGAAGACCCGGGGTGAGTTCAACAGGGGGCGCGCGGACACCCCGCAGGCAGAACGTTTCTCCCCCCCACAGGCGTACGAGGCAATACGACCCCAGCGGTGAGACAGTGGGGTCGGCTTCGGAAGGCGGCAAAGCGATGCTGGAAGTCGGCGGCGGATAATCGCTTTTGTCGGCTGCGCCATCATGCTCACTAGCCGAACGGCGAGCTACGCGATGCTGCAGAGCCGGTCTGGCCTAGGCTGAGCTTCTTTTTATCGCTGGCCTTGTCCGTCCTTCTCTCTTTCTCTTCTTTCTTTCTTTCCCCAGGTTTTGACTCCCTCCGCAGATCTCAATTCTTTTGTCAAGGCTGGTCGACAACCATGTCGCGGCCTGTTCCTGCGGTGTTCCGCCCCATCTGGCGGCGGAATTTCTCCGTCTCAACTGCCAAGCGCGCAATCGATAAACTATGCCCGTCCGCTCAGGAAGCGATCAAGGATATGAAGGGTTCTTCGACCCTTCTTGTCGGTGGTTTCGGTTTCGCTGGTGTCCCTACTACCTTGATTGATGCCGTGCGTGACCGCCCGGACATCAAGGATCTGACTGTCGTCTCCAACAATGCTGGTATGCCCGGTGTTGGTCTCGGTAGGTCTACTCCATTGCAATTGAACGACTACTCAGTTCGTAATCGGTCTAACGGATAATGATAATAGGCCAGCTGCTGGAAAGCAAGCAGATCAGCAAGATGATTGCCTCTTTTATCGGTGAAAACAAGGTCTTCGAGAAAATGTATCTCACTGGTGACCTCTCTCTGGAATTGACCCCCCAGGGTACCATTGCGGAAAAGTGTGCCGCTGGTGCCGCTGGTGTCCCTGCCTTCTATACCCCTGCTGCTTACGGAACAATTGGTATGCTTACTTCAATGGCTATTATTCAATCCCTGAAGTCAACTAACAGTTAACGCTGAAAAGTGCAATCTGGTGAACTCCCCGTGCGTTACAACAAGGACGGTAGCGTCGCTATCAAGAACGCCCCCAAGGAAGAACGCGAATTCAACGGAAAGAAATACATCCTGGAAGAATCGATTTTCGGTGACTACGCCCTGGTTAAGGTCCACAAGGCCGACAAGCTGGGTAACTGCCAGTTCCGCAAGTCCATGAACAACTTCAACGAGGCCATGGCCAAGAACGCCAAGTACACCATCGTCGAGGCCGATCACATCGTCGAAGTTGGCGAGATTGACCCCGAGAGTATCCACCTCCAGGGCATCTACGTCAACAAGGTCATCCAGAGCACCGGCGAGAAGAAGATCGAGAAGCTCACTTTCGCCAAGGACCCCAACGAGATGCTCCAGGCTGGTCAGTCACCAAAGTCAAGTCCCAGGTTTTATAGCGCAGATCCGCTAACAATGTCGATGTTATAGGTTCCGGTGATGCCACTGCCCGTCGTGAACGTATCGTCAAGCGTGCCGCCAAGGAATTCAAGGACGGCATGTACGTCAACCTTGGTATCGGTATGCCCCTGATTGCTCCTTCCTACGTAGAGGAGGGTGTGGAGGTCGTCCTCCAGGCCGAGAACGGTATCCTGGGTCTGGGTGGCTACCCCAAGCCCGGTGAGGAGGACCCCGACTTGATCAACCCCGGCAAGGAGACCGTCACCCTGGGTCGCGGTGCTTCTGTTTTCGGTTCCCACGAGAGTTTCGGTATGATCCGCTCTGGCCGCATTGACCTGACCATGCTTGGTGCTCTCCAGGTCAGCCAGTACGGAGGTAAGCTCATTTCCCTTCACACCACAAAGTTATAATGAACAATACTAATATCTAATCTTCAGATCTCGCCAACTTCATGCTTCCCGGTAAGGTCAAGGGTATGGGTGGAGCCATGGACCTCGTTTCCAACCCCGAGAAGACCAAGGTCGTCGTCACCATGGTAAGTCACAATCCTTTACTTACATCCACAACGTCGAATGTCCATTAACAATGAAACAGGAACACACCGACAAGAAGGGCAACCCCAAGATTCTCCCCGAGTGCAGCTTCCCCCTGACCGGCCCCCGCTGCGTGTGGAAGATCATCACTGATCTGGCCGTCTTTGAAGTCAGCCCCACCGAGGGTCTGACTCTTGCCGAGTACGCCGAGGGCGTGACCGTCGAGGAGATCCGCAGCAAGACTGCTGCTCCTTTCAAGGTTTCTGCTGATCTGAAGCCTATGCTGTAAATTTATTATACCACTTTTGTGCTTCGTGCTTCACACATCTTGCATGGTTGTTTATAGATTGTGATTGTTGTATATAACGTTGATGTTGATGACTGGTTGGTTGGATAAAGGAAATTCAAAACTAGATTCATGATATACACACTACTCATTCCTTAAACAAAAACCTCATACACATAATACACGTATACACCATCAATACAATAGATAATTGATGGAGAAAGAGAAAAGAGAAAGAAGAGAGATCAATGTCCCGTCTTCGACCTATTAACCGACCCCGTCGTCCCCTTATGTGTCCCCTCAGCAGGATTCGGCGCAGTACCGGTATTCATCCTCCTCGCGGCAGCGACATTCGGTGCGTTGTAGGCGATATTACCACTTCTCTCTTTTTGTTCTTCGTCCTCTTCTTCCTCCTGTTGGGCCCATGCATTCTCGTAGTCGTCGACGGGGAGGTCGTCGCGGACAGCGCCGTGGACTTTCTTTGGTTGGAGGGGTGGGGAGGCGATTGGTTTGGAGGGCATTTTGTTGATGCTTCTCGACGGAAGGGGGAATTATTGGGTTTGTTGTTTGGTGGTTGGTTAATTTGGGGGTGATGCTTCGTTTGTAAGGTATGGAAGGCAAGTGAGATAAGATTGAAGATGGGATGGAATGGAACGAGGAAGAAAAAGAGGGTAGTTTAAATAACCAAGTACATCAGTAGTACTGAATAACGTAGGTTCGAAGAAGCGTTATGATGAGATCATGAGCTATAGAGTATCATGTTGTATGGTAAGATCAAAATTCAATTTGTACGGATCCACAAATATGCAGTCTTGTTAACATGATTGAGTGAGTGATATAATGGTTCTTTGTATGATCGGAGGCGAATATACTTCATGCTATATGATGGGATGGTGATGGCGTCATGGCGATGTAAGATGTGCATGGTTTGAGGTACTCTGTAGGATCCGGGAATTGAGCTAATATGTAGAGCATAATTCTACAGGTTAACGATCAACTCTGAAGTGTTTGGCTGGAAGACTTTTGATGGAAAGAATGCTGCGGCTGGTATGGGTTTCTGTTTGGTAGACGGAGCGGATGGGTGCATACCTTCCCGATTAGGGAAACATAGCACGAGGTTCTTGGCTCACTTTTGTAATGCGGTATTATAATCGAATGCTTGTGGCGCACAGCTTGAAGATTTGGCTCATGATATAGTACTCGTTTGGTCATTGTAGAGAAATAGCATACGATTAGGCCATTGTACATACAGCATATAGTTCCTCCTTTAGCAAAGTAGACTCAAGGATTCCTCCATGATAAAATAAGCAATTATTTGTAAGTAAACCACGCGGGAGATATAACGTTGCGGCGTCCCAGCGACCGACCAAGTTTATAATCAATAAAATAGTACTTGCATGCCCCATATATCAATTGTCTAATGGACTACCAAAGAAATTGTTGTTGAAAGCTCACAGAAGGTGCACCTCGCCACAAACTCGGTTTCTGCATACCAGGGAACTCATGGACCGCTTCTGCTCGAGCGCGCTGATACTGTATTGCTTCGAAAACAGGATCCATCCGTGGACGATTCTCTCTGGCCTCACCATCGAATCCACTGCCATATGCAACTTTGGCCGGCGATGAACCGGCATCTATCGGGCTGTTTGGTATCTCGATCTGATGTATCCGTGGTAGCGTAGGCATGTCGCGATAGCCTTGAAACTCAGGCATCTGGTCTTTTGGAGATACAGTCTCCGGTTGGTATTCAGACTGTGAGGCAGAAGGACGCTTAACGGCTTCAGGTCCCGAAGAGTGTCGTGTCGAACCATCTCCATCATTGCTCAAACAATCATTCTGCCAGTCACGGATGTCCTGGACAGTGTGTAGAGGAAATCTCTTCCAATAGTCGGTGCCTCGCTTTCCGAGGCGGGAAGATGATGATGAGTACGTTTGTGGCGGACTGCCGCTATTCCTATGCCTGCTTGAACGATCTTGGCGTCCCTGAACCGAAGCAGAGAGCTGAGAATCTGGGATTTGGGCGAGTAGATTCAGAAGCAGACTTTCTGTTTCATGGAGACGATGCTCCAAGGCTTCTATATAACCTTTTGCCGGGCCACTAAGAGGTATAAGGTTGATACACTTCAAATTTCAGCAGTTGGCGTAGCTTACCGTTTCAACTGTTCGGGCCAGTCGCACGGCCGATTGTGCTGGTCGCATTGAGTACAAATTGGCCTTGCAAATTGGATTGCATGAGTAAAAGTCTGAAGTAAGAACGAGGGACCTCCTACTTACTTATTCCCACTGCACTAGAAACACATAGACTGTTAGATGGGAAGAATCACGAGGATCAGGTATAATCTCACCTTCTGTTTCCGAAACCGGCAGGAATTACAAGCCACTGTAATGCGAGACACTTTGTTCGGCTTTGCAGGCGCCATTGTTGACCGGTTAATAGTTTGAACGAGGAGTGACGCAGTAAAGTATGCAGTAGATTGACCGGCTCCGCTCGGGGATCAACGTAGTATCGGCCAGAGGGCAGGATTAAGAGGGCGCTCGAGGAAAAGCGTTATGGAGCAGCGGATTGCCGCCATAGAAAGGCTAAGCAACTCGGGTCGATCGTGGCTGCCGCTTCGGGATAAGCGCAGGGACGGTGGAGACCTCTTACGGCTGAACGCTTAGCCGACGCGTGGCTTCCTCTGTGAGCAGTGCCTGTGCCTGTCCTTGAGGGATCAACAATCACCCTGCTCTGCACACCCTATTATCTACTCAGCATCTATACATTATACGCGTTGGTGGTTGTGGCATCCATAGTAGCCAGTCCATCGCAGAACGGCATATGGAGACCAGGCTAGGAAGCCGGCCTGTGCGGTAGCCACTGATTCGGTATAGTCTTGATTATATAAGCACATCAGTATCCATCACTGCCTCCATATCATACTAGCTCCATTTGCATAAGCCAACGAAAATAAACTACTCGCTAATAGTGTATATCAAAACGTGAAATTACGAGGCATGAATACAGTCGCGTGCGGCGAAACTATGGCGACATGCTCAGGACAAACCTTCAGCCTGAGTAATAGCCGGAGCGGGGAAGTATATAGAGCATCAAGATGCGGGGATCAAACGAGTATTGATAGTCAGAGATTCGTTACTCACTCCAGCTCCTACTATCGTGTTTTGGGCTTGCAAAGACACAATGACTACAGAGACAACTACTTATCGTATCGCATCCATCCCGGGTGACGGCATTGGCGAGGAAGTAGTGCGAGCGACCATTGAAGTGATTAACAAGCTCGCTCAGACGTTAAATACATTCAACATTGAATTCACGCATCTCCCATGGGGCACTGAATACTACAAGCAACATGGTCGGTATGTATCTGAAGGTTACTTGGACACTCTGCGACAATTCGACGCAGGCTTGTTTGGCTCTGTGGGACATCCAGGTATGAATATTCGATCCTGACACGACAAACAGTCACACTAACTAATCCTAGACGTACCCGATCATGTCTCCTTATGGGGCCTGCTATTAGCACTTCGCAGTCCATTGCAACTATATGCCAACGTCCGTCCTGTGCGCACTTTTCCCGGAACCAAGTCACCTCTGACCACAGCTGTGAACGGCATTGATTGGGTCCTTGTGCGAGAGAATTCCGAGGGGGAGTATTGTGGCCAAGGCGGACGCAGCCACACGGGTCAGCCATGGGAAGCTGCGACAGAGGTGGCGATCTTCACACGAGTTGGTGTCGAAAGAATTATGCGCTTTGCATTTGAAACAGCGCGCTCCAGACCGCGTCGCCACCTGACCGTCGTCACCAAAAGTAACGCCATGCGCCATGGAATGGTCCTTTGGGACGAGGTCGCTGAGGAGGTTGCGAAAGACTTCCCGGACGTCACCTGGGACAAGATGTTGGTGGACGCCATGACCCTCCGCATGATTTCGAAACCGGAGTCGTTGGATACTATTGTGGGAACCAATCTGCATATGGACATTCTGTCTGACCTGGCAGCTGGCTTGGCTGGTTCCATCGGCGTGGCACCATCCAGCAACCTTGACCCTACCCGCAAGAATCCCTCGCTGTTCGAGCCGGTCCATGGAAGCGCTTTTGATATCATGGGAAAGGGCGTGGCCAACCCGGTGGCCACCTTCTGGTCCGCTGCAGAGATGCTAGCTTGGTTGGGTGAGAAAGATGCTGCCAAGAAGTTGATGGATTGTGTCGAGAAGGTGTGCGCTGCTGGGATTTTGACACCGGATCTCGGGGGCTCGGCGAATACTCAGGGAGTTGTGGATGCAGTTTGCAAAGAAATTGAACAGCAGTTGGCTTCATCGTAAGCAAACATACGGCAACTGGCGTTTTTGGCTTGACATTTTGCCCGGGTTTCTTGTCCTGTGTGACGATACTGGGAAAGACGTGGTGTAGATGCGATTATTTTCCTGTCAAGCATAGCATCGAGAAGGTTTCATAGTCAGACTGCAATGTCCTCTAGTCTTGCTTCATAAGTTCTGATAGGAATCATATCCTCGAGAAACAGCCTTGTTTCATAATAAGCTACAGCTAGATAACTCCTGCCTTTCCCTGCTTCTAGTGTGCGGTCACCTCCAGTTAGTAGCACCAAGGTCATGTCACAGTCATATCCAAACACGATACACAGGTCTATCTTCCAATCTGGTACATATCCTCTAGGCATTTATGCCGTGGAACAGGGTGCTCACTTCTTGCCAATAATTTCAGCAAGCAGTATAGGCTGGTCAGCATTAGACATCCACATCATAAGAGTCAACTCACCCTCTGACGGTTGAGAGACCAGAAGTGGGTCATACGCCTTTATGATAGCAGGCCCTCCTAGAGAAAATCAATATCCAGGGATTGATATTCATAGCATCAGAAATGTTGATGGTGTGTGGTGCCCCATCTGTGCTCCATCCATGACTAAGCAGGCACCCGGATTTGCGTCTCGCAGTTCAATCCGAGATCCTTGACTTCAACGCCAACTTCTCTTCCATGCTCTCTCCTTATCCGCGACGGCAGCATCATGATCCCACGAGAATGGAGCCTCCGGACCTTACCAATGGCCCATCCGAGATTGGTTCCCTGACTGCGCATTCCAAGGATGAGAGCCAATTTGTCGGTAGCTCCAGTGGCGTCTACTTCATCAATACCGTCCGACGGGCTTTCTCCGAAAGTCTAGATCCGAGTGGTTCATCGCCTGCTCAAGACTTCCCCCAGCCCGAGGATACCTTGGTAGGCAGTGATGCCTCGCATAAGACGTCCCCGGTTGCACTGCAGGATGACCAGTTTCCGTGCCGATGGGCATATGATTCCGCAGTGGCAGCGGTCTTGGGGAACGCTCCCCCGCTTGATACAGCTCGGGAACTCATGATGGTGTACTTCAAAGTTTGGCATCCTTTGTTCCCTTTCCTACATGGCCCTACTTTTTTACAGGCCATGGAGGGACTCTATTCAGAAGATCGCCAGGAGCCAGCCCGTAACGAAGCGATGGCCGATCACCGACATGTTTGCTGGACAACAATCTTCCAGTGTATCTTCAATTTGGCCAATTCTGTCCATCCGGAGATCAATCTCCCGCTGGAGTCTCGGATTGAATCGCCCAGCAGCATGCATTCTCTCCTTGGGACGCTGACTAGTAAACATGATATGTTGTCCTTGCAGGCACTTCTTGCTTGCCAACTATATCTGCTTGCAAGGATGTCCCTCCGGACAGCCTCCACCGTAGGTGGCTGCATGCTGCGTTCCATGCTGCACGCTGGTCTCCATCGCTGTCCGTACCGATACAAGGAGCTCACAACCCACGACAGACAGTTGCGCAAGAGGATCTTTTGGTGTGCCTACGCTATTGATCGGTACCTAAGCCAGGCACTTGGGCTGCCCCTCGGTGTGCAAGACTCGGATATCGACGTCTGTTCACCCAATGCGCCTGAAATCCATATACCAGGAATGTGCAATAGATCCCATTTCGTCCGGTCTACGTCGTATGCTGAGCAAAGGGAACACCGCTCCCAGCTCACAAGCAACCAACACCTTGAAAACACCTCACCGCATGCCTTCTCAGCCCACAGCAGCTCCTCAGCCGAAGAAGCCCAGCAAAACCGCCGCGAACTTGCCTTTGCAAGCTACGTCGAGTCCGGCACCCTGACAGGACGAGCCCTCGAGCTCTTCCACAAATCTATTACTGTGCGCTCCGTCCCACGTAGCTCCGTTCTATTCCTCATCACAGACGTCCATAAATGGTGGAACAATCTCTCCATCGAGACACTTCAAGGCCAACAACAACAACCACAACCACAACAGTCATCCACCGACCAACCCCCATCATCCTCCCCAGCAGCAACAACCACCGCCGCATTCAACTTCGCCCCCTTCTTCACTGTTCTTTACCAACATCTCATCCTCCTCATCAACCGCCCCTCCCTCTCCCTCAGCCCTTCTACCCCCGAATTCTGCTCCGGACTTCAAACTTGCATCAATGCCGCAAGGGAGATCATCTCCGCGTTAACGACGCAACAAGAAAGCGGTCAATCATTCTTCTGGCCCGGTTTCCTCTCTGCTGCCTGGATGTCAGGTCTCGTCCTTGCATTTGCATGCCAACTCCGCCAATACGTCCTGTCCAAGGGAGCTCAGTACGTTACCCTCCCCCGATCTTCTTCCTGCACAATTGTCTCACAAAACCCCCCTAACCTGCATGCACCCCACACCCGCCCAACCTACCTACCAACCCACCCCACTAACAACCGTAAACCAGAGAAATTACCAAATGTCTCACAATTCTGCACACCATGTCCACGCAATGGGACGCAGCCAAGCACTGCCACAGGGCGCTTTCCCTTCTATCTCGGACTATCCATGAAAATACCACCACCGCAGGTGATCCATCATCATCACCTAACAAACGACGAAAAGTAGTAGTAGATCCTCACCAGACTACCTTCTTCACTCCCATTAACTCGCTATCCACGACCAACTTGAATGAAGAATATGCAAGAGGACGGGCAGGAAGGAGAACCCCTGCTACTGCTACTGTTGCAACAACATCTGGCCTGCATGAACCTACTAACACTAGTAGCCATGTACACTTGTCTCACGAAGATCGTTTGTTCTCTGCGGAGGGGGTTAGTACTACGAATGATAATAATGGAGATGCGGTGGGAGAGTTTGATTTCGGGATTGTGGATCTGCTGGAAGGGAGTAACTTTGATGATCTGGCGGATATGTTTGGGCAGCAGTATCCTTCTTTTTGAGGGGTCGTTGAGTATACTACAACATGATGTTTTGAGTATATATGGGCAGGGGAGGATGTATGATAGTGGATATTATGAGGTACAGGAACCGTGTAAATACAAATAGTTACGTCTACAAAATAGAAACGGAGGTCCACATATTACGTAGAATACGTGAGAAAGATCCCGTGAGGAAGTCATAAGTCTATATTACACTCGTGTCATATCGTAGGATACGAGGTAGGTAGTATGGCGGGGATAGGAAGAGAAAAGACGTCACAACTTCCTCCCTCTCGTGACATGAAATAAGAGAACCATGGCATCCGAACAACTTTTCATCTCCGTTCCCAGAATCGGCCCGCCTTCCTTTGCCCAGCGCCCTCTTGTATCACGTGCACTATAACATTGACAGGGAAAGAACCCTCAAAGCGCCCTTCAAGAGGAAGTAGGAGAAAGGAAAAGAGACGGGAAATCCGGTCAAGGTGATGTCGCTCGCTAATCATGGACCGATAACACCACTAACAAAGAACTTTTGGGAACCGAGGGATATCAGGACCAGGAGGGAAAGAGAAGAGAGGTGTTAAAAAAAAAAAAAAAAAAAAAAAGTGGAAAGGTTAGGGGGTGGGTAAAATGGAAAGGAGGTGTCGGATAGGAGGAAAATAAGAGGTGAAATCGTTAATTCGAGTAAAAGAGGTAAAAGAGGTCATCAAAAATAGGTGGGAGTCAAAAAGGTCCGACATGGCAGACTGCTGAAATCAAACCACCGGTGCAGGAGATGAGACGCGGATTTACGCCTTGTTCTCCTCGGTCGAGGCCTCCTTCTCCGCCTCGGGCTTGGCAGCCTCAGCGGCAGGAGCCTCGGACTCGGTGCCCTTGTTCTTCATGTACTCATCGTAAACGCTAAGGGCCTCATCGACCTTGGCGCGCAGGGCTTCCTCGTCCTCAAGCCTACAATAATATATTAGCAACAAGAACTGACAGTCAAATGGAGCAGAAGGGAAAAAAACTCACAGGCTGAGCAACTCGGTGTTGTCCATCTCCAGAAGCATACCAGTGATCTTACCAGCCAGCTCAGGCTGCTGGGCCTGGATCTTGGGGTAGAGAGCCTCGCCGAGCATCTGCTTCTGCTGGGCCGGGGGAGCGGCACCCAGAGTCTGAGCGTTAACACCACCAGCGGCACCCTCCTGAGGACCAGCGGGCGCAGCAGCGTTCTGTCCGCGACCACCCTGGCCAGGGCGCATCTGACCCTGCTGAACAGGAGCACCACGGCCCTGACCGTAACCGGGACCGCCACGCATACCCTGACCCATGGGCATTCCGGGGACCTGACCACGGCCACCAGCGCCGCGTCCGAACTGCACCTGAGCCATCTGGGGGTATCCCATGCCGTTAGGGATGCCACCAGGGCCCTGCATGCCCATGGGGATACCCTGAGCAAAGTTGGGGGGAATCTGCTGGTTGGGGCCCATGCCGCGACCACCCTGCTGGCCGGGGAAGGGACCGGGGTACTGGCCGGGGCGTCCACCGGGGATACCCATCACCATACCGGGCTGAGGGGGGAAGGCCATGCCGCGCTGACCACCAGGGATGAAGCCCTGCTGGCCGGGGCCGTAGAAGACAGCGGGCTGCATGTAAGGCTGGGGCATACCAGCGGCAGCGGCGGCCTGCTGCTGTCTGATGGTGTTGCGAGCCTGGATGCTAGCCTCGAGCTGGCTGCGGCGGACATCCTTGCGCTGGGCAAGGGCAACGTAGAGGGGCTTGCCGTTGACCATTCTCTGGTTCATCTCGGTAACGGCCTTGGAAGCCTCATCGGGGCTGCTGAAGCAGACGAAACCGAAACCCTTGCTCTTACCGAAGGGCTTCTTGTCAGACTTCTTGGCCTCCTTGTCCTTCTCCTCGGAGGACTCGCTGGGCTTCTCCTCGGCCTTCTCAGCCTTCTCAGCCTCAGGGGTGGCCTCCTTGTCGTTCTCCTTGTCAGCCTCCTTCTCCTTACCAGCAGAGTCGGGAGACTGGTCGCGCTCGACGTTGGTGTCGCGCATAACCTTGGCAGAGGTGATGGTGCCGTAAGGTCCGAAGAGCTCACGGAGCTTCTCATCATCAATGTCATCGGTCAGGTTCTTCACGTAGAGGTTGACACCCTGGTACTTGGAAGCCTTCTCCAGGCGGGCAGCCTCGTACTGCTTGCGCAGCTCCTCCTCACGCTCGTGCTTCTTCTGGGCACGACCGACGTAGAGCTTCTGGCTGCGGATCTCCTTGTCGTTCATCTCCTCGACGGCGGCCTGCGCGCTCTCGTGGGTAGAGAAGTTGACAAAACCGAAGCCACGGCTCTTGCCCTCCTGGTCACGGCTGAGGGTGGCGGAGGTGATCTCACCGAACTTCTCGAACATCTTGCGGAACTCATCGTCATCGATCTCAGAGTCGAGGTTCTTGATGTAGACGTTGGTGAAGTTGGCCTTCATCTCCTCGAACTTGCTCTGGCGGTCCTTCTTGGAGATGTGGTGGCCGACGAAGACCTTCTTGTCGTTCAACAGCATGCCGTTGACGTGCTTGATGGCGTTGTTGGCAGCCTCAGCAGTCTCGTAGTGGACGAAACCGTATCCCTTGGAGTTGCCGAACTCATCCTGAGCGACCTTGCAGCTGAGGATGTTGCCGAAGGCAGCGAAGGTGTCGTGGAGAGCCTTGTTGTCAATGGCGCTGTCCAGGTTCTTGATGAAGACGTTGCCCTGGCCAGTCTTGCGGAGAGCGGGGTCACGCTGGGACCACATGATACGGCAGGGCTTGCCCTTGATCAGAGTGTAGTTGAGGTCTTCCAGAGCACGCTCACCATCGGCGGTGTTGTTGTAGTTAACGTAGGCGTATCCAAGAGAGCGTCTGGTGACGGCATCACGGCAGACACGGATGGAGGCAACCTGGCCGATGGAAGAGAAGAGCTCGTAGAGCATGGCCTCGGTCACCGAGGGGTCGAGTTCACCGACATAGAGGGAAGCCGAGTGAGGCTGGTTGGCAGCGGGAGCCGGAGTAGAGTTCTCAACGGCAGTGACCTCGGGGGTGGTGGCACTGGGGGCAGCAGCAGCAGGAGCAGGGCTGGCCTCAGCGGCGCCGTTGACGTTCTCGGCGGCGGGGGTGGTAGAGACGTCGGCAGACATTTTTGTGGTGTTACTGTTGGACAAGAAGGAAAAAAAGATGTCAGCACAGTGTTCGATGATGAAGATACGAGAGAGTGTGTGAGGAGGGGGAGGGGGACAAGCTGTAACAGGCGACCAACTGGAGGATTGGAACAAAGCTCTCAAGCAACAATGAACGAGAACAATCGCAAGACAATGAAGCAGAGACAAATGATGACAGCGGGAGATGAGCAAGGGGATAAGATAAAACACAGAGGCAGTGTGGGCTTGTCTGATGGAGACGGGGATTTCCTTCCCAGGCGGTCACACTATCACCGTGATAGAGCCAGGCAAGGGAAGGTCGACAGAGAGAGGAGGGGATGGTGGAGGAGTAATGATGATCCACGCAACAAAAGTACAACCTCAATTTAGACACCGAGAAAGACCGTCAAGACAACGGCTGCTGATATGAAAGGAGGATGGGAAAGTGAAGCGAAAAGACGATCACGAGGAATGAAGAATATGCGGTTGAGGGAAAACTTCCAGATGCACGCACAAAACACGCGCGCCCACACACACACACACCGCACAACTTTTCGGAGGCAGTGGGAAAAAGTCACAGTAGGGCCCCAACACGGAACAACGAAATTCTGATGGACGAAGGGGAGGGGATAATTACTTTGGTTTTTTTGTTCTTTTTTCCCGTTTTTTTAGGAGGTTTTTTTCGAGGAGTTTTCGAAAAAGGGAGATATGAAAAAGGAGGAAGAAGAGAAAAGGATGCTGGGGATAGACAGCAGAGAAGGGTTTTATGGATTTTTTTGGGGAAGGAAGAAAGAAGGAAGAAGAGCGGATGGAGGAGGAAGAGAAGAGACGGCGAAGAATGAAAATCGCCCCGAAAAAGACCTTCTTTTCTGACTGTGACTGACGGACTGAAATTCTGCCTGCCTTTTTTTTTTTTTTTTATCTGAAAAAAACTCAAAACGATAAAATTTTCTTTTGCTGTCTTTGGGTCGGCAGGTGGCGCTAAACCTAAATAGTCTATGGTCCTCGCCGCTTGAACGGTGCTTCACGGAAATGGTGGGTTCCTTTTCGGGCTTTAAACTCGAGCGGCAAAAAAAAAAAAAAGGAAAAAAACCAAACTAACACATTGAAGGATCTTTAAGTTACATGTGCCTCAGGCATTAAAACGAGACTAGGCCACCATCAGGCAGTCAATCAATAATATCGCCATCATCCATCCATGTCATTCTTTCACCATCCATTCATGGTTTCATTGACACGGGAGCTTGGAACAGCAGCCACAGTGTGTCTGCAGAGGTCGGGCCTTCAATCAACAAAGAATCCCTAACAAAGCGAACCAGTCTCGAAACAAGTATTGATGAAAGCTATCTATCTGGTTGGTCGAAGCTACCCCTCGCAATATGAACAAAGCCCCGAGACGAAAGCAAGTGTAGTAGATACCAGGACTCGAGCTAGAAATAGCACTCATCCTCGGAAAAATAGACACACAATGAAACGCGTAATCAACAACCACAGCAACGACCACAGAAAAAACAGGACACATGGATCACCAGGACGCCTCAGCTATGCTACTCATGATTATTCACTAAATGCGCTGCATGTATAATTGCATCGACCGATCCGGGTCATGCAAAATCTCCACCCTCTTCAGCTCAGATCAAATCCAGCTCCGGAATTGACCGCATACAAAAGCTTCTCCCGGAGGATATTGGCGTTGGTATACCGGGGCAGCTTGAGAAGATTCACGCAGGTGCTTGTACTGGGGAGTCGTTCTTGATCCTCGCTCGAGTCTCGAATGCTGAATCGAGGATTGAGATGGCTGAAACCCAATAAAGGAGCCCGCGGGGTCGATGTCACAAATCGAAGCACTTTCTGTCTTTCTTCGTTGGACATCTTCTCCATCACTTCCCAGAACAGCTTGACGGTGGGATGCTCTTCTTTGTCGTCCCCGATCGTGTATACTCCTCCGTAAAGCGTGTTGCGTCGCAAGTCGGCTACATCAATGTCTCCTGAATCGCCACTCACAAGCGTCTGCAGCTCCGTCTGGTTGAACATCGACAGCCACGACGGCTGGATGATTTGTCCCAGGCCCTGGAGGAAAGCGTTGGTCTGCAGAGCAGGCTGGACTTGAAGCCGGTAGCGAGCAATGTAAGAGATATAAACCAACCGGTTCTGATTCGTAACAGGTATGTCTGACCCATGGCTTTTCAAGTCTCGGGTAGTCGTACGGTTACCCCCGTCGGGAAGCGGTATCGTGTCGGTGACGGTGAAGTTCAACGAGAAGTCCTCCACATCGCCCGGATAGTTCTTCAGTTGCAACTGCAGCATCGGTTAGCAGCTGGCACACGATTTCAAGAACACCACTGTTCACTTACCAATCCTTGGTATAGCCCCTGGTCCAGATCCTTCAGATCGTTCAGGTTGGCGCGGTAGGCTGTCTCGCGCTGGGCCGAACCCGTGCCGCCCGTCAAAGCCCACTTCAGCAGGAAGAACGGGGCAAAGTTGACATCCACCAAGATGCCCTCATATAGACACTTTCCAATGATACGGCCTAGGAATTCATAGCGCCTAAGTAGATCACGGACGTTCTCGTTCCATTCTGCAGTGTTCTCGACAAAGCCGAGCTGTCTCAGAAGCTCTCGTCGCTGCTCAACCGCAGCCGGGTTCGGATAGAGCAGGTGCTGATCGTTCTCTTCAAATAGATTTAGATCACTTGTCGATTTAAAGGCTTCACTAGTCACGCTCGTGAGGAACTCTTTGGTCACACCACCACCATCTATACCAGCTTCGGTTGTATTAAACTTGTCAATGAACGTGATCTGAATGGGCTCCTTCAACCCATCCCCCAACTCGTAGAACTCATCGAATGCGTCTTTGAAGATGCTCTCGCGCCTGATATTGGCATGGTGCCGGCTCAGTATATCTTGCACAGCAGGACGCCCATCGATCAGACGGCCCATTGAGGCTTGCGCCACAGACATGCGCCAGGCATCTGGGTCGATATACCCCTGTCTTCGACGCATTTGATCCCGATAGATGAATTCGCGGAAGATCTGGACTCTCGTCGGGAAAGGTATGAAGAAAGGCATGTTGCGGAGAATCTCCATCCTCGGGGCCACAGCCTCCAGCTGCTTCCGGCGAGCAGCCTGTTGTTGGCGACGTCTCAGTGCCTCGATGCGACGTGTCAGTTGAGCGCGGCCGGTACCGATCAGGCCTGGGGAAGGCTCGAAGTAGGCATCGCTCATTAGATCATCCTGTTCCTCCTCTTCATCCTCATCTTGCAGCTGGTGCCTATTCTCCTCTTCTGCTACAACGGCAGGGATGAAGCCTTCCATGTCGAAGCGGCTTGTCATCAACCAATGCCCGTCTGGAAGGAATTTCCGCCTTGAATCACGCTCATGGATCATCCGCAAGAGGCCAGTGACTAGACCCTTGAAGTAGTCCAGCGGAATTCCCGTGACGCCGGGGAGGCCTTTCTCTTTGTTCTTCATTTCAATGTCCCTCACGCTTGCAATAGCGTCCGGTGGCGCTGCAGATGAGCTAAAGTAGCTTCGAATGCCCCCAGTGTCTTGAGTCGCTTCTTTTTCGCTCAGATCTGCTGAGTTCCAATACAATGTGAAACCTAGGTTCTTGAGAAATATTGTCATATCTTTGATGTCTTTCAGTGGAAGGGCGCTCTCCTTGGTCCAGGAAACTCTTGTGTTCGAGGAGGCGGTGAAAGAAGACTCGCTGGAAAAGAACTCCTCGTCATCCATAACTTTCAAAACGAAAGTATAGAGCTCGAGGAATAGAAGTATGATCGTCCATTCTTCATCCCTTTCGACTTGGGATATCTCCGGGGACCGAGTACCCTGCGATTCCTCGGCCGGTTTCAGCAGAGGCAACACTTTCGTCGAATCTTGACTAATGGCAGCAAATATTCTGCTAGCCTTTGATGCTTGCCAAAAGTATTTGATCGCGGGTATTCTTGAGCCTTCCTGGCCTGTCAGCTGGTCACTCGAAGTCGCCGATCCCAAATACAACCACATCCGAATGTCATCACCCCGGCGAGGGAATACTCTCAGCAGCGTCAGAGCGTATGTTGCAAGAATCTTGGCTTCTTTAGATGCATCCGATTGAGCGTTTGCCAGCTCACCCTGAGAGAGATGTGTAGTGTGTAGCTGAGAAAGAAGCCCCGTAATATTACTCTGATTCACAAGGCTAACTAGCTGCTCCTTGATGAACGGGTGCAGTGGCGTTTGTTCAGGCGCCTCGTCGTAGTCATTAGACTCTTCCGACTCTAAGCGCCGAGATATATGCACGGCGGTAGAGTTCAGCAGCTCCGATACCACCTTCACAAAACCTGGTTCTGGAGCCGGACGACCTGTCTGGCCTCCCAGAGCGCAACGGTGAAAGAATATAAAATAAGCAAGCAGCCAAAGACGGGCATCTACATCTTCTGCGCTCTTAGGTCGGTCTCCGAACAACGTTTGCAACGGCCCCAAGGCGGAGGTCAGCAATTTATAATTGATATTGTTTGCCAATCCATCCAGACTTCCAATATACTCCGGGAGGTTGGGGATGGTTAGATAGATTTTCGCAAACCACTCGTAGGCCGTAAGAGTCTCAGATGTGATAGGTCGAAGCAAAGCAAGCACACTCTCAGTAAGGCTATCCCTGGACAGCTTATACCTCGTAGATATTGATTCAAAGTCTGTTGTGAGAATCACCATAACCGAGTAGTATTCTTTGGCCAGTCGTGCCATGTGCTTCGGTATCAGCCCCGTGAGAAAGACGAGTAGCTGAAGGAGACGTTGAACCGCGAAAACCGGTACCGTTGGCGACGTCACTGACCGCAAGACACGGAGAGTCAAACTCGCCAGTTTCTTCAGCGGCGTGGTCCATTCCCCCTCGGTCGCAATCGAGGGTACTTCATGCAATGTCCTCTGAAATGCCTCGGAGAAGTATACCAGCCGGGCAATATCCCCACTGTCCCACGGTTCCAGGAACTGGACCAGCAAACGAAGCTGCGATAAGCAGTCCGCAGCTGTTCCGTATCGGAGGGATGGTTGCAGAACAACATCAGGCTGTTGGGCGAGGATCTCAAAGGAGGGAACATGATCTTTGCCCTGCTTCTTCTCCGTGGTATCCCACTCGTTGCGCCACGTCCTGCGCGTTATCTTCCGGCTCCGATAACCCCTCCATGTCCGTTGGACGAGTCGGCTCGCCGTCAACCGCTCTCTTTCCTGCTGTCTCGCAAGCCGTTCCTGTTGGGCAATCGCAAGAGTATTCTGAGGGCCTGCGCCGTGAGGATTTTGTCGACCAGAGGGGTATGCGGCGAAAGGGTTCGTATTGCGGCCCCCGAGGTTAACCTGCCGTGGACGGCGGGAGTTCCCCGTAAATGACTGGAACATAGCTTCGTTTAGACGATCACGCTGAGATTAAAGTCTGTCGACAAGACTCGGGCGGACAAATGTGATGGTCACTGTAGAGATGAACAGCATTAGTCAAGCGTCTCCATGCCGCAGCCCACGGATGAACAGCCTAAACACGCAGTAAAGCGGAGGTGTGTGGAGGATGGATTGAGCATGGCAGCTCTCTTTGCTGTCTCGTCCTGCAGGCAGTCCGGGATCGCCGCTGATTGCTTCTACGGCCACGCACCGTTTCGCACCGAATACCCTTATTGCCACTCACCTTGTCGCCACGCCGCCCATATCACGCTTAATAATGGTCTGATGGCTCTAATTATCTAGACGATGCTGGAACTCTTCATCTGCATGCTGAGGACTGAGAGTACCTTCCTAGAGGCTGTCTATTCTCTTGTCGCTATATAGAATGTGTCTATGACCTATAAGCGATAGATTTTCATTCCATCTCACTGTAGCTGGGTGCCAGCTAGTACTACTACTAGTACCCGTCGCAACACTTTATATATATATAGTAACTACTACAGCCCCTCATCGACTGTGCCTTGGAATTAAGCTACATACTAATGATTTGTATCATGTCATTCCGATACTACTACCTACAGTCATATAGAGGGGTTAACTGCTTTACAGATTTTAACACCAGCTCAAGGACTAATATACGAGTAGCAAAGTTGAGGATGACAAAAACATGAAGTATAAAGTAACAATGGCCATGAGGCCCGAAAACTGAAGACTGCGTGATATTAGATCTGCACCTACAATGCCCCTTTACAGTATGTAGTGTCCTTAGTGATGGATAGTAAGCTGCATAGCATATATTTTTATGCTTTAGGTATTCGAAAGGTAGCGTTCTACTAGTCTAGAAGGCTTCTAGTAATACTAGGGCTGGATCTCATGTATATCCCAGCTCGTATCACCAACTCTAACTTAAAAGCGTCTCTTCACGATCCAAACTGCAGGGAAATAACCTTAAATCCCAATGCAGACCGCATTGCAAGACTAGATCGGATTATACCAATATTCCCGAACCTCATGAAATCTGTAATTGGTGAAATCTAAACCATTTGCTAATATGCAATAAAAAACCCAGAGATGCGCCGCGAACCAATACATGTACCAAGCAAGGTAAGACCCAAGCTACACGCCGTGTCTTCTGAACCGCTTGATACCAAGGTAGCCCTGTATAAAACTGTGCCCTCAACATCAAATCCCACAGCTACTGTACATAGAATACAGTCCACACAAGCCAGACCGGCAAATAAAGCATGCAGAGCCGATCAAATTCAGTGATCGCTACCCAAAGAGCAACACTATCAGAACAGCATCGACTCAACTCCGGCGCCGCGTCATTTCATGCCTGATGTAACCGCCAAACTGTGCATGGACGAAGGGGGTATGTATGATATGCCTCATCATGTCCGAAAAATCCGAATGTCTTTCCCTCTGGAGGACTGCAACGACTGCGATGCCGATTATTGACGCGCAGGCTGAGTAGTCGATGACTGTTCCGTTGCGGCCTCAGAGTCCAGACGCTCCTGTTCCAGAACTTCCTGACCGTTGTCCGAGGCCCACATATCGAGATAGTCCTTTCCGCTGAAAGCCCGTTCAAGGGTAACGATCCTTCCGCGCTTCTCGACTTCTTTCGTGTACTTGGATTTCGTGGGAGGCATACGCTTGGTCACGAAGGGGGTCAACTATATCATACATATCCGTATTAGTCTTTCAATCCCAAGGTAAAAGTCAATTGAACATCATAGAAGGTATAATCCCACCTTAAACTGATCCAAATTCTCAGGCACAACGAAAGTGCGGACTTTTTTCCAATCGATCACATATGACCCGTTCTTCGCAAAGTAACCCATCGATCCGGTCCGGTTACCCTTGTAGTAGCCACCAAGGACCTGTTTGGTGGTCAGGCGCAAGCGCGCCAACATGGGCTGCGAGGGCTTGAACATGGTGGGCAGGCAGGGAGGCAATTGACGGTCGGTGGGTTGCGGAGGTAACAAGACGGAGCGTTGGACAAGATGTTCGGGGAAGAGTCGATAGGAAGGCTCTTTCTGGGCGGCGCTAGAGAGGAGTAGCTCCGCCCCGCCAAGAACATTTTTCGTGGTCCGCATCGGAAAAGTAAAAAAATCAACGGCTGCATCTTGACAACTTCTTGCGGTGCGTCGTCGCCATTCAAGTCATTCTTTCCTTTATTTTATTTCCTGGGATTTCTCTGAATAGATTATCATTTACATAAAATACAGCTCAGGAGCTGCGACACACGCCCATCATGCCTCGCAGGCAAACGCAAATGCGCGGTCCCAAAGACCGGGACCAGTCCTTGCAGAAATCGAAGAAGCCCGCACCCAAGAACAAGAAGTCCGGAAACTACCTAAATGCATTTGCGATCGCAGAGAGCGAAAATCCTGGAAAACTGGGAGTCAAGCGCACCCGTCTAGGCAAGGAGGACGAACCTTTCAAACGCAAGCGACACAATGCTCGAGATGCCGACGACTCGGACGGCCCGGATTACAGCAAGCGCCGTCGCACTGGAGACGATGAGGCGTCGGAAATGGACTCGAATGCTGGTAGCGATGGCGAAGGACACCGGTGGAGGATTGGTGAGGTCGGCAGTGACGATGACAGCGAGTTGGACAGTGACGAAGCCATGGGTTCCAGTGATGAGGAGAGGTTCGAGGGCTTCACGTTCCGCGGCAGTTCTACGATGAAAAACAAACCGAAGCAGAAGGCCCCGGAACGCAAAAAGCGCACTCGCGAAATTAACTTGTCCGAGGACGCTGAAGTATCAGAGGACGAGGACGATCTCGAAGACGACTCGGACGACCTCGGAGAGGATGCGATAGACCTGACTACGGCTTGGGATATGAACATGGCAGAGGAAGAAGAGGAAAAGGCTAAGAAGGCCAAGTCTAAGTCTAAGCAATCGGCTGAGAGCGATGAATCGGAAGAATACGACTCCGAAAGCGAGGACAGCGACTCGGACGACAATGACGATGAACTGCCATTATCGGGAGACGACATGGACGAAGATGAGGTGGATGAGCATGGTCTTTCCAAGCTACAGAGCTTTGTCAACGCTATGAACACCGAGGGTACTACGAAGACAGCACGAAAGACCGGTGGAAAGCAGGAACAAGGGGCCCCTACGGAGTTCGGTCTGACTTCTACGCGAAAACTCACTATTGCCGATCTTTTGCCATCAATTACAGATTCTCGCCTCAAGAGTTCCCTCAAGCATGTCGACGCTACTACGACCTCAAACACGAAGACGTCCGGTGTTCCTGGAAAGCTGGATGCGCCTCTTGCAAAACGCCAACAGGATCGGCTGGACCGAGCGGCCGCATATGAGAAGAGCAAAGAGACTCTTGACCGCTGGCTGGAGACTGTCAAGGCGAACCGCCGAGCCGAGCATCTTGTGTTCCCTTTGCCTGATCCCGAAGCAAACCAGACGCACCGGATGGGTGCTGCTGAACCGCGCACGGATCTTGAAAGCACTATCCAAAATATTCTTCAGGAGAGCGGGCTTATTGAAAATAATGGAAAGTCAGCGGAAGAACAGGTGCAAGAGTTTGAAGAACTCCAGGCGCGGAAATTGCCTATTGAGGAGATCAGGGCTCGCAGGGCGGAACTACGGAAGCGTCGTGATCTGCTCTTCCGGGAGGAAGTACGCGCCAAGCGCATCAAGAAGATTAAGAGCAAGTCGTACCGTCGTGTGCATCGCAAGGAGAGAGAGAGGCTTGAGCAACAGGAACGACAGGCTCTCTTAGAAGCCGGCGTGGACCTGGATGAAGAGGAGAGGGAGAAGAACGATCGCCTGAGAGCAGAGGCCAGAATGGGTTCGAAGCACAAGGAGAGCAAGTGGGCGAAGAGCCTGAAGCAGACTGGTCGGACCGCTTGGGATGAGGACGCTCGACGTGGCACGCAGGATCTGGCCTTGCGGGAGGAAGAACTACGGAAGAGGATCGAAGGAAAGCGCGTCACCAACGGCGATGAAGACTATCTTGGCTCATCCAGTTCTGAGTCCGAAGACGAGGACCCATGGGATGAAGAGGCTGGGTCGGATGCTGAGAAGCGCAAGATCCGCCAGAAGCTTAGCCAGCTGGAAGGTGACGATGATGCTGACACAGAGTTGAAGGGGCCCCACGCCAAGCTCCTTTCGATGAAGTTCATGCAGAATGCGGATGCTGCGCGTAAAGCAGAAAATGATGCTGAAGTTCGCCGTCTCAATCGGGAGCTCCACGGTGAAGAGTCGCAGTCTGAGGCGGAATCCGAAGTCGGTCGCCGGAAGTTTGGCCGCAAGAAGGAGGAGGCGAAGACAGCAAAGGAATCCAAAGCGAAGCTGGCTCGGAATGAATTCGAAGAAGCACCGGGTTCTGATGATGAGGCTCAGCAAGAGGCGGATCAAGAGGTCGACATTGTTGTTGACCGTCCCGCAAAGAAGGGACCGGCAGCCCCCCAGAATAAGCCTCGTGGTCGTCCTCAGAAGGAAATCGCAGAAGAAGAAGATGCTGCTGCTGTGGAGGAGAACCCGTGGCTCGTGCAGACGAACCGCAATAACCGTCGCGCCATAGTGAACGACTCACAGCAAACCGTTGACATCACGCTAGATGACGCGAATGCCAGCAGCGGTAAATCGAAGAGTGCACCCAAAGCCCAAAAGGCATCAGCACCTAGCAAAAAGAAGGTTGATGCCGAGGTGTACGGTAGCGACGATGAGGAGAGCGTGCCGGTGCTTCTCAAGAACCATGATCTGGTGAAGAGGGCCTTTGCGGGCGATGAAGTCGTGCAGGACTTTGAGCAAGAGAAATTCGACACCATCAAGGAGGAAGACGATCAAGTGATCGACAACACCCTCCCCGGCTGGGGTAGCTGGGCTGGTGATGGCATCAGCAAGAAACAGCAAAAGCGCCAGAAACGGTTCCTCACTAAGGTCGAGGGAGTGAAGCCGGAAGACCGGAAGGATGCCAAGCTCTCCCGGGTCATCATCAACGAGAAACGGGTCAAGAAGGTAAGAACGACGATCAGTCGGGCTCTAGCGCGTGTGATCCTTATTCTTATTCTGTGCATGATAAACTAACGTCTGCTGTTTCGTCTAGAACACCAAGTACATGGCCACGCAGCTCCCCCACCCCTTCGAAACGAAGCAGCAGTACGAGAGATCGCTCCGTCTGCCAATCGGTCCTGAATGGTCTACTAAGGAGACTTTCCAAAATGCAACCAAGCCACGCGTGATGATCAAGCAAGGTGTCATCAAGCCGATGGAAAAGCCCATGGCTTAATGTATGTGGTGGTCTGGCTACTACGAGTTGGCAGTCATGGTGGGTAACTGAATAGACGAGAGCAAGGCATCTTGCGAGTCTGGGGTCTTTTGGTGGCGTTATTGTAGAATTAAGTTTGGTCATGATACCAAGTCATTTTAAGATTTCTCCGAACGATGGGGTTATTGGTTCAGAGGCTGAGGCTAGAGGGGTTGTTGTCAAGGTGATGATTTTTGTGTCATCCCCGCATCAACCGGATTGTTCGTAGCATCCGATCTGCAGACCAGCACTGGTTTCAAGTTGTTTTAGTGCTGGACCCTTTTTGCAAGGCATTAGTCTCCGGGGTTGGTCACCCCCCTTTAAGGTTGTCGAATAAGCAGTGTTTTGGACCCAAGATGATCAGGTCTGGTGAGTCCCTGCGCCGTGATACTCTCTTTCCCCGATGCGGTGCGGTTTCCTTAGATTGCAGGCCACATGGACATCGAGATTCGGTCCGACTTGGATCCATGGATATGAGCAAGCCACTCAGAGAGCTATTCGCGTCCCTTGCAACGACGAGTGACAGGGTGGAATGCCACGACGGGCGTTGGCCGGGAAAAAATCAGAGATGGAGCATTCAATAATAAAACTTACTACATTGACTTTAACCTTGGCGTATAGGTACATTCCTTGATGCCTGGGGAGCATACGCCTCCCAGACCAGGTCTGGGAAAGGCAGCCGTGAGATGGAGAAAGCCACAGAGAATCAGATCGTGGAGCATGAGACACTTGAAACCGGTCGCAAGGCTGGTCGGACAGTTTTCAATTTTGTTCCTTTGGTCAGAAGGTGAAAGATGAGAAAGTACTTTCGTTCTTAGGAAAGTATATGAGCCTTGGGAGATGCTCCACTTGTTCTGGTTTACCCGCACCTTCAAACAGCGACAAGCAAGTTCATCCATCACCCGTTCCCTCCCTCCTCTTCTCTTCTCCCCCCCTTCAAAACCACTACTATTAGTTTATCTGTTCACACTAGCAATTCATCCAAGACACTATCAACAATCATTTGCCCCTCCATCGGTTATGCCGATTAAGTACGATTAATCTGCCCCCTTCATCAGCTGTCTCAATCATCCGGCTGCAGTAAGCTTCCTCTCCCCTGCACATACCCGCCCGACTTCAGGCAGATGGTGCTCTGCATGCGCCCCCGGCTGGCAGAGCCCGAGGATGGTGCATTCCGCCCCCCTCAACCCTGCATTCCCCGTGCTATGTTTTCGTTATGCCTCGAGGCCTGGGATCAGACACCACAACATTGACCATTGTGCAGATCGACGCCTCGTAATACCTCGTTGGCACTTGTTCCAGCCCGCCAGTGTCCGTCTGGTATCCCTCTGCACCGGGGCCGGAGTTTTGCCCGGGCCTGAGATTCCTACTGGCTGAGACCGGAATCTATACTCAACCTAGGTGAGCTATTTCACTGCTATTTGAAAATGTCTTCCGCCGCTCGATCTGCTTCTGTTGTTTACTATCCTTTCCTGTCCCTCCCTCATATACTGGAGCCTGTCTCTGGGGTGTTCCGTACACTCAGTTATCAGTCCACCAAAGGAGACCTAGAGATCCATCGTTGGCCCCTTCATATAGTATCATTCTTGTGGATGACTCCGTTGCGATCATTCTTGCTGTTTTCTTTCATGTTTTGATCCACCTCCTCAACCAACCCTACTGGCTGGCCACTTTCATACATACTAGCCCTTTGGCCTTGGGACGTGTGGAGGGATTTAATCCGTCTACTACACTTTTCAATCTTGATCTTTCATTCTAGAAAGACGGCACAGACCTTCACAATGGAGAGGAAACACAGATGGGGCTCATCGTTCTTGCTAATGTGGCTTCTAGCTGCAGAAGGAGTATACTCAGCCCCGAGACGCTCATCTTCAACTGCGTCTCCAAAGACGCAATTTCCACCAGGTGCTGAAACTGAAAGAATACTCCCTGGTACAAACGGTGTAAGTGCAACGTGACTTAACCATCATGGAGTCGGATTCTAATTACCATTCAGCTCTATCCGACTAGCCTTGAGCGCGAGGGTCATCCGGTGCTCCCAACCCCGACATCGACGGGGAACACGAAAGATCCTTGGGGACTTGATGGGCTGCTTGAATCCTTGGGCGATACCGCAGACCTCCCAAACGAATTATTGAGCGAGTTTCTACCAGGCTGGGGCAAGAATTATCCAGTGACCGTGCCGGTATCAGCGTATAAACCGGCCAGCGCGGAAACGACTAGCTCAGCTACGGAACCACAAACGCAGCCGGAGACTTCTGATACCTCCACGCCGCAGGCTCCTAGCCAAAACGTGCCAGAGGCGACAACCGACTCTTCCCAGGTCAGCAGTCAAGCTTCGAGTACAACAAGCCTCACCCAGCCTTCGAGTACAACAAGCACCACCCAGCTTTCGAGTACAACAAGTCCCACCCAGCCTACGAGCTCAGCGAGTTCAGCCCAGCCTTCGAGCTCAGCAAGTCTGACCACGACTGCAAGCCAAACAACGCAAGCGGATAATTCTATCACTTCAAGTGTTGTCCAAGGTAAGTTTTTTCAAATAATATATGCCATATAATATCTGACATGCCTTGGCGTTAGCCTCAGTTACACCAATGTCTGGTCAGGACGTATTTGTGCCATTGGCGACAACCCCATTCCCGCAAACCATCACAGCGCGGAACGATCATCCGGTGCCTAAGAAAGGAATTGTATGTATACCCGAACAAGACCTGTCAAGACTTGCCTAACGACCATAGGAAAATGTCACTACGCCAATTGAGACAAACAAGTTCTACGCTGGACTCTTCCTCGGGTCGCAGAGCAATACTACCTTTACCCATCCGTATGGTCTCTCATGGGCGAAGGGAAGCGGGAATGCCAAAAGTTACGGAATGGCCATTTCCCACAACGAGGTTAATGTCGTTGCAAATGGCCCCACCAACGCCAACATTCCTGGCAATCCCATTTCGTACTACATCAATCCCATTGGCATCCAGCATATGATCCTTTCAGCCACAGAACTCAACACCTCAACTGTGCTGACTGCAGAGAACCTCTTGCCATTCTCCGCTGATGCTGTTCTGAGTCCTACTCCCGGGTCAAGCCAAAGGATAACTATTCCTCTTGTGCAGGGGATGGGTTTCGTCACAGGCATGTACAACAACCTACAGCCCCTGATTCAAAGTGGTGTATTTTTCAGCAAAGTCGTCACTGCTTCCTCGCCCCGGATTGGCATCTACAAATATAAGGTCTCTCTGGCGGATGGAACAGAGTGGCTTGTTTATGCCATCCCTCAAGATGGAAAGGATCCGGATTTCCGCTTGGAATCTAACACCGACTTCCGTGGCCCAAGTGGATGGTCTGGGACCGTTCAGATCACGAAGAACCCAGCAGGTGATTCTGGTGAGAAGCTTTTGGACGGATCTAGCGGTGTCTTCGCTCTGGAGGCTGCTGTATCCGGGTCGGTTCAGGACAATTCTGGTACATACAATCTGGCATTCGCGAAGTCAGGGAAGCAGCTGCAACAGACTCCACTGCTTATGTATGCTCTGCCGCATCACGTCGAATCGTTTGATAACACCACCAAGGGCCGCATGACCAGCATCACGCTTCGGACAACGACAAAGGGTAATGCAACTGCTGTAGTAGGAGAAACTTGGACGATGCTGGAGCCGAACCTTCCAACTCAAATGGGTTTCGACCCGTGGTCGGTATCGGCCGGTAACGTGAACAATCTGAGCGCTGCTGCCAAACAAGTCATCCTATCTGTGGCGCCCACTGAGCTCAACCAAAGCATTGACCAGCAGTCAGACCTGAATAGCATGTACTACAGTGGCAAGGCCTTGAGCAAATTTGCAACTCTTGTTTACACAGTGAACAAGCTAGGGGGTAACCCTGACCTGGCAGCTTCGGCTTTGCAGAATCTGAAGACCGCCTTTTCTCGCTTTGTCGACAATAAGCAACAATTTCCGTTGGTGTATGACAGCGTTTGGAAGGGTGTGGTGTCCTCTGCCAGCTACGGAGGCGATTCTGGCGCTGACTTTGGAAACACCTACTACAATGACCACCACTTCCACTATGGGTATTTTATCCATGCCGCTGCCATTATTGGCTCGCTCGACTCGACCTGGCTCACGGATTCCAACAAAGCCTGGGTGAATATGCTTGTCCGTGACGCCGGAAACTCGGCCGCAAACGACCCATACTTCCCATTCTCGCGCTCTTTCGATTGGTACCATGGGCATTCGTGGGCGAAGGGTCTGTTCGAGTCGTTTGACGGCAAGGACGAGGAATCAACCTCGGAAGATACCATGTTCGCGTACGCACTGAAGATGTGGGGAAAGACGATTGGCGATGCCAGCATGGAAGCCCGCGGCAACCTGATGCTGGGCATCCTCCGACGAAGCTTGCACAACTACTTCCTCATGGAGAGTGATAACAAGAATCAGCCTGCGAACTTTATCGCCAACAAGGTGACTGGAATTGTAAGTTTCTGGCCCGACCCCAAGTCCGTTTACACGCAACTGACAAGGTTCGAAGCTGTTTGAGAACAAGGTGGATCACACTACCTACTTTGGTAACAACCTGGAATACATCCAAGGGTATGCATGTCCTTCGTACGTTTCTCTGTTTCGCATGCTAATATAGTCAAAAGTATCCACATGTTGCCCCTCTTGCCTTCGTCTCCATATGTACGGAGCCAAAACTTCGTTCGAGAGGAGTGGAATGCACTCTTCTCGGCCAATGCCACCGATCCAGCATTGAACGTCACTGGCGGATGGAAGGGTGTTTTGTACGCCAACTTGGCACTGATCGACCCTGCGTCTTCGTGGAACTTCTTCGCACAGTCCAATTTCGATTATAGCTGGATTGATGGAGGAGCGTCACGCACGTGGTATCTTGCATTTGCAGCGGGTCAGTATATCCCTCCAACTTCTCAATCAATGATGTTGCTAACCACGTACGCAGGCTTGGGCGGAGGTCCCGCTTAAGGACACATC